AGAAGGCAGCCAGCAAAGGAAGAGAATTCAAGCCGCGGAAAGGCCTGGTAATACAACCTGTCAGGCAGTAGAGCGTGTCATTGAGGGTGAGTCTGCCTTTCTGGTTCAGATCGTAGCTACTCCTTGATAGGGGAACCATCGCGACAGATACCGAGGCGCACCTTCTATCCTTCAAGCTTTCGAGGGCCAAATGATGTTGTCATTAGCAGAATGCAAGAACAACTTGAGAAAGATCTTCGAATGCAAATTCTAGCCACGCGCCTGCCCTGAGTCTGAAAAGTAGTCAAGTCTGCCATCTCCTCCAAAATCCCTCAATGGCCCAATGGGCAATCGCTGCCAGAGATCTCGAGTTCGAGCCTCTGCGAGATCAATTTGCTGACTTCTCATTAGACTATCACGAATTCAACTGATCAACAACGGCGACACCGAAAGGTGCGGTATTTCGCGGGACATTGTCCCGTTCAACTGAACTGACTTACATCGGGTAGTCTTGCAAACACAAGCTATTCTTTTCTTGCCATGTTCTACAACTGCGGAAGCAAAGGCATGATCTTGCAAACACAAGGATTGTCTGCGCTGAAGCAGGTCACTGCTGGGGGTAACCCTTGGATCAACTCACAACTCGAAAAAATCAACAAAGACATCGTAAGTACAATTTCCTGAGATCTCTGGTGGCATTCTTTTTGTGTTTCCCTCATTTTCCCTGATACTTCATGCATGCAGAAACTCATCTGCTGAAACTCCATTGACTGATCCATCGCTCCATCAGATTGGCACTGATGCGCTGTGTGCTTCTGAGAGTCGGGCTTAGAGCAAGACTTTTCGAACAATCGACCACAGGCTTTTTGACCACGTCTCCACAAGCACTGTGGAAGAGATCAATCAGTCTCATGGCCGGCAAGTCACTCTCCTGTCCACTATCGATGCGCTTTCTCAGTAGCGTAACCCAATTAACCAAGGCTACTCTCTCGAGATCTTGGTAAGTTTTCAGCTTGGGCAACAGATTCCCCCAGGTGGTAGACTGCGGGTTGGCAATGTTGTAGACCTGACACACCTCGTGAACTGCAGGTGCGGCAGACATGAGCTCGCACACAGTGGATGCAGCGACATCAACTGGTAACCAATCGATCCTTCCAAGCGAGTCTAGCGAAGATGGAACAGTACCAAGCTGAAGCGAGGAAGCCAGCATAGCAGGTAACCATCCTTGCTCTGGCCATTGGGGTGCTTTGGCTTTCCACACTTCATGGTTCAAGACTCCACCAAGCTGGCCAACACCACAAACTACGCTCTTGACACCAGTAGTCAAAGCGGTTGTGGCTATGAGACGCTCAGCAACAAGCTTCGATTGTGTATAGCCCATAGATTCTGCCCTCAGCCAATCGTGAATGACTTCCTCCGTGATGCAGTCTTTGGAGTTGCCGAGGACAGAGCCTATGGAAGAGATGAACACAAAGATTGGGGAGTGGTCCGCAGACTTGCAAAAGTCCATCATCTCAACAGCGACACGAATGCTAGGCTCAAAGTGAGACAATGGCATGCAAAGGTCGACTGACCATGCGTTTAGTATCACATGCGTGATCTCCTTCTGCATTATGAGCCATTCTGATTCGGATAGTCCGAAGCGTGGTTGAGAGTAGTTTGCATGAAAGTACCTGATGTATGTCGAAGTTGCAGCTTCCAAAGGAAGGTCAAGAGCATCCTGTCCATGGGGATCGCGATTCAAGCAGAAGATACTCTTGACGTCTTTTCTGCTCGACAGTTGAACCAGGAGTTGAGTACCCAGATGTCCAGTGGAGCCAACAAGGAAAATTGTAGCATCCCGGGATGTCTCGAGAGGCAAGGCCCGTCGGCTCATCGGCGAATATCGATCGAAGAGTATCTGCACTGCTTTGACTGAATCTTCTTGTCCGGTTGTCAATCCACAGAAAAAACATGAGAGCAGATTAATGCTTGGGTAGTCGTAGATGGTTTTGGTAGTGATGGGTATCGGCGAGTTGAGAAAGGCGGTTCTAAGCTTCTTAGCTATAGTCATGGCGTAAAGCGAATCGAACCCTAGAGCGAAGAAACTCTGGACGGGCGGTATTGTCCGATATCCGGGGATGTCTTGTACAATACTGGTCACAGTTTGCTTGACACTGCCAAGATCCATTAGACGATCTGCTTGAGCCAAACATGCATCAGGGTCCTGCAGGTGGTAAAGTTCATCCAGTTCAGCAGCAAAGGTTTCGAGCGTGGGTTTACGTTGAACAGTGCCCTTGTCCGCTCGAACCATCCTCTTGCCCTGCTTTGCGACGATTACCATATCTTCCATCAGGCGTCCATACTCAGGACAATTCTCATTGGCCTTCTGCACAGCTGGCCATAGTTCTTCCACAACTTCCTTTTGGGTCTTGTCCTCTTGCCGGACTCTGTAGATGACAGCTCCACGAGCAACGCACACTGATCACGGCCTTGACCGCAGACAAGAGCCGACTCGACCGAAGGGTGGTCGTTAATCATATCCTCCATTGCAGTAGGGTTGAACTTCTCGCCGTCGCTCAGGACGATAATGTAAGCATCGGTCTGTATTATCTGGCCTGTAAGAGTCCTGATATTCCTGAAAGCGTCGAGAGCAGCCACTGCGCCATGATTCATAATTATCAACTTCGGCATACCAGTGCTTCCGGATGTATGAAAGACTGCTAGCGGGTCATGCTTCGCATCCTCAAAAGTCCTGTCCCATGTATAAGGTTTCATATTCGGATCGATGTCCAAGAAGTACGCAAGATCCGGAGGATCGAGAGTCTGCATCGGTCTTTCTGCAAGCACACTCATCAACAAGTCCGAGTACAGCGGTGCGTCCACAGGCATCAAGAAAGTGCTACAGTCCGCTTGGTCAAGCAAACCGAGTAGAGCGGCAGCACTATTCCGAGAAGCAAACAACATCTACGAGGTTCGTTGTTAGTAGCACTGCAGAGGAATGTAGAGCACAAGAAAAAAGACATCTTAGGTCGTGAGGTCCGATATAAGCCAATGTCGGGAAGCCATGACCTTTGCCTAGTTGCGAATCTAACCACCAGGCACATCTATCGATGCTTCTGGCGAGATCAAGGAAAGTGATTTGGTAGAGGCCCTCATTGATATCAGTAGACTTGGGTATCTCAACAAAGTTCAAGTTTGGGTTGTCCAACGCGATCTCATCGATGAAGTTTGGGAGCAATCGACGTCCGCATTTCGCCATTGTGGATGTGATTAATGGCAAGCTTGGTAATTGGGGCGAGAGGAGCGACAGCAGCATTGCTTATATGCTGGGTCTTTCGCAATCCATAAGGTTTGACTGCCAGCGACCTGTGCAACCATGACATGCCTGTAGCCGTCGGCTTGTGTGAGCATAGCCTGAAAGTGAATGGCTTGCATACACCCACGTTTATCAGCACAAGTAGGATTAGTAGCCACGTAGAGCTGGCTCAGTGTCAGTGCAGACGTGTCCCACAGACAGCCACAGGTCCTGCTTCAGATTGGTCATAGATGAGTCGCTGAGATCAACGAGAGCGCAGAACCATGGCGGCGGTTCGCACGAGCATCGGTTTGTTATGTTGTGTCACCAGGAGCTCTGTGGTCAAAACAGAGCCGCACGTCGACATTCCAGCGAGGCGTGTTCATGCTGAGCAAAGCTCCGAATGTTGTTATGTACCCTACCTTCGTGGGATTCCTTCTGAGGTTCGGACACTTATCCATATTGCAGATGACAAGATCCAAGTCGTGAGCCTTGAGATGACAAGCAACCCAAGTCTGGTGAGCATGTTGGAGGAGTTGGAAAGACGACTGCCCGAAAGGATTCATGTTGTGTTACATGGCCGAATTGAGTTCACCAGCGTCACACTCGCCCTTTACTCACCTAGAAATCGTCAACCAAAATTTCCAGCATAGAATGTGTCAGAGAAAGCTTCTTTATCAACCACAAAATGACTACCAGCAGGCGTGTGACCAGCCTCCCGTAAGGTTTGTCAACTCTTCAAGTCAGACGTGCACCCGTGATGGAACCGGGACGACAACCTCCCTCGTCGCTCGGACGGCGCTCGAGACCGTTGTTTTCTTCTCAGCCAGCAAGCAGGCTGGCCGTTCATACCGCACCCATGTCACCGGTACAGGACGGGCGTGATTTCGCGATTAGGAAAAGGACGATGGGTCCGTCGTGCGCGTTGGAAACGTGCTTGCGAACTCGCGAACCAATGCGAGGCCCACACCTCTCGTTGACGCCGGTTACGGTATGGGCGCCGTTTGTCCGCAAGCCACCACAGCTTTATCCAGTGTCCTTAATCACACCACATACGTGTCGGCGTTCATGACGCGCGCTGAGGTATGTATACTCCAACTGCGTCAAGCCGTCAACAGGTTGGGAAGCATGCCTCCAGACAATACAACTGTTTTCTGCTTGCTCAAGAAGTCATAGAAAAGAAAAGAACAAGAAAGGGAGACAGCGATCGTCCGAACCGCTACCACACACTACCCCACACTGCCAAGAGAAGCACGGCTAATCCCAATGACGCGCCAAATCAGGTCTTGCCGACGTCTTTTGCTCCTCCCTCTACTCCGGTACACGTCCAGGGAGGGATGATACTATGATTCGTTCACGCGCATCTGGCGGTCCCATACGGCGCTTGGAGACATCCTTTATCCCATCATGATCGTTTCAAGGTGATGTACCCTCGCAAGCTATGCCTGATATCTAGGGTGGATCACCTCCGGACCGTTGTGGAAGCCAAGATATACGAAGACTGGTTGGGTGTCGCTGCCAACTTAAATGTCTCTGACATGTCGTTCATTGGCGGGCATTTACGGCCGTTCTCTTACCATCCGCATCTCTGATGACTCGAGCAAAACTGATACGCGTTACCGAGAGCCGAAGCGTAACCCAGCTCATCGTTCACGAGGGTGGCAGGGCAAGTCCAGGGTTCTGGTCGCTTTCTTAAGAGACCTGCCGATCCCTCTTTACACCCTTCAGTCTATCAACCTCACAGATGGCGCCTATACTCTATGCCTTCCTCTGGCTCTCGATCACCTGGATAGTATACAAAGGCATCAGTCTACTCCATATTCGCCGACAACATGCTATCAAGTCTCGCAAGTTGGACTGCGAGCCAGCACCACTATGGCCCGCCACGCATCTAGGCATCTCCACGATCAAACAAATGATGGCGGCTCAAAAGGCAGGTCGTTTTCCCGCGTATCTCCGTGAGCGGGAAGAAGTCTTGTCCGAGTCGCAAAATAGATCCGTGCATACCACGCGCCTATCCATTCTAGGGAACGAGGCTCATTTCACATCGGACCCCAAGAACATTCAAGCTTTGCTAGCAACTCAATTTAAAGACTTCGGACTAGGGTCCGCAAGAATCGGCAACTTTGGTCCTCTGATGGGTGATGGTATCGTAGGTGTCCACCTATCTTGAGCATTAGTATGCTTGCTGATTCAGATCACAGNNTTTGCATCAGATGGCAAGCGATGGGAGCACTCTCGGGCACTGCTTCGTCCCCAGTTCGCTCGCGATAATATCAGCGACTTGGAACTCGAGGAGGTGCATGTACAGAACATGATGCAGGCTCTGCCTGTAAACGCCGATGGTTGGGTCGAAGAGACCAATGTGCAGCTCTTGTTCTTCCGTCTTACTCTCGATAGCTCGACTGAGTTTCTGTTCGGCGAGAGCATCGACACTCAGCTTGCAGCTCTCAGAGGCGGAGAAGCTGGCGCAGCTGCAGCTTGGAGAGACGAGAGAGTGTTCGGCACTGCTATCGACAGCTCTCAAGGCTACCTTTTCAAAGGCGCACGATTCGGTAACTTCTACTGGATGGCTCACGACAAGCACTTCAAGAAGCTCTGCAAAGATGTTCACAACTTCGCCGACTACTACGTGGAAAAAGCAATCAAGGCGCAAACTTCTGAGAAGAGGAGACCGTCACTTACAAGGAAGTTTGTGTTCCTCGAAGAGCTCGCTGCTCAGACACAGGATCCCGTCGAGCTGCGCACTCAATTGCTCAACATTTTGATTGCCGGTCGCGACACTACTGCCTGTCTACTCAGCTGGATGCTGTTGCTGTTGGCCAAGAACCCAGATGTCTTTGAGAAGCTCCGCGAAACTGTCATTCGTGATTTTGGCAATTACGAAAATCCTAGAGACATCACCTTCGTGTCTTTGAAGGACTGCCAGTATCTTCAACATTGCTTGAACGAGGCTCTTCGCGTTTACCCAGTGGTACCTATGGACGGTCGCCGTGCTTTGACCGACACCACAATTCCTCGTGGTGGTGGTGCGGATGGTCTTTCGCCGATCTTCATTCCCAAGGGTACTGATGTCAGTTACTCGGTCTACGTTATGCACAGACGCAAGGATATCTGGGGCGAGGACGCAGATGAGTTTAAGCCATCAAGGTGGACCTCAAAACGACCTGGCTGGGATTATCTGCCTTTCAACGGAGGTCCTAGAATCTGTATTGGCCAGCAGTTTGCATTGACTGAGGCCAGCTATGTCATGGTCAGACTGCTGCAGCGATTTGACAAGATCGAGCCTACTGGACCCACTCTCGATACCGAACCCAAGATGCGCCTGACACTTACCTGCTGTCCCGCAGATGGTGTTTGGGTCAAGATGAGACAAGCGAAGGATGTTGCTTCACACTAGACGTTTACGTCTCAACACTGTTCACGATTTACGCAATATGATATCCCAGGAAAGACCCATGAGGCAGAGGATTGTTTGGGCCTTGCCACTTTAATGTTCAGTACGATTTGATTCAAGTAAAATTATCCTTTCATTCACTGTCAGTAGAGACCCTTGACATGGTGTTGGTGTCGTAGCTTACTTCGTAACCTTCTTCTTGTCGCTCCCGATCATACCGCGAAGAGTGTCGTACTTCTGGGATACTCGATAAGATTAGCGCTGGCGATGGATTGGGCCAGCCATGCTGGAAAGGGAGCCTCCATGCCTGTCCTCCCTTTTGCCGCGACCCGAGCCAGCCATGCTGGACAGCGAACCTTCACGCTTAGGAGCTTTCTTGCTACGAATTGTACCAGGCTGTTCGCTGACCTTGCTAGACATCTTGGTGGCAGTCTCTGCGGAAACGACAGGTTGCTTCTCCTTGATCGCTCTGGAGGTGTCGTCGACCTTGACAGGCTGCTCTCTTTTTGCTCAAGCTTGACTTCCTATTAGCTTTTCACGTTTGGTACTCTCGTTGACACGGTGTTTCTCGGCAGGTTCGGGGCGGGTAGATATGACATTGGCAGAGTTGGAAGGTTCGCCGATTCTGTAAGGCTTGTTCGTTTTGGTAAAACGAAGGAAGGAAGAAGCTTGATCAATACTAGTTGGGGGAGAGGACCCCTTATGTAGCTATCTGACCGAGCGTGGGTAGGGTCATCCTTTGATTCCGTTTACTGAGCATTGCTAGCACAAGTCCACGAGCCATTTCCACCATCAGCAGCAATCGCCGTGCCCGAGCTATAGAGACCAGCGACACATACTGTCGCGCCGATGACAATAACCACCCAGTTGGCACAAAACTGTGCAATCTGCTTCGGGTTGTCGAACCAGTGTCCGTGGTTGAGGAAGAGTCCAAACACACCACTGAGCGTATATGTGAAGTGTGATGCGAACAGAGCACTGATTAAACCTAACAAATCATTGAAGTTAGGTATGCTTTCAGCGATAATCCAAGCGATTACCCAGATGGTGAGAGTTATCCCTGTCCAGGCGAGGGTGCTGGTTTTGGTACGTCTGGTCATGTGGACTGTGCCTCTGAAGCAACGCACAAAGATGTACTTGGCGGCTACGTGACCGTAGATGATTCCTGCGATGATGATCNNTGCTTCTCGTCAGAATACTTGTATGTTGATTCGGGTTGGAAAAAAGGTGAGTGGAGAAAGGGGGAAAGGGAAAAAAAGAGAGAAAAAAAGAGAAAAAGTAGAAAAGAACCAAACTCGACTTACAGTTGGAATCGCAACACCCCAAGCAACTTTCTTGATAATGGGACCTGCGGAACCGAGAGCGGGCGAAGTGACATCTGGACCAGCGAATACGTAGATGACTGTTGCGGCGATGATGTACAGTCCGATATCCCACACCTGGAGGAATATCAAGGCTTTCGTCCAGTCTTTGGCAGGGTTCTTCATCTCTGCTAAAAATCCAAAGAAGCACGAGTGGCTACACATTAGTTAGTACATATTCGAGGTCCGTGATGTGGTGATTCAGGTTTACTAACCCNNAGCATAAGCAAACACGATGTTGCTGACAGAAACGAAGGCGTCCGTGAACGGCAACACGGTAGTTGCAGCCAGCGGTGTGTTACCTCGAGGCTTGTGAATGCCAATCGCAATCATACTGATCATGACAGCAGAAAAGATGGAAATGAAGGACGCGATTGACATGAATGACACGTTCTTGAGAGTCCTGGGCAAATCGAAGAGCCAGAAGAGAACGAGGCCAATTACTGCCCACACCACTGTGCATGTGGCACTGTCGGTAATGGTGTTGAGGCAGATGGTCCAGGTCAAGATGTGGCTGGCCATGGTGAAGATGAGGAAGATTGTTTGTGCTGCACCGAAGAATTCGCGGCCGATGGCACCCATTTTGAGTGGCTTGAATAGAATCTCGCCTGCGTCTGCAAAAGATACAACNCTACGACAGCATGAGCTTGATTTTCTGGTAGTCACGGAGCATATACTTCTTACCCAAGGATACTTCATTCTGAATTGTCCAATAACCNNTGTAAGTTTCCATGTCAGTATCATTGATACCTATAACGTTCTGAAGACGATGCGTACCCATCCGGTATAAGTTGCGATTATTCCAAGTCCAACAAGTATAATAAGTCCAGGCACGAGACCAATCCTCGCAAGTACCGAAGGCAGCGAAAGAATACCCAGCGAAATTGTTTCGGCGATCATGACTTGCTACTGTCAGTTTCCAACTCTATGTTTCCCTTAGAAGCTTTAACATACTCATGGCGGCTTGCCTATTACTTGGTCAGCAAGGAAGTATCTAGACCGAAGATGATACGGGACTCACCACCACTCCATCGACTGATAGTCAATCTCTGCATCTTGAATATCACCCTCGTCTACGCTCTCCTTCCTTGCAAAGGGGTCTTCATATGCACTGTTCTTTCGTCTCGACATCGATGACTTGCGGCGTCCGGTCTCTGGTCTTGATACATCATCGCCGTCTTCACTTTTCTTCTCGGGATCTTCAAAAGACATATTTCGACTACAAAAGCTGATATTGCGCAAGAGCTGCAGAAGAAGAGAACCCAACAGCAACAGCAGTCGAGTCAGTCTATAGTTGTTGGTGGTGAGCTTGTGATCTCATGTACATAGGTACTCATGACGTAGAGTCTCGAATGTAGATCCTACATGGACGATCCCAAATGCGGAGAAATCTGGAAAAGTAGCAGGAATGTGCTGAATTAGGAGGCTAACGATCAAATGGTCAGCAGCCGTTTAGGAATACTCCTCTAGCTCCTCGCGATACAGTCTGTCGGGCTGTCTTAAAATCTCAAGGGTGGTCATCTTGTCTGAGCGACATGGCATTGTTGAATCATAATCCTCCTCTGGGGATGATCTCCGCGTTTTGCACGATGCACCAAATGCTACGCTTGCTACTTGCCAGCCATCTCTCTGACCAGACCAGCATTCACCCAACCGCGTGCAAAGTTTCTGCCACTGAACAACAGAACGGTAATCCACCAGATACGCCCAACATAAGAGTCATACCACATCTCCAAAGGTAAATCTCTCTTCTTCCTCCAAGCCATGACTTGTCTTCGGAAAGCTTCTTCGACCACAACAGCAAAGCCGTTGGCAGCGAAGAACTTGGCTTCTCCAAGAGCACGACTCCATTCACCACCAAGCACCGATCTGACCGCAAATGAATGGACAAAGGCAGAGGAGATGAAGCCGCCAAGTACTTTGCCAATATCCGCTGGTTCATGGCTTCGTTTGCCCGTGAGCTTCCTCTCGAGCCACTCTCCAGGCCATACACCGTATACCAAGAACAACCGAGCAAAGAGCCTATGCCAGCCATAGGACCAGAAACCTCGCACAGACTTGATATCCCAGATGCGAGTGCTGTATAGAGGAGGGAAGTACGCAAGTGGTGAAGGCGCCAAGGGACTCATCAATATGGCAGCCATGGAGTGCGCCACAGAAAACGCAGCCATAAGGAAGGCACCAAGAGCTGCAGTCAGGATGAGTTGCAGCCATAAAGGTAGGCGGTTGTCAAACAAGTTCTCCGTATGAACGCCAAACTCAGCTTGCGGCACTCCCTCGAAATAGTTAACATAGGTGGTCCTGATGATGGCAAAGCAGACAACCAAGACAGGGCCAACATGAAAGAAAATTGAATGAAAACGATTGGTAGCAGTTGGTAGCCAAGTCTTACGAGAGTGTCGCACGTCAGCTGTTGTCCAGGTAAAACCAATACCGCGCATGCTGGTTTCGAGCTCAAGAGCCCAGGAAGCGCGATCCAAGAAATTGTGCGGCCAACCTTCTTCGCTTGTCGCTAGTTCGTAAACAGGCTTCATTTCGCTGAGGTTGGAAAGCTTTTTCTCGAGCACGTAATATGAGTCAGCCAGTGATCCACGACGAGCATGAGTGGCAGCATCGGAGACAGCTTCAGGAACACTTTGCTCATCGCTTTTAGCTTTAGCTGCATCTTTGGCTTGGTCCTGAGGCTCGTTATCGGCCTCGACTACTGCAGGTGTATGTGCTCGAGAGATGTGCTTGTAGCGAACACGACGAGGTATGTGCCCAAAGCCATAGGGACTGATGAAGAATGCATCTAGAACTCTGCATCCACCATAGAGACCGACAAGAGCGAGCTGGTAATTAAGTCCGATGCTTTGAGGAACGTAGTAAGCTAATGGCAGCCGGAAGAACAAGACTCCGGCTAGCAACGCCAGGGCATTCCGAAGTAACTTGATCGCAACAGTATCAATGGACTGCGGCGGAGGAGGCGGTAAAAATAGCAGGGCAAGGAAATAGATTATCGGAGGAAGGACGGCAGCCTCGAACGTCAAGGGTTTTGTGTTCGGAACAGGCTGCAGGCCGGGTCTCGGTGTCGCGTCAAAGAGGGAAGACAATAAGGATGACATGGTGATCTGTACCACATCACCATACGGAAGACGGTTGATGGCGCTTAAAAGAGCTTCCATCCTGATGGTTTTTGGTCCATGGAAAAACAATGAATGGAAGATGTCATCGATGAGAAACGCTCTTGGGGTGCGGGCCGACGATCGGGCCGCGCGATCGGCCCACCCTTTGTCCCTTCCTTTCTCAATCTCTGCTTCCTATCCTGCCAACGGATATACCATAAAGTGAATATCGTGTAGAGCAACAGTCGGATTTAATGGCTTCGCATACCAACAGTGCAGCACTAAGGGTCACCTGGACATCGACCCGACACCTGCCGATAGCGTGGCTGACACGACGCAAGCAAGCCCTGGCATCTGTTTCATCATCTTACAATCCGCCTTGGCTTAATCCTTGGTATCGCTTGTGTTCCTTCTGCACCCTCCTTATCTTTGACTGATGCGACAGATCCCTCGCCGACACCTCTGAAGAGGCTGTCATGGTCTCTACGCTATCGACTTACGAGAGCTTTGAGTTCGACCCTTCCCAGTCGAGCGCTACAAGCGAGAAAAGATTGATCACGCACTCAAATGCTGCTTTCGCGCGGTCTGCAAGGCATCTGAAGGATGTTGATCAACACCGCTTTACAGCAAGCAGGAGCGGTGTCAGGCTGAGTAACGCACCAATCGACTGCGACTAAGTCAAGAAGGATTCGGTGCAGGTACCTTGCTGTATATGAGCCAGTTCCTTACTATTGGTTCTAAGTCCTCTTGAAGCCCTACCTGGATTATACCACAGTACTTCCGCGACAGTGGTGGACAACCGCAGCACACTGTATACGTCCTTCCAACCCCGCGCCGGATTCTACCCCTATGCCCTCGGAAACAATATGTCACGAGCCGCGCACTGTAACCCCAATCTTCAGGTTGCATGCTAGTCCTGAACAACTACCAATGCGATGTTTCGCTGCACCTGTAGCTTATGCTGATCTCTGCTTGCGGGGTTGGCCATGTGCAGAGCGACCGACACCAAGAGCAATCCTTCAAATCCGGCGACATGAGCAAGAGCATCCCACACTGTATTTAAATTGTCTCATTGCGCCCTGAAATCCACTGTGGCTTTCACTCTTCTCCACTAACAATTTGATGCGACACCTAAATCAACAGTATGTATAAGATCGGTAACATCTACTACATTACGGCCATCTCGGTCATTGGAGGTGGATTGTTTGGCTTCGACATCTCATCTATGTCGGCCATGTAAGCAACCTCGGACCGTCTCTGGATCTCGAGCTGACTATCAAAGTTTGGGCACCAACCAGTACAAATGCTACTTCAATCAGGGTCCTGTTGGCCCACCATTTACTGACGACCCAGAGTGCTCCGGCCCAAAAGCAGACGTACAAGGAGGAATTACTGCTGCCATGCCAGGTGGCAGTTTCATTGGTGCTCTAGTTTCGGGCTTCCTCACTGACTGGCTGGGTCGAAAAAGAGCTATCCAGATCGGAGCTGTCATATGGTATGTTCTGAAAAGCAAATAAGTGCTGCGACTACTGATAAGGTCCAGGATCATTGGTTCAATGATTGTTTGTTCGTCACAGAACATTGGCCAACTTGTCGTCGGTCGGTTCATAAACGGTTTGTCCGTAAGTTCGACGATACTGTCGATACATGAATGATACAACTCTCTGACACAAAGCGTTGCAGGTCGGCATCGAGTCAGCTCAAGTTCCTGTCTACGTCGCTGGTATGTTGGTGCTGAAACAAGTACGGGATTATGTTACTGACTTCGAGGTAGAGCTGGCCCATCCCAGTAAACGAGGTCGAGTCGTGGGAGCGCAGCAATGGGCAATCACTTGGGGTGAGAGGCATTCCGTTTCGGACATTTTTTGGAGGACTGACATTGTCTCAGGCATTCTAATAATGTTCTACATCTCCTTCGGCTGCTCATACCTCGATGGTGCAAAAGCATTTAGGGTACCGTGGGGACTGCAAGCGCTGCCAGCTGCTTTCCTCCTGATCGGGTTGTTCTTCTTACCTGAAGTATGTGTCTATTGTCTGACGACCTGCTGTAGTGCTGACATCGACATCGTCCAAAGTCCCCTCGTTGGCTAGCTCGCAAGGATCGCTGGGAGGACTGCGAGAAAGTCCTTGCACTAGTTCATGGTCATGGCGACCCCAATAGCCCTTTCGTCAAGCGTGAATTACAAGAGATCCAAGAGATGGTCGAGTTTGAGAGACGCAACCAAGATGTCTCGTACTTTGAGCTCTTCAAGCCGCATATGATCAATCGAACCCACATTGGCGTATTTACTCAGGTGAGTTGAATATGAATTTGAACTCGCCAGTTTGCTGACCGGTTCTAGATATGGTCACAAGTAAGTCGAGCGCCACGAGGTTTCAGTTTGGGATGCTGACATTAGAACGAAGTTGACTGGTATGAATGTCATGGTGAGTTATTTACACTTTTCAACCGTCCTCTCACGCCCATACGATGTTCTCTCGAACAGAAGAAAACAAGCAAGAAAAGCAAAAAAATCAGAATCATATCCTGACACTCCTCTAATAATCACACCATGCTATAAGCAGCCTCTTACATGATTATCATGCTGATTTTCGGTGCCGATGTACTACATAACGTATCTATTCGGCATGGCAGGTCTCAAGGGAAACAACAATCTCGTCGCTTCCTCCATCCAATATGTCATCAACGTCTTCATGACCATTTTCGCCTTGATTTTCATCGATCGCTGGGGTAGAAGGCTTCCATTATTGGTCGGAAGTTTCTTCATGGCGCTCTGGCTCTTCATCAACGCTGGTCTTATGGCTTCCTATGGTCATCCAGCACCGCCTGGTGGTGTGAACAACGTCCCGGAGGAAAGTTGGCAGATCTCTGGACCACCGTCCAAGGCTGTCATTGCTTGCACCTATCTCTTCGTGGCATCTTGTGAGTCTATCTCGAGATCTCCATCATCCCTGGAAGCGTTTATGATTGTCGTGTGCTGGCGTATCATGTTCTTTGTTCTATTTTCTTTTTTCTTCTGTTTCGCCCTCTTTTGTCTACCTTGACTGACCATCATGTTTATACAGTCGCACCCACCTGGGGACCCGTATCTTGGATCTATCCACCAGAGCTGTTCCCCCTGCGAGTCAGAGGCAAAGCAGTAGCTCTCTGCACTGCTGCAAACTGGATCATGAATTTTGCCTTGAGTGAGTGCCGTTGTGCTGGATGGACAACACTGCCATCGCACAAGAACAACCCCTGCTTTCTTGCTCGATGACCGCACTGGAACGATATACTGACACTCTTCATTCCAGGCTACTTCGTCCCGCCCGCCTTCGTCAACATTCAATGGAAAGTCTATGTCGTGTTCGGCGTTTTCTGTGTTACCATGTTCATCCACGTCTTCTTTTGCTTCCCAGAGACGTCCGGAAAGAGTCTTGAAGAAGTGGAAGCGCTGTTCCAGCAGAAGATTCCGGCCTGGAAGACTAGGGTGCAATACCAGCATGTACGTGCTTTAGAGCAGAATCGCGCCGACGAGAAAGTTGCAGATATCGAAGCCAGTCCTGAGAGACAAGTCACAACGGGTGAGAAGCCGATCTCTTAGATCGGCATTCTGGAGGATGATTACAGTCTTGGTGTTGACAATGATCTGGGAACATCGGCCGACTGGCTCGGTTTAGCCTCTCGTTGCTTGCGCTCGTGATGATCGGTCTTCACTCGTTTGACTTCATCTTGTCTTACACAGTTGAGCTTTTGATGCGATGCTTATGATGAGAAAGGGAAGGAGCTATGGAGTTTGAGGTCAAGGTTGTCAAGTTGGTGATTCGTATTTGGGAATACTGTTGTTGCTTTCCCATATTACTGTATGGCACTTTTACTGGTTCTGCAACTTGAACCACTTGTACATGACATCCATCTTAATCTCCATTTGCTTGCACTTCTTCTTTTCCTCGGCGAGTTCCTTCTTCATCTGCTCGATCTCCTGCTCAAGTCTCTCCACTTTCTCTTCGGCGAAATTGGTCTTGCTGGACATCACAGAGATCTCCCAGGCTTGGTGGGTGATGGCCAGGAGAGTGGCTTCTGATGCCTGTTTGGTGGTGATGGCATCGTAGATCTGCTCGGCGCACTGTGATGGTATTAGTGGGAGGGATCTTTGTAGTGCGGCAATGATGGAGCTTACGAGGATGGTGGTGCGGGACTCGAGGGCGCGCACGCGGGTGTCGAGGTTGGTGACATCGTCGCGGAGGGGTCTTTGTGGATTCATGGTGGCAGGGGGGGTTGCGAGCAGGGGATGTGGTTGGCCAGGGGATTGGAGAGAAGCACGAAAAGTTGTTGTTGTCGAGTAGGGATAGGTGGATGGGTGAGTTTTGTTAGAATGTCTTCACTGAATCCCGAGGGCACATGGTTCGCAAAGTGTGAAACTCTGCGGTGCTACAGTCTGGAGATGTGATGATCTTTGAACTACCAGATCTCCCACAGACAGCATCGGAGCAGTTTAGCTTTATGAAGATTCACGATGGTTTCAGGGAAGGGTGAACGGCCAGAGAGAGTCTTCCACGGTATCGGGCTTCCTTGGAAAATTCCTGCTCTATATAAGCACTGTGCATTTCTATGACTATACCCTGCATCACCTTTCCCTGGGAGATAGAAAGCAAGGTTCGATGAGGGCATTGCATGACAACAAACAGCGCTGTGCCTCTCCCATAGACAGCATAAGGGTCACGTATCACTATAAAAAGACAAGATAGTATCAAGAGACAGACAACTGTCCAGAGAGACAGAGACAGGACACTCCTTGGAGTGATCGAACTCGTTACGGAAGATCAGACAATTGATCTCGAAGTATATGTATAGTATGGATAAATGGTGATCATGCTGAATCTGGCGCGACATGAATTTGCCAAAATCGCTGATAGAGCTCAGGCATTTCTTGTGTGCCATTAGAGGTACTGTCGTAGTCGGGATGCGTGACCTCTAGAGCGAGCAGTCCTGTCCGCCTGTGTGCCTTTTGGAAGAGCATGAACTCTTCCGTTACGTTGACGTACATTCTCACGCCGTCTATTACATCGATAGTCGATCCAGTTGTCCAGCTCAGTAGCGTGGGCTCTATTAGAGGAGCATCCGTGACTGAAGGATGTGATGTACCCAAGGAAGTCATGAACCAAGCCGCTTTTCCACGCTTGTTGACATCCATAACAAGGTCTTTCACGACGGTGAAATGAGGCTGACCAAAGAAGATGGAGTGCTTCTTCGACCATGAGTTGGAGTGAACGATCAAGATTGGGACATCGATGTCGTGGTTGAGAGGGCCGCTCGACTTGCCAGGATCCAGAATAAGACCACCATGGAAGGGTCGTTCTGGGCAAGGCGCGCCCTTCAAGGCCTGTAGAGCTCCTGTGGCGCCGTAGCTGTGGCCAGAAATGGTTACGTTGGTCATGTCAAGTTTCCTCTCCCAGTTGGGCAGGTCATCACCCTCCTTGCGAGGGTTCATTTCGAGAATAGTGGCGCCACTGCCGTCGTTGATGGCGCGCAGCACCCGAACAGTCTCCTCAATCTCTGCTTGGCGGAAGTCCAGTTGTGCTTGCTTGAGCTCAGGCGTGTCGAAGCTGTTGTCCACATCCAAATCGCCGAGGCCGAAGTGATACACTGACCTTTCGGTGCCATCAACGTTCATGACCATGCTTCCGGGACTGCTACCATCCCTGTGCTCGATAGCAGCCACGACATATCCTCGACTAGCAAGCTCACCGCAGAAGTGTGTGTAGTCTGTGCGAGAGCTTGCCATGCCGTGGGAAAAGACAATCACGGGGAAACCATCGTTTCCTACCTCTGGCTTGCCCTCTCCATGCTCGGTGAATTCGAAGCTGGGCGCAGTTTCTCGTAGAGGCACATCGACATTCGCTTGAATGGCAGTGCTGCCCGCGATACCCCAGAGTGCGACGGTGAAAATACTGTTGGTTAGGAAGTTGCTGATGTGGGCGAATTTCGCATAGCCCTCTGCTGTGATTGAGAGCGGCTTAGGCACCCAAAGATGTTTCGGCTTATCAGACTTTGCTCCCTTCACGGCTGGGTAGTATACAGAAAACAATACTGTTTCAAGCTACGAAAAATGTTAGCAAGCTCTGTTGGTCGTTTAAGCGTCATACATCAATACCAAGAATGCAGGTTCGCCCGTCGACTTGAATTTGACGTCGCTTGTCTTTCGGCCATCGCAAGGACTCTCAATATCAATCACGCCAACAGAATGCGGCCCCGTATATGCGGGGAGGTTCGAAGACAACAAAGGCATTCCCCACAGCCAGCAGTAGACAACGTAGATGGCAACAATAGAGGAGGCAACGTATTTGGGCGTCAGGCGCGGTCGAAGAATCGGCGGTAATCGGAAGCGCGACATGATCAAAGGAACATGGAAAATATGTATGGGAGACAAGAAGATTTAGAACAAAAGCACGGATACTTTGAGTAAATAGGAGGGTAAAAGATATGTCGAGATCATGGCTTCATTTCGAGGTCTGACTTTCGGCGTGTGAGGCCGCGGCGGCTGGGAAGATGATGTCATGGTCGTCTCATTTCGCGTCGGCCGAACGTGGAGGGCTCCTTTTTCCTTCAACTCTCTCTCTCTCCATCGGACGCGTGTCTTACTGCTTAAGCCTATACGATAAGTTATTCGAGTCTCCTTCTGAATACTTGGAAGCCGTGACAAGGTTTGTCGTGGTCCCTGCCGCGCCAGCAACGATCACCATCTCACCGTCTGCCTCAACGATCCGTGCTGGTGATAGCGAGCGAGTGGCAGGCTACAGCGATTAAGGTTCCGATTGTGAACACAGCCTGTTGTCCAGGTCATCCTGTGTTCACGAGTAGATAAGGGTCATCGGATCGCGATGTTCATCTAAGACGGACAAAATCGTGGTCCCCGACTATAGAAGCAGCGGGCGACTTCCGTTGTCGCTACGGTCGAGTAGGTAGTTCCTTCCCGAGCAAGATGCATGGCAGAATAGAGGAAAGGGCACGACCTGCCTGACGCCCAGTCTGCGGTCGAGTATGCACATCGAGATTGTCGTGACTCCGTCCTTCTATCGACAGCTCGTGAGGAAGGTGCATGCACGCAGTACTGCAATGCAACCACATGCTCACCCTCAAGTCCTGACCACCCGGTAATATAACTGTGGCTGAACAATACTGCCAACACTCTGCTCCTTGCCCCATCTGCGAGACAGTCGTCGACGTACCAAAAGTCCACCACGAACGTGTTCTGGAGCAACAACGTACAACGCATCGATGGCTCTTCCAACCACTTCCTTGTTCGCGATCATCATTTTTCGTCTCATGAACCTTGCGGCTCGAGTAGCACTCTGGTTCATCCTCACATCGGGCTTCTTTGACATCCGGATCTCGTTCGGTGACATGTGGCTCTTGGGCCTCTTCGGCTTGGTCTGGATGATAATTCTGCACGCTATGTACGATCAAAGCTATGTAGCTGCCTGCATAGCAAATCCTGGAGCCGAGCCTAGTTACCAAGATGTCTTTCATACCTTCATTACTCTCATCGATGCGTACATGTGGCTCGAATAGCAACCACCATCACAGAAGGTCACGATCATGTAAGAGGTCAGTCATTGTGCATGTCCCGAAGGCGGTTGATCAACACTGACTGCTAACATCAATAGGTCCACCACATGACAATCATATAGTGAAGAGCTACAATGACTAGCATCATCGTTCTAGACCAGAGTCGCTGTTGACTGCATGAAATCGACTTCACTTTCATCCTGGACCCTGACAGCTTCCTGCACGCAGAAAAACTGAATTTACTCTGTTCTTTACCACGCTTCGAACCATCTTCTCCTGTCTACAAGCTTCAACATCCTTCTCCTTCCTCAAGCCAACATCGCCGTCCTCGCGACGCAATCGATCAACAAACACATACCAAACACCATTAACATGAGCGTCTTCGAAACCGTCATTCGCTTCTCCGTCCAGCACATTGGACCCAAGACGACCTACGAGATCTTCACCACTCTTATCTTGCTCTATGCTCGTCTCAACCAAGTCAAGGTCTTCTTCAGCAGCCCTGGCCTCTTGGTTTGGCTGATGATCCCCATCATCGCCGCCAGCATAGTCATCTCACTCACGTTCTCGTCGGTCTACTTGCGCTTCGGCTGCCCTATCGCTGCGCTGATCATCCTGAAGCTGGCCATCGATGCTGAAATCGCCTCGACTGTCTGTTATTAAGTTCTCTGCTTGCAATGTCAAATGTTGCTTCAAGGACTATGAATCATCCAACAAGGTAAGAATAGATGCACCCCCACTTGAGAGAACATCACTGATCCGTACCTAGCGCCTGTCTGACATAACTTAAGTTACCATCATCGCCTATTGTTCATCTTCGGCTGCAGAGAGGGGAGGAGGAACGCACTCTTGGTGTGTTACAGGTGGAATAGTGGACTGAGAAGCACGAGGAAAGCATATTGTCGTCAATCGAAAATCACTGTCACCCTCTGGGATTCAGATATCTCTTCCATCGTTGTCGCCGCCGTGAATGCTATGAAAATGCAAGAAGCAATTGAAACTCTATGCCGTGTTCAGAGAGAGTCTTTCTGTTGCCGTGCTTCCTTGGTCTTGCTGTGTATACAAACACCACGTTGCATTTCTATAACAGTCAGAAGCTCTGGTCATGTCTTCGGAGAGCAGAATTCGTCTTCCATCCTCCATTGGGTACTGGTACTCGCGTGGATCGGGCTTCTGGTCGGTAGTAGCTATCCCCTTTCTACCGCTACCCTAGCTGTATATCCTATAGAAACGCGCGATGAGCTGCAGATGCATCGAAACGTTTTGGGAAAATGACCTCTGGCTCATGCGAGTAGATTCCGGGCTTATCACCAGTACCAACATCACCTGTCGCTCCTCTTGCAGTACACATTACTGGATGTAATATAGAAATGCACAGTGTGATTTGGAGACACAGCAACGTCCAAAGAAACATTTCGATTCGATTCCTGCATTTGCAAAGGGGTATCTCTTATCATAACTTCATTGCTGCCTTTCCTTTCACCACCCTCCATGCGCCCTCAAAGACCAAACTCAATGCACTCACTGCATCTCGAATCTAGCCATCAACTCCGGAAACAGCTTTCCCACCTTCGGCTTCTTCATATTTTGCTTCAATGGATCCAGAGGATCGACAGACTCAACAAATCTAACCTTCTTCTTTTGCCGNGAAGAAGTGATGGGTGTGCCTTGAGTGCCAGTAGAAGTCTTTGGGGGCGTAGTGATCCAGGCGTCGTCTTTTCTGATGGGTGTGCTGGGGGCGCGGGCGCGGGGAACCCAGTGTGCGTCTTTTGTGATGGGGGTGGGAGGGGTGCGAATGATGTTGGGGGAGGGTGGGTTGGTGGTGGGTTTCTTGAGGATAGGGGGTAGAGGAGCACGAATGTTGTTGCCAGAAGTGCGAGGAGTNGCGTGGGGGATAATGATCAGTTTCACATCCTCTCGCTTGTAGGAGCGCATCTCGATTGCTTGAGCTGTGTGACAGCCGTTCTTTTCGCCGGTCCTGAGCCTTAAGTCAGTAAGTGGGAAGGCGCAGGAACGGGCAAATCAGGGGTGAGCAAAACTTACACGACCTTCTCGGATGTGNTAGGCGAGGATGCCGTGGCAGACCGATTTGTGTTCGTCGCAGACGTCGGGGCTGTGTAGGAGCAGACGAGCCACGCGCTGAGAAGAGGCGATGTCGTTGGCGGCGAGGAAGTCTAGGGCGCAGATGATGAGGATGCCGTAGGCCTTGATGTGTGGAGGGATGGCGCTATCGTCTGTGGCGGACCAGCTCGTAGTTGTAGAAGTGTCACCCATGTTGAGGGTGTCTTTGCGTGAAGTCGTTGTTTTGGAGACGCGATGGTCGAAGGTGGTCAGGGATGGAAGAGGAACAGTGTTGTGTGTGAAAGATCCGCTCACGAAATGTCTCGAGCAAAAGGGTTGGCACAAGTGAAGGTGAGTGAAAGTTCGTGGGCAAGAAAAAAAGGATATGATTGTTTCTTCCAAATGCTAGAGGAAAAGTGCTTGATCAAGGCTTGTACGAAATGGAAAGAAAAAGATTGATAGAGTTATCGTTCATCCCTCGAGCCTCGTTCCTTACACCATTGCATCAACCTACGCACGCGTGCGACTCTGTCCGCTACGTTTAGCAGGCGGCACCACCGCTGGGGATGTTGGTGCATGCAGTGGACTTCTTGCCACCAGTGACAGAGTTGCCACTCCAAGTCCAGTTGGAGCAAGAGCCCTTGCCGCAGAGAATGTAGATGTCGGTGGCAGAGCTGGTAACTGTGCCAGTGTTCTTAGTCATGGTCAAGCCAGTGNNCTATTGAGATTGTCAGTCAAATGGTCCGCCTTTCCTTTGTGTAAAGGATGATTCTTACATTGGGACACCGGTGGTAGGGACGCCAGTAGGGCTGCCGTTCTCGTAGTCCTGCTCGATGACAATACCGTACTTCTTGATGCCGGAGAGAGTGTTTCCGCTGTATGTGACACCGGACACGGAACCAGTGGCGCCAGAGACAGTCTTGATGCGGATACCGTTGTCACTGTTGATGACCTTGTTGTTGAGGAACTTGACATCGCTGACAGTGTTGTCGTCGCGGCCGCCGACGGAGCCGACAGAAAGACCGTGGCCACCAGTGCAAGAGCCGCCGGAGAAGGTAATGCCAGCTAGTAGTGAGGGTCAGCAGTGTGCAAAGGGCGACGGAGGGATTGTGATAAACTCACAGCCAGAGTTGATGGCAACACAGTCATCCTGGTTGTGAACGACAGCGTTGGTGATGGTAACGCCAGTCGAGCTTCCGATGTCGAAGGCATCTNNATGTCTTGTAAGATAATTGTACCGACCGTGTCGGGGTAGGGCAGGAAGCATACCGGTGTTGTGTCCGAGGCTGTCTCGNGCGGAGCCATCGATGGTGATAGAATCCATGGTCAAGGTCTTGGCTCCGTTGATGGAGAAGGTCTGGACGGGAGAGTTCTTGATGGTGAGTCCATTGCTGTGGTTTTGTTAGCCACTGCTTGTTATCAAGTGCACTGCAAGATGTGCTTACATGGACGAAGTGGTCAAGCTGTGAGCATAGAAGAACTTGGGCTTGGTCTTGCCGCCGTTGGAGCCTTCGCCGTCCCACCAGCGAGCACCGTCACCATCGAGGACACTGCCAGAGGCACCGGTGACGGTGATGGAAGTACCGGAAACACTGACGAGAGGACCTGCCCACTCCTTGTAGCCGAAGGTGGTGGTTCCCTGGAAGATGACGTGTGTGCCAGTCTTCAGACCAGTGAGGTCGAGGGTGGTACCGGCAGGGACAGCAACGTTGTTGAGGACAATGGTGGCGCAGGCAGCCTTGGACTGGGTGGCAGATGCAGCACCGCTGGAGCCGCTGAAGGTGCAAGTTGTGGCGCGCTTTTCAAGGGGAGAGGCTGCGGGAGCAGCAGAAACCATGGCAGCACCGCCAATGGCAGCTGCGACGAGGGAAGAGAAGTGCATATTGAACGAAAGTAGTAGTTGGACAGTAATAGGGGGTTGGTTGGTGAGAAACGAAAGATTGTTGAGAAAAGTACTTCAAGGCCGGCTTGAGGAAGTTGATTTGTGTTGCTTGGTCTGTCAATGTGTTGGCGGTCACCTAGATACTTATACCTTGTCTCTTACGTGCGAGATTGTTTGCCCTATACCGACTTGTTTCGTTAACCGTGGTTTTGCCCTACTGTCAATCTCGCTCGCCCTCGAGGCTCGTGGCATCGTCAGTTCTCTAAAGCCGTCGCCATAGCGTGGAAGGCTATAGTTGACTTGATGGATTTTTCCGTCCAATGAGGCAAGTCGGCAACTCGGCCCAGGCTGTTTGCAGCAATATAGCGAAGTGATCTCCTCTGTAGAAGGCCCTTTTCGTCGGCAGAAGCTGTCAAAATTCCTCGAGGCCGGACGATGGTGAAACAAAGAGGGGGAGCAACGAGTTCTACAGCCGCCTTTGAGGCATCCAGCCGGAGCCATCTTCTGCACGGTGCGCCAAACAATGTGGGGAAAAACGTCTGGGGAGCAAGCAAATTAATTCGCAACACGCGGGATTTTTTCATCAATGCATGCGCCTATCACATCAAGCCTCGCTAAGCATATCAGACAAGCCTGTCACTGACCTTTAGATTGAGCGCATAAGTCCCGGCCTAGGGGCCTTGTGTTTGTTGTATAGTGAGAAGGCCATTGTGGAGATGAGGCGTGCGTGGCACTGAGAGCCTCAGTGGCTGGGAAAGCATCAAATTCACGGTCTCGTACAACTCGAAGCAGAGACCTTTAGGGCTATCGAATCGATTATCTTGCATTTGAAACCCCTGGACCTGTGCTCTTCTTACCAGCATAAAAGCGGGAGGATGAAGAAGCAGCAAAGGCACGGCAGCACACGAAGCCGATACCGTTCTTGTGATCAACTGCCGATCGTCGACTGCACCCTAACGTCCAGGGCGTATACTGAACACCCAATAGTGTAACTTCTCAAAACAGCGAGGGATGTACTCGTTTAGCGATGGAAACTGCCATTTTCCACGAGTCGGAGAACGGCCTGCAAGATTCGATCAATCTTTGCAAGTCTATCTAGGCACGAAGTAGATCTGCAAACTCTCTCCTCTAGCACGTAGGTCGATCTGGAAGCCATCAGAACGCAAGATGGACTACGAACCGAAGCTGTGTCCAAGGAGAGTCGAAGGATTGCTGGCTCCCACTGGGACTCATTCTGTAACCCACAAGTATTGTGTATTCTTATAGCTACATATGTGCGGTACATGGAGAGGGGGAGAACCGTGACTGCCTGTTTCCTCCACACCGCAAAGCATAGGTGATAGTATACTGTAAAAATACAGAATGTGATACAATGTAGCAGACGCACCATAGAGAGCCATAACTGCAACCACATTTCGACAGGCTCTCGTTGGACATCGATACATCTCGTAGAACATTCTGTGTTTTTTATGGATGACTATCATGGTGAGACGAAAGATGGGAGCGAGGTAACAATCTTCATTTCATTTTCTCGGCGAAGCTACGATACATGATTGTGCAGTTTCACGGCACCCGAACGCGCCTTTCATCCCAGGGGAGTGCTCAGTGGTGAGCAAAGAATAGGTAGTGAGCCACTCCCAGCAAACCCACACTGAAGACCAACCAAGATTTGACCTCCACCTGCTCACTTCCGTTCAGACCCCACATCTGCGCAACCTCCTGCGGAATGGTGAGGCTAGTGGCAGCTACGCTAGGGGTCGAAGCCGAGACGACCAGTGAAGTTGTGGTGGCAGTGACAGTGGTGCCAGCGTGCTTGGTAGTGGTCGAGGTAACTTCCTGGAAGTCGGTAGAGATGACTTCTTGGAGGGATGTAGAGGTGACGGGAGCAACGACAGTGCTCAGAGATGTGACGACCACACCGTCGACCTCAGTCGAGTAGATGGTGGAAGTGAGTTGGATGGTCTGCACGACCATGCTCTTCAGCTCGACAGAAGGATCGTACTCAGCATAGGCGGAAGAGCCGAAGGCAGGACCATGAGGCGCGAAGCCAGGCTGAGTGGCGATGTTGACCGAGGTGGTCACGGTGTGATAAACCGTCTTCGTGACGGTGGACGTAGTGGTAGAGTAGGTACCGTTCTGGGCGTGGACTAGTGCTTTCAGCGCATCCACAAACACAAAGGGCGATTGATAGATCTTCTCAATTACCTGTGCTGAGTAGCGCAGCCAGAACAAAGGCGAGGATGGCGAGGATCTTCATTGTGGCTTCTGTTTGGTGTGAATGCTTTGTGTGATGAAAGGAAGGATGTTTCAGTGGCTCTGGGCAGATGGTAAAGCTTGTGCAGGTTCAAGAGCAGAAAGAAAATTTAGTGGTTGGATTTCCTGTTTGGTCAAGCGAAGATACACAGTGAAGTCGACGCAACCACTTTGTGCAGCTTTGGAGGTTGTTGGACAGGGAGAGCGACGTTCAAGTTTGGTCCTCGAACGCTCAAGTCACCGAAAGCTTGCACTTCAAGCACCATGCTCTGCAGCCAGTTCATGACACCGCTTATCTCTCTTCTTTCTTGCCCTACTTATTCGACGGACAAAGTATCACCAGCGTACATTTAGAGCATTGCTGCGCGTCAAGAGTCACATGCCAGCTCCGTGATGTCTGAGCATTGCAATCGCCCGACCGGCTGCGTTCAAGCAGATCTTCTTCAAAGCATGGAACGTGACCTCCAAACGCAAGAAAGAGACTTTCAGGAGACTTCCTTCTACCATACAGTCCTGCTGAACGCACATGCTACCGAGAAAGCATGAGTCACGACGTGCTGGCGAGTCCTGAGCCCAGCAGATCGCCTATCTTAGAAGACTTCGCTGCAAGCAGGCCACCATTACATTGACCTCGCAGTCAGCTACCAATGTCCGGACTTGACAAAGTAGCGCCATCCATCCTATCTGGGAGGCTGTGGAAGGAGTTGAGCATGGTCTCGGTCGTGGTAGCCTCTTTGCAAGAAACGATGGGTATGCCGAGTCGCTGATGAATGCTCAAGGGCCAGATTACCGTACTGCTTGTATCGTAGTCCTTAGATCTGATTTGCCAACAGGGTCGCTGCAATGGTGAAGCTGAACACATCTTGACCAAGTCGCGTCTTTGTGCTCGAGAACATTCCTCGAGGGTCGAGTCTCCACCATCGTAACACCACTTTTTCCTTTACCAGGCGGGCCATCGCGAAACACGAGGTGACCTCGGGAGACGAACGGCAAGCCACAGGAGTAATTTCGGACGACAAAAGCCATTCAGAGTTGTTCGACAAATTCGAAGACGGAAGCCCAGGAAGACGGGAAGTCACATCGGCATGAGGTGTCATCGCCATTCCTTGCCTGACCGCCCGGCAGTCGTCACCCACCCGCCAACACGTCCCTTCCCGAATCATCCTCGGACGACATATCAAGACACCAATAAGAGAGCAAAAAAATGTAAGAAGAGTACCACGAGGAAGGAGCAGGAGTTTTCGCAAGCGACGCTGCCATCAAGGTGCTGTGGAGCCAAGTTCTCCTTACTCAACAGTCTCGTCGCACGAAAACAGCAACGGACGCGACAATCCATCGAGTACAGCGCGTTGCTGACCACTCATCGTACCCTTCGGCTATTTGTTCTACAAGTTCAGTCTATTAGATGCTGTGCACGGGTGCTATGTCTGCCATCAAGGTAGATATTTCGCTCCACCGCGAAGGTAAGTGACCAATCATGGGTTAGCAGAAATCATCAAGGTGGTCGTCAGGCACTTCACAAAGGTCAGCATTTATAGCAGCCGATTGCGTTTCTCTCCAACATCATGGCTCCCAAACGCAAGCAAAACTCACAGCAGGCATCTTCGGCGAAGAAGAAGATCAAGCACACCCAAATGACACGACAAGTCGAAGAAGCATCGCCTTTCAAAAATCTTCCCATCACGCTATTGTCGGGGTTCNTTGGTCAGTCCAACGTATCAGTCATCTGATAACATCATCTTATGTTGCAACAGGGAAGCGGAAAAACAACACTTCTCAGCTACATCCTCAACTCAAAAGACCATGGACTGAAAATCGCGATGATCGTCAACGACATGGCCGCTGTCAATGTGGATCAAGGCATCATAGTAGTAGACGGAAAGAAGAAAGGTCGAGAAGCAGAGAAGATGATCGCCATGCAGAACGGATGCATCTGCTGCACGCTTCGTGGAGACTTTGTCATCGAGCTAGCCAAGATGGCCAAAGCTGGTGAATATGACTATGTTCTGATCGAGAGCACTGGCATCAGCGAGCCGCAACAGGTCGCCGAGAGCTTTACTACAGACTTTACTGAGGCAATGATGGGGGCCGATGGAGCTCTCGACCAGTTCGACGAGGATGAGAAGAAGGTCTTTAACGAGATGTGAGTATTTGATGTGGCTCTCGACTCATTCGTGTTGTCTCACAAATTGGCCAGTGCCCAGAATGGTGGGCTGAACAAAGTCGCCACACTCGACACCACAGTTACGGTTGTGGACGGTTTCAGGTTCTTCGAGGAGTTCGAGACTATTCAGCTTTTGCACGAACGCTTTCAGTCGGAGGTGGAAACGCCAGAGGACCAACGCACTGTCAGCGACTTGATGATCGATCAAATAGAGTTCGCCGACGTGATTATTATCAACAAGGTGAGTGACGGCTACATCAATCAGTTCGTCATGTCACTAACAGCTCTCTGANTTGACATGATCAACGACGACGTGCTAGCTCGCATTCGTGGGCTCCTCAAAACCATGAACCCCGGAGCAAAGGTGATCGAGACCAGCCTTCGAGCATCGAAGCGATCCGAAAACCCGTATGGCGTCAAGCCTCTGGACGTCAAAGAAATCATCGCTACCGGCATGTATAGCGAAGAGACCTCGATCAAAAGCTCCGGTTGGCTCAAGAGTATCAACGAAATGTCCATGATTGACAATCATGGTCGTACGGTCATGGCGCCCAGGCCAGAAACGCTCGAGTAAGTGGCCAGCCTCAAACACACCTCATCAGTACTGACGTCGTGCCAGANNTATGGTATCAACAGCTTTGTCTACCGAGCAAGAAGACCTTNNTTCTCGCCTGGTCGCCTGTACGAGCTAGTCCATGATAAGTTTGTAATTCTGGAGCCACAAGACGAAGACGACGAGGAAGATGAGGATGAAGATGAAGATGACAGCCAAGAGCACGATGGTGCAGGCAGCGAATCTGAGAGCGATGAGAATGAGGTCGACGAGTCTCCGGACAGATCGCACTCCGACGCCGCTGTCCACTCATCAGGTTCTTCGAGCCTTAAATCAGCTTCCGACACTGATGCCACCTCCGTGGATTCAGACGACCAGGATGCGTTGGATACCAAGTATCCAGACCTCGATCTACCAACTCGATTAGCGAACAAGAAGGCCCACCCTGTATTTAAGCAGCTGCTTCGCTCAAAGGGTTTCATCTGGCTAGCCACTCGCCCTTTTGTCAGTGGCGACTGGTCGCAAGCTGGAGCAATGCTCACCGTTTCTGGTGGCCTGAACTGGTTCGCTGTAGTCCCAGAGGAGCAATGGCCTTCACCCAGCCAGGACGTTACAGATCTCATCAAGAAAGACTTTGAGGGCGAGTGGGGTGACCGCCGACAGGAGATTGTCTTTATCGGTGAGGGCATCGACGTCAAGGCCATCACAGAATTATTTGACGGTTGTCTCTTGAATGATGCAGAGATGAAGAAGTGGGAAAAGATCATGAAGAGGAAAGATTTGACTAATGAGCAAATAGAGAGCCTGCTGTGTAGGAGCTTTGAAGATGGATGGGAAGATTGGCGCAACCCTCTTGACGAGGAAGAGGCCAAGGGTCATGATCATGCTAGTCATCATCATCAATGAGAGCAAAAATCACATCAGAGGTGAGGGATAGGAGTACAAGAAAAGTATGTTACAAATTAGATATGGAAAAAGTAGTTCGAAAGAAAAAAATATGTTTTGTTATTAGAGACCCATAATCAAAATATCACCGTACCAGGGAAAATCAGGAGTGTGAGGAGCAATGCAACTACCTAGAGGGATCGGATTGTTCAAGAGTAGTAGAGTTTGCAGTAGTAGCAGTACCAAATCAAGTCCGCAGAGTAAGGCGTGAAAACACAAGGCATACCACAAGATCTGCATCTCGGAGTGTTGCCAAAGCGATCACTAAGAGTGATGTCAGTGGTGGTGATAGAAGTGTTCTTGTTGCACATCTTGGTATGTTTGTGGAGTCTTGTGTTTAGTTGTTGGTAGTTGTTGGCTGGTAGTGTTGGATCTGGTTTGAATATATGTTGATGGGATGCGTCTATGTATAGACATTCTCTAGAATGTTGTCTTGGATGTTGTCTCAAAGGGATTGTGTTCGTGAGAATAGATTTGTTGGGCTTACAAAGAGATTCGAGACAAGAGATATGGTTAAACAAAGAATCTCCGAGAAAGTTGAAAGACAGAGCAAACGATAATAATGAACTCGTGTGACAATGCTGATGAGAACTCCTCATCTTGGGGTTGGAAGTTGCGACAATTTGTTGCCAACGTGTGCCAATGCATTGAGGAATTCGACCCCTGTCGCGACTCGCGACTGCAGTTTGTTTACTTTTGTACCTTTCACTCTCCATCAGCGTGCAAAACTTGGCTGCGACCGCTTTTGTCAACACTACTTGGAAAGCAAATCCCTTTTCGCATCAGATGACATCGGCGTGAGCAGATCGCTGCTGCGCTGAGTTCACTCGACGTTGTCGACTTGAACACATTCACCACAATGCCAAACGATCCGCTGGACGTCCCTCAGCCCACTCGATTGCAAAGATGGCTCATACTAGCATCCATCAATCTTTTGAGACACTTTCGCAATCGCAGCGGCAGTGTACTAATGCTGACTAGCAACTTATGCGTAAAATACGGTGGCCGCCTTGACATCGTCGAGGCACAAACCATGCTCTTCATCGCCAAACACACCAGTATCCCTGTTCCGAAGGTATATTTTGCGTTCACCCATGAAGGATGCACTTACATCCTAATGGAGAGAATTAATGGTAAAATGGCTGCCTCAGGTTGGGTACACAGGTCAGAAGCTTCAAAACTCAAAGTTCTGGACAGTTTGAAGAAGATGGTCCTCGAGATGCGCAGCCTGACCAAGCAGAGCGATGCCATATGTAGCGTCAGTGGGNGGCCTTTGTTTGATCTTCGAATACCGTCAATGAAGGACCGGTTCGGACCTTTCAAGAGCGTTCAAGAGTTTCACGACCATTTGCGAAACGGCGCGCAAGCACACAGCGACGACAGTGAGGAATTTTCGAGACTTATAAGCTTGCACTCTCGAGATTGGGGTACTCCTACCTTTACTCACGGCGATCTGAGCAGTCTCAATATTCTCTTACGTGGCAACAACATCGTTGGTATCATCGACTGGGAGACCGCAGGATGGTATCCACCGTACTGGGAGTATACTACAGCCTGTCAGGTCAATCCACAAAACTTGTTCTGGAGAGATGAAATTGAAAAGTTTCTGGAACCAATGCCGGAAGCATTTGCAATGGAGCAAGTACGACAACGATATTTTGGAGATTTATTCTGAGAACACTAGACTCTACACAATAGTTTCTTTCTCTTGGATCAAGTCAAAAGTCGGTACACGTGAAGTGTCAAATTGGACTGTGCCGTCAAATCGATGCTGGTCTCTCTTCCTCTGGCAATATGTCATAGCTGCATCACGGACAGCTACCCACCCAACTACGCTAGTACCCAGAATATTCTTCGACATCTCAAGTTGAGAAAGCGCTTCTTTGATCCAAGCGACACAATTCCAGCCCTGCTGCCCTTGTCTTATGGGGATCTGTCGCAGCAGTTGAGCAAGCTTATCTGTATCTTCAATCTTGGCTATCAAAACCCGAACCAAAATCATTTGTGTGGGAGTCATAGATGTTTTCGCTTCTTCGAAAGCCCAGGCAGAGTCCGCTCCTTGGGTCGCACGATCTCGGGCGTGATATCGTACGCCTCTTGCGTCGTTGTTGTCGCTCTTGGGCCCCACCAAAAATGCCCAGTGGTAGCTAAACTCGGTTAGTCATTCGATGGTTCCTCTGGTGGTCCTGCATACGCACGTATCCTCTTTGCCTTCCATCTTAGCAGTTCCTGCCCGAACATAAAGCGCTACGTACAGTCGGGCTTTGTTTGACGGCATTATCGAGTTGGCAGTTGTTTGGTCAAGATCCACAGGACAGACTCGTGAATTCGATCGTAAATTCGTATGAGATGATTAATATTCTTGTCGCTTTAGAGAAACAGCTTGGTCAAACGGCAGGCATGTCCTACTTTTATAAGATCCTTCGGTACTGCGCCCGACTGAGAAGAACCACGGAAGTCATTCGAGCACATCCGATAGCCTGGGTACAAATCCTTGCCATCGCTTTGGAAACCCAATGGAGCCCATGTCATGTTCAGTTTGTAGCGTCTACTCGTCCAATCCACATCTCTGAAACGCAACTTCCAACAGCTTCGCGTCGTCAGCCATCTGATATAGACTTCAAGCGCCGCCACAGCGCTTATTCCTTCCGCTGCGTTGCACGAACATAATACCGGGTTAAACCATATGGACGGTATGGCGAATAGGAGAACGAAGATACCGCGGTCCCAGGAAAATCGTCTCAACCTCCCACAGGAATTGATAGTTGACTTTTGTGTCTTAGATTCGGTTCAACCACGCGTGAAGGCATGAATTTTGATAGCACGGAAGATGGTTCGAATCTTTGTTCATACAGTCAAGTGGGGGAGTCATGGCGTTTTTGAGCATGACAGAACTCATCTACCATCTTGCTCGTTGGCAAAAACACAAACTACGGTAAGAACGATAGCAGTTTGCATTTACTCATGTACATTCGTTTTAGATCTCGCACCATCGCACCTGCTTGACTAACCAGTCATATGGGGTCCTGCCTACTCTTATCCTATAGATTTGAGTAGGGAGCACCCGGAAGAAGATCGAATGAGTTCGAGGACTAGCTTGAAGACGATGGAGGCACGATGACGCACCTACGCAGTATAAAGCAGGGAGTGGAGACGAGACGATGCTCAACCCTCCCGCCTGAGAAAGAAAAAGGAAGTCATCAGGTCACCGTCCCTGTCCTCAATGACCTCGTTCCCTTATCCCTCATTACAGTCCCTAAAAGCAGGTGAATGATTGATGACGTTGTTTAGTGATTGTGTATTTTGTCTACTGCGCACCCATACCAACACCTTTTCTTCTCGCCGCTTGCACCGCCCTCAAACACCTCCCCACGGCCTCCAAGTCACCTAGTAGAGTAACATGACCGCGCTCTGAGCTCACCAGTCCACCCCTAGCGACTTGATACCCATCAGGCAGCATGGCAGCCTTGGCAAGCACAACGCCATCGCCTGACGCAAATGCCAGATTGTCGTATGCGGAGGCGTGTTTGATGGCTTCTCTGCTAACCACCTTGGCACCGTATACCGTAGGTGTCGTTTTGCCATAGATGACGGCGGCGGGTGGGTATGCGTTGGCCTCTGCGTGAGGTGGGTGGAAGAACAGTTCCTCCTTGAACCTTTTGACAGAGGCGAGCATGCGGGTGAGGTATGCGATCGCTTGGTCGCGAGGGATGGTCACAGTGGTCGCGATGGATGTGTTTGGATCGCTGTTTGCTGCGTCCGTCGAGTTTTTGGAGGGAGCAGTGCTGCTGGGGTCCATCTGAGGTGTCATGTTGTCGGTACCGTTGTAGTCGATGTTGCCCTTCGCTTCGGCCTTGTCGCTGCTGCCAGCCGCTGCTGAACCGTCCATTTCCGGAGGATTGACAAGGCCATCGATGGCGTGGGCGGCAGGGTGTTGGATTGCTTGTTTTGCACGGGAGATGCTGTTTTTGCGACCGGGCACCATGCTGTTCATCACGCCCGCCATGCTGTTCATGACACCGGCCAGGCCGGTCGGCGGCGGAGGATCGTTGAGAGATGGCAATGGTCGAGCTATGCAGGGAGAGAGACGATAGTCGATCCAAGTCTGTGGATCGAAGAAGTCGACTGGGTATTCTTCCTTGGTCTCCTTGTTAAAGAAACAGCGGCCATCGAGTGGCAAGAGAGCGAAACTCGTACGAATGGTGAAGTTGACCTGAGCAGTGAGGACACGGCTACTAAGGAGCACATCATCGCCGTTCCTGAAGGGACCGAGAATGTTGATACAAGTCCTGGGCACACCTGCATACACCACCCCGGCGAAAAGCTCTGGTCGCTGATTCACAGCATGCCTGGTGATGAGGCCTCCCAAAGAATGCGCAATGACTGTTGCACCACGCTTTTCCTTGGGAGTTCCAGGTCTGTTGCACGGCAGCTTTTCCAAAAACTCGATGAGCTGTTTGCTCAGGAACAGTGGTTCCAAACGCCAATCGTAGCCATAATCATGAACGCGTAGCTTCCCACTTTTAACATTTTCAGAGGCACGCATACGTTTGAACAAGCGTCTAGATATGTCAACAGGGCCAATGTGAGTGAGCATGCCGCCTGGGATGATCTTTTCTTGGGCTTTTTCGTCAGCATCGGCATCGAGGCCGACTTCGAGATCTACCTTCCTCACATTCAAGCCGACCTTGATAGGTGCCCACAACTGTCTGTGGGGTGGTTCGGCGGATCTTAGTATAGAACCACGGTAGCCTCCAAGTACAACGACATCACCAGTCAAATCATTAAGCGCTTTGGAGAAATGAGGATGCTGTTGGGCAGTCTTGTTCGCTTGCGGGGCCGTCGTCGCTCTGGGCAAGTTGGTGCTGTACCTTTGATTTGCAGATGATGGAAGAGCATTAGTTGAAGAGCTGGGATTTGAGGTTTGACTCTTCTTCGAGAACGAGTTTGCGCGTGTGAGGGAAAGCTCGGACAAGGAAGAAAATGAAGGCAAGAGTGGCAGTCTGATATTAGTGTCCTGCCAGCTGTCCCTGATGGCCTTCATTCTGCTGTTGACCTGTGCTTGTACATGCTCGAAGCGGCTGTCGTCACCGAGGGACGGTACTCGTGAGAGAGTGCGGAAAGTATGTAGGGAGGACTCGGAGGCAGAGCGTCGCAAGCTTCGATGACTCCTGCCACTATTGACTCTGGACATAGGGCTCAGAGTTTTTTCAGGTTGACCGATGGTTGTCTTGCCGGTGGCTGGACGAATTGGAACAAAGTGGGGGTTGCCGTTACCAGAGGTGGATTCGTCTGATGGTGGGCTTCTCTGCACAGATGTGGTCTTGGGGTGTTGCAGAACATGGTGAGGAGGCGTCTCGTGCGACGAAGTTTCAGGAATCGACTCGTTTGATGCGGTCGGAGGATTTCCAGGTAAACGAGGTTGTGAGTCGGCGGGTATGCCAGCAATGCTGTTATTTCTGCGAGGTCTCGTAGGGAGTGTGTGGGTGGACGACGAGGACGACAGCGAAGCCAATGATGCGAACAAAGAGCCTGAGCGTCTCTGTCTGTTGGGCGGACGGGTCTTGTGGGCAGGGTCTTGCGGGTGGGTGGTGGAGAAGGGCGATGTAAAGTTGTGTATGCTGGTCTTGAGTGCGTCTCGCCAGTTGTCCAGCGAGGAGCCCGGACCTGGACTGGTCGAGGAAGCTCGTCGGCGGAAACCATCCTTGAGCATAGAGCGGCTCTCGTCCGTCCTCTTGAACTTCTTAGGCGCAGCGCGCCATGGTGAGGGTAGGCGCACCGTTGTCTCCCCTGTTGTCGTCGCCGGCCTTTGTCCCGTTGTTGGTCTCTCTTGCACTAGTTCTCCGTCTCTTGTCACTGGTCTGGACACACGTTCTGGCTCTTGCGTGGGTGCATCGTCGTCGTCCAGGTCTGCATCATCTTGGATCTGGGGACCACCGAAAAAGCCTCCCTGCTCGTCAATGGCTGCTTGCTTTTCTGCTGCCGGAGTCTGAGGCAAGATCAGGCGCGTCTGGGCTCGTCCAAGACTGACTCCGACGAGGGATTGTACTTCGGCTGGTGCAATGGCTCGAGTCTCGGGACCCTCATCTTCGGATGACGTTGCTGTGTCATTGATCAGGTTGTTGTAGTGAATGTCGGCGAGTGCTCGCGGCCGCCGTTCGGGACTAGGGTTGATACCAGACATGGTGTTCAGGTCATGTTGGTGCATGGGTTGCTAGGGCTAACACAGGAAGCTCCAAGGACCGAGGGGCAGGACGCGGGAAGAATGGCAGGCACCGGAGCTCTAGGGAGAGGTGGATGGGTTACGAAGATGGATATATAGACAGAGGGTTAGGTCAGTCTTTGCTCGGAAGCGTCGGCCTTCTGCCAGGCACAACAGTCAGCCTGATCGAGTCCATGGTGCGCCTCGATCAATTGGAAAGAGCCCCAGCTTTGACGTTCGTTGCTCCCGACTCAACCGGCCGCATGCCATCACAGACGTCCGTCGCCGTTGGAACGAGGCTGATCGTCGTGGCTGAGCATCGTCTTGGCAATCAAATCACCACCAAGCATCCAACACCAAGACATCTCTTGTGAGCTGGTCGAACAAAGGTCAATAGAGCTTCTAGGAAGTATGAACTAGTCAGACAAATCTGTATACCGCTCATCATGAAAGTGTCAATGCTACTACACCTGTCTGTCGAGTCGTGAGACACCCGGTGTGTTTCGAATCCGCCGACGCCAATACGGCCGCGATACGCTCCTTCTCGAACAAATTTTATTTCTAGCCCTCGACACAGCTTCATCAACCATGTCATTATACTACGAAGCTTCCGATATCCTCGCCAATGCAGAAGCAAAGGGTGGTTCATTGAAGAATCGCATCTTTGGCAAANAAGACTTGAAAAGCTCTCCTGGCGCCATCTTCGCTCTGGTAGCCGAGACCACGAAATGGAGTTCTGTGCTCAAGGAGGTCATTGAAAAGAGTGACATCTTGAAGCTTGAGAAGAAGGTATGTGTTATTGATGTCTTTGTTCTTTGTTTTCTATTCGGGTCGGCCTTTCTCCGATCCAGACAGTGGATTTTTCCTGACATTTATCATTATTGCTTCCGCAGGTTAACTTTTTCCGTAGNNCTGACCCCGACTCTTGCCTTGCTGTTGGCCCATGATCTTATCCTAGCCAAAAAGGGAGTCGCTGCTCCGAAAACACATCCCCTAAATCTCGCCATCTCTCGTCACAAGGCGAGGTTGAATGCCGAGTTCACCAAATGCCGCATCAAGGGTAGATTCGCGACTTTGGATGCCTTCCGCGCACACATCAACGCTGCCGCCGCAGACGAGAGTGCAGAAGCCACCGCAAACGGTACTAAAGCATTCCATCCTCGTTGGGTTCGTGTCAATGCCGTGAGAACATCCATGGCAAAGGCACAAAGCACCTTCTTCGCCGACTTCACCAAGGTCTCATCGCTCAAGGAACTCAGCACTACTCCTCGAGGTATTTACTTGGATGAGCACATCCCAGACCTCGTTGCCATCCCTCCTTCGATAGATCTCTCCAAGCATGCTGCGTACCATGCTGGTGAGATCATCTTCCAGGACAAAGCCTCATGCTTTCCTGCCTATCTTCTGGATCCTCAACCTAAAGATAGCCAAGTGATAGATGCGTGCGCGGCACCCGGCAACAAGACTACACATCTTGCCGCAATTCTCTCATCTCAGAGAGCATATGGACTGAAGGCCTCCGTTACGGCCTGTGAGCGCAACCCTATCAGAGCGCAAACATTGGAGAAGATGGTCAAACTGGCTGGTGCCGGCAAAATCATCACTGTCAAAGCTTCTCAAGACTTTACGAAGTTGGATCCTCGCTCACAGGAGTTTGCTGACGTTGGTGCTCTTCTACTTGATCCCAGTTGTTCAGGCAGCGGTATCATCGGTCGTGACGACACGGCAGTCTTGCACTTGCCGTCGCTGCCTTCATCCACTCCCGCACCTTCGGGTAAGAAGCGCAAGAGAAAGGCTAGTGCAGCTGTCGAGGTCCCGGTTCCGGTCGTCACCGAAACCAACGATGAGCTCAGCGAAGAGACTCCACAAGCAGCCGAGCTTGAGAACGACGAGGAAAAGCTGAAGACAAGATTGAACAACCTTGCTGGTTTCCAACTCAAGATTGTGCTCCACGCTTTCGCCTTCCCAGCCGCTACCAAGGTCACATACTCAACATGCTCAATACATGCTGAGGAGAACGAGAATGTTGTCGTCAGAGCTCTCGCTTCGAAGATTGCCAAGGAACGTGGTTGGAAGATTATGAGACGCGAGGATCAAGTCGATGGTATGAAGAGGTGGACAAGANGGNGTGATCCTGAAGCTTCAAAAGAAGCGCTTCAGGGCAAGGAGGATCTGGTGGACGCGAAAGTGCTTGCGGATGCCTGTATCCGATGTGAGAGAGGTACTGATGAGGGTACTATGGGCTTCTTCGTTGCCGGCTTCGTCAGAGATCCCGACGCAGATCCTGCCGAAACAATGAACGAGAAGGAGCCGAGCGAAGCTCAAGATGAGGAAGAAGAAGAAGATGAGGAGTGGAGTGGTTTCGACGACTAGAGCTGGAATCCACATGCAGTTGCCTCGCTCGCTTTCATCTTTACGACGCTGGTTGTCGTTACGGTCACCTGGCTGTACGCACGTCGCACGACTCGATCGAACTACGGTTCGCAAGCATTCAGTACGACATTCAAGGTCTCCAGCGCGATCTTGTGTCTCGCTGACAGGATCAAAATCAGAAGCAGTCGACATACATAGAAAGTTTGATGTTGCAAGACGCCATAATGATTGCTGTACGAAGAGCTGGACTGATCAGGAAAATACATTACATTACAGATTTTGTTCTATCGCCGCCCACCATTACTGGCATCACAGACGAAAGTTCATTTCGATCGCTGTCATCTGCAGCCGCCAGTATTCGAGCGTGTTACGAGGTTCCCTTACACTCCAATGCAGCCGAGATTTTGCGAAAGCCTTCCATCCATGTAGGTTCACAGTCAAGCACTGCACTTCTGTGTACAGGCAAATTTTCTTTTCTTTTTTTTTTTACCGCACCAAAGAAATACAGGTGATTGTCTCTCAAGCCACAAATCCCCATATCTCTTTTTTTTATCTTGTTGCCACTCGCGTGGCGCTTGGGCTCTTCGTCGTGATGGCTTTGCTTCCTCGAACTTGCTCAAACCCTAGCAAGACTCGTGGTTTCGAGTCACTCATAGCGTTGAGTCACACAATGCTCATATTTCTTTCCTCGTTTCATCAGTCTCATGTGTTTCTAGTTTTTTCTACATACCAAACTAAAAACACTGTTAGAGTATAGTTTATCACGTACCCCTAACCCATACTCTAAACACACCATGTCTACTTTCGAGTACAACGATGGAGCATTCGGCATCCTTCAGTGAGTGGACAGGGGTGGTGGGAGTGGGTGTTGAAAATCTTCACAAAGTTGGATTTGGAGGACTAGGAAGGGGCTGTTGTGTCCCAGGCTGTTATCTCTCAGAATGGACGAGAGAGTACATGATAAGCTGTATAGACACAGGATAGTTTAAGAACTCGTGTGATGTTCAAGGAGAGGGTTAATCTTGCAGCTCTCAATGGAAGCACACCGGGTTGGATTACATTTGTGCGTTTCCATAGCTTATGATGTTGCGATGTGAAGCCGTGGGATGGATGTAAGTTTGTCTATAGTTTGTTCATGACATTTGTTTGTCGAAGCAAATGACTGCATATGGATAATGGTAGTCTTAAAGGACGATGTCAACACAATGGCTACAGCTGGTTTGCGCCCAGCCGCCGATCGCTCCTTCCACCATTCTTATGGCATCGCTTTCTTCTCGTCCAAGCATCCATCTGTTAACATACCCGGAATACGCTTATCACATCAGACTTCGTAAATCAGCACGCATCAAGATGTGCAGCATTACTACAAACATAATCTACCTTCTTTCCTTGTGTTTCCTTGTCCTCGTATTCGCTCACGCCACCACGCATGACACTCAACTACCTCTCGAAGCTCCATACAAGCTTCCCCCATCAACGGAGCTCAGTTTTGTACCTTGCCATGTCTCTTGGTGCAGAAGTTGACATGTCTGACATTTGCTCTTGATACCAACAGACTCTCAGGCACATATACCATAAAGGTTCCCATCGTTATCCACGTCTGTTTCGGAAAATCGACGTCTCTGATCGACGAGTAAGACTTGACTTTGGGAATGAAGATGGGTCATGTACTCCTAGTACAGCATGGGAATCCTTTTCCGTGCAGTCAGCTCCGGTGCTGATACAGCGCCTTGGTGATCGTAGACGACATATCATTGACAGCTTGCTCGAAGACGGAGTCGTTTCCGGCAAACCCAAAGTTTTGGATGCGCAAGCCTGGAACATAGACGAAGTTCCCGGTCCTGATGTGACGGACAAGAAGACAGTTCTGAGTTTCGTGCACATGGCTGCCAACGCATACGTTTCCGTGCCCCGTAGAGGCGACTGGATCGACATTGGTGACGGGTTCAACTACACGGAAGATTTTGGTTGGGAAGAAGATGGTCTGCGCGGTCATATCTTTGCCGATACCGAGAACAAGACTGTCGTTATTGGTCTCAAGGGGACATCTTTGTGGTTCTTTGACGCCCCCGAAACTACAGACAACGACAGGCTGAACGATAATCTATTCGGAAGTTGCTGTTGTGGGCAAGGCGGACAGTATTCTTGGAAACGAGTATGTGATTGCCAGACTTCTGCGTACACTTGCAATTCGACTTGTTTGGTAAGGAGCTTGCGGGAGAAAAGCAGCTATTACCATGCTGCTCGGCATCTTTACCATAACGTCACGGCGTTGTACCCCGACGCCAATATCTGGCTAACCGGACATTCGCTGGGAGGCGTGGTGTCTTCTCTTATCGGAACTACTTATGGTCTACCGACTCTGACCTTTGAAGCTTTCCCTGATGCGCTTGCTGCTCGTCGTCTAGGTCTTCCCACTCCACCAGGTCACCAGATAGGAGATTATGCCAGACGCCATTACACAGGGACATTCCATTTCGGTCACACGGCGGACCCGATCTATGTTGGAAGCTGCAATTCGTTCGAGTCTCCATGCACGGTTGCAGGTTATGCGTTCCAAAGCAAATGCCACACTGGTTACAATTGCACCTACGATACGGTCGGTGAGCTCGGCTGGAGAGTTTCAATCGGCACGCACAGGATAACCAGCGTAATCAAGGATGTCATTGAAGCGTACGACTCAGTACCCATGTGTACACAGGACATTGATTGCACTGACTGCTCTGGATGGTCGTTCTTCACGAGCAACGGAACAGAGTCAACTGTCAGCTTGACGAAGACTAGTCCTTCAACACGATCTACTGCTAGCTCGACTACCACTTGCCGCACTCCAGGGTGGTGGAGCTGTCTGGACGAGGCCACTACAAGGACAACATCCATTCCGACGACGGCCTCTAGCTCAAAGTGTCTGACGCCAGGTTGGTGGGGTTGCAAAGATGCGTCCACGACCACGACTTCTTCCAGATCGCGTAGCACTGTGAAGCCGACAACCACGCCGGCTCTATGAGACTCGTCCAGCCTTTTCAAAGCGATTGCAAACATTGACACAATTGCTTCGTCGTGGCGCCACTGTTCCTTTGTTTGCGTCGCGGAGATTTTTCTTTCGGCATTTGCGAATCATCGTAACCATCCACTACAGCTATACATACCTTGTATATTCCAGACCCTGATGCTGCAATGAGCGTTCTTGTCCTGTCCTACATTTTTTGCAGCTTAGATCACCCAATCACAGAGAAACGCTAGACAACAAAGTCATGTCTGAACGATATTTCTCGTCAGTACACGCAATCTTTGTTCTCTACATCACATCACCGAGGAACATCTTCTCATCTCCTCATCTCGAAGCTCTTTGAGCAGTCTTTCATTGCCTTTTCTTTGATCAACAAGCACCTCAAAGAGATATTCCCATACCCACCATTGTGTGTCGAAATTGAGCTTCGAGTCCTCCTTGTCATCCCCCACAAAGCGCATTGTATGCTCCCTCGAGTCCACTGTATAGACATATAAATGGTACTTGGCTGCTATGCCAGTAGCAAAAAGGTTTGACAAAATTCTACTCGCGAAAAAAAAATCCAGGCGATTTACTGTATCATCACTATCATTCATTACCCCGATACCCGACACTCTTTTTTAACAATCATGTCTGAGATTATCAACAACAATGCCGCTGCTGGTCAGCGTGCTTCCAAATTTACCTTTGGCATCGAACTCGAATGCGTCGCCATCGTTCCCAAGAGGATCGCCAAGCAGTATGGATCTATTGAGCAATACGTTCGTAGCCATCTCAGCAACAGCCAGGTCAAGCTTCCCTGCAACTGTGAGAAAAAGGAGCACTTGCGCTACTTGCCCATCCACGATAACGAGGACGATACGACCAACGACTACTGGACGTTGACAAATGACATGACCGTCGATTTATCCGCAAAGCAGATCGGCAATGATCTTGTTGGCTCGGAGTACGCCAGCTTGGAACTGATCTCTCGTGTGCAGAAGTTCGAGGGCATCTCGTCCTGCCCTCTGAACCAGAAGTGTCCTGTTACCAAAGAGCCTCTTCGGTGGACTTGGCGTGAGGAGATCGAATGCTTCCTCGAGCTTCTTCACGAGGCGTTTAGTGAGCCTGGGTTCTGTTTGCTTGTTAACGAGACCACAGGCTTCCACGTTCATCTTGGACAGGGCGATGATGGTCTCCCACTCGACGCCGTTTCAGGGCTTCTGGGTGCCATGACAGCTCTTGAGCGTTCTTTCGACCAGATCCTCCCTACTTATCGCATCAGCGGCTCGACCGGCGGTACGGTCCCAGGTATGTGGAGCCTTAACACACACAATCCTCTTCCTGGCATCCAGGTCGATGGATTCCACGCCTTGTACAAGCCTGGCCTCGTCGACACCGAGCAGGACTTTGATAACAGATGGTGTCCAGCCATGTCCAAGACCATGATCCAACACGTCCACAATCAGATTTGGTGCAAGGCAAAGAACATCGAGCCCCGCAAGCTTCAGTTTACTGCTCCGCAGAACAGCCCGACTGGTGCCGCTGCCGCTGCCCCTCTCCCTGCCATCTCGGCCGAGACTTCCAAGTCTATCGAGCAATGTCTTGCCAGCTTCAACGTTCCTAGCTGGTTGGACTTAATCAGGAACGCATCCAGTATCCAGGAGCTCAAGGACATATCTTCCCAGGACAAATACGTCGCTCTGAGCCTAAGGGGCTTGGGTGACCGTAAGAATCCCAACGGACCTCCTACAGCTGAGGTCCGCACTCATGCCGGCAGTCTTGACTCTGACGAGATCTGTGCTTGGATTGACCTTTTGTGTAGCATCGCTCGCTGGGCTGGGATTGTACCAAAGGAGGGCGTGTTCGCTTATCTCCTTGAATCGTGGAAAGATGCCGAGTACAACGTCTCCGACCTTGCTACCGAGGTTGGTGTCAGCCACTCGACTTTCGCTCATTACAGCTATGTCTTGGCTGACTCCAGCTACCCCTATGTCCAGCACCGTTTCGAGAAGTACATCTCTCCCCCATTGACTTNNTTTACTGACAAAGTGGAGAACCTCAACCGTATCAACGAGGAGCGCCGCCGCAAAGACTTTTCTCGTCAGAACGTTGACGAAAAGATTCGCTGGAAGCTCGAGTCTGGTAGGTACGGACAGTTGCCCACCAACTTCCTCCAAGCTCAGCCTGAGCCTGAGCTGTTCTCCAGACCCGAAGCTAGATTCCTGCACTACACCGAGGAGAGCCAAAAAGCTTGGGCTGAGTTCTTGAAGGACTACTACCGTGTTCACCGTAAGATCGAGTTGTCTTGCAAGGACACTGTCGATGTCCCCGGTGCTGCCTCTGATGATTCACCCGACTCTTCTTCTGATACTTCCCCTGAGGTCTCCTCTGGTGGCGTCTCTGTGGGTAATCTCAAGGCTAGTGTTGCTTGTGACGGCGAGTCCGTGACCGCAGGCGCAGATGATGGAGAGTCCGAAATTAGCTCGAGTGACGAGTCTGACTCTGATGACTCCGATGACTCTGATGATTCCGAGAAGTCGGATGACAAGTCGGATGCACCGATCAAGTCTCCTGTCAAGAACCTCACTGCTGACGAATCCGAGGACAACTTCAGCCGCGGAGGCTGGTACGGTATTCATCCTATGTTGGCTAACGCCTACAACGACATCCCGGGCCAGCACCTCACTCACCTCGAGAAGACCGTCATCAGCATGCCTTCACTTCCCTCACCAACCACCCCCAACACAGTTGCTTTCGATGAACTGAAGACTAACACCGTCCTCAGGATCCACAATGCCATCTCGGGTGCGGTTTCGATTGAGGCTCTTACTGCTGCTGACATGCAGGACGAGGTTGACAACATCATTGCTCGTGCAGTCGAGTCCACGAAGCAGATGTACGTGTTGAAGTCTGTTACGATGGAGAAGGCTATTGCGAAGAGGCACTCCAAGAAGAAGACTAGCAAGGAGTAGAGTGATGTCGAATGGCTCAAAGTTTGGTTAGTGTATTCGGAAGGAACGATTATAGATTGCCTGTACTTTTATTGTATAACAAGAAGTAATATGTTACCATTTAGCATTTCCAATCAAGTGATTGCCGAAAAGAGATGTGACGATGATGTTTTTAAGTCGATTGTGATTCTCGAGTGTATGGCCACGTGCGAGTCTTCGTCTTCAACTTCGAGGGTGATACATATAGCAAGGATGATCCTCTTCGGTTTGTGTAGTGTAAACAGTGTCAGGCTCAAAGATTGTATATGTTTATGTACATCGAATGGATGTGTTCATCAATAGAGCCAGTTGAGCACGCGGCACTCATTCGTTCCTTCCACAAATCTATGGAGGGCGATGTGCAGCGCGTGAAGACGATAGTTGTGCACAGTCGAGGAAGGAACAAGGTGAATTCATGCTTGGCGTCGTGCACAGACCAGCCGTGCGCAAAGCGCGAGTTTAAAAAAGTTTCCGGCTTGCGACACTCTTGCACCTCTTCTCTTCTTTCCTTTGGACGCCATCCAAACATGGCGGACGTAATCTCATTCACACCTCAACATGAGGAAGAGTTGAGCGATGAGCAGATGCAAGAGATGCTCGCTCAGGCGGCCAGACGTCGCAAGGAGAACGCCAGCGTTGCGCTTTTCGACAATGACAACAAAGACAAGGCCAGCCAGTTCAACTTCCCCAAGCTCAACACTGGAGAGATGGTGCAGCCTTATGTCTCGAACGCTGGAGATGTCGCCACTGTTGATCGTTCGCGCTTGTTGGCTGAGCAGGACCGCAAGTTGTCGAACCAGATCCGCAAGGTTGAGGATCCTGTGGCTGTCAAGAAGAAGATGCTTGAGGTATGTTGCTATCCTTTTACCTCTCACTCTCCCTTGCCTATGAGGAAAATTATCCCAACTTTTTCCTGACGCGGAATCAGGGCACCGTCTTGGTGCCCCTCTGCACAAACTGAAGTTTTTTATTCATAGTTACTCTGAGGCACATTCACACAAACACACCTTTTGAGAATCATCATCAGAGAAGATCTTTGCTAACATGCTTCGCTTCTCTAGTCTAAGAAAGCCACTGCCGGTGAACAATGGTACAACATGCCTCGTACCGACCTCACTCCCGAGTTGAAGAGAGATCTCCAGCTGCTGAAGATGCGTAACGTGCTTGATCCGCATAGACACTACAAGAAGGATGGCGGCAAGATGAGACCTCCAGAATACTCTCAGGTCGGCACAATCGTCGAGGGCCCTACCGAGTACTTCTCTGGCAGACTCAACAACAAGGATCGCAAGAAGACCTTTGTCGACGAAGTATTGTCCAGCGAGAAGGACACTGGTCGTTTCAAGAGAAAGTATGGCGACATCCAGACCTCCAAGACGAGCGGAAAGAAGTCATACTACAAGGCCCTCCAAGCCAAGCGCTCCTTCGACCCCAAGAAGAGATGAGGCGTCGTCACTACAAATCCGACACAATGCTGTACACCAGTGTCTGTATCCGGTCAGTCGACATATCCCTTTACACACCACACCACCACCACCATCATCGGTCATACGCACCTGCATATCCTTTGCGGCCTCCCTTCCAGCCTCGATCACTTCCTCATGGTTCGCTTTGCCCTTGCCCAGGTGATCTACGAGCTCTTGTGGTGACATGGCGCTCAATGCTGCATCGTCGCCGCGCGGTACAGGTTGCAGCACAGCATTGTTAGTCACCAGGCTGAACGCAAGGATCCGGATGCCACTGTGTCTGGCAACAATAATCTCAGGCACCGTCGACATACCGACCACATCAGCGCCTAGCTGATGCAGCATACGACATTCTGCTCTAGTCTCGTACGTTGGACCAGCAACAAACGCATACACTCCCTCGTGCAACTTGCGCTTGCCGTTGGCTGGGCGCACCTTCTGCCATGTCTGGTGTGCCTTTTGGCGTAGACCAAGGTCATACGCATCTGATAGAGGAGGGAAACGTACACCAAAGTCATCAGAGTTGGGTCCACGAAGAGGGTGGAATCCAACCAAGCCAGCCATGTTCAGATGATCGTTGAGGCATACAATATCGCCCACGCTGTAACCTGGGTTCAGTCCGCCTGCTGCGTTGGTCACTNNGTATCACCGTCAGTGTTGTTACCATGGCTGAACTCCAAGACACATACCAATCATGGTCTCGACACCAAGCACCTTGCAGACTCTTGTGGCGAAAGTTACGAGTTCCATGGTGTGACCTTCATAGAAANNCTTGATAGAAGATACGAATGAGCATATAACGTCCTATCATGCAATTATTGTTCTTCTCACTTACTGCGCTCTGCCTACCAACAAGACAACAGGGACCTTGGTCTCTCCCATAGTGCCAACCACGAGCTTGCCGGCATGTCCTTGAACTNNAATGTGCTTATCAGCATCAGTATCCCTTCAACAACCGTGAGACTCACCGGTGGTCTTTGGAAAGTTTGGAATGTCATGATAATCAATCTCGAGCTTGGTATCAGCCGTCACGGTGTCTGCAATGCCTCCGAGTCCGGAACCGCAGACAATAGCTACACGAGGCTTCTGTAGGTGGGATGGTAGTCTGGACCTGATGAAGTCTGCGGAACCAGAGGCTCGTTGGTAGGCCTCGGAGGAAGCCTTTGGGTTAGCCAAGTGTTCAGTTACTGCTGCCATGCTGGCTGTTCGTCGCTAGATAGTTCAAGTTTCCTAGAGAAGAGTGCCGTCAAAGTGATGTGTTTGCTGGTCGTCTGAGTTGTGTAGGTGTTAGATGCCAAGAAGCCGGTCTGCCGAGCGGTGAGGGAATCCCGGGAGTGATTTCTAGATTGACATTCTGCGAGCGCGGCGGTAGTGTTTGGGCAGGAAACAATGGCTTCATATTTACGGTCGCCTTTTGGGCTGGCAAAGCGTCTAAGGGTGGGTTTGATCAGTTCATTCGACAAGTAGCGACTGACGTGGCGCGCGACGACAGNNATTGCGCCTCCCACACCTATTCAAGTCCGCACAGTATACCAGTCTCGCCAACCGTGGCATGGCAACCAATCAGCCGTGCTCGAACATCAGCGCGATGCATCAGTCGACTTTGACGACTTCATGAGCCAGACTGCACAAGAGTAAGCTATCCCAAAGCCGGCCTACGACACAGCAGACATGGCATACTAAGACGCCTTCCACTACAGAGCACGAGGTGTCACACTCCCAGCACGCGAGCCTTATTTCAGCCCAGAGATCCAGCGCGAACTCGAGGCTCTCCGTCTTCCTCGCTCCATCCATCTCAACTACCTCAGGCCTCTCAAGCGCACACCAGTCCACGGCGTACCCGCTGCCGACCTTCAACTGCGCTCCTACAGCGTGCGCAACCTCGAATTCTTCGCCGACTTTGCTCTTCGCGCCGCCTACTACCTTAACATCCCCGCCAAGGGCCCTGTACCGCTCCCCAAGATTACCGAGCGCTGGACCGTTCCTAGATCCAACTTTGTGCACAAGAAGAGTCAGGAGAACTTTGAGCGTATCACATTGAGGAGACTGATTCAGATCCAAGATGCACACCCCGAGGTTGTGCAGATCTGGCTTGGTTTCTTGCAAAAGTACGCTTACTACGGTGTGGGTATGAAGGCGAATGTGTGGGAGTACTCGAGTCTGGATGTCAGCAAAGAGATGGATGAACAGGCTGCACAGGCAAAGGCTTCGATTGATGAGAGATTGAAGTTGTTCGGCAGACGCAGCGACCGCATCGATGATGCTGATGTCGATGGCATGATCCACGACAACATCTTCAAGGGTGCTTCGGGCTCATTGGCACCCATGGGTACCTACGGCAAGCCTAACTAAGCTGAGGGCTTTCTACTCTTCTTCGCATCTTGGAGGCGTCTTTCAGCTGTGTACAGTATTTCTTGTATAAAATGACATAAAGTAGGATTTCGGATTTTATGGTTTTAAGTTTGTCTTCTCCATGTCACTCAGGCTTTTCTTCCATGTCACACACATCTGCCTTGCTGACACTGTGGTGTAAATCAAGTTCTTTCAAATCAAGACTTGCCTTGTAGTGACGTTGTATTATGCCAACGTACACATCGCGTGGTGGGTTATGCAAGCATCCCGTGAGCAGTATCAGGATTCAGGAAGGCGGTTTGCCTATGTGGAAAGCGGGAAGAAGCAAAGGGAAACAAGGCATAAGAGACAAACGGTACAGTCGGGCATCCGCCGATTGACAGCAAAGCATGCGTTCGAGATATAGTAGACAAGATGGTCACGTGGAAGAGTGAAGGGCTTGGGTACCTCTGTCTCCGTAGCTCTTGATGAGAAAGATGATTCTTGCATGCCCGAAGTGCATCACGGCAGCTTTCATCCCCAATCAACGACCAAATCATTTCTCTCGCTCGCGATATCAGTGGCTCTTGTTATTTTTCGTCTTGATAGGAAGCAGGGATTCGCTCTCTTCAAAGTCTGGTTTGCCAACCAGAGCGTGTCAAAGCTCCACTCGTACGGCCCAGTCACAGGTTGGCTACGGGTACTGGCCCAGCGTGTAGCCAGGCCATCCGATTCGCCAGGGCTTCTACTGGTTTCTCAAAAAGCAAATTATAGGTCGGTGAGTTCCCCTCAGGCTTCTTGTCGCGGGTTTCATATACCATGGCCTGGAAAGATGCTTCGTTGATATTGCGAAAGCATGTCAAAGAGCAAGAGAGGTTCGGGCGCGATCTCCGCCCGCGGTTCGGCAACGCGACGCGAACCTGAACATCTCGATTGACCTTCCGTTCAATACCAGTTTGTTGTGCTGACGTTGTTGTTATCGTTTCAGGCGTCTAGATATTCGGCGCATATAGCTCGAGCAAGACCAGAGATCTTGACTGGTCATGTCGAATCCGAATTACAACGCCATGCAGAGCTCTGGCTCCAACGTACCTCCGCCCAAGCGCTATGATGGACGCGACGGAGGTCCTGTCTATGATGCCAGCCATGGTGGTCACTATGGTAGGTGTAATGAGTGCGCATTACTGTAATGTGCTCCAGCTGACTTTTGCGGCACAGGCGCCAGCTCCTACGTATGTCCAAGGCTGTGCGCGACACTACAACCAGTCTGGCTGACACCAACTACAGNNATCGCATCACAGGGTAGCGCCCCTCCCCCAGAGACATTTACCGGACAATGGTCGAACGTGAGTCGGGACATACGACACTTCCATGAGACTTGCACTGACATCCTTGGTTCTACAGNNGTATCCCAAGGACTTTCCGGCAACTACAGAGACATCCTGAACACATACTGGCAGAACCAAGTCACCAAGCTCGAGACGGACGAACATGACTACAAGATCCACCAACTACCACTGGCTCGTATCAAGAAAGTCATGAAGGCCGATCCCGAAGTCAAGATGATCTCAGCCGAAGCACCCATCCTGTTCGCCAAGGGCTGCGACATATTCATCACCGAGCTTACTATGCGCGCATGGATCCACGCAGAGGAGAACAAGAGACGCACCTTGCAACGTAGTGACATTGCAAGCGCCCTGGCCAAGAGCGACATGTTTGACTTCCTCATCGACATTGTGCCTCGCGAAGATGCCACCCCTCAACACAAACGCAGACAAGACTTCCCACCGGGCAGCTTCCCAGTATCGGACGCGCAGATAGCGACTGCTGGACCTTCGATGCAGGCTCCGCCCGCGGCAGCACAGCTTCAAAGCCAGGAACAGGGACAGCAGCACATGCAGCCGACAGACTATGGTGCCATGGGCCAGCACGTGGCACAAGAGCCGTACCAGACGCAGCAGGGCATGTACCCGCCTCCTGCACCCTCGGCCGGCTATGCGCAGCCACACAGCTTTGACCCTAACATGTATGCTGGTGGCTACAACATTATGCAACAAACGGTGAGTGACTTGAACGAGTGTCTCGAACGAAGCTGACTGAAGTGTTTAGNNCAAATGTATCCTCCTCAAGGTCCAAGAATGGCGGATCCTTCAATGACCGCTAACGACGGCCAGCACCATTATCGTGCACCCGAAGACGATGCCGAGGGCGAGAGGGACCAGTACGAAGTATGAACGGATGGATGCAGCGTGAACACGACAAACAACTTGATACCCCCACTACTACTACTACTACTACTACTACTACTACTACTACTACAACGACATAAGGAAAAAGCAAACAAAAAAGAGAGACAGGACAGAGCCAGATGCATCAGACAGACTACAATCGGAACAAGGCCGACAAGTTCCAGGCACAGCAACAGAGAGGGCAAAGGAAGATTACGGGATGACTGTATTTTGGTTTTACGGGACTATCACTCTGCCTCTATGATGGCGCACGAATTCAGAACGGAAGCCTTCGAGACTGAGGCTTTCCGTGTTATTCTCTTCTATATCTCTAGCCTTGGCTATCTCTGTGCTGGAGAAGGTGCTCCGTCATGCTGAGTACCTTGATGATATCGGGATGTTGGAGAGACATATGATCCGTAAAGACCCTGTTTGGTCATTAGCCGAAGCCGGCCTCGGCATGGCGGGGTGAAGTCCAGCAAAGCCCGATGGAAGTGATAGCTGCTGTGATTGAGACTGATGAGGATGCAAGAGGGTGAAGGGAAGTCGAAGATGTATACAACTTGAAGTAAGAGTGTTGAGTAGGACGACAGGTCGGATCTGCGGAGGGCGTATGTCGGTGTATTGCTAGTGCATATGCGTGAGGAGGGGCATTCAACACTGGTGATGCGCCAGCTCTCGAACCCCGAGCGGGGGAGGGTTTGGGGTCCAAGCTCTCACATGCAAAGAGCAGCATTGGCAGGTGCAGCTGAGTTTCCCAAGTCCGAGACAAGTCGTCCCTTCTGTTTCCTCTCACTCTTCTTCTTTGCAAAGACTCCTTTCTGTTCTATACTCTGTGACAGTTCCTTCCTCAACACTCAAACTTCCTCTACCTCACACAAACACCGCAATTATGGTCAAAGTTGGTACGTAAAGAGAGGCCTCTCGGACTTCCGTAAACAGAGTCAGGAGCTGACATGGTATACCTCTCCAGTCGTTGCAGGAGCCTCTGGTGGCATTGGCCAGCCTCTGTCTCTTCTCATGAAGTCCAGCCCTCTGGTCAGCGAGCTCTCGCTCTACGATGTTGTCAACACCCCTGGTGTCGCCGCCGATCTCTCCCACATCTCGTCGCCCGCAAAGGTCAAGGGTTTCCTCCCCAAGGACGATGGCATGAAGCACGCCTTTACCGGTGCTGAGATGGTTGTCATCCCCGCTGGTATCCCCCGTAAGTTCCCGCTGCTAGTCTCGACAACAACAGGCTTCGGCAAAGACTAACACATCCCGCAACAGGCANAGCCTGGCATGACCCGTGACGACCTCTTCAAGATCAACGCCGGCATCGTTCGCGACCTAATCAAGGGCGTGGCCGAGTACTGCCCCGACGCCTTTGTCCTCGTCATCTCCAATCCCGTCAACAGCACCGTTCCCATCGCCGCCGAGGTCCTCAAGGCCGCCGGCAAGTTCAACCCCAAGAAGCTGTTTGGTGTCACTACCCTCGACGTTGTCCGCGCAGAGACCTTTGTCGCTGAAATTACCGGTGAGAGCGACCCCAGCAAGACCACTATCCCCGTCATTGGCGGTCACTCTGGCGAGACCATTGTTCCCCTGTGGAGCCAGGCCAAGCCCGCCGTCAAGATTCCCGAGGACAAGCTCGATGCCCTGACCAACCGTAAGTTTCTGTGATCCTCTCATTCTCACATCCAGCAAATCTGACCTTCTTTCTCCCTACAGGCGNTCCAATTCGGCGGTGACGAGGTCGTCAAGGCCAAGGACGGCGCCGGTTCCGCCACCCTCTCCATGGCCTACGCCGGCTTCCGCTTCGCCGAGAAGCTGCTCAAGGCCGTCAAGGGCGAGTCCAGCATCACCGAGCCCACATTCGTCTACCTGCCCGGCGTCGACGGCGGTGACGCCATCCAAAAGGAGACTGGTTGCGACTTCTTCTCCGTCCCCGTCGAGCTCGGCCCCGAGGGTGCCAAAAAGGCCATCAATGTCGTTTCGTCGGCCAACGATTACGAGAAGAAGCTGTTGACCAAGTGCTACGAGGGTCTGGGCGGCAACATCAGCAAGGGTGTTGAATTTATCAAGAACCCTCCTGCCAAGTGAGTGTTTGTGATCTGATGAAGGAGTGTGGCTTTATGTGCTGACTGTTTCTGCGTTCGCAGCTAGATTGTAACGAATTGACATGAACTTCCCTCTCTCTTCGGCTTCCTCCTAGCGTTTTGAGCTTTTTTCGCTTCTCACGTATACGTGAACATGGATGAAATAAGGATATGGATGAAGAGCGTGGGATTAACCTCCTTGCTCTCTTTGTCTAATGATGATATCGCAGAAACAGATGCAAACCACCTTTTCGTAAACACAACATTGCTCTCACGTGTTAGCCGTGATGGTGATATGAAGTCTTCTTCAACTCCTCTGACACCTTTGATCAAGTCAACTTGTTTTCCTCACAGCTGTCTCCCTTCAAACTATCCAACACCTTTATCCATTCTTTGCTCTCGGTGTTATAGGTTTGCCCCACCGTGGCTACGTGTCTGACCAATAAATTCGGTTGTTCATGGGTAGATGCTTGGTGAGATGCAGGTTTGTTGCATGCGATGTTGATTGACTTTGCTCATGCGGTATACCAGGGTCACACTCACGACCACATTTCCACGTAACTATAGAGAGGTTTGTATGCTTACTGGAAGCATTTCCATGTGTCTTTGTGTGAGGACTGATTGATGGCTTATACCATACTAAAGATACTATATACAGAAAGAATTGAAAAGCTCACCCCTTCCCCCGAGCATGTGTACAAGAATATGTACAGCAAGAACACCCTTTACCATGCACCATTGCAAGGAAAACGCCGTATCTTGATCTTATCAAACCAGCCCCAAAGCCCCCAAAACATCACTAGTGAACCCTGCGTCCTCTGCATCCCACTCCCCAGCACCCACAGGCAAACACAATGAAAATGGTCTTTCTCCCCTCGCAGTACCAAGAGGTTTCAGCGTCAAACAACTCGCATTGGACTTTTGCTCGCAGTCACCACTGCTTCTACTGCGGCGTGCCTGTACGTTTTGAAGGTACAGCGGTTTTGCGGCTGGCGGGNNAAGAAAGAGAGAAAATCTTGTTTTCTGTTGTNNGGTGTTCATCGCTAGAGTCGTCTGAGTGGGATGAGGGNNTGGATATGTGGAGAGGGCGGAGAGACGGTGGCTCAAGTCTTCGAGACCGGTGTGGAAGTTTGTGGTGTCAATGTTGGAGGATTGTGAGTGGTGGTGGCTGGAGTCGTCGAGGCGGAAGCTCAGGCGGTCGGGTGTTGTGAGGTTGGAGGAGAATGACGAGTCGAGGGTGTCGGCTGTAAAGGTTGGAGAGGCCATGTCGAAACTGCCGGGTATGCTTTTGCTGGGTCCGAAACCTGGGTGGAAGTCGTCTGATGTGGCCGAAGAAGAAAGTGCTGGTGATGTGAGAGGCTGGTGGTATGTGTTGGTTCGGGGCTGGCTGTTGAGATTCAGAATCGGAATTGCAGAGGTCGGCGTTGATGGGCCATGAAGTGGTGTGTGGGAAGAAGAAGGTCGGAAGCAGTTCAGAGGTGGCAAGGGCCAGTTCTCCTCATCTGCGAGTTCAGACAATGGAGGGCTGAGAGGCCATTGTGTGGATTGAGGTTCGTCGTAGGCGCCGTCGTATTGAGGTGTTTGTGATGGTGCTTCATCAACCTCGATTGCGATTTCCTGGCTAAGCCGGTGTGTGTTCTTCTTCGGTTGTCTGAGCGAGCCAAAGAAGGAGAAGCCCAAGCCTTTGGTGAAATCAGTGAAAAGTCCTCCGCTTCGGGTGACCGGTCTCTCTTCAGGCGAAGCACTAGGGCAAGGAGCAAAGGGCCTGAGCTCTGGTAGGTCGTTCATGGTTTGGTCGAAGTCGGGTATGTTGGCAAGCGTTTCGATGTCATCCCAAGAAGCATCAATTTGACATGCACCAGGTCTTTGATACTCGGGTTCCTCACGGCGAACGCGCTTGATAGATCTAACACCGCGAGAAGAAGGTCTTTCCCTAAATCTAAGATCTCTCGACATGGTTGCATCCGCTGCAAATCTTTCCCGCAATGCGTCACTAGAGCAGTAGTAGCGAGGGAGTTTGGTAGGCGGCTTGCTGTAGATCTTCTTGTATCTGTCTTCGGGATTGATGGTCATGGGGATTTCCAAGGTAGTTGGCATGTCGGCTGAGGCGCTGCAGACTCGTTGAGGTGCTTCGATGACTTCGATAGGGACTTCCAGTACATTGACCATCTGACCGGGGAGTAGTGGGCATGCGCATGTAGTCAAGACAGTTGAGTCGCAGGCTTCTTCGGCATCGTCCAGTTTGTAATAGTACCAGTAGGTTCCACCCTGCTTCAAGGCACCGTTTCTCGGCCTTAGCTGGTTGATGCGATCACCATCGCAGATGATGTTCTCGAATGAGTGGCATCCAGTCCAGACACCACGACCTCTGTGTCCATCGCTTTGCATGCGGTACGGCCTTGAGAAGTTGTCCCATGAACCGAAAAGTTCTACTGTGCGAACATCCGGTCTTGATTTGCTACAATCATGTTATCAGCATCATGTCGTCTCGAGTCTCGGACTCGAATCCGGCGACTTACTAGAGAAAAGTAACGAGAGTAGTAGAATCCATTGCTGTGGTCCAGGGTTCAACGGGCCTAGTCAAAGGACGTTGTTTCTCGTATAAGTTATGGGTCTTGAATTGGCTTCTTCGAAAATAGATAAGACAAGTTTCTTGCTTTGTTATGTTCATGCAAGGGTCCTCGAGAAGATCAAAAAGGAAACAATGGAAAAGTCGAAATGTGCTGCGGATGGAGGGGTTGTTGTAATGGTGAGTCTGCTGACAAGGAACAAGGCTCTTATGCCTGCAGTACGTCTCCCGCCTTAGTGTACAGTAGTAGTGCCTTCTGCAAAGGCGATCCCGACGAAACGACCTCGATGACAGGTTTTTGGGGGCTGGCGGTGGATTCGGCCTTCTCAGCTAGCAACTATCCTGCCCTTTTGGTGGACCCCACGGGAAGGCGTATGCCTGGATTTGGCAAAAGGATGACCAGGGTTGGCCTTGGAATTCCTGATGGTGCAAAAGCGTGGAGGACGAGTTATGCAAGCGGGACGTTTTTCGCGATGATGGGACGGCAGGAGCGCAGCGCCGTAGAGGGCTGATGCTTTGCTGCTGGTTGCTCCACAAGGCTAATGCTGTATTCCCCAACGCCGGGTTTAGGATGCTCTTGCTGCGCGGTCGTCTGTGTGTTGTCGTAGCTGAACGGATCTGTCGCAAATCACTCCGAAATGGGGGTTCTTTGGGGAAGATGAAAAGAAGATTAGGACGGAAGTCTTTAATGAAGCACTCCCCTTCTTCACCGTTCTTGGTTTTAAAATCATCTCTCCCTACTGCTGAAATGAGAGCAACAATGGTCAACCTGAGAATGACATATTCGCAATAGAAAAGAGGGGCTGGAACCGATGCCGAACCAGGAAAGTCGAAAAGCACGAGGTGAGGGCAAGCGTTAAAGTTAGGCTCCGGCAGCGCAACATCGATGAGATGTGGGATCCACATGTTTCATCCTTCGAGCTCCGCTGCTCTGTACCGTGGCTCGCATGCGTTCGCCCGTCCAACGATCATCTCGAGAGTTCCCTCTCGACACCTCATGACACCTGCCGGTGTGCCCTCTCTATGTTCCTCCATTGGTTGTTCGTTTGTAGCTGAGAAACAGCATGTTTAAACAAAAGTCACTTGTACTCTTCAATATCAAAACAGATCCTCCCGCCCATTCCCTGCAAGAAACAAAGATCCCCCTCAACATGATCGACCCGGCCACGAATTGAATACCCAAATAAAGAAGGCGGAACAAAATCCACGCTTACTTGCACGACTCCTCCTCCAGCCGCAACCGTAGACTTGCGCGAAAAACCAGGTTTGTCCTTGGAGGATGAAGACAGGGCCGCCCGTAGCGATGGTGGCTGTCCATCAAGTTTACCATTATCCGTTCCTCCTGCTTTTGAAGGATTGCAATCGCAGTTTCCCTACTATCGAACTTGCTATTGAAAGAAGTCCCTGCCATGGTCAAAGGATGCCCACTTCCAAGGCACAGGAAATCCATTTCTTTATTGCACGTGTCGCGCCTCTCGTCTCGGTGGTCTTGCCGGGAGGAGAGAGAAGAATACGGTAAGCGCCCTGCTTTTGCACCTCTGCCTTGATTGTGCTTTTCATTGGCCTCTCTGCCAATCAGTTTTTGTGCAGAGGCAGGTTGTAGAAATGCGGCCTGCTTACTCTTCTCAACGCTCGGTTGCTTGCCGAGCCTCTACACAACATCACCCCCAGCCATTTATTTTCCTATCTCTTAGATTGTCTCAGATCACACTTGTTGCGCAAGGCGGGAGACACGATTACCTGCATAACGCATCTCTTTGATCATTGACTTGACTCGAGCATGCAAGAGCCATCGGATCCATCACGAACACACCGGGGCTTGTCGATGAATCAACACGGTACCTCAATCATTGTATTCACGCTTGGACGCAACTTTGTACCTATACCAAGCGCTATGCACAAACTTATGTCGGCAATTCAGACTTTCCAGTTTGCCCTTGCATGCAAAGCAAAAGCCATTGCTATATCAAAGCGTTCAATGCAACCGGAAAGACTCCGATTCTTTGGGATTGTGCCAATGTTATCGGTGCTCAATTGTTCGTCCTTTTGCATGAACTTTAAGGAGTGTGTTTTTGAGTAGATCTTTGCCCGCGTCGTGAAGGGCAACCCGTGAATATCCCGCGAACATTACGCCTCATGCCACTGTAGAAGCTGATCGATCTTTGTGCAAGGCATAACATACGCATGTTCCTAGTCTCGGTGCAAAGGCATGGCATGGCATACGCGTGTTCCTACTCTATGTTCCTTGCCTTTGCCCGTATGCCCACGACTCGAGCAACACGAGCTATAATAAGGCCAGCACATCACACGTCAACCACGTCAACTGTCAATGATGTTTGCAACCGAGAATACCTAAACTGTCACTTCTCCCACCTTTCGTCAATGGCTTGCTTGTTCGTCATTTGCCGTTTGAGGGCTCATCGCGATTCCTCAGATATCGAAGTTTGCGACCAGCCACCTTGATATGCGACATCGAGATTTGAAGATTCACAAAACGCACAGAGCCTCTCTCTCTCTGCGCTTTCCCGGTTTCTTGGGATTGCTCTCTCTCGGGTACGCATGCGGTTGCCAGTAAGGGCTGGGAGGCACGTACTGAGGCACGGATTATAACGTTCACGCATGAAAGATACCGGTACACAACCTCGGAGAGAGCCTCCCGAACCATCGTCTGCCTACGATATCGAGGTCTAATTGGAAAACACTCAAAACGCTCGCACATGAGAATCTCCCCGCCGCCGCCGCCGTTGCCGTGAGATGACCTCGATACCAAAAAGTCCCCGATGCTCATCTGAGACAACAACTGCATGCAGCAAATCAGCCAGTCGAGCCAGATAAATGGTATCGTCCTGCCAGCCATCCGAGACACCTGCAGAGTCGATCTCTATGTGTAACAATCCGAGTTCGTGTACTTCAAGTCGCAGCTGCACCTACCATGCTCAGCTCTCTGCAGAGCCTCTTTTCATCTATTCTCAAACAAATCGCTCGACCCTGCTTTGTGTAACCCTATACTTTCTGCAGGGAGCCTTACACAACATATCGCCCATCTGTCCTGCAAGGCACAAGTATTGGACAAGTCTCGAGGATAGATGTTGGGGGGTAAAGTAAATATTGATATATCAGATTTTGTGAGCCTCTTGTTGCCGTCCTTTGTGTAAAAAGCCATGGCAACCGGGTAATAGGCTTCTGAAGAAGTAAAAGTAGTACAAGAAGAAAAAATAAGTTGAAGAGAAATGAAAAGCTTTCAGAAGAGGATATCTAGTCAGAGGCAGATATTGAGCTAGTCGCTGTACGATATCAAGCCTTGATCAAGGATATAGCAACCTGACCGTGACAGAACAATTGGTTCGAGCAGTTGAATCGAGTCTCAAGTACATGTGTGTGCTTGCGTCCTCAGGTGTCTTATTTCTCAGCCGTGAAAAGACCCGTATTGTGAAGTTCGAGTGGAAGAGAAGCAAGAGAAAAGCTTCTCTTCCTCTGTTCCCTCGTTTTCCCTGTATCCCTGTCCCTCGCTCTTTTACATCATACAGCCTCTCCTCTTCTGCTTCCAGGATGACAAGATTTATTGCGTCTTCTTGGGCAGTCCAGCCTTNGCACGTTCGGCGAGATCACCCTGGGCGAGCCATTGACTGGCTTTGACGATCTGGATGACGTTGACCGACTGCTTGAACAACATTACGGGAGCAGAGATGCCGACCAAGATCCACGGGACGGTACTATCCATCTTGTTTGCTCTACATGACAGTCAGTATTCTTGCTCGAATATTCATTCCGGGTTGGAAGGAGGAAAAACTCACCTGGCCATCTCCATTGCGCCAGCGGACCAAGGGCTGGAGAAGATTGTCGAAGGCTTAGGNGGCGCGATTGGCGAACCAGGCTGTAGAGAAGCGCTCTCACCAGCGGGTTGCAAAAGCGAAGGACTGAGGTAGGGCGAAGAGAAGGCGAGTAGGTAGAGAGCAATGAAGAAGAGCTCGTTCAAAGCACAGCACACGAACAAGACGGTGCGGTTGTTGTAGTACAAGTACATGATCTTGCTCCTCTTTGCATCAATCTTCTTGTGGCTGCTGCCGCTGCCGCCCATGGCAAGAGTAGCGTACATGTGCATGTAGTGGCTGGTAAAGTCGAGACTGATGAGCAGTTGGAAGACCATGCTCCAGCGCGGCATGGCGGTTGAGAGGAAGACGAGGAGGCAGGTGGTGGTGCAGCGGTCCGTCACCATGTCCAGCACGGCTCCGAATTTGGTGGACTGATCAAAGGCACGGGCGGCGTAGCCATCGAGGGCGTCCAGCAGACATGATATGCTGTAGAGGAGGGCGCATGTTCGCGGATGGAGGGGCATGTAGTTTAGGGAGCCGATTGCGAGGAAGACACGAGCGTAACCTNNGAATTTCATGTCAGCTCTCGAATGCGCTTGAGAGGAACGAGCTCAGTTCAGAGCATGTTGAAGCTTACCAATCAAGTTTGGCACAAACATGAAGATGTTCTCTTTGGGCGCATCCACAGCAGTGCTCGTGCTAGGCACTTGAGCATCTTGCAGGGGAGCCTGAGCAGCGGCTCTGGCCGACATTGTGATTGTGTGTGGTTTCGGATGTTGACAGATGGGCTTTGAAGAGTGCCAGAGATTCAAGGCGCTGGATAGCGCACTAAGTCGTATATACTAGACAAAGTGTCTTGTTCCCGGGACTTGAATGGTTGGTGGGCTGATGCCGAGTCCGTGTAGGAGTTAGAGTGACAGGAACAGAGATGATGTGATTTGGCGAAAAGGCGCGAATGAAGGTGGTAAGACACAGCTCCAAATCGGTTGTAACTTGTCAGAATCAAGAGTGTCAAAGTAAAGGGGATGCTTCTCAAACTTTGGACGAGCACCTCAAGAAAGCTCCCAGAAATCCATCGCCTTGGCACCATCTAATTCGGCTTGACTTCCGCCAGCCTCCGAGCAATTTCCTATCTCGGGCCATGTCACTGTTATCTCCGTCACCTCTTACTCTCCAACTGCACCACGAACAACACATTACAATACTCTACAATTTTCATTGGGTTTTCTTTCGACTTTCCATCTATCCACAATTCTCTCATCCTGCCTCATTACTAGAGTCTGTTGCTCTTTGTGTCTCAATCGCGTGCCATCTTTCACACCCCTTCAAGAACCAGAATCTCCAGTAACTCTTGTCCCATCATGCTTGCAATGCTGCGAAAAACAAAGAAACAATTCTTGACAATTGTCAACACATTCAATCAACTCCTTTCCTTTTTCCTGACATGAAATTCGTATCATTGCTCGTCAATCACTCAAGACTGCTGAGCAGAATAAGCCTCCTTCATGACCGAGTTCTTGGTCACACTTCCTGAGAAACGGCCAGTGCCTCCGGTGAGGTAGCCATCATACTCGACCTCTTCGGCGAGCTTTGCGTCATTCCAGCCAATTGTCATGCCCCATGCGTGGTGAAGAGCATCTGTCTCGTGCTCAGACATGTACTGTACGATCGTGCCAAGGAGCTTGTCCTGGGTAGTAAGCATGGCCGGTGATAGAAGGCTCTGGCGACGGACAAAGTGGCGGCTCATGCGGAACGCTGCAGGTGCTTCTATGTTGTTCTGGTCGCCAAAGGTTGGAGCACGGAGCTGTACGTAGCCGCATGAACTGAACTCAGCAGACACGAGGCCATTGTTGCGTGGTTCGGGTGCGGGCTCAAACTCGTCGCGGGGTTGATACATTTCGAGTGTAGGTCCTGGGCTTATCTTGTCGATCACCCAGACCCATGAACCAATGCGGTGACCCTCGTACCAAGGTCCATTATTGACCTGAGGCGGAGGAGCGATTTGAGCTGCGGGCTGAGGGGCCAAAGGCCAGCCAGCGGCTTGAGGAAGGGTGGTGGTTGGAATGGTGGAGGGCCTCCGTTTTGTGGCAATTGGGCTGCACCGGCCTGCTGTTGCTGCTGCTGCNGGAAGCTGATAGAGCAATCCAGGTTGGGGCATCGGCGGACCATTGCCAGCGGCAAGTCCGGCCAACATGCCATGGATTTGCTGCATCGTCATTCCCATCGGGTGGTTCGTCCAAATTTGAGGGACCTGATAGAGTACAATACCCTGCTGCTGTGTCGTGGCATTCAGAGTATGAATCATTGCCTGAGCCCATTGTTGGACAGGCATACCCGGGGGCGGACCTTGCCAGACCTGGGCGCCGAACTGGGCAGCGAAATTACCACCTAGCATCATCATACCAGGTCCCTGAGCTTGTTGAGGAAACAGGTTCGGATTGACCATCAGGTGATTGTTGGGATTGGCCACGGCAATGTTGCCGCGTGGCATAGCAGTAAGCGAAACAGAGTCAAACCTAATCTTCTTGAGAGATTCTGTGCGCAGCTTCTTGACTATCGCCACGATGGAGATGGGTGTAAACCAGCAATTGGAGAAAGTAAGATCTCTGATATGTGGCAGATCGATGAGTTCGTCATCCTTTGGAACAATGGCTGTTGAGCGAGCAATGGCGGTGATGGGGGCAGGCAAGATGTGGTGGTTACGAGCAAAGATGCCCTCAGCGTGCTCGCCACCGGCAGCCCAAGAGAAGTTGAGCTTGGTAATGTTCGGTCTAACACCGATGTAGTCTTGAAGCAGACTGTATGTCTTGTCGATGGCGACCGAAGGATCGATGTCCTTGGTCTCGACGATCTCAGCCTCGTCTCTCTCGACGGTGCGCCAATCAGGGATGACAGCTAGTGAAGCCTCTTGCAACTTTGGAAGAGCGGTCCAGAAGTCGTGACGACAGAGTAAAGGTACCAGATGGCTGGAGACGCGGAAGTTCAGGACCGACACCTTGTCAAACACCGAGCTGTTGTCCACGACGCCGAGCATGTATGTGGTGAGGAATGCTCTCTGTGCCCATTCGGCCTCCAAGAGCCACTCCTTCTGGTGAGTGTTCAAGCTGGCAGGACTGAACTTCTCAAGTCTCCTTGAGTATTCCAATCTCTGAGCTTCGGCGTGGGATGATTGGTCGCGTGTGTCGGAGGGAGAAATGTATAGGACTCCTGTCTCAGTAGCGTTGTGATCTTCGTTATCGACAACACCAGGCACCATGGCGACAATTTGCTGGGCAGGAGCAGTGGCCCACAGAGAAGGGNNGGAGGCGTATGGGGTGGTTGAGAATGGAAGACGCAAGAAAAAGTTCTCCTCCAGGTTGACACGTTCGAGTGAGCCCTCCTTCAAGTCGTCCAAAGCACCTAATCTGGCATGTGCGGACTCGATAGACTCCCACAATCTGATGCGCTCTTGTTGTTGTGCGTCCACTATGCCGTGCGAACAACCGAAAAGGGGAGAAGGTCGCTGCAGAATCATACTGCGTAGCGACTTGTCAGGACCGCTCATCCATCCAAGGCCGCTGTCCATGGAAAGTGCAAGCTGCTGAACAACTGACAAGTGTGAGAAGGCCAGCTTCATTTGTGACGTCTCGTCTGCTGTACGTTCAAGACCAGCCAGTAGTTCGTAGCGTGTATACTCCTGTGATGGCCATTCATATGAGCCAAAGTAGCTTTCGTGGCTGTCAAGTTTGTTCTTCTTGGGTGGGTTCTGGAGGGCGTCTTCCTTGATCTCAAAACTCATGCCGAAGCGACGAATGTGGTGGCCAAAGCCTTCGAAGACCTTGAGACCGTGACCGCGATAGACCTTATCTTCTGTGTCGTCCAAGGCGTTCTCCCAAAGCAGTGAGCCGGGATCCAGGTCGACAAAGTTGTTGACAGGGTCGTCGGCTCTGCGCTTGCCCTTGAGGTTGCGCTTTACCACCTTCTGCTCAATCATCTCGTAGAGTTCCGTGTTGAATGGAACAACAACAGTGTCAAAGAGAGAGCCTGACACACCACGTTCAAACTCCTTGCTTACCAGACGCATCGACTTGATGTCATCGCGGGACAGGTGTTGGTTGATGAGTTCGAAGAGTTCAACAGGAAACTCACCAGGGACCCATTGTGCTCTTCTGGCTGTCAGTTGAGAGGCATCAATGCTTTGCTTGTGCGAGGGTTGGATCATGAAACGCTTGTTCTTGCTCTTGTTCTTTCTCTTCTGTGACACGGGAATGAATGGCAAGAAGCGCAGCGTAGGCTCGGGTGTGTTGCGATCCAGCTGATAGATGAGGAGAAGTGCAGGGTTGTCGGGATATGTTGGTTTCTTGGCCGAACGTTCGTCTTCACAGGCCAGTCCGACATCGATGTTGCGCGGACCCCAGACATGACGAGGGAATTGACTCGACTGCGGTACGTTGTTGTCGACACCCGTATAGCGAGCCAGAGACAATTCGCCGTGAGAAGGCCACAGTCTCACACCACCCTCCTGTGAGCTTTCTGAGGTGTCAGATGATATGTCATCGCTGTCAGCGGCAGACAGAGCTTGCAGATCAGTAGGCGCAGAGGCGGATTGATTCTTGGAAACGATCTGGCCCATGTTCAAGAGAGGTCCGTTGCGTCGAGAGTTTACCGAGCGATCGCCAACAGGGGCTGAGGTTGAAAGATCGTCGGCGTCAACATCAACAGCGGGTGGGTGGGATGCAGAAGATGGACCGGCATCATTATACTGCATTACGGTGTTGTGGTCCCGCATACTGACAACACTCTGTGTGATTCCTTGCTCAAGCGCTGAGTTCAAGAAGTTGGGGTGACTTGTCTCGCGTAGTTGTGTTGAAGGGAAAATGCGAAAATTGGTCAAGGACGTTGTTTGCGCTGGCACACCCGATCGAGTCGAGTCTTGTTGTTCAAGCCAAGAGGAAACGAATTCAGTCGGACGCGGTTGGTCAATCGCAATCGAAGACGGATTCAAACGACGTCGACGACGGTCTCGTGGATCCGGCGGAGACTCTGCTCGACGTGCTTCGCGGCGTGCTTCACGACGTCCTTGGGACATGGTCTCCAGCTGCCAGACGACTCTGTCTCTTGCGTTGCAGGCCGCGATGGAGATTAGATTCGAATACCACCATACAAGAAAGAGGTTGACGACCCGGCCAAGTTATTATATCGTTTCAATCTTGGGAAACAAAAACGCATGTGCGACCTGGTGTTTCGGGCAAAGCAGGTTGTTCCGTTTGTAACATCTGACCTTGTAGCTCAAGGCGTGATACGCGGTACGTTCGACCAGGTTTACAACATGCAATATGCGAGCAATGATATATGATGCGAAGGGAAGTAGGTATGTATAAGCAAACAGTCATCAAGGTGTGCTTGAGCTGCCAGGCACCAAGTCAGAAAACACCCGCAGATCGGCAGCGCGGGGTCTTCATGTCGTCAACGCTGTTTCTGATGGTTGAGCCTTTGAAGGCAACAGAAGGTAGCAGAAGGCAGCAACAACCTACTACCCAGCATCGCATGAGACTATAGCATTCCTGTGTGCTGAACACTGTCACATTGTAGCTATATAAATGCACAGTACTGTCTATAACGGTATGGTGTCCATGGAGTAGATCATTCCAGGCCATCTCGATGGCCACGTTTCTCTCTGGAAAGCGACTGTGCATTCATATAGCTTAGAACATCACGGTATTTCATCGCGGGAGAGCCGATCGTGAGGTAATCATCAATAAAGGTAAGGGTATCATATCAACATAAAAATCAGGATCAATCCACAACTTTACTCGTCCTTCTCAGAGTAAATCCTGAAGCTCGCAAATTCCCAGTAAGCTTTCTGAAAGGCTGTGGCATTCGTCGCGACAAAGTCCTCGCACTTGCCAGGACATTTGAATTGGCTCGAATAAACACTACTTGCCCAGGAACCGCAGAAGTCAATGTTTGCAATGATGGATTGGTTTTTGAAGTGGGAGCCAATATCGCAGTCGGTGCTGGGGAAGTCGGCAATGGGTAGACCCCATGTTGAGGGGTCAGGAGTAGTGTCGTTGTTTGGTCTGAGATCTCCAGGAGGTGAGTCGCGGTTGAAGATCCACATACGAATGCCAGCGTCGCGAAGCTCCATTGCGTAGACTGCACCGCCATCATCGTTCGCTTCTGCGCCGTATGAGCTGGAAGCTCCCATCACTGCACAGCCAGCGTTGTCGTTGGTGCCATTGTAGCAGTTGGTACCATGGATAGTGCCGGTTTGGGCGCGTCTGCCATTCATCTGGCATCCTTTGGAGGTATGCAAAGCCATCTGGTTTCCAGTGTTTCCTTGATTCACGGTTTCGACGACATCAATCTCTCCATTTCCAGGCCAATCGCTAGGATCGGCAAGCCAGACAGCAGGCCATGTTCCACAACCGTAAGGGGTGTGCTTGATGTCGAATACGAAGAGGCCAGAGTGGAACTGTTTCTTGGATGTGATGCGTACGGAGTTGCGACCGTTCTTTGCGTTGTCGTCCGTAGAATCTGCTCTTAAGAAAGCAGAAGAGTCGCCAGCGTATGTCAAGTTGGTAGATATGGCAGTGGCTTGATCCACATAGCTNAGATATATATTAGAGCTACGTCTCTCATTGGACAATGTGTCTTGTTCAGAAAGTATTGTGCATTTCTGTAGTGGTGCTTACTTGACAAAGCCATTGGCGGGATCTGATGTAGAGTGATAGTCGAAGTTATCGAAGAAGTTCGTTCCTTGCCATCTATCTTCGAGCGTATAGTTGAGGGCATGATAATCCGGATACGAGGCCTTGGGCTTGCTATTCTTGCTGCCCTCAACTGCTGCAACAATGATAACGATGATGGCGACGATAGCTGCAATGATGCTAGTAATTTTCCATTTCTTTTGCCAGCCCATAGGGTTCCATTTTGAGGTCGTAGGCGCCATTTCCATATTGTTTAGCTGTGCGCCGTCATATGCAGTTTCTGGCGAAGTGCCTCCTGGGAGAAAAGCCTTGTTTTCTTGCATCTTTGCAACAGATAAAAGAGGTAGATGTGGTGCGAGAGGAGCGATAGGAAGCAAAAGATTTGGCCTGCGACCAGGGCAGAGGGCATAGATAAGTCACGACATGATTGATCACCCTACCTACTCGTAAAAATCACCACAGTGACAAGAGCAAGACGATCTGTACAGGGATCCCATTGGGAGGGTTGTGGTACTCCAGACGAAAGAGGCCCACAAATTCCTCTGCGGGTTCGTCTGTCTGCAGCGCTTCCCGCCGACGCGTCAACGGGTGGATGCGATTCAGAGTCGGATCCTCGTTTTAGAACACCCCATGCGCCAAAGTCTGTAGCTCCCATGCTCTCCATCTGATGGCTCAGAGCGACGTGTAGACTCTGGAGGAAGTATAGAAAGGCATGAACGTCTCCGGATCAGAGACGAATCCAAAGAGCGCCGACCGAACCTCGTCTCTCCGTGGACACTACCCTGCTCCTTAAAACCATTGTGCATTTGCAAAGCTACCCACGTCACATGTCTTTGCAAATGGGGAAACCACAAACCCTGGTACCACTCGTGGGCTGCACGAGGATTCGAGTCGAAGTTGTTGAGGTTCCTGCAAAGTGCTCTGACGTTCGTGGGTCCTTGCACCGTCTCGGATCAAGGAATTTCGTCCCAGGCAACCCCATGCACAGCACAACACACAGTGACGATCACTGCCAGGCACAGGGGTTGTGTGAGGGTCTGCTCTCGTGTGCAGAAGAGTCTCATTGCTATTCTTGTGTTTTGTGTTTCGTATCAGGACGCTTTCGTTGCTTTTTACGACTTTGAGCCATTCCTTCAAGGTAAGAGTATCTCGACTCGAGGAGGATCAGGCAGACCGAAACGTCAAGTTTGATAGAGGATAGAAATCAGGTACAAGGTTTACACAGCCATCACGGTTTCAGACTACAGTCCGAATTTATTCCGGTATGCACTCGAGTATCTGCATGTGTTCTCGGACGAGCTGTTTACAGCTGCACAAACAGCGTAAGCTATGGTGACCGGCACTGGAGAAAGAAAGGATAGGTTAACTCTTGTGGGTGGGTATTGACATGTGTGGTATAATTGTTGTATCTTCCCCAACTTCAACGTTGCATTTGTTCGTGACCTCGCATTCGTCTCTTTGACTTAGAACTCCTTCATAGTGTCTCCTCTTCTCTTGCCACGGAACTCGTACTTGCCCTATAAATAATCGCAGTCAGTATTCGTTATGTCAAGAATAGACTGCGCCTTCTTGGGCCGTAATTGGAGCCTGAAGGTGGACGCCTTGGGCTGGCGAAGTTCTGCTCGTGCGCTTCTCGTAGCCTTTCTTTTGGTGCAAAGAGTCGTGTCGCCCTCGCCGTTGTCCACCCCAGTGGTCGTTCGAACTCCGTCCAATGCCGTATTTCTTCCTCGATGTACCTCCTCTTGTTCACCCCTCTGCGTGCGATTTCCCACTCTTGACGCCCAGCTCTTGCGGTCCGAGATTATGAATATAGCGACTCACATCAGTCTTGTTGGCGACGTAGTAAAGCGAGCTAGGAATAGCGACAGCGAAGAGAATCGAGAGCCAGGCAGTACGGGGAGTCCATTTGAAGTGTCTGTAACGGTCCACTTGCATCTCTGCGGTCGCAGTCAGATTATGAACATCGTCGGCGCATTCTTTCAGGCGGGGAGCATACGGTTGTACTTGACCAGCGCCGGGTCAAAGGCGAGACCTGTGAGGGTGTTAGTGGATGGCGCCGCGGTCAATCTGGGTTCCAGGAAGTTGCGCACTGTTGTGACCACCGCCAGCCATCTTGAATTGATGTGTAGCTGTGATTTAAAAGTGGGTATTGGGAGAGTTGTGTCGTGCACACCTTCAATGCCGTTGCTGTCGCTGACGTTCGAGATTGCCAAGAGCTGCTCCGATATCACGTGCAGCGGAACTCTGTCGACATGATGGCTTTGCCTGATCATGATCTCGCTCTTGCCTGTGATCGTGATGCCTCGGCTCGCCGAACATAGCTTATCTCGGCCTTGTGAAGCAGATCAAAACAAATTGCCTCGAGTGCTCTTTGCTGAAGAAATAATCTGTCTTCTTGTTTGTAGACATCCAAAGAACCCATCTTCACAAGTCGCATATCAGCAGTAAGTCGTTATCTCGTTTCCGTGGACACTCCGTTGGATCGGTACAAAGGATCAGGTCTCTTGACGTTTCTGCCATCCTCTCCTCACTCAATATCAAGAGCTATCCACTATCTTTTCTCAACACATCTTTCACCTTCTCCTCATCGTGTAACACTGTAGATCGCTTTATGTCTCGAGCCTTTCGTATATGCGCCGTGAAACAACTAAACCCCAAATCTAACTTCCATCAGTCGTACAGATCCTTCATCATGGCAGCCGAAACTCCCAAAGTCACTCTATACTGGTAGGCAAATTCATCGACATATCATGATTTCTTGATAGCAAAATCCAACAGAAAATCATGCAGGCTCGACAAATCCAGAGCTCAGCGCTTCATCTGGCTCCTCGAGGAATGCAATGTCGACTACAACATCCAAGTCTTCAAGCGCACTCCCGAAATGCTCGCCCCTCCCGAGCTGAAGAAAGTGCATCCATTGGGCAAGTCTCCTGTCGTCGGTATTGCCGCGCCTGGTAGAACTGACCCTCTGATCCTTGCCGAGTCTGGCTTCATCACCGAGTACTTGACCGAGCACTTTGCTCCTCACCTCGCACCCAAGAGATACGAGGACGGCAAGGAGGGCCCCGGGCTTGAGACCGAAGAGTATTTGCGTTACCGCTTCTTCATGCACTATGCTGAGGGCTCGTTGATGGCTTTGATGGTCACCAACCTCATCTTCAGCNTGTAAGATCCTATCCCAAGCACACCTTTAGCCCTTGATCACTAACGATATATCCTCTTTACAGTCCTCAAAGGCGACAAAATCCCCTTCTTCCTCCGCCCCATTACCGGCACCATCGTCGGCAGAGTAGACGCCATGTACTTCAAACCAAACTTCAAAACCCACTTTGACTNNTTTTTGGAATCGCAACTCGCCACTGCACCCAACGGAGGAGGTTTCCTCTGCGGCAAAGACCTCACTGCCGCTGACATTTTGATGTCGTTCCCTCTGCAGGCTGGCCAGAAGAGACTGAAGATTATCAATGCGACTGACTACCCAAAGCTGGATGCTTATGTCAACAAGCTCGATAACATGGAAGGATACAAGAGGTCGATTGAGAGGATTGAAAAGGAGACTGGTGAGTCTTTTGCTGTTATGATGGGTGCTGAGTAAGATGCGAGGAAGGGTCGCTTTCTGTTATTGAGTGTTGCATTTGTTTCATGATTTTCGAGATACCATTTCTACAAAGTTATATGTCTTGCTTTCTTGGTCGTTTTCATTCTTGGGAGGTTTTGTTGCTATTACTTTTCGTGATTTCTTTCTGGTGTCTGTTATCCTCGTCTACTGATCAAGTGACATACGATGCTTGGGAGTTGCCGTTTGCTGACTGCTTTGTTCACAGATGTCAAGTACGACCTCATCTGAGTCTACTCGTTCCATCCATCCATCATGTTTCTTTCGATACTGCACTACTGCACCCATCACTCAGCTCGTTATTTCGTCGGTCGTTCAGCATATAATCCCAACTCGTTTCCATCTAGATACATCCCATAGTTTTGCTTCGGCGGGTCTTCCACTCTTTGATTGAGCTCTTAATGATATAGCAGGGTTGCTTGGTCAACTTGAATATACTCAAGCACGGGCCTTGCATTTTTTTCTGCCCATTCAATGTTGAGCCGCGATCGTACTCCTCCACGATGAAGCTGCGGAAAAAGTCAGTGCTTCTTCGATGATATAGATCTTGCCCCGCTTTGAGGCTTAAAAATAACAAGCAAAGCACGACATCTCGTCACCCTCTGAGAGAGACGACCTGTATTTGCGAGATGAGGAACGATAGGAAACGGAAAAGTGTTTTGCAAGTATTTATTTTCATTTCTCATATGGCCATCAAGACCGAGTAGCCACTTTGTGTGGATGCGTGGGAGAATGCTAGACTAGTTTTACAATAAAATTCGGAGGCATTGGTATCGTTGATCGTTGAAGCAGGTCCAAGGAAAATAGAAAGCGAAAAGCTTAAGCAGAGTCGGGGATTCTATCCTCAGCGTTGGAGATGTTGCTGCGGGTACCACCCATGGCCTTGTCGCTCTCGAGGTTGCGCTGGCCGGCGTGCTCGGGAAGACGAGAGTCGACAGTCTTGCCTTGAGCGCCAGAGAGAAGGCCGTCAAGACCAGTGCCGGCGTTCTTGTTGTGCGAAGAGCCGTCGTGTCTCAGCTCAGCGGAGGACTGACCTTGGCCGGGGTGACCAAGACCGGTGTGGACCTGCTGGGAGGTGGCACCGCCGATGGTATCTGATGCACTGACACCGCCCTGAGCAGGGGTAGCATCAGCATCGTTGTTGGGCTTGAAGGTGNNCTGGAGAAGGTCAGTAAGGATCGCGAGAAATGAGCAATTGACAAGAACTTACTGCTCAGGAGGAGCGGTGCCAGCAGGAAGGGTCTGGGCGTGGAACTCAGGAGCAGCGTCGTTGCCGACGAGCTTTCCAGGCTGGTGGCCAGTCTTGGTGAGAGGCTCGTCTCTGGGAGCAGAGGCGTGGAAGCCGTTGGGGTCAGAGTTGGCGGAAGCCTCAGCGTTGCGGGATGCCATTATGGTTGATGTGAAGGTGGATTGGTTTGATTGAGTGGATTGAAAGTGTCGTGTGACTTGAGTTGCAGGAATTGATGAGAGAAGAGAGTGTTTCGGTGTCGAGCTCAAGCTCTTTTGAATAAAGCTACGAGAGCTCCAGAAGCTCCTGCGTCACTGAGCGTCATGCATGCATGTGAGTCGCTCCTTCCAGAACTGAAAGTCTAAAGGTCGAGTGATGACATTTCCCACACTATCCTCTCACTACTCCTTCACTGCTCTTCTGATTCCTTCTACGATCGTGTCCTCAGCTCGATGGAATGGATCAATCACGATTGTTAGGTGATATACCATTTGTATTGCGATTCGTAGCTGAAATGCTGACTGCTGGTTGCGGCCTTGTCACGGCGACTCTAAATGTCTCCACCTCAGGACAACTGACAGAAGTTGTCTTATCAATGCTCCTTCCTCCAACACTTCAGCTTAACAGTAGTCTTCTTGCTGCATCATGTATTGCTGACCCTTTTGGGAAGAGCGATCTGAGCCTGAAGAGAGGGAGATCTCGGAGATGGAATTAAGCTGATCGCTTTCTCTATTAGACAAGCATAAAGAAGGAGTCTTTCATGTTGGGCTTTTGGTTGCTGTAGTACAGGTAGAGATGGCTGTGTTTGTTGGACAAACAAAGACCATGGCAGACGAAGGTACTTGTGATTGAGTGAAGGTTGTCCAAACGACTTGTTGGGTGACTGCATATGATTGACTACTCGAAAGTTCTGGTAGGATGTGAAAGTAGGTTGCGAGCTCGTCTTTCACTCGTTCAATTTTCCGTCTGTTGTTATTGTCGTATGCGCTTCTCTTCTCTACGCTTCTTGAAATCTTCTCACAACACCCACAAACACGACCGCGGTTCAATATCCACCATCTCATTCTCATTCTCATTCTCCATTGACTTTCCCACCATTGGAAAATCATCATCACCATTATCCCCACCACACGCCCCTAGCTGTCCTCAATTACATGCACCATAGATAACATGGCGCCTGTCTACATCGAGTCGCACGCATCTACGAAGACCCCCAACACCTATATCCCGCCCCTGGAACGCCTGGATCTGACCATGTCAAAGGATGTCCTCAAGAAGGCGCCTGTCTTCACCTGCGCGCACCTGAACTATCTGGAGTGCCATGGCGAAACCGTCTTTGCCGACGACAGATCGGCAAACCTGTTGATGAATGCACTGCGTCTGCACTGGAAGGTCAAGGGAAACACTCTCAGGAACCCATCTGACCAAGGCGGAGAGCTTTATGAGCTCCTCGTCTTGGAAGTCGACGGCCAACAAATCATCAGCAACCTCTTCACCAAGGAGGCGCTGTACTATCTTCTCGGATGCGAGTTTCCCGACGCCATGATGATTCTGGCTGCAATCACTCACGATATCTACCTCGCTCAGTGGCATATCTGGGGCAACGAACAGAACCAAAAGCACAAGCAACAAAGCCAGTAGGCCACTTCCAATCAACTAAGCAACATTGTGCTTGCATTCAGAGGAAAGATCGCCCCTGAGCTGAGAAAGTGGGCCGAGAAGACAGTCGCTCAGCATCTTATGGCGATCGTAACCCCTGGACACCTGCCACCCGCCTTTACAGGCAGCAACAAGACCCTTTCTCCCGCCAGCGACTCGGCTCCAGACCCCTTGAGCNCCCAACACTACTCGTCCTGGCCATCACAGCGATAACAGCAAGGTCCCTACAACCGCCACTACGAGTTACCATTCCGCCCTGCCACCAAGCGCAAGTCTCCTGGCTCTCGCTCAAACTACCGTACCTCGCCTTCCATTAAGAGAGTGAAAACCAAGAACGAACGCATCCACTTCAAGGATTCCAGGGCCCACGACCTGTACCGACCTTCCGGCCCCAAGCGTCCTACCTAACGCAACGGCCATGGCAGATTGGAGTCCCGTGATCTTCACACCCTCTCTTCCGCCGACATGTACGCTCATGTCGACGGCCACAAGCAGGTCTCTGATGCCACCACTCACGAAGAACGCTACAGAGCAAAGCTCCAAGACGTACGCACAAGATACAATACAGCACAGCAGAAGTCTGATGGCATCACCTGCATTGACTTTGCTGTCTCTGGCTCTGACTCATACCCCAACAGCTCTCAGGAGCACGAAACTCCGGTCTTTAATGGTCCCTCATACACCGACTATCTCCGTAAGAAGGAACAAGATGCCGAGTCCTCTCTGCCTATCAACAAGGCTCTCACAGCCAGCCATATTCGCAACAAGAACGACGTTGGTTCAGAAGAGGGCGAAATCTTTGAATAATCAGGTTCCTACAAACAGTGCTCTGACAACGATCTCTCAAATGAAGCGTACATCGCTCAACTTCTGGTAGAACAATCCGATTGTATTTGAAGAGACTCAAGGATCGACATCAACGGCAGTCTCATCGCTGCTTTGGAGAGCACATCTTCTTTGATTCTTATCGGGAAACACCAACCCATCAGCACGTTGTTGCCCATTGAGACAAACATCTTTTGTCATTCCCTTTGTTCTTGCTTTTATGTCCCTTTGGTTTCTGCCTTGATACTCCACTATTCCCAGTCTTTCTTTCCTTGGTTACACGCATGACCCCCTATTTTCAGTCTCTTCTGCCCTTTGGCGAGCACAAACATTGCAGTAGCATTACAGTCCAGTCTCTCTGCTCCGACTTCAATGCAAGCAATCCAGTCTACTATCGTGCAATCCTCCAGTCCTTATCATTGTCACTTTGAGATTTACACGATCTGGTATTCGTTCATCGACCGGAATATTGTACTTGACATCACTGGTTGTACGAAGGCAATTATTCCGTCGACATCGTACCGCGATACCATGGCCTTTTCGATGTGCTTGAACCACCTCAGTTCCTGTCCCGACTTCTTGTGCGTAAAGTTGTAGGGAAGGGATTGATGCACACTGCATCGCTCTTTCATACCGGTTTTTGCTTCTATTTTTGCATTGAGGTATGCATTCTTGTCTCATGTAAAGGGTTGTGACACGTGTGTATCTGAAGATGCAGAGTTGTATTTAAGATGTGTGATGTATCCAGAGAGAGCTCATAAAGGCGATTGACTTCGGTGGATATTACTCTATTTGCTGAAGGTATCATACATTTCTATCGCTCATGTGTTGCTATATGCTATTGTGGAAGAGAGTGCAGCGACATGCTTTCGACAAGTAGAATGAGGAGCGAAGAAGCCAATTATAAAGATTGTATAATACTATTGCTCTACTGTAAACGTTTTATGCCCAAAGAAACGCCACGCTCGCTATAAAAGAGTGAGATGTAACGAACCCCCAAATGCCCAAAAAGTAACTCCACCCAAAAAACGCTAAATGCTATGATCATATACATGCAGCACAATGTTCGTACACGTTAGATCCTCGTCTCATACATACCTTTATGTTTTTTCTTTTCAAATCGTGGTTAGTATATTCACTCCTTATGCCAACAATCTTTGCTGCTCGCTGGCTTCAACTTCCTGCTCTTCCTCGTCTTGGACAACAATGTGCACAATCTCCTGTCTGTGTTCCTCGGGAGGCATAAAACGGCAGGGGAGCGCGCGCACTTGATGCCATTCACTGCTCTTCTTGCGGTTGATGAAGAAGACCTGAATGGCACCGATGACGGCAACAGCACCGCTGACCCACCACGCCAAAGCCGTAAAATCGATATCAATACCGATGCCGTAGAGAATACCTGCGATGGGNGAAGCGAGCGTGCGGCAGGCGGCGCCAGTGCTGGCAGCCAAGCCGTTGATCTTACCCAGACAAGAGGGTGCGGGAGAAGCTTCCTTGAGCAGGATGAGCATAACGGGATAAACGAGGATGGCAAAGATGTTGCGGATGGTGAGGCAGGCGTAGATGCCGGGGTACAGCCACTCTTCGGGGAGAAGCACCAAGTAGGGCACCACAATGTATGCGATAGGGTGCAAGACAGTGGTGACAATGAACAACTTCCAAACACCCAGCCAAGCTGCTGCCAGAGGGAATACGATGGCTTGGACGCCCAATGCAATGATGCCGTTCACAGACATGACGACGCCTACATCTTGAATTGTCAATCCGAGACCGCCAGCCATTGAACTTAGCTTGTTTCCGTGGACTCTGCTCTCCACACGCGAGTCCTGGAAAAAGATGGGCAGGAGATGATCGTAGGACATGCTGTGGTACGTGAAAATGCCGAGAGCAATAATCAACATGACCACACGCTTGGTAAAAACAGCTTGATCCTGGGGCTCTGCTTCCTTTGGCGCATCCGTTCCATCGGGCAAAACGTTCCACTCCTGATCTTGGACGACCTTGTTGAAGGTGCCGTAAGATTCGCTGTGCAAGTCGACTGCAGCTGTGAACGTTCCGGCCTGAGCAGCCAAAAGTGGAGTTTCGGCTTCAGTGTGCTGGAGATCATCTTCCGTACTCCAGGGTTGCATATCAGGGTGAGTCTCCTCGAGGAAGAAGAAGCCGCAGACAATTGAGAACAGCATCAAAGCTGAACAGATCAGGTTGGGAAGCAGGTAGGGGAACTTGGCGAAGATTCCGTGGGGAGAAAAGACCTCGGGAAAGTTTTCTGCTGGAGCTGAGAAGATTCCACCGATTGAAGGACCGATGATGGTGCCGATGGACCAGACGAAGGGCATAACCGAGTATGCGCGAGGTTCATGCTTAGGGTTGACGGTAAGCTCTCCGACCATAGTCTGAATGACTCCAATGTTTCCGTTAAGGAAGCCTCCAATCGCTCTTCCAGCAAGAGCCATCCAGAAGTTAGTGGAAACGCCGACCAAAAGGAGGGAAAGCATAGTGCCTGCACTTCCCAAGAGCAAAACAGGCTTGCGCCCGATACGGTCTGAAAGACCTCCCCAGTACNNCTGCGAAAATGTCAGTTTTGCGACGAGAACGTACTTTGATCAGCTTCTGAACACTCACATTCCTGTCAGAGATTCAGCAAGAGCAAAGGCTGAGATCAGCAAGCCGGCATAAAAGGATGCATTTGCGCGATCAGTTACATTAAAGTCGAGCACGAGTTTCCAGGCATAAGGAAAGATGGAGGTGAGAGCGATCGGCTCGGCGACTCGAACGAGTGCTNNGCGAGGATGTTAGATTCGTCTCATCGAGGCGAAAAGAACAACAAACTTACCCAAGAAGAAGAGCTGAGAAGTGGGAAATTTGTTGAAATCCCGGCGCTGTCTCTGAGGAGGAGACATGAGGTCGGGGATTGTTTCACGGGTGTTGTAGAGGCTTCAAACAGAATGCGAGGCTTATTGAAAAGGTAGTATTCTGATGTGAGGTACACGTTTGACAGTCGGTCCTCAAGTAGCAGCAGAATGTGTAACAATGTTGTCGCTGACGAAGATTTGGAGGAAGGCGACGAGGGAGAGATGTTGGCAAAGGAGAAAGATCTTTTGTATGTAGCGGCTCGACCTTCTCTGATTGGCCAGCGGATATGCTATCTTCGGACGCTAAAGAAGACCAGGAATTTCGGGCATGGTTTTGCGGAGGCGAGGTTTCCGTTACTTGATGCTTCATTTCCATTACCCGGCCAGCCTCATCGATCGGAAGATGCTCTAATCCTCGATTGATTCAACAACTTCATCTTGAGGCATCGCAGTGGTTACACCGAGGTACAATACCGTGTGCATGTTTCCATGTTTCTTCTGATGTGAGCGAGTTATTGTGGCATGCAGCATTGATGGTCGCAAATCGTTAGAGACAGACGGGACTGGGGCGTTGAGCGCGTCTTGTGATTGATCGGCTCATTCCCAGACTTGGGATAGCTCGGTCACGGCTATGTGGACGCGGGGAACATGAAGCTGGTTGTGTCGCGTGAGTGGTTGAGATGGCCACCAATACGGTCACTCTGTGTCTCCTCACAGTTCGAGATGGTTCTGCAGATGGGGAGTAAAGGTCTCTCTTGACCGACACGTATCGCCTGACAGCAACATTGTCTGCTATGTCTAGTTGTAAGAAGATGGTCTCAGTCTGCTTCTGTATCGGCAATTAAACCCAATATTTCCTCAGCTCTGCGAACTTGTGGACGGCAGAGGGCAAGCCCGGCGCAGGGTTGACCGTTCGCTGATTGTAACAACAAACACGAATCTCACCGTCGAAAAAGGCTGTTGAGAACAGCCGGATTGTGGGGTCATGGCGATTCGTTCGCCGAGGAAGAGGATAGATATATGACTCGGCGATGTGTATCAATTGAGTGTTTCGGATATGAAGATGGTATGAATGAGGGATATGGAGCAGCCATTTGCCAGTTGGAGAGGAAACACAGGTTGTTTGTGAAGGTAACCATGGACGATGCAAGGCTTACAGTGGCCCATGTTACCCATGTCTGTCGAACATTGGATTGAGATGCAGAACACACGAAATGGAAGAGTGTGTGAAGCAAGATATTGGCAGCTAGGTAGCTTTTCCACTGACGCGGTGTGGTCGAATATTTCATCAAGCATAGGCACTTATCAAAGTGGTCAGGTAACGACAACAACCTGATTCCAAGCTCTCTAGGAAAGAGGATTTGATGAAAGCTTACTAGCCACGCCTTCTACGCTTCGATTTGGAAACACCCGGACTGAGGATCCCAGCACGTAGTGTTGTTGATGACTTGCATTGCTCATTACTGGTGCCATGTCTTGTCAAACTTGTGCTTACAATGCGAAAGGTTGTAAAGTTTCGACGTCAAGTGTCACATACAAGCTGAAATGGAAGTGCAATTGACTGCGCCACAAATGACGTACGCTTCCAGTTTGTCGTCCGCCTTGAGGGGTATGAACCCAGCAAAGCGCTCTTCACTACGCGTCTTCCTCCATCATCTCTTCATAACACCTCAATCTCACAAACCACATTTCACACCTAATTCATCATGTCGACTACCGTCAGCGTCCAGAACATCTCCGCCCAGACCTCTGAGAAGGAAGTTCGCGACTTCTTCTCTTTCTGGTGAGTCGTGTCCTCTCAACGGCACAACCTAGCAAACACTGACGCATCTTCACNNAGCGGCAAAATCTCAAACATCTCCGTCACCCCCGAGTCCAACGAGGCCGACAGTGTCAAGTCTGCGTCGGTCACCTTCGAGAAGGAGTCTGCTGCCAAGACCGCTCTTCTCCTTGACAACACCCAGCTCGGTGCCAACCAGGTCCACGTTACTTCTACCGCTTCTCTCGACCAGCTTGCTGGCGGCAAGCTCTCTGCTGCCGACGAAGAATCCTCGGACCACATCTCGCAAGAGGACAAGCCCCGCTCTCGCATCGTTGCAGAGTACCTTGCCCACGGCTACACCATCAGCGATAAGGCCATCGAGCGTGCTCTTGCCCTCGATCAGCAACACGGTGTCAGCGCTCGTTTCACCTCTACTCTCCAACAATTCGATGCCAAGTACCAGGCCACCGCAAAGGCTCAGGGCATTGACCAGAAGTTCGGTGTCTCTGACAAGGGTGTTGCTGCCTGGTCTGGCTTGAACTCATACTTCGAGAAGGCTATAAGCACTCCCACTGGCCAGAGGCTCAGAGACTTCTACAACCAGGGCAGCAAGCAAGTTCTCGACGTTCACAACGAGGCCCGTCACCTTGCCAACCTCAAGACTGGCAAGAACGACGTTCACTCTGTCGGAAACGGCAAGACCAAGTGTATGTCCCACCATATCTGAAGCTTGAATTCACATCACTAACAAGATATAGGCTCCTGCTCTAGCGACGCTGGTGCTTGCCCTTGCGCTCCTGGACACTGTGCCTGCTCTGGCTGTGCCAAGAACTCTGACAAGTCTTCCGGTGTCACTTCTGAGTCTGCCGACATGAAGGTCGTTTCGGAGGAGCCCAGAAAGACCAAGTGCAACTGCGGTGGTGCTGAGGGTTCCTGCCCCTGCCCTCCCGGCCAGTGCACTTGCAACGGCTGCGCTAAGGCTTCGTAAATGCTGCAATCGTGAGGGACTCTGCAACAGAACAAAATTTTGGCTTGGATGAGGCACAGGTGTTTACTTGCTTGCTCTTTTGGTAATTGATACCAGCGTGTGTTATCGCGCACCGTCAACGACTTTATGCTATGAATGAAAAACAGTCTTCAACTATCTCCTAATCATGCTTACTATAATTCAGAGTGATATTCAAATCGTCATTCATGTGATTCATGTTCAATTCTACATCGTAATTGGCAAGAAGCAGCAGCAGTCACTCTTCTTGAAAGCTACGTGAGTTTCGATATGCTATGGTGTGATAATGTCAGCCAACGATGGTTTGCGATGAGATGAATAAATTAAATAAAGAAAAATGGTTCGGCGCCCCGGAAAGCGCCCAACGGCAAAAATTCTAGTTCGGGCCAAAAAGTGGCGACCTTTGCGAAGAGACATGTCAAAACCTGGAGAAGGAAGAGTCATATTCTTATAACATGGTCTAGATCGCTTACAAAGAGCACCTTGATTTTTCCATTGACTCGGAAATCGATTTATTTACGCCGTCTCATTGCTCGAGTGCTGTTGGTATCGAGTATTTGGTCACTTTTCAGGATCCGATTTCATGATGGACCACCACGCCCGCAAGGAACCAGACGCCAACATGACGGACGAAGAAAAAGGACTTCCCGGACCTGGAAAGGATGCAGATGTCGAGGTTGCTCAATCATGGTCGCTAAAGAAGTTCGCATCGTTGGGAGTCGAAACTGGAGGCATTGTTCCTATTCCGTTGTCTGAGCGAACGAATACAAGAGTTCATGGAATCTTTACGCTATGGCTTACTATGAGTGTCAATTTACTGCCGTATGTTTACTTGTCGAGACACGTGAACAGGGATATGTTGCTAACGGCCATTAAGANNATTGTTACTGGTATGACTGGACCGCTGGGCTATGGACTTGGACTCAGAGATTGCTCTTTGATCATCCTCTTCTTCAGTATCTTATGTACAGTGCCGGTTGGATATTTGGCGACATTGGGACCCAAGACTGGCATGCGCCAGATGATCCAGGCAAGGTTCTCGTTTGGTTACTACCTTGTGTCGGTGCCTGTTATCCTCAATCTCGCAACACTTACTGGCTTCTGCGTCATTGACAGTGTCATCGGTGGTCAATCTCTGTCTGCTATCACCCATGGCCATCTGACGCCTGACGTGGGTATCGTGGTCATTGCTATTCTCGCCATGTTGGTCTGCTTCTGTGGTTTCAAGATTTTGCACCGCTACGAGCGCTTTGCTTGGATCCCTGCTCTCATCGCCATTGTGATTGCTACTGGAACTGGAGGCAAGCATTTGAGCAACCAGGCTGTCCAGCCGATTCCTGAAGCAGCCACCATCCTCTCTTTCTCTGCACTCATCGCTGGATTCCTCATTCCATGGGCAGCGTTGGCTGGAGATTTTGCTGTCTACATGGTTCCTGAGGCGTCCAGTGCCAAAGTCTTTGCTTACACGTACGGTGGATTGTTCTTACCTACAGTACCTCTGATGGTCCTTGGTGCTGCAATTGGAGGTGCATGCCCCAATGTGCCCTCCTGGCAAGCCGGCTACGAGTCAACTTCGGTCGGTGGAGTGCTAGCAGCCATGCTCGAACCCGCAGGTGGCTTTGGAAAATTCGTTGTTGTCCTGCTCGCCTTTTCACTGCTCGGAAACATCGCAGCGACCATGTACAGCATCACGCTCAACTTCCAGCTTCTGCTGCCTTGGATGGTTAGGGTTCCTCGTTTCTTGTTCGCCATCGTCATTACGGCCATCGTGATTCCCGTCGCTATTCGCGCCGCCACCAGCTTCTTCAACAACCTGGAGAACTTCATTGGTGTTATTGGGTACTGGGCCTCTGCTTTTGTAGCCGTCGTCGTTATTGAGCATGCTTGGTTCAGAAAATCGGATTGTTCGGCTTATTCTCACGAGAAGTGGGATAAGGCCAGCATGCTACCTAGCGGTATCGCGGCTTTGGGAGCTAGTGCTCTGTCTTTTGCTTTGGTCATCCCCTCGATGGCGCAAGTGTGGTACACAGGGCCAATTGCAAAGGTGACTGGCGATATTGGGTTTGAAATGGCTTTTGCGCTTACAGCGTTGCTGTATGTGCCGCTTCGATACTTGGAGATCAGAATACAGAAGCGAGTGTAGTTTATAGATGTGTAGAATAGTAATTCTACTTGCATGAGTGTTCGATCCAATTCGTGTCGTTTGTAATTCAGTGTGGTATAGATGGCATAATGGGTTTGCATTAAATTATGTTTTTATGCTCGCAGGTGAAGCTCCGACCTTCCGTCCGGTGTTGCATCGTCATTAGCAGTTCGCCATCTCTACAACAAGCCCATCAATCATCACAACTCGCCGTCACTCGCTGGTCGACACCTCTTCATCTGCATCCCTCATTCTCCTAGCGCCTCACATCATCCCGGTCGCCCAACATGGCGCTCGACACTTTCTTCCACAACAAGATCGAGAGCATGAAGCTCGAGATCATTCAGCGTCAAGCCGTCCTCCGCAGACTGGAAGCGCAAAGGAACGACTACAACTCAAGAGTGCGCCTGCTACGCGAGGAGCTGGGCCTGCTCCAGCAACCTGGCTCCTACGTGGGTGAGGTTGTCAAGGTCATGAGCACAAAGAAGGTCTTGGTCAAGGTGCATCCCGAAGGCAAATACGGTACGTGGAAACAAGACGGCCATCACGTTGTGCGTCCTGCTAACTCTTCGCGCCAGNTCGTTGATGTCGCCGACGATATCGACATGTCCAAACTCACCGCCGGCAAGCGTGTCACTCTCCTCTCCGACTCATACAAGCTCTCATCCATGCTTCCCTCATCCGTCGACCCTCTCGTCTCGCTCATGATGGTTGAGAAGGTGCCTGACAGTACCTACGATATGATTGGTGGTCTCGACGAGCAGATCAAGCAAATCAAGGAGGTCATTGAGCTTGGTCTCAAGCACCCCGAACTTTTCGAATCGCTCGGTATCGCACAACCCAAGGGTGTCCTTCTGTACGGCCCTCCCGGAACAGGAAAGACGTTGTTGGCAAGAGCTGTGGCCCATCACACCGACTGCAAGTTCATCAGAGTTTCTGGTTCTGAGCTGGTGCAAAAGTACATTGGAGAGGGTTCAAGAATGGTGCGCGAGCTGTTCGTCATGGCACGAGAGCACGCTCCCAGTATCATCTTCATGGACGAGATTGACAGTATTGGTTCTTCGCGTGTCGAGGGTTCCAGTGGTGGTGACAGTGAAGTCCAGCGCACTATGCTGGAACTGCTCAACCAGCTCGATGGTTTCGAGCCCACCAAGAACATCAAGATTATCATGGCCACCAACCGTCTCGACATTCTGGATCCCGCCCTCCTCAGACCCGGTCGTATCGACAGAAAGATCGAGTTTCCCNCACCAACCGTCGAGGCTCGTGCCGACATTCTCCGTATCCACAGTCGCTCCATGAACCTGACCAGAGGCATCAACCTCACCAAGGTTGCCGAGAAGATGAATGGATGCTCAGGTGCCGAGCTCAAGGGTGTTTGCACAGAAGCCGGCATGTTCGCCCTCAGAGAAAGAAGAGTCCACGTCACTCAGGAGGACTTTGACCTTGCAACCGCAAAGGTGCTCAACAGACACAACGACCAACAGGTCTCGCTCACCAAGCTATGGAAGTAGATGGGAAAGACAAGGCATGCAACGAAGGAACTGTGGCTCGTGTGCAGCAGTGGAGTACGGAGTTTTGGGGCTCTAGCAATTCGAGGAGAAGCATGGCGTGGAATCTGTACCATAGAGAGCAGCAGTGGCCACAAATCACACTTGATGAATCAACTCTATCTTGACCTTCTGCATGATGTGTATCACACAGGATGCATTTGTATAGAAGACAAGCACCGTAGTTTTGAAGCAGGCAACAGATGCCTTGAGCCATGGCAGTAAACATGACCATGAAGCTGTACGGATGGCATTGACAACGACTCCAACACTGAAGTCTCATCCCAAATAATGCTGACGACGACAATGATACAGCAACGTCCACACCATGATCACAACCACAGCCATGCCCTCATTGTTGCTCAGTCGAAACATAAACGGTCGCATTGCAACATGACGAAAGCCGTTTTTCGTCTGCCACTGCTACTGTTTGAGGTTGAACAACCAGCAAGCGCCTCTCACGTCTGCAACTGCACCCATCTCCCATCTCCCAAAGAGAGTAGAGTAGGAAGTGAGTATAGAATTGCGCGATTCTTTTCCAAAATAGAGGAGTAGCCAGAGAGAGCCGTCGAGATGTCGGCTCTCAGTGGACAGTGTCTTGTTTATTGATCATACTGTGCATTTCCATAGCTACACTGTTACATACTTTAACACATGGAGAGCAAGTTCACATCAAGAATGTTTCGGAAGGGGCATGACTGTTTCTCTCTTGATATCAGAACATCCGAGACATGGGTAAGCCAAGGTCATGTGAGTGTTTTTGTCAAAATTGTCCGAAGTCGGAAGCATGATAATGAGGTCAAGCTGCGGCAGCTGAACTTGGCACGAGATGGTGCAAAGAAGGGTCTGGGTCTGGGCCAGACTTTTGTTTTGGTTCCAGAGCGTTTTGTGTTGAAAGAGATGGACATGGATTCACGCGAAAGGGTGCAAGAGAGAAGAGGAGTTGAGACGATCAGATAAGACCTGCTGTAGTTCTTACGCTGCTTGTGGTAGCTGTTTGTAGTAACTGTTTGGGCGATTGAAGGCAAAGGATACGAGAAAAAGGGCAAAGGGTCTGTGGATAGGGAAAAGATGTGCAAGAGGCACGTGGACCCGGTTTTTGTGCCTCTTTGTTCTGCGAGTCGAGACGTCAGGGTCCAGGGAGACAGAGTTTGGGAGCTGAGGAGAGGCAGAAAAGATAGAGAATGATTGGAGGAAAGAAGGAGTGAATTGATGGACCATGAATGAGATCGAGATACAAGGGGGATCGGAGGAGTTGAGAGGTAGTGGCCGACGGATGGTGGTTCGGCGTAGAGGGGATTTTGGAGACGCATGAGGGAGAGCAGGAGACGGTGGGGAATACGTCATGGAGTTTTCGCAGGTGGTCCAGGTCTTCGAGGCCCACCTTTCAGACCAACCGACTCAGCCTGTGGACAACGACACCCGACTCGACTCTTACACATGGCTTCTGCTGCTGCTACAGCCGTCGCCGCCTAATCCGACACCACGCACCCAACATCACCATCTCCAGATACATCTTGTCTACCAGCGCATCTCGTCTTGCTCGGAGAAAAAAAGCCACCTCCCCAGAGTCTCATTGTCAGCCGCACACGCAGCATCATGTCTGCGGCANAAACGCCAGGCGCTCGTCCGCCATCAACCAGCGCGCGCAATATGGGTCCCTTGCTTCAGTCACCACAACCTCGTGGCCATGTGCGCACCCCCAGCCCAAACTACTTTGGCTTCAACACTGCCCAGGAAGACTCCTACGACTCGGAATCCAATCGCCATACCAGGAAGAACTGGAGTCCCNCTTCGTCGACCGTGAGGTCCACCGCCGCCTTTTCGCCCACCGTCATCCCTGTCGACCAGAACCCCGACTTCGACGCTTTCCGCCGTCAGTCCGAGAGCGTTGGCTTCAACCTGGGCTCCCTGCATGACTTTGACTTCAAGAAGCCCGCACTGCCCTCTGAGAACAATTCATCTTCATCCGCAAACAACTCCGCCTTCTTCAACAACATCAACATCTCGGCCAGCCCAAAGCAGACGACCGAGCAAAGATACATGCCTCCGTCTGGCCGCGCGCCTTCTGGCTCAATATCAGGTGGCCGCGCGCCCTCTGGCTCAATATCAGGTGGACGTGCTCCCTCAGGCTCCATCTCAGGTGCAGGTAACTTCAATCTCGACCCCGAATCCGCGTACCAGGGCCGCTCTCCAAAAAGACATCTTTCTAATGACTCGCCGTTTCCAGACGGTCTTCGCCATGCACCTGAGCGCCCGAGCAGCCAGCCCAGGCTGAACATGCCCTTCAACCTGAACCTCCCTCCCCAACCCCAGTTCAAGCCCAGAGCCGATACTGTTCCTGTGGCCGGTCCCTTGAACGACTCGACCTCTTTCATCACTCCCCAGCATCTTTGTAATCTGCTCGAGTCTGCTGCCGAGGAGATGTTGATACTGGACTTGCGTGTTTCGACTCAATATGCTGGTGCCCATCTGAGGGGAGCTCTCAACTTGTGTATTCCTACCACTCTTCTCAAACGCCCATCGTTCAATGTCAATAAACTGGCCGAGACTTTCAAAGACAACGCCGATCAACGCCGAAAGTTTGAAAACTGGAAGAGCAGCAAATACATCATCGTCTACGACTCGGCTTCATTCCAGCTAAAGGACGCCACTTCTTGTGTTAACACGATCAAGAAGTTTGACAGCGAAGGAGTCGAGGGAAAATGTTACATCCTCAAGGGTGGTTTCGCCGAGTTCGCCAAGAAGCACCCTTCGCATGTCGAAAGAGCCGGTGGCCAATCAGGTCGTGCCGGTGCTCCCATGTCGATGAAGCTTGACCTGACAGGTCCCGAGATTGCACCCGTCATTGGAGGTTGTCCCATGCCTGCCGAGAAGAACGCCGCCAACCCTTTCTTTGGAAACATCAGACAAAACATGGATCTTATTGGTGGCGTTGGCCAGATGGAAATCAAGCGCCCCACACACTTGTCGAAGCAGATACAAGATCAATTCCCTCCCTGGCTACAATCAGCATCTGAAGAAAAGGACAAGGGCGCTCGTGTGTCTGACAAGTTCTTGCAGATCGAGAAGAGAGAACAGAAGCGCATGCAAGAAGCTCTTTCAGGAAAGGTCTCGTATGGTTCACCGACGCAATCAATGCCAAAGTCCAGCATCCAGATTGCAGGTATTGAGAAGGGTTCGAAGAACAGATACAACAACATCTGGCCATATGAACATTCTCGTGTCAAGCTGCAGGATGTTCCTTCGCATGGTTGTGACTACTTCAACGCCAACTACGTCTCTTCGAAGCGTTCGTACAAGCGTTATATTGCCACTCAAGGTCCCATTCCTGCTACTTTTGCTGTAAGTTAATCTTGATCGTTTCTGGTCATGCAATATCTAACGCTGCAACAGGACTTCTGGAATGTCATCTGGCAGCAAGAGACCAGGGTTATCGTCATGCTTACTGCTGAGAAGGAGGGTGGTCAAGTCAAGGCTCACAACTATTGGTCAGACAAGCAGTACGGTCCCATTCGTCTCGAGTTCCTCTCGGAAAAGCGCGCTTCATTGGACCCGGCAAAGATTAAGAGACACCGTCAACAGCGTCCATCAGTAAGTGGGAGAAAGTCTACTGATGGTGCTATCCTCGCACGCATTGACACAACCACCTCCGACAACGCAGCAAAGGATGACCAGCCATATGTCATTGTCCGCAAATTGGCGCTCCGACACGAAGGCTACCCATTCGAACGTATGCGTGAGATCACTCAACTTCAATACTCAAGCTGGCCCGATTTTGGTGCCCCAGCGCATCCGGCACATCTTTTAGGATTGGTGGAGCAATGCGATGCTGTTGTACGCAGCACGATGCATACCAACCCATCAGAACCGGATCCCCCAGAGGCACCGCCAATCGTCGTGCACTGCAGTGCCGGCTGTGGACGCACAGGCACATTCTGCACGGTAGCCACAGTCATCGACATGCTCAAGCGACAGAGAACATCACGAAGAAGACACTATCGCGACAGCTCGCCCATGCACATTGACACACGCCGAAGCTCTGTACAGATGAAAGACGACAACAGCCCCTTCTTCGCCGCACCTGCTGCTGCACCGCAACACTCAGAAGAAGACGAAGTGGATGGCAAGTGGGTGGATGACGAAACTCAGGATCTGATCGAAAAGACGGTCGAAGAGTTCCGCAAGCAGAGACTCAGTATGGTGCAGAGTCTACGCCAATTCGTGCTCTGCTATGAGAGTGTCATGGAATGGCTTGTTGAGCAAGAGTCTGAAGACTAGATGTCTGCGACTCTGTGTACGACTATGGATGAAATGGCATTGTGATTTGTCGAAAGGAGAGACAGGGTATGGTCGAATCAAGAGGTGGTTGAGTTTCTATGCAACAAGACAAACATGCAATGTACGCGCCAGGCAACAAATTATTCTTCTCCTATTTTCTTTTTCTGGGCTTGGGTTTTGAGGGTGGGTGTGCAAAGAGATGCGATATCGATTTTTGCATAAGGCAGAGCATATACGTTAGGAGCACTTTTGTATTCACTTTTGGAGCGCATGTTCTCTTGTTGATAGAAAAATCTCGTCTTATCTTCTCAGTAGACTTGATTGTTGCTGTCTAGGTATAGCGATATCTTTTGTTCAGTGTAGGCTTTGAGATGGTCATACTCTACTCCTGGCACAACACAGGTCAGCTCCAGATATCAGTGCCCTTGGTCAGTTAGTACAACTCCTAAAGACTGGCATTAGCCTGCTACTCAATTTCTAATGTCCATTTCCATCTTGACTGAGCGTAATCTTGATAGGAGACAGGATGTCTTGATTAGCAAGGACATGTGAAGATGGTCCAAGCTCACCGATGTCACTTCCCTTCGTTGTCAAACAAGCAACTGCGATCAACCAACACTTGCGACTTTAATTCTTTTGCGCCCCTCCTTGCCGGCATTAATCCTCGAAAGCGATACCAAGACTCTGCGAATACTCGCCTCACTATACTGCCAATTACATCTCCGACTCAATCCCTCGGCGACAAACCAATCTCGCCCTGACCCATACTCGTACATCTGTCACCAGCAATTCCAAGAACCACAAGAGAGAGAAGAAAGAGCAACGGAAACAGAAACACCATGGCAACAACAACACAACCCACAGACCCCACATCCACCAACGACCCCAAAGTCGCAGCCTCGACTCTAGATTTCCTGCTCATAGAACTGGTGCCGCTCGCCCAACGCATAGCCGCCGACCTACATCAAAGAGACACAGCACTTCTCTCCTCATCACTAGAAAGAAACGCCACCTTAAACACCGCTGCATCAACATCTGTTACANCAAAGCCGCCAAAGCCTCAAAAGCACAGAAGCAGCCACCGCAAGAAGTACCACTGCAGCAACAGCCGCCGAAGACGAGGATGACGAAGACACTGCCGATGCTTTGNNCAAGAGAGTGTTCATTATCGCTTAGATGCCCTAGGCTATCGTGTGGGACTGGGATTAGTAGAAAAACTATCACAGAACTCGCCTCGGCCAACAACGCCATTGGATATGATCAAATTCATCTGCAAAGATTTGTGGCAGGTGGTTTTTCGCAAGCAAATCGACAACCTCAAAACAAATCACAGGGGCACGTTTGTGTTGACGGATAACAAGTTCATGGCACTGGGGAGGATGAGTGTGGATAGAGGAAGGGGTGCGAGGGGTGCTGAAGAGGCGTTGAGGAAGGCGCAACCGGTATGTTTTTGTCTCGTCTCTTTCCTGGATTTTCTGTTCCTCTGTGCTTGGTGTTCTCTTTCCCTCCTCAGGACATACCTGTACTAATGCAACAAATACAGTNTCCTCTATTTCCCTTGTGGTGTCATCCGTGGCGCTCTCTCTGCATTTGGTCTTTCTGTTACTGTGCACGCCGAAACCGCCGAATTGCCTCAAGCGATATTTCAAATCAGGACTGTGGGCTCAAAACCTTAGGAGATAGAGAAAGAAAGGAAAAGCGAAGGGTGCAGAGCTCGAAGCTCAAGAATGGCAAAAAGACATGAAGCAAAGTGTAGAAGATGCCAAAGAGGTTGCAGAAGATATAGCTCTGCCGCTTTGAACCACTTCTTCTCCTGCGCATTATTTGATCGCATGGGTCTTTTCGCTTCAATTTCTGCTCGTGTGCTAGTCTCTATCGTATCCACTCTTCTGCTCTAAACAGTTTAGCAATGTGTGCGTTGTAGGGATGCACAATAGTTTCGAGCAAGAGAGCAATGTCCATTGAAATTCATTGCCTTGATGAGCTCCTTGAGGTGCCTTGTCCTTGTTGGAGCTGCCGATTACGTGCTTTGACCTCATTGACCTCATCAAATATTGTACGAGCAGTGACCAGAGCTCCGAAGATGCCAAGGGTCTTGAATGCCTGATCGAGTGATTCCTCTTTATTCATGGTATTGCTTTCGTCGTGAGTATTTGACGTGACGGTGATGGTGATTGCAATGCAGCAGGACGAAGGGATAGCAGTTTTCGTCACGTTGTTGTTGTTGTTGTTGTTGTTGTTGTGGTTGTGCAAAAGCGCATCGGGGGACTGCAGTATTGCCTTTGAGGAAGTAACGCGTTGATGGAAGCAGCTCGGGTTGCAGAGGGATTCATTCACTGCAAAAGTAGGAACACAAAAGGCAGAAATTCATCTCCGAATCTTTTCATGATACAGACCAGTCAGTCTTCGCTATTCACCAAAGCCGTCTCATCCATGAGCATGCAGAAATTCTTCATGAAAACCCCCAACTCATCATTCCAATCAATACAACTGCTGACAGCAGTGGCCAAAGACTCCTGGTGATGTGGCAAGCCTACCAGACAGCAGCGCCATCCAGTCGTGCTTTTCGGCATTCACAATGATGCATCTTTCCACGGTTACTCCACAATGGAACCGGTATCTGAGCTGCCTCCACCAGAAGAAGATTGAGCATCCTCGCCAGAAGTCACACCAAAAGCACTTGCCAGAGTTTTCCATACCTGGAATCGCTCCTCGACTTTCTTCTGGTTCTTTGCAATCTTCATCTCGGCATCCTTGACGAGATTGATTATGACCTTCAGATCATAGTCCAACTTGTCAGCCCCCTGTTTCACTTGCTCTTCGAGGGCTTGGAGCGTGGTCTTCTGTTGGGCTAGGGCATGGTATTCGCGGCGACGCTGTGCTTCAGACTGTATCATGTCAGTGTTCTTGCTTACTCAGATGATANNCAGAGTCATACATACCTCTTCCTGTTCAGCTTGTGCGACAAGATCATTGTACTCGTCGTCGATCCTGGCTGTGACTTTCTCCAACAATCTGACGTAGCGGTCGCACACTGTCATCCAACCAACGCCCGTGAGGTCTTTGGCCTTTGATACAGAGTAGCCGGCCTGTACAAAGTTGAAACCACCGTAAGTACTGTACGATGTAACGAGGTGACTGCCAATTGACTCTCCAGTGCCAGCATGCTCGAATCTAAACGCTCTAAACAGGCAGAAGTGGTGCATCTTGAAACGTCTTTGCGGGAACAGGACACTCAGAACACAGTTTGCGAGTCTGAACAGGGCAGGTGATGAGACTAATGTTCTGTGTTGCTTGCATCTGTCATGGATGTTGATAGCCCAACCGCAGTCCCCATGGATGGTAATGTGGCTTGCGTTCTGGGACTGGGCGTCCTGGAGTCGTGCCTCGTTGGTTTGGAGAAACTGGTCGAGTCCGGCTACAAGATTGGGACCGCGGATCTCCTGGAGCAAAGTACGGCCGTTACCATAATTGATGCGATAGTAGGCATCGACCAGTTGGCTGGCGTTGGTTTGGGCTTGATCGTTCACGAGTGTGTCATGGACAGCTGCGTACAAACCGTCCAAGAAGTATTCGAATGCGGCGAGATCCAGTGGGGAACCATCTTCAGGGGCAAGGTAATTGGCGTAAATGCCTGGCTCCAAGGTGTCTTTGTGTTGGGGATGTAAGGAAATCGCTGCCCAGCGCTCGAGCACAAGGCGGCCAGAAGCGACATCAGCTCGAAGAGTGTTTGAGAGAATGCTTACAAGCATGTTGGAGGGTATCTGCGCAAGAAGCAATTCAGCGTCTCCGTCATAGTCGTCTGAATCAAGGATTCTGGATGTGTGTGGACTGATGGCATGCGTCTTTTCCAGTTCCAGGACGCATCTCGACAATCCGTGTAGGCCAGTGTCTTCGTAGGATGTGCGCATCCGACGTAGCGGCGGGTCGATGTACAGTAAGTACGGAGTAGCCATGATGAGTATTCGATAGAGTAACAAGAGGTAGGATGTTAGGTGATTTGAAGCTCAGCGTACGCGATGCAATGCTGTCAAAGTGCGAATTTTGTCCACACGGACGTGAAGTAACGGAGAGAAGTTTGTGCTAGCTTCCATGAATGAGGGTTGGTACTGCATCAAACCGTGTTGGAAGACAGGTCTCCGATCTGGCGTCTTCCACAGCTTCGAATTCACCTTGACGGAACCACACATGGAAGCCAGCAGACACCAATGGCACATTACCTCACGAGGGACCTACCGCATTTTGGGGTGCAGGTATAAATTAAATCGCATAGTGTGTGTTACAAAAGGGCACAATGGTTCCCAGGAGCAGAGATATAGCCACGGAGTGACGACAGGCTTACTCCTCATGATCTCGTGAATATATGGAAGGCGAAAGGCGACAGAGAAGAACGAAGAAGAACAAAGCCTGTGTGTGAGACTGTAGATGAGCGAGTCAGCTTCTGATGGATGATTTGTTAATGGGAAGACAACGGAGGACCCCATCAAACACAAACAACACAATCGCGTGACCCCTCTCTTGCAAACGACCACAACAAGTTGACGAAAAACTCTTTTACTTCCTGTCATTCTACGACTATCACCACCATCAATCATGTCGGATATTCATGACGAAGACAAGATCAAGATAGAAGATGCAGAAGCACATGGCCAGGAACCGAAGACGCTTGACAGCTATGATGCTCTTGTAAAGCAACTGGTACGTTCTGTCAATGTGACCGACTCCAGAGCCCGCCACTGACATGGCGAACAGCGTCAGGAGCTGGCAACTCGCAACAACGAGCTGAAGCAAAGCAACGTCGCCCTCGAGGAAGCGCAGGCTCGCATCAGCGCCCTCGAGAATGCTCAAACCCTCTCTTCAACCACTACCGCCATCTTCGACCTTCAGCAAGAGCTCGGCCAGGCCAAACAAGAACTCGATGAGGCCAAGCACAGAGAGGCTTGCGGTGATGAGCGTGAGGAAGACCGTCGCAGCTACATCGCAGAGCTTCGCGGCAAGCTGATTAGTGCTGAACGCGATGCTCAAGTCGCCAAGAAGGCATTGGCTGAAGAGAAAGAGATGTCCAAGGCAGTCCATTCGGAGAGAGCAGAGCTCATCGGCGAGGTGTACAGACTCACTGTCGACCTTGGTGTCACAAAGAGCTTATTGGAGAGAAGGACTTAAGGTGAGCGCTGCGGAGCTGAAACGCGAGGCACAAGCTCGGCAGGCAACAAGGTTCCGTGACCATAAATACCAATAACAGTCATTTCTCTCTGGACTCACTTCTCCCTCACTCACATTCGTGCTATTCCATAGTATACTATTGCCATTTGTTGTCGCATGAGAAGAAGAGGAGTGGGGACCAGTGTTCAGATGTTGTCAACAGTAGAGAGCTCGGGCCGCGACGCTTGGCAAGAATTGAGGACATCCTTCCTTGGGTCGGCTTCCAATCTAATTGGATACTATCACAGTAATATCAATCCCCTCAACGTTGTCAACGGCAATATTTGAGCTTCTCCGACAGTCCACTCTCTTTGCCTTGGACGACCGATCCCTGAGTCAGCGATTGCGCTACGATAGCGTTTTGCCGTTACATGAATCGCAGCTTATACTGAACCTCACTAGACCTTTGAACCGCTGTCACATCGAACTCTCGCATCACGAAGCGTGACCTTGTCATCTCCTGTACTTTCTTGCACATACAACCCTCGCGATTGCACGTCTTACCTGTCACAAAGCCACATCGCACGGCAGGCCTCGGCACTACCATGCCATCATACCCATCGACCACCTGTCGCGCACCACGCATATTTGTCACCCTCGTCCATCTGCCTCATTCAAGATCTGCGTCCTTCTTTCAACGTCTCGTCTCTTCGTCACCCAGCTACAAACAAACAACATGACGTTCTCGCATCGTAGAGATCTCTTAGCTCACAGGAGCTCGTATCTACAAAAGAGAGATCGGCGGAGAAGATGAAGATGACATGTTCCAGTCCTTGCTGATTCGATGGCGCTGATTCTTTGGTTTCTGTGCGCAGGGAATGTCTATCGCATTCTCACCATGTCTCAAAGACGGGGTGCCATCTTCTTTCATCACTGGGGGATGTTTTCCATTTCTATGGTTGTCTACGACACAGAAAGATCATGCTGTTTCTTTCTTCTCCTTTTGCGCTCACGAGTGAAACTGACATGGTAAACACGGGCTTTGTCGTCAAGACAGCAATATATCCGCCGTACCCATCCAATATTTACATCATCCTCCTCGCCTTGCCTTACATCCTAAGTCCTTACGCAGCATGATGCAGAGCAGGTCCTTCTTGGACAGGTCGGCTGCCCAAAAATTGGTCGATCCTGCGATCCACAGAGCTGTCGAGTTCCGTACCACGTCTGCCCGGATCCAGACTGCACATGCAGAGTCGGTCGGACTGGGCGCGATTGCCTCAGACGAAGATGTTAACATCGACGAGATACGCCGTGATGCTCTGGAGAACACTGGAAGCATTGCCCTACACGAGCAGCAACTACTGGCTCAAGATGACCTACGCCGTCAACGCCAACAGATGCAACACCAACTTGATGAAGTCCTCAGGGGACTAAGCGCGAAGGGCACTTTACCAGAAGTTGCCAGAAGCAAGGATCAAATTCGAGCCCAACGTACTGCATGCCTTCAGTTCCTTCTAGACACCAACAAACACGCATCAGAAGAAGAGCGATTGAACTTTCCTGAGCATCAGACTGCTGCAAAACAACTTGGAGTCCTCGTTGCCAATGAGGCTCGAACCGAAGAGCACATCTTGTGGGCGCTAGGATCAGAGGACGCTATGATCAAAGACTACTGGACTGTGGATGAGCTCTTCGAAGCTCTGGTCATTGCTCGTAGAGTAGTCGACGACGTTAATCGGGTCAAAGAACGTAATGCTGAGTACTGGGAAATGATCCAAGAAGGCAAAACACCCTTCGACAATCTATATGCGAAGCTCAGCATAGATTTGGAGAAGATCGACCAGAAGGCCGATGCAAGAGGACAGGACGCGGCAAAAGTTACCAAGATCATACACGACAATTTGGAGTTGGTTGTGGCTTCTACAGGCAGTAATCCCAAGCGTAAGCGACCCTCTGCCATCGATACCACATTGGCCAACACTGATGACGCCTCGATCGCTGGCCCATCCACTGCTCCTATCACAAAGCCCTCCTTGGTTGTAGCTCTGCGTCTACCGAGATCTTTCTCTTTCAGCCAACTTTCTCGCCCGGTTCAAGTTCCACAACTCAACACCACATCTACCAACATCACAGCATCTGGCCAGGCCTCACCTGCACAGCCTACGCCATCAGTTCCAGCACAATCCCCACAAGACTTCGACCCCGATCTCAGACGCGGATCGGTTACTTCGACGAGATCAATGCCTGTTGACTTTGAACAATCCGCTGAAAGACCAACCAAGTACGTGGCGCCTGCAAAGAGAGGTCGAGGACGACCTCGCCAAGAGCCTCAGCCTCCTCAACCTGCGGCTTCCTCACACACCCCCGGGCTTCGGTCTCCGGTACGCGAGACTCGACCCAATACTGCAATGGCGATTCGAGATGACCCGCGCGCACTTCCACGAGACACTCCACCGCCAGAAGCAATCCCCCGAATCGTACCACAAATGCCCCAGGCACTCCAATCACAACGCTCAACTTTGGTGTCCAGAGATTACCGGAAGATGTCACAGCGCGAATTGGTTTCTGAGCCGAGAATGGAGTTTACATGGAGTTCAATAAGCATCCACTGAGAGACGATGCATTGGCTGCTTTTGACCAACAACTACAACAATCAAAATGGTGTACCTGGCCAGAGAGCAAGTTTGGAACTGAGTTCAGGAGAGGTATTCAGGGTCAAGCTACTTGTGTGTGGGGCCGCATCTTCAAGAACGAGGTCTCAGCATCGAAAGCAACGCAGAAGCCGGCACTCAAGACCCAGAGATCGACACGTAACACCAAGGCACCGGAACCGCGTGAGGCAGAGGATGAAGAAGAATCGCAAGAAGTCGATGAAAGACCGCGCGAGTTCGCTTGTGAAAACTGCATCAACGAGGGACGCTTCTGTATCTCGAGGCTGGCCGCTTTCTTCAACAAAGAGCCAGTCCTACTTCCCTTACCCCAGCATCTGAGGCCGGGAAAGACAGATTCTGAGGTAGGCTACTGGTTGATTGAGGGGTAGAGGACGACGAGGTTGGACATTCAACAGGATATGGGCTTGACACTGCGCTTTGCTAGATAGCGAAGATTGACTGTATTATGAACAAAGTTTGAAGTGAATTTTTGCCTTGCGTTTCTGCCTCCAAATGAGTTGATCCTTTTTATCACCGGATGTTGTCGGCGTGACTTCAAGAACACTCATTCAAAGATTGATTGATTGACCATGAGACAGAAAATAGAGATGAAGACGAGGGATATCTATTCGTATACATCATAAAGACCGATCTACGCTATCACCAAATTGACAAGCAATAACCGTATATATACAGAGCTCGCAACGCAAGCGATGAACAATCACACTCTCCTTCCACTCTTGACACGAACCCTGCCCACACCATCTCTCCCGCGATGAAGCACAAGCACACCAATTTCCAAACACCACCTCTCGAGCTCAACATCTCTTCTCCAGTTCTCCACCTTGGGCACCTTTAGCCCGTCTCGACGCAGTCTCTCGAGATGGTGAGAAATGTGTTCTGTACGCTGGATCCAAGCTTGTGGGCCTGAGAACGTAGAACAGCAAAAGATACATTGCGTGCAAGCAGGAGGCAAAGGTGGTGCGATATAACAGCGATCAGCTTCTCCGGACAGCGACTCGGGCGTGTTGGGAATAGGAATACAGTTGTATCTTGCCGTCTTGATGTTGGAGACCGTGGACGTGGATTCTGACGAGCTCTCGCAGTGCATGCGGCGTAGATGTTGAATAAACAAGTCTTTACGGTTGAAGTCGTTTGTTTGTGGTGGAGTGGAAGAGGCAGAGAGTTTGGGGACGCAAAGGCCGCAACGGTATGTACTGAGGGAGAGATGTTGAGTGTTGAGGTGGCGTTTCCACTCGTTCTTGGAAGAGAAGGATGCCGGACAGCCGTAAGGAAGGAAAGGACAGGGGTATGCTGTCTTTGCTTTGTTGGCTTGTTGCTTCCTTGGAGATGGATTGGAGCAGATATGATGATACTCTGCAGGTTCCTCTTGCTTGACGAAAGGATAGATGGGTTGTTTGGACGAATCGTTGGAAGACTTGATGGAAGGGGTGATTGTGGACGAAGGGGCTGGCGATGGCTCCATGATATGCTCTGGATGGGCTTGAGAGCCTTCTATTGTCGCCCATCCTCCTAGACCAAAGGTCTCCAGTGCTTTTCCCTCGGAGACTTGAGGCTGGAAGCATTGATTCTGGTAGTAAGGATGGCAAACGAGCTCTTGCGGATAGTATGCGGAAACGTCGGGCTGACCCTGAATTTGAATCGGCGAGGTGAAAGGCAGCATGCCATGTCCCGAGTTTGCTTGTAACCATGCAGAATAGTGGTTGCGATAGTCTGTCGGTCGTGGAGAGGGAGAGTAGGTAACACTTGGGGTAGGAGAAGACCATGTGCCGCTACAGCTATCGCTCATGCTCTCTGATGAGAGCCATGAAGATGATGGTCGCGGGGAGGAGTATGCCGAGTCTTGCATTAGGGGAGCTTCGGAGGGCTTATTGATGACAAATGCTGGGTAGTATGGATGTTCGACTTCATCGTTCATGAAGTCGGACCGTATAATCGCATCCATCGTCAGTGGTGGGTGTCTAGTGGGAGATAATTTGGGAAGGAGAGGTGATGTGTGATCAAATGTCAGAGGTCGAGGCTCAGTGGTTGTTGTGTCTTTGTATGAATTGTCTTTCAGGCTAGCGTGGTGGTAAATATCGAAGGTCAGAAGCGTCAAGCTGGAAGCCAACAGAGACAGCTATAAAGTGAACAATATCCAAGCAGGACATCAAGTTGATTCCAGATATATGAAAAGGAGATGAAAGAAGCATGTTGATATGGCTGGCAGGAGCATATATAGAAGGAAGTGGTTAGAGGAGAGACGATGGGGGCAGTGACGACCAATCAAACGGAACCAACCCACCTACCTGCATTCCTGTGGCCAACGATGGCTGCTTTTCCGCAAAGTAGAACGCCGTCCACTTCGGGGATTTGGTTGCAGGGCAATACCTCTGCTGCCAGAAAGAGTTCGTGGGGGCTGCAAATAGTCCACCAAGTAGAGTACTGTCGATCCGCTGACCGGTTTACACCAGAAAAGCCCCCACAGAGTTGGCAAGGGCAGACGGGAAGAATGGTTGGTTTGTCCAATAGCCATGCGCACGTAGAGATATCACGTATCATGCTAAACAAAGATGGATAGACCACTCCTCGGTATCGGGGCTCTTCTGATGGCTTCCTCAGGTTGCTGCATGCACATGCGCATCAGGGGGCCGTGCTGCTCTGCGTGCATGGAAGGCTGAGCGAAGGATCGTGGGCGGCGCAACTGGGAATACTGCCCGCCCTTGTTCGTCATGGACACCCCGGGACACAAGACTCACAGCATGGCTTAGAGTTATGACTGTAGAATGGGCGATGTTGTTATGTCGCACTGTGTATGTAATGTACAACTCTAGGGGCGGTGCGTATTAGATGCTTACTTTTCCCGCATCTATAAATTGCATCGTACCTTGAAAGGCACGGTACGTATTCCGGTGACAGCTTGTGGGAAAAGCATGAGGGCAACAGCAGCTCTGCGTTCGTGGGAAATTGTTCGAGGTGTGAGAAAGCAGAGCTGCAAGAGAGCGGAGGCCGGCAGGTGATGCCGAAGAGGGGTCGGCAGTGAGCTTCCCTCTTGGCGGCGCATCGGATCGGGGACCTTCATCTACAAACCGCCAGAGGCACAGCAAGCCATTTTGGCCCCCATTCCGACCAGTCGCCTGACGACGTGAACAAGGATGTGACTGCAATCACCGCAACTGAAATATTGAATTCGTCGACACTGCAGCATGCTTCCAAATCGTGATACACGTCAGGCATCAAACCAGTCAAAAGTAAAATTGCTACTGCCATGTACGCTAACCATGCAAGACGCGCAACACCATGTGCTCAGGCTCAGTTGAAACCAAGAATGCGGTTCGCACTTGCCATGACCTTTTTCTCTCCTGACGTGCGGCCAGTCTTCTCGTCGAACTTCTCCAAGCCCATGGCGCGTAGACCATTGACTCCCGAAACCGCCGAGATGTCTTCTTGCACCGCGCGACCGATGTGCTGTCCTTCGCCAATGCCTCCGGGGAAATCTGGTGAGGGAGTGCCTNNATGGCTGTTGTTAGCATGGCTTTGGTTCATTGGTGTTGGGCGCTGTGGCTTACCTCTAAAGAAACAGTCTCTCTGGCGAACCAGGTATTCAGCGTTGCGCTCGGTAAGTGGACAAGCGGGAATGTAGAGTACACTCGAATCGCTCTTTCCGGCGTGTATCTTATCGACCGCATGGATGCCATCGCAGTGCCATACCACATAGTCGCCAGGCTGCACTCTCGGTATGTGTACCATGGTCTCTGGCAAGTTGAGGTGAGGGTGGAGCAGCGCGTTGAGCTCCTGACCACGCCCCAGATTCGCTCCCTGCAGCCACGAGCTCGGCTTGTCCTCGAGCTTCCAGTTGTCTGGAGAGAGATAGTCATCGGTGTCGGCCTGCTCGACCGCTCCGTTTACCGACACGCGAGTCGAGGGACCACTTTGTGGTGTGAAGAAGGGACGGAGCAAGAAGTAGGCGGTCGCAAGCTGGAGTAGTGGGTTGACAAGCAAAGTGCCTTCAAAAGCACTGCAGTGAGACAAACTCAACCAACCTTGCGCCGCTCTGAAAGCACTGCAAGCACCAGCTCCTTGGTAGAGATCTGACTCGACAGGCAAGCGGCTGCTGGACTCCCAAGGATCATACTTCTCCCATTTACCTTCCCAGATATCTTGGTAGACTTTACCTCTGCCATAACCAGTCTCTTCCCATCTCTCGCAGCTTCCTCCATCTATGTGAGGCNNTACCAAAAGGTCAGCACTGTTACGAGAACTAAACCTCAGGATCTGAAAACATACGCCAAGGGCAAATTTTGCATCACCAGGTTCGCGCATGCGAAGTCTGTCAGCGTACGATATCGGTGTATCCAAAAACAATGCGTTCGGGTCTTTAGAGTGCCAGAAGCTCAGCAGGAATTGTTGTGCTTTGAGCAGGTTGGGATGACCTCTTGCCCGGATTTGCGATTTGCTCCAGTAGAGTTCAAAGACCTGCTGTTGGAAGCCTTGGAAGGCATGTCAGCTTGCTTACACAGTCATGACTGGCCGAGATGGAAGCTTACTCTTCGTCTGAGGGTTTGCCTTGATGTACTCTCTTAGGTCCTCCTTCATCTGCAAGGCCTCGGACTCGGGAATTGCACCTTTAATGACTGCGACACCACGCTTTCTGTACTCGCTGCTGAAATGCTCGGAAGGAGTGTCGATGTCTTTGAAATCAATTTGAGGTACAATCGACGAGCCCAATCGCTTGATTTCTCGGACCTCGTCTTTCAAAGTCAAGAGTAACCTATCCCATGATGCTTTGACGGCTTGCTCATTTCCTCGAATGAGGTTTTCTTTTACCGTAACGAAGCGTGGCTCCAATGCTTCGAACTGCTGACCAGATAGAGAAGCGAACGAGTCCGCAATTGTCCCCTCGGCCTTGCCGGTGGTAGTTGTTGCAGCTGTCCGCAGTTGGTTTGACAATTGTAGCTTGGACAATCGGTATGGTGTTCGAAGAGTTTGAATGGTTCGCAGCATTTTGTAAAAGTGGTGTTCTCGCAGTCTGTGCGGGATCTTGAGGTTTGAATTTCTTCCGTTGGCTGTTGTAGAACCGCAGGTGGTATGACCAAGTAGGGTAAGCAACGAAACGATACAAGAGCAGTGTAACAGATTGATGTAACAACGGACTGTCGGTTGCGACTGTTGACAGGTACGAATAAGATATGAGACGAATTGGAAATTTGATGAGAGAATGGATGTCTCTCACTTCCGACGAGCAACTAGGTTTATAAATATGTCTGCCCTCACCTCCCGGCAAGGTTGTCGTCGTGGTATGATGGTGATAGCAGCCGACACCCGTTGGCGGCACGTCCTTATTAGTACTTTGCCGAAACCTCGAGCGGTCATTGACCAATTAGGTAGTGCGATCCCGCAGAAGCGGCTCCGACAATGGACTTCGGATGAAGCCTCGAATTCAGCTCTTGCTTGTAGACTTGTACTGCAATCCTTCGCAGAAGTTGAGGAAATACGAATGGTAGCTTGCAACTTTTGCAAAGATTAGAGACGGCAAGCAAGATAACAGGGCATTTTGACAAAAACAAATGCCGCTTCTGTGGATCGAACACAGTGCCTCCAGAATACTCTTGTTCGCACAAGAAGGACAGAAGTTGACTTCAGTCTGGCGCTCTCCCAGATGAGCTAAAGCGGCTTGTTGGGGTGATATTGATTGCAAAAATATATATTGGTTTTAGAATACCTTGCCATTCTGGCGATGTCTCCCTACCAGGTTAACAATAGTCCAAGATATCCTGGAAACGCGAAAGGTCTCTAAAGTGTTACTTGAGCTGAGTATGACGTTTCTTCTTCAATGTGCGACGGCATTCGCAGCGTTGTCACTCAAGGTTCTCGGTGTGACAATATCGAAAAATCTCATAACGGTATACATAGCTGGAAACTGCCCAATGATGGGATTTGTTCTCTCAGAACAAGCATATAGAGGACATATCATACCTCAGAGATGTCTATATCGAATGATATGCATATGGCGACCTTGAAGGGCACAGATACGATTTCAAGACTCTCATATTTATGCTACAGGTACCACCCTGGCGAAAGTACAGACGTCATAGGTCAGGTACCTAACTTCGATTCAGCATTGTTATTCGAGGTGGAGTTTAGTTCGTTCGTTTGTTGGTTCTTTTATACAGCTTCCTCCCCTTCGTATTCTCTCATCTGTTGATGTCGTGATCTGGTTGCTCTCGTTCGTGCTGGAGATACGAACGGAAGCTTGGCCGACTTACCAAGCCAGGATCGCCGCTTCCAGAAACCCGTATGGGAAGGTACTTATCTGCCAATACAACGCGCCTTCCTCTTTTACAACCGAATATGCAGGGAAGCAGAGGCGAGGATCAAGATTCATGACGCCGCTCAACAGTCTTGAAAGACTTCAATCGCTCACCGCACCCATTCGTTCGTTTTCTTTTTACCACATTCACCACCATCTGCCTTGTGAACTGCCACGATGAGGGTTCTACCATTCTTATATGCACTTCCACTTGTTGCTGCCCTAGGCAGTAGACAACACAAGCGTAATCTGGCCATCTCAAGCCTCGAGAAGGTTTGACGCTTCACGCGAAGAGTCGTACCCAGTTGTTGACGAATGCCTCAGCGTGACATCGACCCCGAGAGCCTCTACCCGGAGCACAACATCTCAGTGCCTGTTGACCACTTCCACAACTCGTCTCAATATGAGCCACACAGCAATGCTACTTTCGACTTGAGATACTGGTTTGACGCATCGCACTATCAGCCTGGCGGACCTGTCATCGTACTCCAATCTGGTGAGACCGATGCCTCAGGACGCTTGCCTTATCTGCAANAAGGCATTCTCGCTCAGTTGGCCCAAGCAACTCATGGTATTGGTGTCGTACTTGAGCACCGCTACTATGGAACATCTTTCCCCACTCCTGATCTTTCTACTAAGAATCTCCGTTTCTTGACTACCGAGCAAGCGCTTGCCGATGAGGCATACTTTGCGAGAAACATTGTTTTCCCCGGACTTGAACACCTAGATCTCACCAGTGATGCTGCTGCATACATTGGGTATGGTGGTTCATATGCAGGCGCATTTAACGCTNTTTTGAGAGTCGTCTATCCTGACGTCTTCTGGGGCACAATCTCTTCCAGCGGTGTGACCAAGGCCATCTACGATTACTACGATTACTTCACTCCGATTGCCGAAAATGGACCTCCCAAGTGCATTTCGACACAGAAGACTCTCATCCACATTGTAGACACCATCCTCAAGAAGAATCAGACAGACCTCACTTACCAGCTCAAGACTGCGTTCGGCCTAGAGAACATTACTTATGACAACGACTTCGCCTCTGTTCTGTCCAATGGCATTGAAAACTGGCAAAGCCGTAACTGGGAACCCAAGGTCGGAAGCCCTGCTTTTGATCTATACTGCAACAACATTTCATCCGATGCAACGCTCTACCCCAACACGTCTTCGCTCCGTTCTGAAGTCGAGTCCCTGATCAAGAACACCAACTACACTGTTGAAGAGACTTTGGTCAACCGCATGCTCAACTTTATCGGTTACGTGAATGTCACGTCTGTGCAACCCTGCACTAGAGGTAGAAGCACTCAGGACCAGTGCTTTAGCAATCATAACGTGACATACTACCAGCAAGATGACCTATCATCATACGGCTGGCGTTCATGGGCCTACCAATACTGCTCCGAGTGGGGTTACTTGCAAACCGGATACGCACCTCCAGGAGAGCTTCCCATCGTTTCTTCTCTGCTTGATCTCGAATACGAAAGTATTGTCTGCGTCGATGCCTTTAACATCACTACCCCATCCGATGTGGAAGCAGTCAACAAGTACGGCGGTTATGACATTTCATACCCTCGTCTTGCCTTCGTCGATGGCTCTGCTGACCCCTGGCGTCCTGCAACTCCCCATGCATATGCTCAGGGTGCCAAGAAGCGCAACTCTACCTCTAGTGAACCTTTCATTCTGATCGACGGAGCCGTTCACCATTGGGATGAAAATGGCTTGTTCCCTAACGAGACCACTGCATCCCTTCCACCATTGACCGTAGCCGACACTCAAAGACAGGAAATTCAGTTTGTGCAGGAATGGATGTTGGAGTGGCAGTTGGAGCAGCAGATTGAGGTGGCTTACCATAAGCCAGCTACCCAGGGACCTCTTTGAATAGAGTATCATGATACACATCGATTTGTTGATCAGAACTCTTGACCTTTAATGTTACACGTAAGCGTGTTTCAGTTCGAATGAGAGGTGTCGTTGCCAATTTGGAGGCGTAGGTGTCTGTATTTCGATGGGCTGCCTAAACAGGCTTTTGGACTCCAGTCGGATGGCGGCTAGCTGGATACCCGCCTATAAATATAGGAGACCGGATCCGGCCGGCAGCCAAGTACGGTAATTCTCAATCTTGGCCGTATGTGAATAATGATATACTTTATCAGCCAAACGTTTTTCATGAGTATGGCCTCGGAAGCTGTTTCCTTTGGAGATTCAGAATGCAAAAGCAGCTGTAGGAAAAGGCCTAGAGAAAGCGACCTGCACTCGGTAGAAGCGGTGACGTCGATGTCGATGATGCACGGTGTGTGCTTTGGGGAAAACAATCTAAAAGCAATCGCGATCGCGGGGCGACACAAACAACAAGGAGTCAGTGTTGTCGATTGATGTGGCCACGTAGGCAAGTTTTCGAAAGGAAGGGGTCCCAATCTGATGCATGTTAAGCGAAAAAGAGAATGTCGGAGAGAATTGAAATCATGGCAAACGAGAGGTCAGCATGAACGCGAGAGAGGGAAAATAGGCATTCTGCGGAAAAGGCTGGTAATTTGAAAATGGATAGTTTGCGGTAGCCGCTTTGGAGCCGCAAAAGGCCGCAGGATGAGAAGGAGACAGCACCGCAGGCAAGGGAAAGCGATGGCCAAGTAGATGAGCATGACGTTCAAATACGCATGCGCAGGTTGGAGGTACAGGATCAACAGAGAAGCGCGGTAATAGGCAGGAACGATGCTTGTATGAGGTGAAGAAGTAGCAGGAGCAGGCTTGGAGCGAAAAGCTTGACGTCACAATGTAGGTGGGTGGGCGCAAGATGAGTTTCGTGGGGACCACGGACGGTAATCTCTGACCCGAACCCTCGACCAGGCACGTCTTCCTGTCCTATTCATTCAATCAAACTTTGTCTACCTACGCTCTTCTGTCGAATCTCGTATCCCCTTCCACTTTCTCACTCTTCCTCTATACCCTCATTCCCATTGCCGAGGAAGCGTGCCTTCAGCCATGAAGAAAGCACTGCACAAGCTCGTGCCCGGCCACCACCGCCGGAGCACCAGCGCCAGCGGCACCTACTCCAACTCGGACAGCGGCACGCCCACATCTGCCAGCAGAGCCAGCACCGATATGGCCGAGCGTCCTCGTGCCTCTCTGGACAACAGAGACCGTCCCAGCTCAAAGTCTCGCTTTGCCTCGCCGCGAAACTCGACCTCTATTGACACGCGCACCTCGGTCGATCACAGCCGTGCCTCTACTGATCTCTCCCACCGCCGTCAGTCCCGTTCTACTTCACATCACAGACCCACACACAGCCCATTGGGCGCTTTTAGACACAAGCTCCGCCGTGGCTCTTCGTCCTCATCGTCCAACGATGGACGTCCCCTAAACGCTGCTGGTGAGCCCATGTCAAAGGCACAACTTCGCAAGCGTGCAAAGCTCCAGCAAAAGGAGGAGAGACACAGAAAGGCTCAGGAGCACAACGAAGCAGACCGCAGGCTGCAACAGCAGACACAAGCACGTGCCGAGGCAGACGAGACCAGCGATATGAAGTCCAAGTACGGCGTTCTACCTCTCAACTCATACGCCCCTGCTCAGCCCGCCAACGAGAAGAAAGTCAACCTGCTCGAGCTGTCCGAGAGGGATGTTGGCTCGTGGGTCACTTTCCGTGCTCGCGTCCACATGATCCGCCAGATCAGCAGCCGTCGTGTCTTCATCGCTCTTCGCCAGCAGACTGCCTCGATCCAGGGTGTTTTGCACGAGCATGCTGGTGTCTCGCTAGGTATGGTCTACTGGGCCAAGCATCTCAAGCTCGAGTCGGTGGTCCGCGTGCGTGCTGTGGTTCAAGAACCCAAGGCCAGGCAGGGCAAGATTACCGGCTGCTCCGTTGGAAACCTCGAGGTCTCGATCCACGAACTGCATGTCGAGGGTTCAAGAACCGCCCCTCTCCCCTTCAACGTCGCCGAAGCCGAAGTCACTCGCGAAGAAGCCGAGCTGTCCAAGAACGCCCGTCATCACATCTCTGACCGCACCCGCCTCGCCAACCGCATCGTTGATCTCCGTACCAACACTTCACAAAGTATCTTCCGCGTCCAGTCCGGTGTCTCGTCCTTCTTCCGCGAGTACCTTCGTGGCCAGGGCTTCATGGAAATCCACACACCTAAGCTGCAAGGCGGTGCTACCGAGTCCGGTGCCAGTGTGTTCAAGGTCGACTACTTTGGCAGACCTGCTTTCCTGGCCCAGTCGCCCCAATTGGCCAAACAGATGTGTATCTCGGCCGATTTTGGTAGAGTTTTCGAGATCGGTGCTGTCTTCCGTGCTGAGAACAGCAACACACATAGACACATGACCGAGTACACCGGTCTCGATCTGGAGATGGCTATCGACGAGCATTACCACGAAGTTCTTCGCGTTCTGGACGGCTTGTTCAAGTTTATGTTCAAGAAGGTCTACGAGAATTACCGCCACGAGATCGACACACTCAAGAAGCACTTCCCTCACGAGGACCTTGTTTGGCTCGACAGGACACCCATCATTCCCTTCGCCGAGGGTATTCGTCTGCTTAACGAGTCCGGCTGGAGGGACGACAACGGCAACCCTCTTCCTGAAGACGAGGATCTCGGTACCCGCGACGAAATCCAGCTTGGAAAGGTCATCAAGCAAGTGTACGGCACAGATTACTATGTCCTCGACAAGTTCCCTGCCGGCGCCAGGCCCTTCTACGCCATGCCCGACCCCAACAACCCCAAGATCACCAACTCGTTCGATATCTTCCTTCGTGGGCAAGAGATTCTCTCTGGTGGCCAGCGTATCCATGACGAGAAGATGTTGACCAAGCAGATGGAGCGCCTGAAGATGGACCCTAGCACGCTCGATGAGTACATGCAAGGATTTGCCTGGGGAGCCCCTCCTCATGGTGGTGGTGGTATTGGTCTGGAACGTATGCTGATGTTGCTGCTGTCCTTGGGCGACATTCGCCATGCAACTCTCTTCCCTCGCGATCCCAAGTCCCTCCCCGCAAAGCCCGTCGTCAAGCAACTCAGGCACCCCGAAGCCAGCACACTGCACCCTCAATGGGAAGGCCAAGACCGCCACTCCGCTGGATACGAGCTGCCATCCGTTGAGATGCTCATCGCCAATTACGGAGACGCTTCCAACACCTCATGGCTCGAGCCTCGTACCGAGATCTGGAGAGACGATGCTACTGGTGCCGCCGTTGGTTTCGTGCCTCACCAAGGCTATGCCATCACGGTCGGTGACCCCCTCTGTCACAAGTCCCAATACGCTCGTACGATTGCCGGATACTTGCACTACATCAAGAAAGAGCGTGGAATCAAGCCCCTGTGGCTGCTGTGCGGTGGTGACGTTGAAGAAGTTCTGTCTTCGCATCAGTTCGATTGGCGTACATTCTCGGTTGCTGCCGAGCAACGACTGGATCCTGGCAACAACCCAGCTGTACATGATCATGATATCCAGCGCAAGATTCGTCACGCAAGCAAGGAGGGTGTCAAGGTGCACGATTACCCGCTCGGCACGCCAATTCCGGCTGAGACCAAGCAAAAGATTGATGGTCGCATCAAGGACTGGCTAGCCAACCGCAAGGGCAAGCAGGTTCATCTCACAGACATCCACCCTTGGCAGGACGAGGCCCATCGTCAATACCACTACACCACCGACAAGGACGGCAAGATCGCTGGTTTCGTCATCATGGCCCAGCTGTCGCCCGACCATGGTTGGCAAGTCAAGTTCTCGCTTGACTTCCCTGGTGCACCTTCAGGTGCCATCGAGTTGCTCGTCATGCACGCACTTTCGCAATGCGCTGCCGGCGGTGCCACTTCGGTTACCTTCGGTGGTGGTGCCAGCTCCAAGCTGACTCCCGGTCACAACTTGAAGGGTACTCGCATCAAGGTCCTTAGCAAGGCCTACCACGCCATCGCCACTGAGCTCAAGCTCACAGCGAAGTCGGAATTCAGAGAGAAGCTCGGTGCTCAGGACGACCCTATTTACGTGTGCTACCCACCACACGGTCTCGGACCCGGAGGTGTCAAGGCAATCTTGACCTTCTTCGAAGATACGGATGATGGCAACAACTAGAAGAACGGAGAGCTAGATATACACATACTGCTCTTGACTTCTCTTTTCTTTGCAATACATTTGTATGATGGTCGGACAAGCAATATTTTGGACATGACATGCAACACAGCAACAGCGATACCACCCCTTGTTTTTTTTGTTTTTCTTTATGTCTCCTAAACTTCATGTTTTAGTTAAAGCCGTTCACGAATTGATAGATGCACCGAACACTAATTAATGCTTTTACGTACATTCCATTCCCGTGTTTCTTTGAGTCTTCTATCTATGTTCATGCATGTTTTTATCTCTTTCTACATTGTCGTCTGCCATTGTTATGGAAGGCTAGAGGTGAGTTGCGACCTTTGTCAAGACCAGAGAAATGAAAATGGAGTACGAGTAGCTAACAACTCCCAGTCCATGATGCTTCTCAGAATAGATACTCTCAAAGAGGATTGGCCGAAGATCGGCGTAGTAGAGAAGTTCGGCGACTGGGGATCACAGTCAACATGTGTGATTTGGGCAGGTACAGTAGCAACTCGCTGCTTCCTCCACAGGTCGGAGGCCCGAAGCTTCAGAGTGTTGTTGACATGCAGCTTGCTTCTCTCTCTCAACATCATCATCATCATCAATTTCTATCTACCTCTATCACTCGACACACGTTCATACGTGCCTTGGTCATCATGGTCTGCGGAACCACCACATACGGCACGACTCTGGCTATCATCCTCGTCCCTGCTCTCGTCGTACCTTTCGTCCTCGCCAACATCATCGGCTGGACGGCCTTTGGAATTCACAAGCACCGTAAAAACAAGCGCCAACGTGAACACGGCCAGGGCGGCGGTTATGGTTCAGCAGCGGGAGCTGGCAACACATTCGTTACCAGCACAGGCCCTGGTGGAGAGACTGTAGTTTCTGTCGTTCCAGCCGGCGGGGCTGCGGGAACTGCTGGAACTGCTGGAGCTGCTGGGTCGGGTGGTGGTGCTTATGTTGCTGGTGGCCCTGGTAGTGCTGGCGGTGCTGGCGGAAGTGGTACAGCCTACACGACTGGTGGAGGGCCTGTTCAGAGACAAGTGGTCCAGATAGCAGGCGGCCCTCGGGTCGAAGAGACAATGGTTGTCGCCTAACATCACTAAAGTATGTTTGTCACATGTCACTTCTTTCACTCCTTCCATCCGCCTTTCATCTCGCATCAGCCCCACCTTCCTTTTTGTCAATCATCAACACCATCATGTCAAACTTCAGCTGGCGTCCGCCATCTGTTCCCTTTGAGGCGCAGACGCGCGACGGCTCGCCTTTCACCGTCTGGCATGTCTGCATGATCTGCCAACAACCACGATCTGCTCGTTATCACGCCGAGCACCCCATTGACGCAAACCTCCTCGCAGTCTCGCCGCCTTCGAGCGTCTGCCGTCGCTGCGCACCCAAAGTTTCTTCTTCGCCGTTGCGTCTTTCGCTTCCAGCACCTCAGATCTCAACACCACAAATCTCAGCGCCTCAGACCTCAACACCTCAGAGTTTAGCACCTCAGGCCCCAACATCGCCCAGTCCACCTTCTCAACCAGAACTGCGCAACATCCCATTCCGCTACGTCGAGCCCTTTGTCCCAGAACTGCAGCACATTGAGCCCCCACCTGAACCTGCTCCATCTGCTCCACCTGTCGAACCTAGCATCGCATCAACTCCAACCATCGAGATCATGCCTCCCCATGGTCCATCATACGATGAGTACCTCGTCGTCAAGAGGGAAAATACGCGCAGATGGTCCGAAGCTCCTTCACGAGACACATATCCTCCATCAGCTCGAGACTATCCACCACCTTCCAGAGACCATCCTGCACCTGCAAGAGATCCTTACTCTGCTCCTCGTCAAGACCATTCAGCATCGTTCAAAGAGTATTTTGCACCTGTCCGAGACAATCCTGCGCCTCCCAGAGACTATCCTTCAGCTTCCAGAGACATTCCTCCGCCTTTCCAAGACTACTCATCGACAATCAGCAGTCGTCCAGCACCCGTCAGAGACTATCCTGCGCCTTTTCAAAACATTCCATCAACAATCAGAAATCGTCCACCGCCAACCAAGCAGTATTCACTTCCTCTCAGAGAACGACCTGCACCTCCTGGTAACCCCAGACCCACCAAACGTCGTGTCTCTTTCTCGGGCGAGGATGAAGTGGCTACTCTGCCGCCAGACCTGCCTTCTGAGCGTGATGGTCGTTCCATGCAAGGTCTCTCTCGCATTCGTTCGCAACCTCCAAATCTCACTGGTATGCCGAGTGTGCACGATGACTACGAGTACGAGAAGCACCGCAATCGCACCTACATCGACCCTGCCGAAAGACCTCATGTTCCAGAGCCCAAGTGGACTCCTCTCAGCGAGTCTCCTGCACGCGAACTTCCTCTTGTAGAAGAATCGTACGCCCACGGTCCCTACAGAGCAGAGAACTCGCCTACACCAAGCATGCAAGTTCACGTTGACAAGGACGACTTTGTTCTCGAGAAGAGCAACGAATCTCGCAAAGCTCCTCGACAGTATAAACCTCAGCCAGCCCCACAGGACAATCGTACGTGGACAAGATACGTCACGGTCAAGGAATACAGAGATGAGAAGGGACCCTTTGTCGAAGTGGAGGAGAAGTTTGTCTTTGACGATGAGCGTTGATGCGTCGTACCTTTTGCCCCTAAATATCCCCACAGTTGGTTGCTTTAGTTATGCTTGAATTGAGCCCTTTCCCTAACTTTTCGATGATCAATACGAGAACATGCAGTTGACCCGACCTCCCGTTTACTCTTTTACTTACACAATGATCTTCGGTTTGAAGCAACTGTGCAATTGTATAGCATACTGCAGCACTAGCTGTTGACATGGAGTCGTCCGTCATAAGATTGTCACAGTCTTGAGAGCGCCAGGGATGGGGTCCCGGACCACGTCTTTCTGCAGGAGGGCACAACATCTCGAGGGTATTGATAAGAACTTGCCCTGAAATCCGTCGGAGCGTAGAGTGTGAGGTTATCTCATTTGTGAAAGAAACGAATAAATAATTCGACTGTTTAACGACGGTCAGAGCAGCATACGCTCCAGGCAACATCCCGGATGGTCGTAAACCTGAGATGATCAATACGAGAAAATGCAGTAGGTAGACAACAAGACACATATCCTCGACACCCCTCCATCTGGACGAGTGGTAGTCAACACAGACTCATCTCTGACATCAGACCCGAAAGCCACGCCTTGACCCAATAATGCGAACTCGCGGAGATGCTAGTGAAACTCCAAACTCATGGTCCATGCAGTGCTAAATAAACACTAACTTCTCCTTTGTTCGGGAGCTTGTCAGCATGGATCCTTCTGTGATGGTTTGCAGAGGCCAGCTGAAAGAAATGCAGCAAGGACGGAAGGCTTAAAGGCACGGGCCGTGGATCACCCATGACTTGTGCCTGCCGACGACAGCAGCATGGATTTCTTGGAACAATGATGCAGAGCATAGCGTGAATTGAATTCGAAAAAATGGGGAGAGGGCTGGTGCACTAAGAAAGAATAACTTGAAAATTATGACACCGAACTCTTCTATAAACGCGACTGGGTATTCGAAGGGAAAAAAAGGAGAAAAAAGAAAAAGAAAAATTGGAAACGACGCCGCGCAAATTGAAATCCGACCCCGTCTAAATATGAGCTCCGCGCTAGAATCGAAGAAATAGATGACAAAAGAATACGAAAAGATTTTTCTTTCAGCAGGAAAAGACGGCTGATAGAATCTCAGCACTCGAGAGGCAGTTTCTCGACAATAGTTACAGATGATGACTTGAGGAAGTAAGGCGCAAGCATCTCGTTAGAGGCCCAGCCGTTCTTCAGTGTCGAGAGTGCCTCTTCTCTAGCGGTGTCAACACCCTTGAGTGTGGTACTGCGGAAACCGCCAGCACGGTACAGAGCCTTGTAAAGAGCAGTGCCGAACAGACGTCCAGGCACACCAGAGGCAAGCTCGGAGACAATGCCCAGAATAAACAGCCACAGAGCAGAGAAGGGCTTCTTGAAGATCAAGTGATAGCCATCGTCGCCCCAGGTCTCGCCGAAAGAGTCGGTCTCGCTATCGTAGACCGGAGGCAAAGGCTCGGCGGCGTGTACAGCAGTACGCACAACCACCACCCAGAAGAGCGCAATCTTGCAAATGTCGATCGCGGCCACTGGTGCAAACCCGTCAAAGGCCCACATGCCGAGCAACGAGTAAGCAGCGTTGAAGACAGCAGTACCAAAGCCGAGTCTAAGATCTCCGAATGAAAAAGCTTGCATGTCCAAAGCGATGTTCGTTAATGCCAGACCAGAAAGACCAAATGTGATTCTGATGATGTAAAGCCAGAGAAGTTGTTCGCAGAACAAACACACCATGTGACCATATCTGTTCAGCTTGTTTGTATGCCATAGCTCAAACACAACCAATTGAAAATCGAAAGATGATTTCCCGATGTTGTTCTTGAGATGGAAGGTGTAGGGAAATGATTGATTGACCGCGATCCATTTCGTCTCCAGATAACAGAGGATGAAAAAGCAAATCAAGATGGCGAAGAGAGCGTCGATTGCCAAGGAGTGAATCGTGATCCAATTGAGTGCCGATCCGGCAAGAACAGCAGCCAGAGTGGGAGATGTAAAGTAGACTACTGCAGAACCCACTGCGGTGCCCAGGAGAGAGGTGAGAAGGATAGGCATTTCGACAGGAGAAAGGAGTGTGCTCAAACTCAAAAGGGGTGATCTCTGAATGATCTCTTGAGCAACAACCTCCGGACCAGCTCATTATATACCAACCATACTACCGCCCATCCTCGGATGCAACTCGTAGGTAAAGGGACAAGAACACAACCGAACCAGATTGTGGATCGTCAATGCAGCATCGAGGCGTGATAGAGCCGGACGGTGCGGCAACCTAGATCTTCTTTGCACAGGGCAGTCTCTGCAGTGGCGCAGGGATGATGGTATACCGAGAGAGCCTGAAGGATAGTGTACGAATAGCACTTGGCCAGGGCGTGTCATGCATGAGTAGCTCCTTTGGCTGCATGAAAGGCGTGAAGTTTCAGGGTGAAGTTACAGCCGTTGGTTTGCGATCGCGGCTTAGCGCTCCCTCTCGTACGTAGTCATGTTGGAGAATAACCAATGAGAGTTGGCATCCATCACCACATTTTGTTATGCTCCGAGTAATTTCCAGTAATCATAACGCATGACCAAAAGTTCCAAAGGTGTTGAACATGGCTAAGACGATAAGACAGATAAGCCAAAGGCAGATGTTGCTGGTGAGATTCGACGATTGAAGGATGTTCGAGTAGTGAGAGGGCCGGGGATAACGTCATTGGCCTCGGGGTCTACCATGCAAAAACCTTGGTCGCGTCGCGCGTCTTTGATGGCACCTACCAGGAAATGTTTGCGACTGAGGTTCGATATGACTCGAGAGGAGAGTGGATACAAGCTTATCCAGCCATGGGTCAGTATACAACACTGGTCTTTGCTGGAAACCAGGGATAGTTCTGAGACGGCCCTGCAGTGCCGGAGCCCTGTTTGCCATGAGCCTGGGAGTGGCCGGTTGCGAGAAGGCTTGCAATCAACCGTATGCAGGGACGAAGAACCGTGCACCAGGCGCCAACTAGGAGGTGACCACCTATCGGGCCGGTGCCTGATTTGCTCCTCAGGCAGCGAGTATACTTGGCGAAGAGAGGACAACTCGTGGTAGAGTGTAAGCGACACGAAAAAAGAGCTTCGTCGCGAGCAGCAGCAAGCGAGACTCCCTTAAGCACTCACCACAGCCCATTGTCGCAGAGTGGTTCACAATATTTGCGACGGGTTCGTAAGGTGTCAACGTTTGCCTCAAGAGGCCGAAAGCCACCTCCATCGTTTGCAGGCGCCCCTTTGAGAGGCCGGCTTCTGAAGGAAACCGCTTCTGAACGATTGTGTTCTGGGTCCTCCTCGTGGGAAATCACAGGAGCCGACATGGCGTGTGGCCGTTGACAACGAGATCACTCTGCCGCCCGAGACGCATCACCAGTCTTGCAGTCTAGCGTACTCGAGATGAACGAGTCTCAAAAGTTGCTTCTGCTGCCAACAATCAACGATGACTCCAGCGGCGCTCTTCGTTGCGGATTGCGATGCGAGACTCGATCATGATCAACATGCCTTGATTGATAACAGGAGAAGACGTTGTCGATAGGGACTAATAGTCTGGGTGCGCACGGACGGCCGGATCGGATCCTTCCGCTTGTGGTTGTTGTCGACATCGAATCTGGAAGGTGCTTGGCATTGGACTCTCCTTCCCCTCTTGATCCTTACTCAGGTCTGCACTTCGAGACCCAAGACATGTTGTTCGTGAACGTTACATTCGAATTTTCTAGTCGAGGGCCGAAGGATTGTCGCACGAGGCGAATGTATTCAGTACCTCAACGCCGCCCTCGGGGGAACCACGCTTGGTCAATCTGCTGGCGGCCTGCAAGAATACACGAGAAATGTCTCTACTATCTCAAGCCGCGCTCAAGCCTTGGGGCCTGCGCTCGAGGTGACTATCGTTTGAGATGATGGCTATACGTGTTCTGCGAGACATTGATAAAGCAAGACCCACAAAGCACCTCTCTGGCCCACTTGCCGCACCCGTTGATGTAATCGACAAACCTGACATGGATTTTGTGCCCACCATGAGTCCTCTTACTTTTGGTGAAAGAACCTAATTCTGCGCCTCGAGCTTCGCATCGACTAGTTCTCGTGACCGTTTGATCCTGCTTTCCGTTCTATATCAGCCAACACGCAAAAGACGACAGCCCGCTCAATACAACCGTTGCACTGTTCAGAATGCCGAGCAAATCATCACGACCGCGGTTCTGGTGGGCACCCGTCAATTGCCAACAGGCGTTCTGACCGAGACAAAGCTGGCCCGGCAAATCGTTATATTGCTGCAGAGCTGAGTGCTATGTCTGCTGAAAGAGGTATGGCAGCGAAAATCCACGTTGTACACACGCACCCTATGTTGTGGCTGCCCTCCTACTACTGAGACAGCTCTAGGTTTCGATACAGCTTAAAAGTCAAGGCAGAGTATAATAAACTCCATGCCTGCATTCCTCGTGCAGTAGCTTCCTTAGGTTTCCAACACGCGACGCGACTTTTTGACACTACTCGGGGAAAACTACACCACCACCCAGCCTCTTTCTGCAGTGCACAGACGCGCGGCATCACTGGATCTCCAAAATCACGACCGTCGAACTGGTGGATCTGGTGTCTTCTTCCTTCTCCATGGACCGGGGCGGCCTCTCGGATCGAGCCAAAGGCTACATTCTTGGCAATGACCTTCTCATGGGCTTCGCAGCAGTGGTTGTTTCGGCTCGATTCTACTGTCGGATGCGCATGGGATCTAAGCGAGGTCTATGGTGGGATGACTTGTTCATACTATTCGCATTTGTATGTGGACCATGTTCAATGCTTGAGACATCTTCATCTTTGGCTTACCATGGCAATTCTAGATGCTCGCAGTGGGATTTGGTGCGATCGTGAACATAGCAATGGTATGAGTGCCGCTAGTGTAGACTAGGACTATCATCAAGACCACTAACACTGCTATCAGGGCCACTATGGATGGGATCGACACATCTGGACCGTTCCTCTAGACGTGCTATCAAAGTCCGTCAAAGCATATACCGCAGCGAAGATATTGTTCATTGTGAGCAGTACGTGCGTGCGGACAGCACTGTTGCTGTTCTACCTATGGCTCATCAAAGACCTGGCCGAAAAGAGTCTCAGACGAATCATCTATGTGGTGATGGGCCTGAATGCTGCTCTATGTCTCGTCAGTATTCTTGCTTCGATCTTCCGATGCAGGTCAGTTGGAGTTATTATCTGTGTCCAGTGCGTAGTACTGACAACTACCAGCCCCATATCAGCAGCTTGGACGCCCAACACCTTGGATGCACATTGTTTCAGTGAAGGTATCTTTATCACCACAATTGGAGCATTACTATCCGCGATGGATTTTGTTGTGAACATCCTACCGCTCCCTATCGTTGCACGCTTGAACGTAGCGTTCAAACAGAGGTTCGCGGCAACAGTGCTCCTTTCCTTGGGAACTATTGCGACGGCTGCTGGCATTGTCAGAGAGGTGTACATATATCGTGCCTTCATAGGTACTAAGGATTCGACATGGGGCGCACTGCCTCTATGGATCTGCGCAGACGTTGAGATCTATGTTGGTCNNTTGTAAGTTCCGAACGCATCGATGGACTGCAAAGACAATACTGACGCTTGTATGCAGCTATGTGCCTGCGTCCCCTCACTCCGTCCTCTTTGGACACAGCTGACTTCTTGGTTCTCGTCCAAGAAAGATCGTTATTTGCCATCCAACAACCCATCCCACCACTCCTCTGGGGACTGTATGCCCCCTTCCATGTCCTGGGACGAATTCGACAAGGATGTCATATTTGACGGCACCTCGTCATTCCACTCTGCATCAAAGATGTTCAATGGCAAGAAAAAGAGCCACACCACAAGCATCGCGACCCTCATCGGGAAACCTCCTTCTCAAGCCGACTCCTTTTGCTTGACGAGTAACAATTCCGACTGGGAAAACGTCGCATTGAGAGACTTGGAATGTGGCCGACCCAAAGAAGTTCACGTCAGGACGTCTGTGAGAATACAACTGCAGTCGTTCTGATTGACACTAGTTGTTTGCATTTTCTAGCGAATTGTTTCTCTGTGCATATCTTTCTTTTTCTTCTTTGCTGCTTTAAAGCTCTTTGATACCCCATCTTGCCATCAACTATAGACCTTCTACCTGGCTTGCTGTCATTCCACACAAGCCAGAAATGTACATACCACATATCTCCTCACTCATCTTTATATCTTGCTCGCTCTGACCATTTCATATCCTATACCGCGACCCTTCCAGCCAGCCCAGTGGCGTACGCCTTTGGACAACGTTGTGACGAGACCAGACCCTGCTTTCGGAGGTCACCGTCCTTGAGTTTGAAAATACGATAGATGGTACGATAAGACGTTTTCTTGCACACAACGGTTTACTGGCTGGAATAGCTTAATCTATATCGAGGAGTGGGATCTCGGCCTCCACGTTCTATCGCTGTCTCTTCGGCTTATCTCACTTATCTGTGAGAGATGCGGCTTTGGAGGAGTAAAAGTACGCTATGGAGTGGTATACAGCTGATACCATCACACGAGTAAAGGAATCCTATGACTGTCCTCACAGATGAGATACCACATGAGATACATGAGCAGCACGTCAGCACAACTGTTCTTATTGCCGCGAACATAGAGTTCAAGCACCATTGCAACCTTTCTAGTCATGCTTTACACATCTACTGCCGTTGGGCAGCTGGCGCTTACCCCATGACTATGCAGCATACCTTCTGGGCTCAAGCCTTTGCCAACGAGAATGCCTTGGTTTTGGATCCAGATCAAATGCTCCTGACGATTACTATTCTCGGATATCTCAGTGCTGCACATTCTGACTCGAGGTGTTGTTGAGTGGATCTTTTGTTTTGTTCTCTGATTTCCTCCTCTTTGGATGATATTGGCTTGATAGCGGAAGTGTATTGCGACCTCATTGAGATATGGACGGATGAGCAATGCAGCACAGCATCGTGTGCTTTGTGTATGTGTGTCAACGTCTTTGAACCTTCTCTTGTCCTCTATCTGAACAACAATTAGAGTTGAGGTGGCAGTCATCACGTTTGATAACAGCTTAAATGTTATCCAGATTTTTGCTTTTGTAGATTCTGGAAGGAGGTTCTCGCCAAGAATGTCATGAAAGCAGGATGTTGAAGTGAAAGAAAGATGTTCTGATGAGAAGGGGATGGATTGATATCGTGCGGTCGGTGCGCGTGCAGCGCTTGGCATGGTTACATTATTTACGTTTCGGCCTTTTGTATGGCTGAACTATCCAGACTGTTTATATATGATTTGGTTGGAACATTGCACTGAATAGTAATGATTTAGCCATCCGAAATCGATATTGTTCAAGAAAGAAAGAATAGCACACAAAGCTCACGCATGTGTTATGGAAATGCCCCTGCCATTTCGACGACAATTCTACGACTCGACATCAGCATCAAGGACAGCCTCCATGCCCAGCCCCCTACTTGTAGGCAGGCACCAAGCTGTAAGCCGAAGTAAGCTTGGCGTTAGATCCAGTGAAAGGCTCAGTACCAGCACCAACAGAGATCAAGTACTGGCTAGCCTTGAAGCCCTGACTATTGATCAAGTACGCAAAGAAATCCATCAAATCGCCACTGAAACTGCTGACGTTTGCTCCGTTGGGAGTAAACGAGTAAACCTCATTCACACCATTGCTGCCATACCACAACTTCCAACTGTGGCCAGCAACAGTGACTGTAGCAATAGGAGCACCAGTTGCTGAGATGGGGCCAGCGCCGCCGAGTGCTGCCAACCAGACCATGATTTCGAACTCGTTGCTGCCGCCGGCGGTGGACGAGGTGAAGATGTCGTAGGCGACGTCGGCGACGACGTTGCTGCCGGATTGTACCCAGGTCCACTTTGTGGCTAGAGACTTGATGGCGGAGATTTGGACGGGGTTGGTCTTTGTAACGACATTGGCGTATGATTTTACTTGGCTAGAGCCACCGGCCCATGACCAGCTAGGGATGTGTTAGATGTGGCTGATATTGTAGGTGTTTGAGGTTGGCAAGACTTACGTGGTCCACCAGTTGAGGGTGCTGCCGCTCAGACTGTTGATGTCTGAGCATTGCGATCCAGAGTAGCCGGAGATGCCCCACAGGTCTTGGTACAGAGTGTAGGCACCGGTGACCTTGCTGTCCCACTGACCGCACTGCTGAGCGCGCTTCTCAATGGTGGCAGTAGGGGCGGCCGAGGCGACGCCCAGCATGACGGCAGCAGCAGTAAGGAACTTCATACTGTCTGAAGATAAGGTGTTCGATTGTGAAGGAGAGTTAAAGAAAGTATGGAATACAAAGACAGCACCAGTCTGACTTTGGTTCGGAATAGAAAAAGATGTTCAATGTCGCAGGGTGTGAGAGAAGGAACTATCTCAACAACACTTGGGGCTTGCTTATATACAAACACTCACCTTTCCCTCGTGAGCGGACATGGCGGAAGATGCAACCCTTGCTAAGCGTAAAAACGTGCTTTCGAACCGACGGCCTACAGGGCATCGCGTTTCAAGATTACCTCTAGAGTCGTACTATAGCAAAGCCCTATCACAGCCCTGCTCGTCAGTATAGGATAGATTAATAAGAGGAGGAAGAGAGAAGGTCGTCAAAGAAGCTTTCGACCCGTGGCTTGTTTCATCTGCAGCCAGCTAACAAGGGTTCCCCGCGATTCTCCTCCAACGAATGACATGGTTCGTGGCGTGGACAAGCGACAACCTCGCAAGCGAAGTGTATGCGATTTGTGGAAGTTTTGTGATGGAAGCCTCTTCGTCTGGATGGAAAAAATGTAGAAAGAGGGGGTTGTTGAAGATCGCAGAACGTCGAAGAGTTCAAGTGTTCGGGGATCGGGCAAAAGTGATTTATTAAACTTTCTGGCCATATGATCCACGCTCTGCGCTTTGATCTCCCGCGATCTTGCGTTGTTCTCAAGCGACTTGTATTTTGGTGAATGATGAAACTGCGCTCTGTCGTATTGCCAGAGATCTCGCCCTGTGTTGCCTCGGCCAGAGAATTGATCACGAAGTTTCTCCGTCGACTCTGAATTTGGTGAAGAGTCTTGCTCATCAAATGAATCCAAGGACTTGACAGGTGTTCGCGTCCTTGTACTGTAGATCCCTCGTGTCCGTCAAGAGTAGGCATGATAGTTCGACGCAACTAGTCAGATCTATAGGAGTGCTAGAAGCTACGTACTTTGGCTAATACAACGACGTTGCAGTTGAGGTCCAGGCGCTGCTCACAGTGCTCTGATGGGGTTTTGCAGGTGACCATGCAGATATCCCGTATCTGCTCTCCATACCATCTAGGGCATGTGACGGTCCTTACAGCAAGCTCTTGATTGACCCTTAAATACGCGCGAATCTGTCGTAGAAAGGTTGCTTGCCGCTCAAATGACACTTTCACTCGAGCTGCTTGCCTACTGCAGCGATTGGACGGTGCCGTTCCAAGCTCAATCCCCTTGCTTCCGCTTTCGATAGAACATATGTGTATCTCCCATTTCCCAAGCTCTTTCCTTGTACGGTATCCGCGGGCGCAAGTGGTGACATGCTGGCAGGAGCTGCGATCTATAAGGCCGTTTGTGGATCTAGATAAGTCGATGGGCCAGAAGGATGCCGAGGAGGCATTTCTGATCAGCGCGCAGTGACACACACGTTCGCCACATCGTCGCCGCATGAGGATGAGGCTGTGATACCGGACATCTGCGAATCGTTTCTGCCGGACAGGCTGAATTATCGATTGGTCAGCTGCCACAATTGGCCGGTGGGTGGTGGGCGGTTGGCGGAAGAAGTTGAGCTGCTACGGCCGTTGAGTTGCCCGGGGCATCCATCTCTCCCTCACAGCTGGAACACATGAACGCAGTCAAGCTTCTGTCTCGACTGCCCGACAGTTGTGCATGTTCGCATCGCTGTCTCAGTCGAAAAGTGCCGACGTATGCTCGTTGAGACAGACGAAGGAGCTCTTTGTCGCAAGAACGATCGCGAGCGTTTGGAATGCTTGGCATGACTGGACGTCAGCTCCTGCCGCACGCGGCCTTGGTCACTTCTTCTTGCGCTTCATGGGCTCACCACATTTCAATTCTGGACCCTGACAAAGAGATAGTTGACTTCTGATATACACTGCAGGAACGTGCTGTCACCCGCGATGGGCAATCTTCATTGATTCCATGCGACTACTTTTTCCGAAGTCCCCATGAACTCTGTAGGATCCCTAATGTACAACATCCACTCTGGTAGCCAAAGCAGTCCTTCAAACTTCGCTGTTACTCAACGAGACTCTCCTGATCAACGAGAGGCACTGATGGCAAGTGCAACATCTCCTGCTCTTCACTGGAAACCACGGTTCGGATGTAGTTCCCCTTTCCAACTGGCAACCACTCGACTCCAATCCTTGTCTCTACTCTTCCTCCTCATCTGAAAACTCTCTACCCCAACGTTGAAGAATCTCACGTCTGCTTTCCGGTGGGATTCCAACTTTGCGATCGACTTTGGCGATAGCCCTCTCATACTTCATAGCGATTGTTGAACCGTGCTCGGTGTGCGAAGCCACCACCAGACGAGCTGAATGCGAAGGAGCCAGACGGCGCTCGCCTTGGGAACTGATGTATGCTTGGATACGCTCGAGGGTTGGTGGTATCCATGCCGAGCCATCAGACATCTCGATCATTGCTCTGTGTTTCTTGACCTTCATCATTTTGTACGGACGCGAGGTGGAGATGGTGGTGGTGGTAGACAAGGTAGGTGGGACGGACGAGAGACTGCTCGGTGCAGTGGGAACTGATGATGAAAAATCGAGCTCCGAGAAGTCGGTCAAGGTGGACATGGCGCTCGAAGAAGCAGCAGCTGATGTAGTGGAGGCGTTCGATATGCTAGACCGACGGCTGTGCTCGGTGAACTCGGTCAAAGTCGAAACAGATGATGCTGCAGGCAGACTGCCGCCCCTGAGATATGCGAAGTCTTCGTCGAGGTCGGCCAATGTTGTTGCAGAGGCTGGAGATGGGAGGTCATATGGTCTGTCAATGTCTCTGTCCTTGGGAGACTTTGTAGGAGTCGATGTCGTGCTTGGAGCTGACGATGCGTAGAGCGTGACAGAAGAACATGTTGACGAAGGTGTGAGAATACCAGGCCCACAGGCTTGACCTAGCAACTCCTGAGAAATCTCGGAGATTTCGGTGAACTCAGTCAAGGTCGAAGTGGTAGATCCGGTCGTCGAGGGCGCAGAAGGACCACATGCAGCCTTGCGCGCATTCGAAGTGTAGGGCTGATCCGAGACCAGGCTCGGAATACTTCTCTCGAGATCTTCCATGTCCATTCCTGATTGAGTCAGCTTGCTTGCATCGCCAAGTTTGCGCTTAGTCGTTCATTTGAACCTGGATCAACGACCAAGGAGCACTTACGCCAGAAGACACCACAAGTCGGACAGTCCGGCACGCCGTCGTTTCTTTGTTCTCACAACTGGACTTGCGACCAAACAACAAATATAATGTCTCTACGACAAGGAATATAGCGATCTGTGCGAACTGAACCCGATCAATAATCTCATGCGAAACGATTGCTTCCAAGGTTTGGACATCAATCACTTCCATTCATTGCAACTCCAACTACTCGGTATCGATGTAAGGTTGCAGAGCCTCTTCTGTCCACTCCCACAGATCATCCCCTAGGTCCTGATCTTGGACCCACTTCGCTTGCTTTCCAGGTTCAGCAATGGGCGAGTAGTAGCCACCATTCTCGACAGCCTCGCGACGCGTAGTGGCACCCCACATGGAGTTCTTGCATCCGTCTTCTGGGGTCATGATCTTTGACGTTGCATAGACAAGCAATCGATCTGCCCATCCCAATGTCTTGACCAGATCAGTCCCGACAACTCCTGGGTGGATGGCAATGATGGACACGGTCGGGTGTCGCTGAGCGAGTTGAGTGGTGTACAAGACTTGAGCGAGCTTGCTTTGGCCGTAGCGTCTCCATCGAGCTCCAAAGCCATATTCTTGCTTTGTCTTGAGGTCAGAGAAGACGATTCCTTTGTCGGATGGGCCAAGCATCAATCCTTCTGATGTGGTGTTGACGATGCGGGCGTCTCCGTGGGTCGAGGCTGTCGCGGTGAGTATAGGCAACAAATACTGAGTGAGCAAAGCATGTCCAAGGTAGTTGGTCGCCCACTGAATCTCGTATCCGTCANNGGACAATCCAGGCGGAGTGGCCATAATACCGGCGTTGCATATCAAAAGATCTAGACGCCCATCGAGGTGAGGGNNTATGAGGAGCTTTACAGCTCGTTGGATATCAGACAGCGAGGCGAGGTCAATCTGCACGAATTGGGCCTCAACTTTTGGGTATCTGTGGGTGATATCGGCTAGGATCTCATCTGCCCGTACTTGATTACGACCGGTGAAGAATATCTTGGCTGGTTCGAGGGCAGCAAGACATTTCACCAGCTCACGACCCAAGCCACTGGTGCCTAATAGTTCAATCCATTAACACCGAATCAGGTAGAGACTTGTATGTTGGAACGTACCGCCAGCGACGAGGACAGTTTTACCCGTCTGTAAAGACAACTGCGACAGATCTAAATCTTTCATACCGTCGATAGCGGTCACGTATACGAGCTTTGAGATATCTCTATCATAAACTATAGTGCAGAATGCGTAAAGGCAGGGTCTTGGAATTTTTGATCGTTTATATAGTCCAATGCAGCAAGGGATGCTCCACAATCAAGATGCTCCCCGCTTCTTTGAGTGCTTCGGAGGGTTCGTCCGCCCGCTTCCCGCGTGGCGTGACCATTTGGCACTGCATGTTATATTGCAGTAAGGAAGTGGACAATCAATCGACACTTTCAACTGTTCCTATTCTTATGATGTGAGGACGAATCACAGAATGCCACATGCACGAAGCTTTCCATGTGTGCGAGTATATAAAGCGATGATACCCAGGGATAGATGGATATCCTCTTGATCGCGAAAAGAACACTCTAACTTACCCACTGATATATCACTGTGACCCTGGATACTAGTCGCGATAAGTATCACTTTGTCAAAAATGGATGCATTGTTGAAAACATCCTCACAGCCTCCTTCTGTGGTCGCTTTGGGACTGGNNTCAGTCAGGATGGCAGGAACTGAGCGAAGCACACCTAAACTTTTCCAGATCGCGATTGCCTATATCACATATCGAATTATCTCGCATCTCTGGCACCCTCTATACAAGTTCCCTGGACCATTCCTCGCATCTTTCAGCAGTATTCCTCATTGCCTAAGTTTTCTTGGAGGCAGACAGCCATATGATCGCCTTGCTCTCCACGAAAAATATGGACCAGTAGTCCGGACTTCGCCCAATGAACTCTCATTCAGTAGTTCTCAGTCATGGAAGGACATTTATGGCTCCAGAGCAGGACATCAACTCTTCCGCAAAGCCCCTTTCTATGAAGGTGCAAGTTTTGATGGAAAGACACTTTCGATCATCAGCGAGACCGATCCGGCAAATCACAAGAGGATGCGAGCGCAGCTTAACACTGCTTTCTCCGACAAGAGTCTTCGCGAACAGGAAAGTTTGATCACCGAGCCTATCGACCTCTTCATCGATCAGATAGGAGAGAAGGGTGATTGCCCGGAAGGCATTGATATTGTTATGTGGTTCAACCTGATGACCTTTGATATCATCGGAAGCTTGGGTGAGTAATCAGCACTAACAACGACCAGCAATTCTGATGTGTACNTAGCTTTTGGAGAATCCTTCGGAGGACTGGAGTCGGCCAAGTTTCACGAATGGATTCAGCTGGCTGTTGGGTCCATGAAACAAGGAGCGCTGGCAGATTCTCTGGGTCGCTATCCTAAGATTGCAGCTATCATCAAGAAGCTCCTTCCTAGCATGATTGACAAGATTCTTCAGGACACTCGCAAGCACGAAGCACACACGATGAATCTTGTGAGAAGGTGATGAAATTCTGAATTCAGTGGTAATCTTCCTGGTGGACTGACCATATCCAGACGTTTAATGAAAGACTCGGACCGGCCAGATATCTTGACGCGTATTATTGAGGAACGCGAAGCAAACGGCATTTCTGATACGCAAATCGCCGCTCACTCTTCCGATTTCATGTACGAAAACAATACAGAAACGCACAAGACAGAAGTTTGTTGACACATCGTAGAANTCGCCGGCAGTGAAACGACTGCGACCACACTATCATGCGCGACGTATCACCTTCTACGCGATCCCGAGTTGTACGACAAGCTACGAGAAGATATCCGCAGCGCTTTCCCCAGCTACGAGCAGATTAATTCTGTGTCGGCTTCGAAAGTAAAACTTGTCAATGCGATCTGTCTCGAGGCTATGCGCATGTACCCTCCGCTTCCATTCGCTCTACCTCGGGTGGTTCCTCGGGGCGGTGATACCGTCGATGGCCGTATAGTCCCTGAAGGTGTAAGTCAAAAGTCATGCGGCGACCCACTTTACCTGTACTTTGGAGCTGATGATATTTGCAAAAACACAGNNATCACCGTATCTACGAACCCGTTCGCCGCATCCATGTCCTCCGTCAACTTCAAAGACCCCTTCAAGTTCTCAGCAGACCGCTGGTTGGGTAATAACGAAGAAGATGATCTGGACGCAACTCAACCTTTCTCATGTGGTCCGCGCGCTTGCATGGGACGAAGGTAAGTCAGATCAATATGCTCGACATCAAAAGTACAAAGCTAATGACTGTTCANNAGCTTGGGATGGGCAGAGCTCAACATCACAATGTGCAAATTGCACTACAAGTACGATTTGGAACTTGTAAACACTGATCTGGACTGGTTCAGAGACTCGAAGATGCATATTGTGTGGCACAAACCAGCGATCATGTTGCGCGTGAAACCTCGTTCGTCCTAATTATGCTTTCAATGGACAGCTAGGGCAGTTGCGACAATACTCTGCATTTCTATAGTCATCAAAGCGCATGATATCTGAGCTCGGGAGAAAGAGTCGACCAAGGACTGTTTCCAAACTATCTCAAGCAAACAGAATTCATTCTTAGGCGATAAGAATGCATGATAGGTTCCGAGAACAGAGCGATATCCGCCGAAGGACCAAAAGTCTACTCGTTCTCTTCAGACATGATTCTAGTCCGAACATCTTTGTGCACTTCCAAAGCTACACCGAAATCTGTTAACTATGGCCGTAATCATGAATCGGTTAACGCCTCTCATACCGGATTGGAGCAAGTTTCGAGCCATCAAAATGCATAGTGATATTTCAAGCAATATCCCGTAAGAACCATTGACTAACTAACCTTTTTCTGGGCAAATATACAAGGTAGACACAACTCTGCATTTTTAAAGTTAGCCTGACTATACAATAACGTTTATGGATATAAGGCATCAAGCAAGGGATAACTTTCAACGTCACATGCAAGGGAGCGTTTCGTCACTTACACTAGTATATAAGCAGGCCGTAGATCACTATTGACATAGCAAAGTGGATTGCACATCTACCACATGGAGAATCTGTTCCAAAGACTCCAGCCAAGGCCCCGAGAGCACCCAATCCTACCACTGCTTCAAGCGCGTCTTGCAATTTCCCATCTTAGCTCTTGAAGAGTGACGTCGAGTAGTGCGAAGAAAGACACCACGTCCATGACCGTCACGATCTTAGACATTGATCTCGTAGCGGCGATATACATAATGATTATGTTGCGTTTAGGCACGAAAGGCCGAGGAACGTCTAAGATCGGATGTAAAGTAGTAACCAAACTTCGAGTTTCTAGTAAGGAGAGAAGATCATACACAAAAGGATAACATCTATCATCCCGAGAGATAGTGTATAAGTCAAAGTCACGTTGCAAGAAGATAGCGTAGTGGAAGAGAACAGTGAACATGTAGTGGAGAAGCAGTAACCATTTTGGTCGATAGCGACCCAATGCTTGGTATGTATGAGATTGCCTTTGCAGAATGAGTGTTACCCCTGAACGCCTCTCCAATGCTCGCCATGATTCATGTAACCATGCCATGCAGAAAAAACCCATGAGGAAGAATCAATGAACCTCCGATGCTGACTTCATGTTGTTGTGATTGATGACCTTGTTGATAAACTGTTGAGTACCCCGTGCTCTCTGTGCATCTCTATCCCAAGGAAAGGCAACGAGCTTCCTCGACGAACAGCTCAGATGGAAGGGTTGCCAGGAGCCATGACGGAAGCCCAGAGTACCTTCCAGAAGATGGGAGCAGGAGGGGGTAAGGCTCAGGAGTAGGTGGGCGAGGAGTGGGTTCAGGCTTGGGACTCAAGCCATCATTAACAGTGTCAGAGGTAGGAGGTTCAGGGACAGGCTCGAGCTTGGGGATGTACGAAGTGGTGGTGACGACAGTGGCCTGATCGTGCTTGGTTTTATTGCTAGTGCTGGTGCCAGTGCCATGGATGTCGTTGTTGTGGTTGCTGGAAGAGGTTTGATCGTGTAGATCAGCCTCCACGATGGTGATGTAGGTGGAGAACATTGCTAGTCAGATGTTCATTCTCACGCGTCCTCAAGACTGCTCTGTTGGTTTCATCATGTGTGGTTATAACCCTTGAGGTTACCACCAAATGCTCGACTATGAGGATCTAGTTTACTCTATCAAAGCATGCGAATACCACCGTTCTTGTTTGACTTGCGCTCAGCAAACTGCTGAGCAACCTTGAAGCAGCGCTTATACTGATAGTACCTAACCACAGCAGGTTTGACAACTTTGTGTGTACCAGGACTCAACATACCGTGCTTGTCAGTACTCTTAATCAGCTTACGAGCTTGACGACAGAAGTCGCCTTGTTTGTATCCTGTTGGTAAACTGGGATTAGTTCCAGCGCCCTCAGCAGTGTCCTCCATCTCATCCGCAGCTTGCTCCTTTATAGCAGCTCTGAGAGCAGTCTTTCGGTTTCTCTTGAATAGATTGTATTGTCTTCTACTCAGACCTTCAGGTGTGAGAGGAAAGATAGCTTCCTCGTCGGCAATAGTGAGATCAACGAGAGAAGGCGAAGAAGGCATGACAGGAGTCGATGGTATGATAGGTGTAGACGGGACCTCAGGCGTACCAGCGCCGGAAGTTGTGCTGTCGTTACTCATTTTGTCGCCAGGACTTCTGTTCTATTCTTTTTCTCAGACTCGCATGAACGAGGGTTCTCATACATTATAAACTTCTTCGATATCTGACAACGACAAAGAATCTTCTTTATGAGACCTGAGACTTGAAAACAATGAACAATTGAGTAAGAACACAAAGGTCAAGCAACAGAGACAAAGGAAAGAAGCCCGAGTACCATACTTCCTTTGTCAACAGGCACCTGTATCTTTGATAGTTATTGCCATTCTTTCAACATCTCAAACAAATCTTGAATGGTCCTTTGAGCATCGCTTTGGATACCTGCACAATTCAACAATCCAATTATGCAGCCTTATCCAGATCAATGAAAGTCCTTAGTCTTGTCTGACGCCATCAATGGCCGTTGACAATGGATAAACTTGGGCACCTACTTTCTGAACAAGCTCGCAGCACAGTATTAAAGTCGAGGACAGACGGTGCCTTTACAGATGAACTATCCTCAAAATTTGAAACCTAGATCCAAACTTCATCAACAACAACCAACACAACCCACTGAACATAAAGTAACGATATGGCCCCTAGAAAAGATCCTGATAGAAAAACCGGTAAAGCCAAAAAGGAAGACAATCTACGCAATATCGCCTTGGAGAACAGACTTGTCGACCTTGGTTTAAATAGAGACATTATCTTTGGCTGGACCAAGACAGAGCAGAGTGCAGAGCTTGACAGACTTGAGAATAGCCCTCCACAAGATCCTGAGGCTAGGTTTGCTGAATTGCGCGCGCAGAATCTATTGCTAATGCTCCCGCTCCTGCTGTCGAGGTTGACGAGGCTGCTGGGACTCCTGAGGCTCCTGCTGAATCGCACGATGAACCCATTCCTTTTGACCGACTGCTAGCTAACCCCGATATTGAAACCCAGACACGAATCGAGAACTTACCGACTGAAGCAGAGCGACGAATTGCTCTTCAAGAGGTTATTGCAAACCAATGGAGATATCTTTGCGCCCCACCACCCAACCCAGTGATGGGAAATCCCATGGGATCGATCATAGCTGACTTGCAACCTCTCGCCAATCAATACCCACCACACCTCCAGGCTCTGCTAGCAGGGTTACCTACTGAAGATGCTCAGCGTAACTTTCTCAGCTTGCCTGAAGATCAACAACATATGACGCTTTACAGGCTTTTGATCCAAAGAAGACAAGAACTTGATCGTCGTGAAGAACAGCAAGAACAACAGCAAAGACAAGATCTCAGCAGACAAATCAGACGTCTTCCCATGCTGTCTACAAACCCTGCGGCAATTCATTGGCTTGAAAGCACACCTATCGCTTACCAACAACAATTTCTGGCTACTGATGACACTGCACGCAGTTCGACTCTTGAATGTAATGGTGTGATGCGAAATTTTGGACATATACATCCACCAAACCAAACTTTCGGACATATACATCCACCAAATCAAAACTTTGGAAGTATATGGCCACCCAGTCAAACTGCCCAACCACCTCAACAGATTCCCGAAGCTTTTCGAAACGCTGAGCAGATTGCCATGCAACATAACAATTTCTCAGATTACCAGGCCTGGTTTGTCTCTGCAGAAAGAGCGAGGTGGATCGTCTGGCTCAGAACCCACGGTCTATTGTGAACAAGCCCGTTTTATGTAATGACTGTGCAAATATCTGCTGGTCGATACAAAATTGCATCTCTAAGTTTTGCATTGCAGGTAAGTCGTTATCTCTTGTAGTAATGAATACATTAATTTTTCTTTTTACTTGAAGTCCATTCTGCTTATGTCTTTTGCCGTTTCGATTCCGAACTATCTTGCCATTCGTCAAAGCTCAGAATTTCCCTTGGTTGTAGGCTGACTGTTCCCGAAATACGAGAGATTCGAGACAAAGGACCAAAAGAAAAGTACTCCAGCATTCCAAATACAATAGCTCTTTGGAAATTTGCACTAGCTGACAGTCCTTTGTGCAAACTCTTTCAGGTTGTTTCGAATCATACTTCCATTATGCAACCCCATTGGTATGTTCGAAAGTCCTGAGTTCATTAAGCCTTGAGTGTCAATACACAATGTATTCTAGCGGAGCATATGCTGTTTAGGTGGCGCGTAGATTATAGTTATAAGGACGAACGGGATTCTCTTATTTTCCTTGCCCTGGTATCACAACATCAACATGCCCCTTGGATCATACGTAACACGGTCCTAGAGGACGAACTCATCGAAATTTATGGACTTGAAAGACATATAGTCTGATGTAAGACACTGGCTCAACAACAGCTCTATGGCAGACAGACAAAGATGGTCGTCTTCCACTCACGACGAGCGCATGATGATGTTACAAGAAGCCGGGATGCTTGTGCAAATGCAGAAGATGCAGGTTGACAAGTATAAAATGGAGCAGGCAAGACTTGCTCCTCAACAACCTGAGCAAATTCCTGCCCACCTTCTAGGTGCCGAAGATATTGCTAGGGTTCAGCATGGTTTCAGCGATTATGAGTTGTGGTATGTTTCTGTCGAGCGTGTGCGTTAGATTGAGGGTCTCAGAAAACGACGTCTGATATGATAGCTGTCGCTAGACGACACGCTTCTTTTGTTTGGAGTCAGGTAAGCCATCTTTGTTTTTGTCTTGTAGAATATGAATATGTTTTTTCTCTTTTTGCATACATCCTGTGCCAGGCTCCAATCTCTTTCTGTGTTAGTGTTTAGAGCACTGCTCATGTTCTTGAATTACTGCTCTTTGACTGGAAGTTGGCACGTCCGGTGAAAGATGAGCACAAGTCGCCCCCAATACCTGTGGTAGAGACGACCTATTACCAGAGAATGATGACAATTCGTTCGGAGAGCATCGGCCATGAGTATTTTGATTTCTCACAGGAGATCGGTTCTTTGCATAATCAAGCCGGAGCATAGGGATAAAGAAGCAGATGAAACTGACCCTGATTGTGAGCTTTGGAAGGCAAGCGAAGCCCCGGACTCTGGGAGAGCCGGCGTCGGGAATCCAAGCTTCTCGGGTTGGGAATGCAGCCCGACGTTGCCAAGGGATAGGGCTGCGCAGGCTTCAGACTTTTTTGTTTGAGCATTTGCTCATTGGTCATCCATACATAACATCTCTAGCCACGAGATGATACAATCGTCAGCTGAGTGGCGCAGCGGAAGCGCGCCGGGCTCATAACCCGGAGGACCTTGGATCGAAACCAAGCTTAGCTATATTTTTTGTCTTTTTTTTTTAACCTCTACCAAGATGACGGAAGGCCACGCAAATGTTTGGCCTCACATTTACACATACCTAGGATCTTGCTTTGAACCTCGTACTCCATACAAAAAGTGTCACACAGCACCTTATATTCTTAACTTTTGACATCTATCAAGAAAGCTGCTACAGATCCGAATACACTGGGAAACCTCCCACCCTGTCAGATGCTGAACTTTTCAAGACTTATTACAGCAGCTCTTCAGCAAGAGAGCGCGCCAGTGCTGGATCATAACTGCAAGGATTGTCAAGTGAGGGAGGAAGGGAGGGGGCAGGTAGGTGAGTGAAGCACAGCAACTCTTGCCTCTCTCTTGGTGAGCGATCGCCCTGATAAGTTATATACAGAGCGTTACCCAGTATTGAGACATGAGAAGAGGCACGAGGATTAGTGATTCACTGACCTGGTCGTTTCTTCTCAATGCTTGTGGTCAGCGGTCTGCTTTCACTGCTTCTTTGCCTCTGATGTACATGCCATTGCCACCATAGGTCGGTGGGAAGCTACTTGCACAAGTGCAGCCGATGAGAATGCTTTGAAGGTTAGAAAGATTCTGTATGAACCAGAAAAGTATGATAATGATTTGTGAAGTGAACTTGATATTTTCTGACTGGCTTGATAATCGCTTTTTCTTGACAACACTCATAGGCAGAGTGCTTGCAAGCAAATATGTTTTCGGCAGCCTGAAGTTTGATACGGCGGAATAATTTGTGTAATATTATGCCATCGCGCACGTCGAAAGAGTGCCTATATACGTAAGGTAGAAAGGAAAGGTAAGGCAATGGAAGCTAGATCAACTTCATCAAGATGTGTGATTGTATGTCGATGTGGCAAGTCGTCGAATACCATTATACGCCACGATAAATATTGTTTTGCTTCAAGGGCATACACCGACCTCCCTGGAACCAAAAACAGTAAAAGCCTGGGCCAACCTGATTCAGGCGCAAGATTGCATCCTGGTGTCACTTCCAAGGCAACAAACCTCAAGCAGATTGCCTTTCTGCATCATGATTGACGGCCATGCCACTTTGGATTCAGAGCCGGAGACTCACAGTCAAGCAGAGGAAGAGATGGAGATCAACGAAGCACAAAGACTGGCTCTTCCCCAGGACGACTGCAACGCGGTTCAATTAGCTGATATACACCAGATTAAACGATGTCGCCGGCTTGAAGCAGGGGTAGGGGTGAAGACTCACTGACCTGATCACGTTCTTCATTTGTTGTATTCTACACTCGATTGTCTCTGCCACATCCAAATCTTCACGACCATCAGAATATCAAAATGGCATGTATGAACATTTCATCGTATGTGCAAGCCAAGGTTAGTGACATCTTTCTGCATCTTTGCCCAGTCCGCCGACATGTATGAACGTTCACCAAAAATTGTTTGAATAACTCCGCTAGCCTTCTGCTGCTGCACCTCGGTTTTTGATTAGGTATTCATAAATCGTTAAGCTTCGTTATCCAATGTTCCTTGTCTCATCAGGCATGGTCGGAGTTGCAGACAATGTCAAGTACATGATTATCTTCCTTGACAAGTTCAACCCAACCTCCCTTCTCCACGCGGATGATCTTGCCGTCGACACAAACTCTTCGCCAACGACCATCGTCCTCCGAGTCGTCAAAGGATATTCTCAAGCCATCGATCTCTTCGTAGCGAACTTTGTGATCTTCGACATGCTTGCCTTGTTTGTATGCTTCTGTCATGACTGCCATGACTTCATCGCCAGACATGGGCCCAAAGTGTATAAGCCTCAGCTTTCCATCTAGTGGTTTTGAAGCAGGCGAGATGGTAAAGTTCTTTTCGAGGTTGGAGACAAAGGTTGCGAGAACGTATGCATGTTCTTGTTCCTCTAGCTCATGCCATTTCGACTCACGCAGCACAGAAACACGACCGCGGTATTTGTGAGGTGGTGAGCCATCCTCAGGGTAGAGCGCTGCTTTGGCTGCCATCTGGAAGCGTTCGACACCGTGTTTGCGGTACTCGGTTGTGTCGCTGTCGGCAACCAATGAAGCGTGCATACCCCAGCTACATACCACGGCGCCCCATATTGTTGGCTTGCCCTTGCAATCGAAAAGTTCGGCCTCTTCGCTGCCTTCATGGACGAGCAGTCTTGAGCCTGGAGAGAAAGTGGTGCGCAGAATTGGTAGGGGCCATGATTGTCCTTGCATCAAGGTGGACAAACCCATACTATCGTCTGCGGTGATGCCCAAAGAGTTTGCCAGCGCGTTTCCAGTTCCTAAAGGCAGCAAGGTGATTTCCGGGCAAGCAAAATCGGGACCCCGTGATGATGTGAGGATAGCATTGATGATATCCACAACACCACCGTCACCACTCAGCAATATGATAGAAATCACAGCGCCGGTATTTGCGGCGGGTAGAAATACATCTTTTGCAAGTTCCGTAACAGTATCCTCAGATTTTGTGAAATGCACGAAGAACTGCTCTCCTTCCTTGAAGCCGAGAGATTTGAACGTGTCCGTCAGATGTGTCTCGTAGAAAGACTGTGCTTGACCGGTCCCAGAGGCTGTTGAAACGACGACATGGCGAGCAGATGTCATGACTCTGATTTACAGGCCTTCCGCCCAAAGTCGTAATATGGAGGATGCTTCGCGAGTCAAGCAAGGAGAACGAAGGCCGAAGAAAGTCGTGAACACAAAAGCTTGGAGAAATTGCAGGAGTTGAAGAGATGGTTGAGAGTTTATATTGACATAGGATGTCTAAGCGAAGGATTGCGACCAAGTGCAGGCAGGCGCTTAGTTATATGAATGGTGTCAAATTGGGAAGGATGATTGAATGATAGAATAGGGCCGTTATCGCCGTGCACAAACACGCACAAATGAGCACAAATACGCCAAGCAACGCTGGGCCGTCAGGCTTCGGCTGACCGTCATAGCGTCGATCATTGAGACAAGAGAGCAAGCAGCTGCCTCGTTCCTGCCAGTAAGCTCATTGACCTGACAAGTTCATGCCTTCCTCAATGAGAACAAGCTAGACGGCAGTCATCTTCAATCCCACCATACTCTGCGATTATCGAAACATGGCAACCGATCCCGACCGCGGCCTCTCCGGCTGGGGTATCTTCTTCCTCGTCGCTTTTGTCTTCATCGTCATTGGCGGATGCGCATGGATAATGTAAGTCTTGCGTCCTGTCGTGAGCTGCCATTGCAGACACGAGATACTTGCATGGTGCACGGCGTGTCCTTACTCGTGCTGCTCTCCTAGATTCACACAATACCGCGCCAGACGATTGNGTCTCCCCGCTCCCTCGCTCAACCCCTTCACACGTGGCCGACGACAACAAAATTCGTACCAAGCTCCTNCGGCAGGAGCCGGAGGCATCGGTGGCTGGATCAAGGACAAGGTCGGTGCGTTGAAGAGCAGTGTCGGCGGAGGCAGATCATCTGGAGGCGCATACGAACCCAGCGGTGGTTACGGGAGAGGTGGTCACCGTGGCTTCGGTGCCCTGGATCCTGATGAGGCCTGGGATACGCGTGTTGGCAACGAGGCAGACTATGGCGTCAATCGCGACGGCTACTACGAAGAGCATGACCTGGGCTCGCCGGACATGAACTCAGGACCCTACGGCGGACATGGTTACGGAGGAGGAAGCATTGGTGTTGGAGGCATCGAAGAGACAAGAGGACGTGCTGCCAGCCGTCAACGCGAACTCGACTCAAGATACGACGAGGAGATGCACGGCACCAACCCCTTCGGCGATGACACAGCTGAGCGCAGCAGTATGAAGAACAACGGCTCTCGCCCGACTGTCGACACAACCTCTGAAGCTTCAAGCCAGAAGGCTCCGCATCACAAGAACCAGCAGAGTCTAGGTGCCCAGTCTGCCGACTCTCCTTCCGAGCGCCGCAGCATCTTCCGTGAGGACATGTAACCGCTTCTACGACCATCTCATGTTGGAGCTACGATAATCATGGCGTTACTTTGCTTCTTGCTATTCCCCCTGCATGGACTCTTATGTGTATTCGAAGCTCTGGCTCATTGCAAAATTTACTTTTTCACTCGTGCACTTTGTGCTTCGAGCCATCTTCTGTTTGCCTTCTATTGTCTCAAAAGCTGTCTTGACGAGTTCGTCCTCAGCTTCACTACGGAAGCGAGACCATATTTCAGTGAACCCCTGATTTTGTTTATCATCGGTGAGCTGCGCGTTTTTTTATACGCAGGCCAATTCTTGATCACGCTCACCGTAAGTGAACATCACAGTCACTTCCACACGACTCTGTCCTCTTCCACCTTCTGGTGGTCATCTGTTGTTTCAACCGTAACACGACCTCGACATCGGTCATCAACAAATATCGGTGCTTCTTGTCTTCCACTTCTATACGGCTCCATCTCTTTCCGCCATTGGTTTATGTTAGACCTCTCCGAGTGAGGCACAGCATCATCTCAGTCACTACTTCCTCATCAACACAGCCTGGTGTTTCTAGACACCCACTACAGTATGTGCGTCCTCAACCACTCATCCCTGCTACTTCAGCATGGAGTTCTAATGTAAGAACTTCACTACAGTCCAACACCAACTATCTTCTCCACTATCAGCGCTTCGCATCACCATGGCATCCACCAACAACCAGTGTGCCCTCTGCTCCAAGCCCAGCAAACTCTGTGCCAGCTGTGAGAATATTCACTACTGCGGCCCTGAATGTCAGAAGACTGATTGGAAAGTCCACAAGTTGCTCTGCCGCACCTTCAAGGTCTGTGACAACATGATGATCCTCTCCATCTCCATCTTCTTGTGTGATTTGACCATACGCAATAAATGGCCCTCTCAGTTCGTGGTTCCCGTCGCCAACCAATGTGCAGACGCTTTTGTTGAGTTGGCCCGAAGGAGGTTCTGGACGGCATCCCACTATGATATGAGGATGTATTCCTGTCATGGGGACGATATCTGTGTCGATTTCAACCGGCCATACATAGCCGTCTCTCGAACCTCCGAGGAATCTCTTTCGCATAGCCGCAAGATCGGGTTGATTGTAGGCATATCGCTCGTCCATTTCCAGCCAGACGAACTCAGGGTTGGGCCGGTCAGCCGGAAAATAGATGGCGCGACGTACGTTGGGACTGGGTCTGTTCTTGAAGTGTGCGAACGAGTTGCAGAGGGTACCATGAACCTTCAAATCCACTGCGAGGCATTCCTTACTGCAGTAGCAGGAACATCCGCACTTGGAGCAGGGGATCGTGTCGATCCAACGCGGACAGCCGCGGCATCGCTCTCGGTCATGCGAGTGCATCGTGCATGGTTGTCCGTCGGTAGCCATGTCGAGAACCTTGTGGTATGCTGAAGAGAGGACGAAGGAGATGACCAAGAGCAGAGGCAGCGCTCCACCGGGAAAGAAGCGACTGGTCGGGTAGAAGACAAATGCAGCGATAGCTATCGATACGAAAGTGAATATGAATAGAGGTATCGATGTTATTGTCGTTGATGAATTGTTTCGATTGTTTTCGACAAGGAGGACGAGCAAGCACATGGCTTTCTAACTGCGTTGCACGAGATGCTGGTCGCTCTTGCAATTTCAGGTTTCGTTCATGAATTTCTGTCATGTTGTGAGAAGGTTGTGAAGCTCGAACGCTCCTGCTTCGAGAGGAAGAAGACATCGTAAACCACACAATGACGTCCAGCTTCACAGAGGCCATCAAAACAGAGCAAAAATCATACATGGTGCTTTCTCATAAGCCTGGCTGGAGTAGGTCACGAATAGCGCAAAGTGATTTACAGATAAAGTAAAAAGACGTCACATCTACAACAATGCCGAGATGTATGAACCAAGGACGAGAGTTCGGCGGAGAAGCTTCTTGATTCGTGGTTTGGTACACTGCTGTCTCTGGCTCATGCTGCGCAGGCTGTCTCATCGTGATTCCCCATCTTACAGTCCAGTCTGGTGGATGAGTCTACGGGTAAAGGCGAATTGATCGATACAGTAAGCTCAAGGGCGTCGGAGCAGCTTACTTCTGAGCACCGTTGTTCTTGCTTTGCTCGAAGACGAATTCCTTGAGGGCGTAGATGAACAAGTCAGATTGGTAAATTCCGTCAACCAGTTCCTGAGGGACAGAATCTCCACGCTGAACGCGATTGACGAGATGCTCGGTATACTCACGAATGTCAGATGGAGGGCCATTGACACTGTCTCTGAAGAATTGGATCGCGCCTTCCTGTTCGATGGTACGCTGGAACCGTCCGCGTTTCTTCCGTCTTTGGGCAGCGTGGCGAGGAACTGCTCGCGCTCGCGCTCGGTCTTGTTCTTACTGGAGACTTGTTGTTCAGCCATCTATACATAGTCAGCCATCGTCCTACTGAATGAGAAGCTGTCATCGCACCTTCTCAAGATGATGTGGTTGTATTGACAGTGTGTGTTTATGGCGTAGAGTGGATTTTGTTGTGGTGCCGATGAAAAGATGAAAAGACAAGCCTGGATAAAGGCGGTCTTATGGCTTAAAACAAACTTCGCGGAGAGTACTACAATGTCGATGAGGCTAAAAGGGATCTCTACCAGGCTCTGGGCGACGTTGGCAAGGCCAAAAGGAGAGTGAAAGACTTCAGGCTGAGCTTGATCGTCTGAAGGCAGCACCATCCAGAGGTCCCGGCGCTCCAAAGTTTTGAGAGAGCTAGACGGAAGAGCGTAGCGAGTAGCTTCGACCTTACCACTCTGTCGACGATCGTGAGGAGCAAAGCAGTTTTGAAACAATGGGTGATTGAGTTGAGATGAGACAGGGCTAGATCCAGAATGTTGCGTTCCGTGTAAGATAGTTGAAGGCCAAGACTGCTGTTTCCCAGGCTTTGTATGCCACAAATTTCATCCCCTCTTCTAAGCCTCCTCTCTTGTCTTGACCTTCCACGCTCCAACTTTTGATCCATGGAGAACTCATCAGGCGAGCGCAACCTCACGATATGCTTGGGGGCCAAATAAAGCTTTGTCTTGTGGCTTTGTCGGCGCCAGTATTGATAAATTCGCGCAGTTCAGTGGCTCTGTGTAAGCACGACTCCCGGAGGTGCGACCTTTGAGCAAAGGGCTATCGCAACGCAGGATGGCTTTTGAATTCGGATTGCGTCCAAGGAGAGCATCAAGCATTACTCTCAAATGAATCAAGTCTCCTCGTCTTCATCCTCGTCGTCATCATTCACCATCTGAACATCCCATCTCCCATCCTCAGCTCTGTCGTCTTCTTCTCTTTGCTTTTTCTCAGCCTCTCCCTCTTTCCTAACTTTTAGTCGGCACCTTCCCATACTGCCTTTGCCCTCATGTGCAGAAAAATCCAGCGTCCAGTCCAGGGGCAATTGAGCCTTGGCGCAATCATCTCTAAAAGGCACCTCTGTTGCTTCCTCAGATACCCAGCTCCAGCCTTGCTTGAGTATCACATGCGTAGTGATAACGAAATAACCCCAGCCTTTGCGCGTAATCTCATATGGTGGTTGCGATAGACGAAGATGTGAGGGTCGAAATGTGGGATGCAATTGAATGTCGACAGAGGCAATAATATCTTTCCGCGAAGGCCGTACGAAAAAGGTCCATTGATGCATGTTTTGTGACTCCGGTGCCGGCGAGATGAGTTTGTGGGTATTTCCGATGCAAAGTGTTAGCGTCTCTATCGTGCCAGCATTAGGGTCATCTTCAGATATTTCTTCAACTGCTCGTGCCTGTAGTTCAAGGTACAGTCAGCATGTTTCTTGGAAAGAATGGTATGCTACAGTACTTGTCGCATTGTGGAGTAACATTCAGACAGCCAAAGGCCTCCATTGAAAGCCTGCCGTTCGCTCGGGAAAAGCAGACTCTCAATGGATTTCTACTCGATGCCGGACAGAACTCTGCATTGCAACAGAGGCTCGGGATACCAAGACAGGACTTGAAACACCACCTATGGTGGCTCGCGCTACCTGTACTTTCGTATACGTACCGGATATGTGATTGGATACTTTCGTTGTAGCTGGGTCATTCTGTCCGAGTCTGGTGTTGCAGAAGTCGGTGTGCGACACATGGGGCATCTAGCCTCTGTGTCCGCGCCCGAAAACATCGATGGCGAGTTCGAAGGAGGAAGAATAGTCATTTGAGAGGTCATTGATACATCTGCCCAATGTGCCATACAAGTCGAACAGAGCGTATGATTACACCTCGTTATCACAGGATTGTAGAGTAGCAAATGGCACACTGGACAGAGATCTTCATCATCCACTTCCTCATGAGTGTTGCCATAGTCTGTTTCCGTATGGTCTTCTCGGTTATGACGATCTCGCCGTGGATCTGTTCTCGTGGCTTGTGAATCTGATGTGTTTGATCTCTCACGTCGTGGTGACATTGAGCGCGATTCCCGTTGCCGCATGTTTTTGACGGTGTTGGAATTGAACGATGAAGCTCTCTACTTTTCTGAAAGGATCTAGACTCTTGTCGGTTTGCTCCAGATGTGCAGAGTATGGTCGATGTGATTATGAATAGATTGTTGTGGTATTATTCGAGATATCGAATTCGATGGTTTGTTCAAGGATGTGCGAAAAGCCGCGGCGACAGAGGCTTGTTGGCAACGTGGGGTGGGTGGTCGATGGCTTCGAATGACAACCGCTTTTCTCTGGTGTCATCAACAAAAGCCAAGCAATTGAGAACAGACAACATCAACAGGGTCATTTGCTCGCCGTACTTTCGAATGACTATCGACAAGATATCATTGTTACACAAAACTCTTGTCTCTGTTGATTTCGTATGGCATGCCTATGGGACTATGGTACATGAAACTCGCATGTTGTGGCTGCTACATCGAGATTCGTAATCTGAGTAAAGAATCATTGGGATCTCGAGCACCTTGCATACATGTCACAGTGAGAACCTGTCAGAGGGAGAATAGGTACGAAGACAGGAGATGTCAAGACCAGAACTAGGTTACTAACACTACTGATCTTTGCGTACTGATATTGTTACATTGACGTTTCCTTAGCCAGGCAAGGTTCATGGCTGCCTGGCTGACTTATGAGTTCCTCCAATGGGTTGCCCTCGTCCAGTTGTCCTAGCGGACCCGATGTACCCAATGCACCGTTGTCGTGAGATGGAAAGTCTTAGTAAGGCACGGTCAAAGCAGCCTGGATGTAAGTCTGCGTGCAACCCTCATCGGTACCCTGCCATTCAATNCTGTTTTACGTCAGTCTTCGCTCACTAAAACCCTCAAGACAGAAACAAAAACTTACGACTCTTTGGCCCAGCTCCTCCACACAGATGGTCCATCCAGTTGTACTTCCATTGACACCGAGCAGATATCCCCTCTCGAGACTCAGATCTCCTGCACCCTCGTACTGAGCCCTAAACTGCAACTCGGAGCCAGTGTGCACCTCGGTGCTGTTGAAAATGTAGTCTCCGATACCGTGGGGTCCCTTGCCAGGTGTGTGCAACACTCCCTGTGAGAGTGTAAACTGAGGCACACTGCCATAGCCAGGTGCGATGAGGCGGAGGAGGTAGTTAGGCTGGTAGTAAGGGTCGAAGAGACTGGTCAAGGAGACGTTGGGAAGCAGAGAGGAGTTTGAAGAGTAGGTTGGTGAGTCGGTGGTCAAGAGGTAGAAGGGCTGGGTGGTGTTGATGATAGGTGCGCGGTTGACAAGAGGGGATGCGGTTGCAAAGGCAGCCAGCGAGGCGGCGAGAGCGAAGATTGAGAAGCGCATGATTGATGTAAAAACTCGATGTTGTTGTGGAGAATTTCCTGTTCTTGATGCTTGAAGAAAGATTTGATTGAGATGCAAGGGTGCAGGTGTGTTTAGGGATGAAAAAGTAAGGGAAGAAGGAGGGTTTGTTTGCAATGTTATACTCATGCACCTACCCAGCATGCCTTCCCAACCATGATCAACATGACGAATGTGGTCGCAAGCACTTTTGTCAGTTTCTCTGAAACGTCCAGCAAAAAACGCGTGCCTGTCGTGAGTTCTGTGCTGCACTGCATCATCCCGCATTGCCCATCGCTACCTGTTCTCAAAATAGATGCCGATGGGTTGTACAATGACACAGCCTTCGCTCGTATACACACCACATGATGGCTCATTATCTGCTTCTGGAATGTGATATGATTACAGCCATGACAGTTCATCTGCAAATGTTTTGTTGTCTTGGATGTCAGCAAGAAAGATGGCAGAAAACTGCGGGTGGAAGATCTGCACCTCCCGCGGCACTGGCTGCCGCTGCCTATCCCAGGAACGGGAAGTGATCAGCCCAACCTGGTAACCCCTGGGAATATGTGGTTGAGAATGCTCCGTCGTCAAGATCAAGAAACGAACGAGAAAATTGTTTGCCTGACATGCTTGTTGCGATACATATCAGCTCGAGGGCAGGGATCAGAGAGCGATTTGAGCGGTGTGATAAATCATGGTAGGGACAAAGAATGATAACTTGATTTTTCTATCTGTACAACCTCATTATTAGGCAAAGAAGGAAAAGGACGAGAACTAGTCGTTCTACATGAAGTCGATGCCAACGCCGAACTGGACACCCTTTCTGCCTTCCTCGCCCTTACGGAGGACCAATGGCAGTGAGAAGTTCAATTCGAATCGTGCGACAGGGTGAGCGTAGACAAGACCGACTCCAGCCGCACAGCTAGGGAGACCATTGGAGAGTTCATGGAAAGCGTTCTTCACGCTTTGCTGGACGTTGTTGCCGCCCTTCNNCTCGCCGCTGGCTACATCTTGAAGAGCCAACAGACGTCCGCCGTTGATGAAAGTCTGGAATCGTAGAGGAGTGTCTTTGCCCATGCCCGGCACAGGGAAGAGCAGACTGGCACCACCGGCAGCGTANATGTCGCCACCGACTGCGTCTTGTCCGTCTCTGGGACCGAGTCCTGCCAGGCGGAAACCACGAACGTCGGTAGGGCCACCAAGTTGGAAACGGTCATTAATGCGGGATGCAGCGGGTCTGTCAGAGCCAGCCTGGGTTAGAGGGTAGAGAAGACCGCCACGAAGACCAGCAGTGAAGGAGATACCACTGTCACCAGCAACACCAGGGACGGGGACAGGAAGGGCCATCTGAGACTCGGCTGAGTACTTTGCGAATGCGACGTCTCCTTTCAGAGGACCGAAACCGGCGAGTTCACCGATAGCCTTGAATAGGAAACCCCTCGTGGGGAGCATGGGAGCATCGCGGGAGTCGTTGATGAAGGTGTGAGAGATGCTGGACTTGAAGCTGTCACCAGCATCGGCGCGGACAGTAGGCGAAGCGTTCTCGGACAGACCAGTGACTTGTCTCCAGATACCAGAGTAACCCAGCTCGTGCTTGCTGCCCCACGAGTCCAGCCACTTAAGTTTTGTGCTGCCACCCTTGATGAGCTCCTCGTGGCTTGCCCAGCTCTTCAGAGTAGAGCTAGCGAGCCCGCCAATCTCGAAGCGGATATCAGGGCTGCTGAGGACGGGAGTGTCGAAGTAGGCCGAGTAGGCGGAACGAGTGCGCGTACCGAGCGAAGCGTGAGCGTTCAAGGACTCGGCACCACCAAAGATGTTGCGAAGGACGACATCGAGGAAAGCTGAACCCTCGGATGAACCGGCCTCAGTACCAGTCTTGATGGTGTAGCGAGAGCGTTCGGGAGCGTGAATGAAGACGGAGAGGTCGGTAGGAGTGGACGAGGCATCAGTCTGGTCGGGCTGGTCGATGTAGGTCGAGATGGGAGCCTTGAAGATGCCGAAGCGGTTGAGCTTGTCGACGGCGCCGCCAACCTCGCGCAGAGCTTCTTGCAGAGTGTAGGGACCTTCTTGGTTGTGGGAGAGGACGGGATTGAAGATGCGCTCGAGGAAGCCTCTGCGCGTGTGCTCGGCCTGCAAGACCTGGATGGACGAGATGGTGACGGGCTTGGTCGAGTTGTGGCCGATCAGCTCGGACTGGCGCTGCTGTGCTTTGGCATACTGCCTTGCGAGACGCTCGTCTATCTCTTGCTGTCTCTTGGGGTCGCGCTGGTCCTGCAACAGAGCGAAGAGCTGCGCATTGGTTTGTTAGTCGATTGCAGGTACATCTAGTAGTTTGTGCAGACTCACGTCGCTTCCCGAAGAATTGTTCGCCATTGGAGCCGCAACACAGATCACACCGTCGTCGTCGCAAAGATAACTACTACTATCGACTGCAAACGCCCTGGGGAATCTATACAGAACACGGAACGAAGCTTATACGACGTCTGCCAAGCACGTGCTCTTGCCTTTGTAGCCTGTCGACAGTCTTTCGAATCAGAATGCATCAAATTCGTTCGACCGTACAAATGGATCAAGAATGCCTTAGATCGTGCTATGAACTCTTGGATAAATAGCACCCAAGAATGATGCGGTCTTGGAATACTCGAGCCATGTGCTGGAGAAGACAGGACCGACGTTCTGAATGGATTCGCGGGAGTCGGCATGGGCTGGAGGGCTGACGTCGCTGCCTTCTAGATTCATTAGGCCAGTCATCTTATCTCGTCTACGTACTTCTTTGACACTACATGCCCTCCTATTGCCCACCTCTCAAGCCACTTTCCTAATCTTCAAGGCAACGCAACCCACCAACCACACACCCCCGCCACATACCACAACTCACAACCCACAAGTCGCAACCATGGCTACACGTGCCGCCCACAAGCGTCTGACAAAGGAGTACAAGAACATCACTGAAAACCCTCCGCCATACATCACCGCCCACCCTTCCGAGTCAAACATTCTGGAATGGCACTACATACTCGAAGGCCCTAAGGATACTCCCTACGCCGGCGGCCAGTACTGGGGCACTCTGGTCTTTCCTCCTGACTACCCTTTCGCGCCCCCTGCTATCCGTATGCACACGCCCAGTGGTCGCTTCCAACCTTCCACCCGTCTCTGCCTCAGCATCTCAGACTTTCACCCAAAGAGTTTCAATCCGGCATGGGAGGTCAGCACCATCTTACTCGGCCTCCAGAGTTTCATGACTAGCGAGGAGATGACGACGGGCTCTTTGTCTGCCTCCGAAGCCGAGCGCATCGTATTTGCCCAGCGCTCCCGCTGGTGGAACAGTACAGGCGGCGGCTCCTCCAACCGCACCATCCCGGGCCTAGGACAGCAAAGCAGCAACACGCGCGGCTTTGGCGCCATCAGGGCAGGTGACGGCGGCATAAAGTTCAAGGAAGAGTGGCCAGAGCTAGACGAGCAGAATTGGAAGTGGATGGAAGAGCACAAGGTCGACCCGCAAACTGGAAAGACTGTGGCGCCTTCACCGGCTGCGAACACTTGCTCGCCGGAGACGAATGCGCTGCGCAAACGTCCTGTGGGCAGCCATGCTGGCTTGGGCGCTGTGGTTGAGGGCGGCCATGTTGCGCGCGATGCGGGACAGAGTTGGTTGAGACGAAACAGGATGTATGTTGCTCTGGGGCTCATCTTTGGCTATGTTGTCCTGGCTCGTGCCTTGGGAGAGCCTGCGTCTTGATCATGTTCATACACGACCTGAACTATGTGTATCTTTTAGCCTGGGCGTTGGGGTCTACTTCTCACGAGCAAATTGCATGGACGGGGCGTTCTTGGGTTAATAGGATCAAGGGAATGGTTATTCACACGAATGAGCTGTACACATCACCCCTCAATCACAGTTTCTGATATCGACTTATGAGCGCTTTCTGACAGCGTTTCGTGCTGTTGAACAGCGAGATATGAACATGAGAGATAAACATTTCACTGGTACGCGAGACACATAATCTTGGGGTCGTAAAAACTTTTTGATGTTTTGATATCTCCATTCTTTCAGAAGACAAGGGCTAAGCGTAATATATTGCAGACCAGGCGATAAAGCCGTTCTGCGCGACAGTGCCACATTTCGCCATGAACCATTGTCCTCTGAACATCGACAGCAGACGTTGACAGAGCGCCAACAATCTACAGACGACGACCACGGCGACCACCCTTTCTGCGGGTAGAGTCCGAGGGGGTGGGGGTAACATCCTCGATGCGGCCGATCTTCATACCGGCACGGGCCAGGGCGCGGAGAGCGGACTGGGCACCGGGGCCAGGGGTCTTGGTGCCGTTACCTGTGGTGGTGAGTTAGTTGTTGAGCTGGAGATAGAGAGAAGAGAAGAACATACCACCGGTGGCGCGGATCTTGATGTGGAGGGCAGTGATGCCGAGCTCCTTGCAGCGGGCGGCAACATCCTGGGCGGCCAACATGGCGGCGTAGGGGAGGACTCGTCACGATCGGCCTTGACCTTCATACCACCAGTGACACGGGAGATGGTCTCACGGCCGCTGGAAATCACCCAGAATTAGCCTTTTGAATCTCTCTCATGTCTGTTTTGTAGATGCATCTGTTCCCACTTGCGCTGCTCGGTCTGGGGTCTTGTGTAACTCTCTTCTTGTCCCAATGCCTCTTTTCTTCTTTCTGTCCGTGGTCTTGTGCTCGTCGCATATATCGAGCAGCTTCCAACCGCTGGAGAAAAGTCGCAATGGTCCAAGAAGAGAGGGCGCCTAAGTCCGTCGGAGCGAGCGCATTGAGAGCAGATGCATCAAGGGGAAGCACCTACGAAAGATCGGTAACGTGGACGAAGGTGTCGTTGAAGGAAGCGAAGATGCGAGCAACGCCGAAAACGAGCTCACCCTCACGGGTTTGAGGACCGAGCTGGACGTTCTCCTGGACGCGGGCGGGCTTAGCCTTGGGTGCCATTTTTGCTGATGTTAGTTGGTGGTCGAAAATGTGTGCACTGGGTCGAACAAGAGAGAGAGAAGTTTGGCGCGGCCTTGCGAGCAGAATTTGGCCGTGGGTCTGCCAAGCCATTTTTCGCTCTGGCAGAGAAGCAGCGCGGCAGTTGCCGGTCAAAGCTTGCGGAGTCGCAGCTGCCTCTCTATTTATTTTCTTGCGACGCTGCAGCCTCTGTTTTCTTCTCATCACTTCACACCTTTTCGACATTTGCGACAATCGATTGCATCTTCTGTGCGCGCATCAGAACCGCTTCATATTCAAGAGCTGGACAGCATCTCACAGTTGACACAATCCGACAATCGCAAACATGGGTGAAGCAGTGGTGGGCTTGATCGGCATGGGCGACATGGGAAAGATGTACGCTCGCCGGCTCAGTGAGGCCGGATGGAGGTATGCTTTTGCGCCCAACATCACGCTGCTCGTGTGACCCTTGACTATGGTACGTTTCCCACTTCTTTCTCCGTCCTTCACACATCACATACCCGCGTTGCAATGATGACTTGAGTGCATTTGGCTCGAGCATGGCTGTTGGACACCCTGTCACCGTTCCGGTGGCAGGATCTGGCAGTCGTCTATGATGTAAAATCTCAGCTACCTTATAATTTTTGTCTGAAACGCTTCACACTTCCACTGTTCTTCACACACTTGAGATATCTTCAAGACAGCCGCTGACTTTGGATCAACAGTTTTCATTCGTAATCCGTGACCACCTCGTCAGACACAGACTGACATGCCACTCTCTCAGAGTACACGCCTGTGACCTCCCAGACAAGTATGATTCGTTGGTTGAGGAATTCAAGGACAGCGTACGAAATACCTTCCTGCCTATACTGTATATAGCTCTTGCAATGCACAACATCTTGCTGAGGCTTTCAGCAGNNGAAAACGTAACGGTTTTCAAGAACGGCCACCACGTCTCGCGTAGCAGTGACTATATCATCTACTCTGTTGAAGCAAAGAACATTGACGCCGTCGTCGCCGCCTATGGTCCATGTCTGTCAATTCCGTCTTCTGCTTCCCTTTCATGCTATTCGTCCTCTATACTGACATGTCTGGCTCCCAGCANNACCAAGATGGGCGCTATCGTCGGCGGTCAAACCTCCTGCAAAGCCNCCGAAATGGCAGCATTCGAAAAACATCTGCCTTCAGACGTCGAAATCGTTTCTTGTCACTCTTTGCACGGTCCCGGTGTAAACCCCAAAGGCCAGCCCTTGGTCCTCATCCAACACCGCGCCTCGGACGCCAGCTACAACCTCGTTGCCGAAATACTTTCTTGCTTTGAGAGCAAGCACGTCAAATTGACCGCCGAAGCCCACGATCGCATTACTGCAGACACACAGGCCGTCACGCATGCTGCTTTCTTGTCTATGGGCACTGCATGGGCAGCCAACAACCAGTTTCCCTGGGAAATGCCTCGCTATGTCGGTGGCATTGAAAACGTCAAGATCAACATTACCCTCCGCATCTATGCCAACAAGTGGCACGTATATGCAGGTCTGGCCATCCTGAACCCAGCTGCCAAACGCCAGATCAAGCAATACGCTGAATCCGTGACCGAGCTGTTTAAACTGATGCTAGGAGGTCATAAGCAAGAGTTAAAGGAACGTATCGAGTCAGCACGCAAAGCGGTCTTTGGCAACGCAGATGGCAGCAAAGGACATGAATTGCTGCTTCAAGACGACTTGCTCGATCAATTCAGTCTGGGAGAGAAACCTGCTGCCAGCGAAAGAGTAAAGAATAATCATCTGAGTCTGTTGGCTATGGTGGATTGTTGGTGGAAGCTGGGGATTGTGCCTTATGATCATATGATTTGCTCGACACCGGTAAGATCTATACTCCTTGTCCTCTTTGTTAGGGAAGATGATGATACTGACGAGCAAAACATAGNNCTCTTCCGTCTTTGGCTAGGCATTACAGAATACCTCTTCCGCAACCCCGAGCTGCTTGAAGAAGTCATCGATACCGCAATCAACGACAACACTTTCCGCCGCGATGACTTGGAGTTTACCTTTGCTGCTCGAGTAAGTGTTTCTCTGCCTTCCTCCCTCTTTCCTCCTCCCTTTCTTTCCTTCCTCCCTTCCTCCGTATGTTTCTCATCCACCTAACACTAAACACTAGNNGACTGGTCCGAACGCGTCTCATTCGGCAACATGGACGGCTACCGCAGCAAATTTGAAAAGATACAGGCGTACTTTGCTCCGAGGTTCCCCGAGGCCACTCGTGTGGGTAACGAGATGATCAAAACTATTGAGGAAAGCTTGAGACAGAGAAAGAGCAACGAAGGAAACTAGAAAAGGAATAGGTGGTGATGACAAAGGGATGGAAAACGCAAAGGAAAGGAGATATGGTTAGGGAAGAGGGATAGGCAATGAGAATGAAGATGCAGAGATGAAAGATTATGGTTCTCCTTTTTCACGCTTTTCATACTTCGATGACTTTGCGGTGTCGTTGGCGAGGCATTTGTCTAGGTACTCAATGGCAAGCAAGGAGCAGATGCATAAGCAAATGGAAACACATCTCAATCAGAGCTTCATACAAACTTCGTAAATCTACGTAAGAGCATTATCCCCAATCTAAAGCTGAGTAGGGTACTTGGTCGTCTCAATCTTCTCAGGGTAAGTCATGCCGTTCTGCTTGCGCACCTCATCCATAACCTCCATAATCACAATACTCTCCTGCAAACCCTCATACTTGCCCTCCTTTCTGCCTTCCTTGAGTGCAAACGCACACTCGTCAGCCTCCCAGAACATACCATGTCCCTCCCCTTCTGGGTTCTTGTTATCGCCGAAGCCATTGTAGAAGCCGGATCCCTTACCTGGACCGGGTTGCACGAATTCATTCTCTTCTACAGTGCCGTCGGAGAGGATGAGCTTGGTCTTTGTGGGACGGAAGGCAGGATGGAAGATTTGGACTTCGCCCTTGTCGCCTTGGACGCGGATGGCTGGGCCGGCGCTGCCTTTGCCGTCAGGGTCGGGGGTTGTGCGCATGGCGGTGGTGGCGATACCGTGGGCGTCGCCGCCGAGCTCTGAGGAACGGGGGAAGGTGAGTAGCATGGTGGTCATCTCGTCGGCACCGGTGGGGTACTTCTTGAGGGAGGAGACGACGGTGGGGGCCTGGCGTGCGGACTCGGGTTGAGTGTGGTAGAGGGTTTGGAAGACCCAGGTCAGAGCGTAGATACCGAGATCGAGAAGGGCGCCTCCGGCCAACTCAGGGTTGACCATGCGGTGGGAGTTGTCGAAGGCCTCCTCAGGCTTAGTGCCGATGGACAGGTCGGCAAAGGTGCGTTGAACAGTGCCAATCTGCATCAATTAGTGGACGGACCGGAACAAAGGGATCGACGTGCGTACCTTGCCGGAAGTGATGACTTCGCGAACATAGATGGACAGAGGGAAGTATCTCGTCCATACAGCCTCCATCAAGAAGAGATTCTTCTCCTTTGCCTTTTCTGCCAGCTTCTTTGCCTGAGCGGCATTGACGGTGAAAGCCTTCTCACAGAGAACGTTCTTGCCAGCCTCGAGACAGAGCATGGCATTTTGGTAGTGGTGCGAGTGAGGAGTGGCGACATAGATGATGTCAATGTTCTTGTCGGCAACCAGCTCTTCGTATGATCCGTATGCCTTTGCTGAAGATGGAGCTCCAACCTTCTTCAAGAATTGGCTGGCACGGTCGGCGCTGCTTGAGCTGGCCGCGGCAACAATCTCATGTTGGATATCCTTAACATTGCGAGTCTCGGGGTTGACGGTCAGATCTCTGGAGAAGCTCNNTATGAAACATGTCAGTCTTGTAAATGGTCAATGAAGCTTTGTCCCACGCACCTCGGCGATGCCTCCGGTTGCGAGAATACCCCAACGTAGTGTGAACTTGGACATGTTTGCGATGTGATTTTGCGACAGGTCTTGGAAACACAAGAGAAACTTCTGAACGAACCGTGAAGTTGTTGGCCTTGATATAGGATGATGTAAGAGATGGCGGGGCAGAATGCCGTGCCCCACTCTTCATTTAGCCATCAACTTCTTCGGTGAGAACTCCATCGCCAAAACATAAAAATTGTTCGTGCTGCAAAACGCTTCAAGCCGTCAAGAGTCTTGATCGGCTTCGTGGGACGGCAGAGCCTCCAAACCTAGTGGTGGTGTAAGAATCGATGTAGGGCTCCGGTGGGTGAACACCCGATGTTTACTAAGGACATACTGTTCGAGGAATCTGAAAGCAAAGGCTCGAAGGAACACGGGGTTAGTGTTGATGAATGAAGTTTTCAAGAAGTCAAAGCGAGGAACACATCTTGAAGAGAGCAAAGGAGGCAGACGATGGGGAATCCAGACAAACCAAGCGATCTACATGTCTCTGCTCCTTGTCTAGATCTGGTAGAAAGATCCCACGTGTTCATTCATTCTATTCCTCACGCTACAGCTGTCTCTCGTCGAAGGTCTTGTTTCGATACCCAAGGACTTGTCAGACTTGTCAGCTTGGCAGTGGTGGCAGGGCACCAAGAATAGAGAAAGAAAGGCAGCGGATGCCAACATCGCCGAGTGATCCTTTGCGGAGACCCCGGAATGCCTTCTTGCTCCAAGCAATGTCATATGTATGAGGACGCGTATGCGTGTCGAGTGATTTATGATGTGACATGTGTGAGATAGGATGTGCCGGAAGGGTACAACTCGATGTTTCCAGATCTGGAGCTTCTCTTCTTGAACCGGTGTGGCATCCAGTCCAACGCTCGCACTGCCTAGATCAACATAGCCACAGCGCAAGATGGGCATGGAAGATGGCAAAGTAGGGCGGATAGAAGGCCCTAGTTATTCGGCAAATAGGGAAGATAGGCGCAAGACAGTCGCAGAGAGCTGAAGAAGGCGTTCGTATCTCGTTCCCGCCGTATCAATTCCCCGCATCGCTCGGCGACGATTGGCCGATGGGTCTGTCAATCGCCGGCATCGACCGCGCAGACGGCTTCCAAACACCAGCTTCGATTCGCTCAGAACCTGAGACGCACATCGTTGACATGGTCCATGACCGCGGACGTGACAAAGGTTGCACACTCGGTCTCACAAAGAGGCCCTAATCGCGTCATCGAGTCTTGCCATTTGTATCATTGCTGGGCGCACGCGCTGGGCATGCAGGATCGACAAAAAGTCAAGCTTAACACCAAGTGTGGCGCTACTTCTCATCGGCCGCGGATATCTTCTCGCCCGTTTCCTCCACAAACTCTCCGCCGTCACTCATAACTGTCCCCTTTGTCCCTGCCAGCCTTCGTTGGACCTTGCATCTATACTCGTGCCTTTTGCGAGAGCATGACACCGTCATTGTCTTTCATTGTCATATAATCTCTTCCCACTGACCCTTTGACGTTAAACCACCCCACTACGTGGATAGCCATTAGCCATGCTTAGCAAGTGGCTATTGTCAGCAAGTCTGCTGGCGAGTCGAGCAGTCGCATTACAGATCCAACCAACCAACGTCACACAAAACAGCAATGATGTCGAACTCATCGTGGGTGGAACAGATTTCGGCGCTCTGCAACCTCTGACCCAGAGTGCGGATGCCAATTTGAATGTAATTCTTTCATCTGATCACAATACACGTCACAGAACGACGCTGACACGCGACACAGNNACGGGCATCCGGGATTCTATCTTCCATGTGACGACGGCAAATAGGGATAATCTTACCAGTCAAGAGATCGCATATATATCGTGCGACTCTGGAGACTATTCTGGATTTCTTTCCTTGGCCGATGTCTACCGGACAGCACTCAGCGTCAATGCCTCGGCCATTATCTTCTACAGTCTGGTCTCCGAGCAATGCAACATCACTAGTCCGGAATCGGCATACCAGAGAGTATACTCCATGTCGAACCACACCAGATCCTTGAATGTGCTCAACTACATCAATAACGAGCCTGGCCTATTGGCAACAATCCAGCACACAAGTACATCGGCTCACAACAATGGTAACCAGCAGCAGAACTCATCCACTTATGGATCATCTCCTACAACAGCAGTTGCCATGATCATTCTGTACAGCGTGACTGGTATCATCACGGCATTGTTCCTTATCATCATCATCACCGGAGCAGTCCGAGCACATCGCCACCCAGAGCGTTATGGACCAAGGAATGTCATGGGAAGACCTAGACAGACCAGAGCTAGAGGCATTGCACGCGCTATGCTGGATACTATTCCTGTTGTCAAGTTTGGTGAACAACCCAAGTCAGGTCCCAAAGTTACAGATATCGAGTTGGCGGATACCGATACGCCCGTAGTTCGTCGCTCAGTAGAGAACGATGGCACTCATGAGACGGACACGCGCGATCAAGCCGAACCAAGACAATCGATGGCATCGGCTCGCTCAGGAATTGGCGCAGCAACAGGACATGGTGACGCTGATGCCATTGTGGGAACAACTGCAGCTGAATCAAGCGAAGCACTAGGATGTTCTATCTGTACCGACGACTTCGAGACTGGACAGGATCTCCGTGTTCTGCCTTGCGACCACAAATTCCACCCAGCTTGCATTGACCCTTGGTTACTGAACGTATCATCAACTTGCCCGCTTTGTCGCATTGATCTACGCCCTGAAGGATCTACCGAAACTGATGCGCCAGCCACCGAAGCAGGTGAGAATGGCGATTTGCCTCCTCCCATCAACGGCCACAATGGCCAGCCCTACCGCGTCAGCATGCGTCGCAGCTTGCTCATCGGACTTGGACTTGACCGTGGACATCTCGACCAGGGACAACGAATGGCAGCAGCACGCGAACTACGTGAACTCCGCCACAACAACCTCGATGGTGCTGAAGCCTCACAGCAGGATCAGGGTGAAGAAGGACGTCAGCGTCGTAGACTACGGGAGCGCTTCGGCGTCCGTACAAGAAGAAGAGGACAGTCTGACGCGCAGGTGCAGGCAGTTGCTGCCGTTCCTGAAGAGACAGCTGCGACTGCTCCGACGGCAGCTTCAGAGGCTAATGGTGCTCAACCAGACCATGGTCCTACCACGACTTAAGCACGCATCATTGATGGTATGATATCAGTATCTATGAGGGGTTTCTCGGTGGTATTTTTGGAGTTTGGGTCCGCACCGCAAAGAGCGAGTGATTGTTTGGGGAGTTATGCGACTGGATGTTGACTTTGCATCATCAGGATTGGGATTATGAGCAAGGGATAGCATTATGTACTAGTATGATTGAACGAGCGAAACTGCATTACCTGTTTACTCTTGTCTATCCATATGAAGTGATTGTGAATGTCTTCATCCATTGTCCTGCGCTGTCAGAATCATATGGTCCGTGCACGACATGCTCGTCCAGTGACGAAGGCGCTTCCAACAATTCCGCGACAACGACGAGACGACGACATTTTTCCACGACTCTTGTTCACATAAACAACAACACATCACACACAATGGCACCCAAGCGTTCAAACCAACCCGGCGCCATCAGCCAAATGTACACCAGCCTCGCCTCGCCCGACAACCGCTCTGTCGTCACCGCTGTCGCCTTTTTCGCCGTAAGTGCTTTGAGCCATCTCCACAGCAGCAAGCATCGCAGACCATCATAGAAGGAGGAACACAAACTGCAGAAAGGAAATGGATCCCTGCGCGATGCTCGTGGAGAGACTGGGATCCTGTGGTTGATGTTGAGCAAGCAAGACTAATTGAAATTCACAGNNGCCGGTGTCGCATTCTTGCACAGCAGCTGGAGCGAGATGCTGCTTCCTCCGTGAGTGCCTTTCATCCTCACTTACATCACCTTCCTCTGGAAATACGACTCTGAACTTCCCACTTCTGCTACAACATCGCGCCTTTTCTTCGAGGCTCCAAAGCTTACACCACGTCTCACCACAGTCTCTAAACGTCTTCCGCACTCGACCCATGAACACGATGCGATTGTAGGAATATGACTAGGAGGAAAAGTGAGAAGAGAAACACACTTGTACAAATAACAAAAGAATCGCGGGTTTTCTTGCTTCGATGAATGGGGAATGGGCGTTTTGCTTCTACAAATAAGAGGAATTTGAGATCTGAAATGATTGTTTCCACTCTGTCGATTTGCTCCTTTTCATTCATCACATTGTCATCGCAATGGTGCAACTGCGAGCTTCGGGGATTGAGAATGTGTAAGTGGATGCGTCAATGTCATTCTCCATCCACCTTTCAGTCGAAGTGTCTTTGCTTGACTTCTTCATTCGTTCGCCCAGATGATTTATGAGTTCTCTGTACCAAGGGACGGCTGTAAACACTGTCATTTCAATGGCTTGAAGCCCATATGATCGCGTGCAAATGGAGAGCTTACTGCAACCCTGTCTTTACTGCATCGAGAATCCAAAAATATCAACGAGTTGTTCACAGAACGGGTGAAACCTAGCTCTCTTGTTTGATTTTGCTCTACTTTTGCGGGTTCCTTGTCGGTCTTTGGTTCGTGGTTTCCTGGTTTGATGGTTTTGTGGCTTCTGGTTATAGCGAGGATACTGCTTCTCGATGCCTCCTTTACAAAGCACAATGCCTTTGTATCATACTCCTGTGTAAAGCATAGCCTCTTGTCCACCGTGGTCCCTTCCACGGCAAAAGCTCAGAGGCCTACTGTGATGTAGTGGGACTGACTTTTTGTCATGACAAGGCCAACAAATCTACTTGATTTTTGAACAAGTACCGGGGCATGAAACAATCAAGGTTCTACGATTGCGACCATACATTCACCATTTAATTAAACAAGGCCAAGGCTGTCGATATTATGGTCGTGTGTTTTTTGAAGTTTGGGTTATTTAGTAATATCTCACTGCTGCCTTTTTTCATTTGTTCTTACATACAGGTCAAGCCACACTTGCCTTGTTTGCGAGTTGGACTTTATACATGCGATTTTCTTCCCCATTATGCAATTGCCTCTCGATCTTGTCTGTCTCTACACTTGAGATTCAGGACTGACGCTGATGATGGAGAGCAATCCGTATAGTCGCGGTGAATCTCGATATCGAATTCTATGTAGATGATGATATTTCCCAATTCTGCCCTTCTACACTATAAAGACCCTATGAGTTATGAATGATGATAGAGCTAGCTTAGGTGTATTTGCTCTACACTTCAAATGTTGGATAGATGTGCTTAAACATACTTCTCGCCGCCACGATGTTCTACAACTATCTTTGCCAGGGTCATACCCTCAGCTATCTACATCCGAGCTGTGACCGAATCTCGGCCGCCACGCTACCACCACAACTCTGGGCGAAAGATGGCATCGTCACAACGAGGCGAAGAGTGTCATCAATATAGACTTTCGGAAGCAATGTAGATCGATAGATTAAGAAGACGGGAAGAAATGATCTCTGATAGATGTATGCCGAATATCCTACGCCACGGAGCCGAGAATATGTCGAGGAGAAGATGATCTTTAGAGACTGTGGCAAGAAAGGCAAGCTAATCTAGCAGTTTTCCGGGCTTGGTGCTTTCCTCGGATGGGACATTTGTAGACTAAGTCTATATGCTGGAAAGTCAATTGCCTATATACCTTCTCTCATTCCTTGTATGTAACCAATCTTATCAAAGCAGTCGGATCGACAAGAATAGAGTACTCTACGTGATTGCACCAAAGTTGCGCCCAAGAAAAGGTTCTACATGAGTTGTTACCGTGTAGTGGGAATATTGTAGGCTCTCTTGTGATGTGGTTCTCTGACAGACTACTCCATCGAGCAGCTCGGTCGACGAAGTAGCCTTTGCAAGATTGATGCTTCACAGCTTCACAGCTTTATTTCTTTCATTCAATCCCGTGGTTGCCACGAAGTATCGTGTACCTGCTGCTTTCAATCCTCTAGAGATAGCTGGTCGCGACTGCAGTGCGGATTACGACATGCCCTGGGCCGAGATTGTTGTGTTAGGAGCCGAAAATCAGGCAAGACTAAGCGGCTGAAGTACGAAGTGGTGATTGCGTGCGTGCATTGAGCAGAATCGCATGTCAAAGCCTGTTGAAGCATTTCGAAATTGCTCATGGTTACGGTTGCCATAGGGCCAAAGATGTCTCAGTGAGAGATCGTGAGCAGTTATGTCTCTGATCTTAAATTGTCCTATACTCGATTAGGGGTCAAATCGGAAGCACCGAGACCACACATGCTTTGTTGAAAACGAAACTCGGAGGCAGCACCGGATGGTTGAGCATGCGCTTCTTTCCAAGATTGATGGATGGTTGGGCTGGACATGGGCAATATTATGCCGACCGTTGTGCCATAACGGGTGAGATATAACTGACCATGCTGAAGCAGATTTACACAATCCATATTGTGGAAGACAAACACCCACAGGCGTGAAGCATATCGACAGTGGCTGAGTAGGAGTCCGGCAGACGACATCAAATGCCGTAGTCCAGGTCATGAGATATGTTTAGCAACTGTAAAGAGTCATAAAATCATACTTAGTGACCTTCGTAGTTTTCAATCGCGAGGCATCGTAGTATAGTCGCCACGGCAATGCGTATAGAAATTCCGAGCATAGACCCTTCCAGAATACGAACAGCTTCCATACATTTCGGTCCGGTGCTTGCTGAGAACACTTGGTCATAGTCCAGTCATTAAGATTGAGGGTCTTAGATCCGTGGTTCGTGTCAGCATCTGTCGTGTCGATGGCATTCAATAGGAGAGACTGCGTTCGATGTTGTCCAGTGAGGTTGAATACAACATTAGCCGCTCAACGGCCCAAATTTTGCGTGTATACAGGTCGAGGCCCGGTCATGTCTCACAACCCCATAGTGCTGCCATCTCTTCACAGCGATGGCATTCTGGAATGTATTCGGCGCCAAAGGAGATTATGTATGAGTAATCTACACGTGCGCATCAGTATACTTGATTGATTGCGTGCTGGTGCCCAAGTATCCAGAAGGAGCGATAGTCGTACTCTCGATAGCATTATCCAGGCATCAAGGTAGCGACCGATGCTCTGAATTGCCATATCATGTTCTTGTCGAGTATCTGTTATATCGACGAAAGGCTGAGTTGCTTCGCAAGATCGTGTACTTGGAGGTGATCGTCGTGATCGTGGCAGGAGGCAATATTGCCAAGCACTATGCTGTGATAAACGTTTGCTAGGAGTGATGTGAGACAGTTCGCAGTACTTTACTGGAAGAAGTCAAGACCTCTGGCCAGATTACCATGTTGCTCGGAGCATACACCGAGCCCGCGATAGGTCTCGAGCCCTATAACACTCCTCGAACAACGACGGGCTGACCGTTTGACGCCGTCGACGAGGGTCCTCTTTGCGTACGCGCTGCGGAATGCCTATGTTCCGGAGCTTGGCTGTATGTGGTACAGATGGAGGTCAGTTTTGGTAGAACGACGATACATAATCGTAGAAACGGTGATTGGTAACGTTGATTGCCAACTTGGCTCCGTCGATTGCCGTCGACCCCAGTAAGGTGCAACAATCGATATGTGACAAAGCTATCAGAACTGTAAGCTGTTGCACATGTAGCTTTGTACCGATCGAATACAGCACTGTAGATGCCAGCAAGCCTCTCTGACGCTCCAGGTTGAAGGCCATCGCGAATATGTTCCAAACGTCGGTCGAAGAGGAGGGAAATGTTTGTCCCAAAGTTTTCGTCCAAGTCGTCTTGTTGTCTACCTGGCAGCGTTCCATACCATTTTCAAAGATGCAAGTACCCAAAGTGGACACGGCGTAATCTTCTTGCATGACCGTTTCAACCGTCAACGTCAGTTGCGCCAGGCGCTGTCAACGTAGCCCGACCAATATAGTAGTGTAGTTGCATATGGTCTCCTAGGCTATGGTCGAGTTGTGCAATCGATGCAAGTGTCTCAAGGAGCTGTTGGTATCCGTTCGGAGGAAGAGAGGCTCAATAGAAGAGTCTCGACGATCTGACAAGGTCGTCAATGGTGACATCGTAGTATGTCTTAGCTAGAACAGCAACACAATCCTTCGTCCGTTAGGATCTGACACGTCGACGGGGCGATCTCTTGAGCTATCTTGCCCACGAAGATGCGATGCACATATTGACGAGTCGTGCGGAGGCTTGGCGAAGGTGTAGATCTAGTTATGCCAGAACCTCAGGCCCTCCTTTACGTCCGTTAGAAGCCCTGTAAGCAGCGAGCGGTGACAGGAACAGGCGTATCTTCCATGTACGTTGTTGTTGTGTTGTCAGTAGATCCATCGATGGAAAATGCTGTAAATGCTGACGGCCAGACTCTGCCCTGTCTTGGAGCAGGACGCTTTCGTCTTTGTGGGGAAGCCCAAGTAGGCAAAAGTCAGCCACGGCTGCCAAACTTGGAGTTTATCACTATAACTGGATTTGAGCCAAGCCATAGCCGTGCATGCCCTGCGCCCCTTGAACTTTGAGGCTGTTGAGTCAAGTCAAGTCAGGGCCAGTATCGATTCCAGACATGAAGAGGACGAGGATGCAAGACGCAAAAGACCTGGATGTTATCGTATCCCCGCTAAACATGAACGAAGGGTCTGGGGATTGCGACATGGACGACCATAACTCGGATTTTACGTCTTCCGGGTACTGCGGCAGTGACGCTGATGTGATCTGCAGCTGCATACGGAGAGCAAAGGCTCCGTGAAACAAGGGCACCTTTCTCTGCCTGACTCCACGAAAGTCAAAGGGGTGCGGCGCAACAACTCACCGACTGCCCTGCAGAGGGCGGAAAACGGGTACGCGCGCGAATACGGCGACACAAAGGTCCGAGTGCGGCGCGTTGCTGTGAAGGCTTTGCGGTCAGCAGAAAGGTCCGAGTCACCGTTGCGACCGTCGCCGGATGCGTTCGCGAGATTGTCAATTTGGTTACAGGCTCTGATCGGTCTGGGCCAAAATGTGCCCCAGAAATGCTAGAGAGCGTGGCTTCGATGCGATACTTGCGCGATGGAAAAGTAATTGCTTCACGCCTGATCAACGCTCGCTCTCGTTCAGTGCTAGCAGGGGTCCAGAACAGTGAGGCATTCAGTGGTCGCAACGGATTGTTAATGCGATTGATTAACAATACTGTTTGGAATTTGGCTGACAATTGATGCCTCATCCAAGGCAGCTTTCCAAGCAGAGTGTCAAAGGATGCTTGCTCAGCATTACTCACAGCATGCGTGCGCAAGCGATGCGATTGGCTGGGTCGGATTACTCATGCCATGACTTGTACACGGCTTGACCGGCCGATCCTGCAGGAGGGATTCTAAAATCCGAGCGGAGCGGGCGGTGTCTTTTCTTGCGCCCGGTGATGGGTCGATTAGAGTTCAGATCAGGAACGGAAGGGAAAACGTCTACCTCCCGGAATGACAAAGCTCTCTGAGACCCGATCATGGGTGCCTGAGCACTGGTATTATAACTCCCATGGACGTCCGGCTGACAGGTGCTTTCTGTTTCATCACAATCACACCCAGCGAACAACCAGCTTATACATAAACAACCATCTTCCCCAGGCTTTGATCAACACTGGATAGCAACACTACCCGATTGCCTTTTAACCTCAATCAGCCACTCATCTCTTATTGGCTGTGAGTAACCATTGCGACAGATTGAGTAATTACAATACTGACTCACATATCAGATAGTTGTTCTTATAAAACAACCATCTCACAATGTCGACACAATCATACTTCCCTGGATCTGCTGCATCACCAGCCAAGAAGCAAAGAATGTCTCTCACACAAACATACTACATCGCATCCACCGCAAGGAGCAAGCTTGGTCGTGAGGCCTCTCGTGCAGACCACAACCTCAGACTCCTTGTTGGCCACGCAAACCTTCTCGACACTCTTATGATCGAACTTCAGGACGCAGAGAAGGAGCAAGAGGCTTGGTTCAACGAGTCTATCAAGGCCAGCAAGCCTGACCCTGCTACCCGCCACATCCAATGGATTGACTCCATCGCCGAGGAACTCGAGGAGGACTCATCTGACGAGGAGAGTGACGACGAGGATTCCTTCTACGACGAGGAGAACGACTTCATCGGCGCGCACCCATCATCATACTCTGTTTCGACTGTTGAGGTTGATGACGACGAGTTTGAGGAGGACTACGAGTACGACGAGGAGCACGCCCTTACCAGAGTCGACTCTCACCCACCAGAGCTTGTTCACGGCGACTCAGACTCAGAGGATGAGTCGATGCCGCCATCGCCTACACAAGAAGCAATGGATCTTCAAGAATCACAACACGCTCAACCTATCAAGACAACACCCTACATGAACAAGGTGGACCACTCAGATTACCTCGGTGACAACATTGTCATCTCGCAACGGCAATCACCAATCATCAGCGCCTACTAGACGCTCTTCACTCTTCTTCGTCCATCTTGTCCAGCGTTCAAGCGATTCTTCTCATTTTCACGTTTTTGTATGGCATCACGACTAGGATATCCCGGCTTGGAGCCAACGGCGTTTTTCATGATCATCTTTGGGAGGGGAAACGGAAACATCTCTTCTTTATTACAAAAGAGTTGAGCTATAAGCTCCTCTTCTTCTATCCAACAGGCCTCAGTTGCCTCTTTCTCTAATCATAACAATCTTCACACCTTCAAAACATCTTCTACTTTCATGTGATCCATGTGCTTTCCATCTGTCTTGTCTGCCTTCCTTTTACCCTCGCCTAACACAACCATGAATGCTCGCTATTGACCGGATCAGGCTCTCGCAAGGTGGATTCCCATGTCCGCCTTAACCTCGCTTGTAACCGCTGCCGGGCACCCGGCGGCGCAGGTCGCCGAGCTTAAACTTTTTCTTCCCTTCCTGGCGTCATAAAAAAACCATCCTCCACACCACAAGCAGATCCATCTCGTCAATCATTTCTTCTCTCCGACCGACCGCCGAGAGCAAGAAACAGAATTTGTAAAGAATCTGTTTCTGGTGCTTCCATGGAAGGCTTTTTGCGGCTTCTGCGGGCTGACATATCCACCTAGTCACCTAATTTGATATTATTGTCAATCGTCTCTCCGCAAAGAAGCCGTGCAAGGAATGCGTTGGAAGCGAGAAATGGCAGTTTTCTTTCTCTCCAAGAAAAGCACGGTGTTTCACGGGCGGCGGGTGGTTGTCAGGCGAAAAAAGATGTTCGTCGATGCTTGTTTTTCGCAACCTGTTGCTCGATGCGGTGTTTGCTCCGAGACTCGTCTCTTGGATCTTCTTGGACCATCACAAAACGACTCGGTTGCGACTCGCGAAAAGGCTGTCGTCGGCACTCGGAGGTTCCGATTCAGTCTTGCCGAGTCGATGCTCCGGATCCGTCGTATCTTGTCGTATCTGACCTTGGTGCTTGGCTTTTTGATCGTTTGCATCTTTTGGACAAGGGTCTGGTATGAAACCGCCGAGGGCTTGTGCTTTTTTCTTTGTTGTTGTCTGTGACTGCTTTGGGCTGCAAAGAGCAAAAGCTGAGAAAGCATTAACTCCAGCACCCAGCATCAAATTTCCCGACCAGCGGTACAGCTTTTTCGGGTTGCCTGGTCAGGTTGTTCTCTTGTACCAGTCTTTTCTTTTGTACACCGTCCTTGTTGGTCGTCTGTTTTTGCTTTGCGGTGTGTGGTTGCATATGCCAGCACAGGAGTTGTTTTGTCTTTTGCGTGACAACCAAAAACAACAAACATGCATGTGTTGCTTCTCCAGTCTTTCTCTCACCGGTCTGTCCGAGAACCGGCGACTGTACTGAGTGGAAACAGCACATGACCTGGATTCTCTGCCGTGTCCGCACTGCCCGCTGACAAGCGCTGCACGCGCGGCGCAGGTTCATGCATGCCACGCAGCCTTCCTGCAGCACAGAAACCGGTGCCTGACAGACCCCGCGTCCATCGGAGGATTTGGTAGCTCGTGGGAGGAGACAACAGCATCTGTACACCGAACATCCGACCAGCTATCCACATGCTCACCGGTGCGTTCAGCGACTTGTTGACATACCTGCTCTCATGACTTCTTCAGGGTACCAGTATACCCCGGTCTCCTTCTGATGAGTCGTGACGCCAAGCAAAAGGACCCGTCGGTCTGGGAAACTGCTTCCAAGTGACCCGCTGGAGTGGATGAGCGGTGAACACCTCCGCACGATCGCTCAGCCACTTCCAGCTGTTTTGCGACAACACTCTGCGGCTGTGTGCTTGCAGGGCTGAAGAATGTTGCTTGTGGCTTTAGCACAGCCGCCGCAAAGATCATATTTACAGTTTCGTGTGTGTCTGGTACTTGTTGCAATCCCAATGTTGCATGACCTGACCTGCGTGTCCTCCGGTCAGCACATCATCCGTAGATTCGTACCTTGCGGATGACTTCTCAGTCTCACACAGCCCGAGAAGCCACGGTGGAGTGTTGTACATACATCCTCAAGCGACTTGTTCCGATACACCAACTCCAGATCACAAGGCTTACTCTAAGAATGACTGGTCTGAAACTGGAAAATGGTTGTCCTGCTCGAAAGGCAAGTACTCTGGCGTTAGTAAGTACGACTGGAGCTATAGCATCCTAGTTTCTGGTCTGCTCTGAGGTCATTTAGCTCCTCTCTCACAGACACACGAGCAAATCCATAAGCTGTAAGAATGCACGACATTGTTTGACATCAGAGGCATGTCTGCAGAGAGCCCTTAAGACCACATGCCTTGTAAGAATCGCTCACGCTTGCAACAATGTCATGTAGTGCTCTAGCCATACTCAGCACATAAAGAGCATCCTAACAGCTAAGAGCTTTGTCAAGATCTAAATACTTCCTATAAGTGCTACCACACAAGATGGTAGAGTCGATACTGATTGCCAAAGAATCGATCACAGTTTTTCCAGCCATGTCAAGGCACAGTACTATTGTGGGTAGAAGTCTGTCCACTGAGGGGTCACTGTTCTTAGATCTCTGTTTGAGTAGAGTTGTTGAGATATAGGACATATTGATTGATTATACTCGTTGTACAAAGTCAATGCTATCATATCTATACTGTTGCTCCGCGTACACAGGTCCAGCTTGTGCCTTGCTCTTTTCTCCATGTAGTCGCCATGCGTTCCTACACCCGGTAAGATATCATGTAACTATGATAGCCACTGTCGGTCTTCAATACATAAGGCTTCTAGCAAACACGACGACGACCAAAGCCCATTGCGCAGCGCTTCCTCTCTTGGCTACATGCTTCTCGGTACCGTCGCCACTGACAGAGACAACACTGGGGATGATGACTGCAATACTGGTAGTTGCGAATGATGTCGTGTTTGCAGATGTAGGAAGACCATTAAATGTGCCAGTTGTGAGATTCGATGAGGCTGGTATAGAGGGAATTGCGAAGGCGAGGGTCGTCGTGTCTGCTGCGACAAGCGATGTTGAGGATTGCAGTCGAGTCGATGTCACCGTAGGACCGCTGATGCTACAGAGGGAGGACAGATAGATGTGTGCCGCTNNACAGATGTGGTCAGCGTCCAGTTCACGATGATGGGTTAATGCTTGTCACTCACCTTGATTGTCGGACGCGGCTCCTCCTTCACCACACGACAGCATTACACTTTGACCACCAACGTCCCAGCATTGTCCAGCCGAACCAACGCTGGCATCGAGCGGAACTTTTCTTGTTCCACCGGCACACTGGCCCTCCTCGAACAACCCTAGTGAGCAGTCTTGTTGGATGCCATTCTGACCAGTGGAGATTAGAAACGAGTGAAAGCGATACGAGTTGGTCTGGCAGATGCCGGGTCGTAGTTGTAGTATAGGCTGAGGCTGAGTTGCTCCATTGCTAGGACTTTGTTGACACGCATCGTCATAGCTCGGGGTGAAGAACATGCTCGTACGTGTGTTGACGTTGGTCGAAGAGACAGAGACACTGCATGAGCCATCGATGCATAACGAGATTGCGGAAGTCCAGTTTGACATGCAAGTTGCTGCTGAGTGTGCGTCGGGATAAGGTGCTATACATGCTGACTGTGAGTCAAGTTAGATGGATGATGTAAAATGACGTGACATGGCTTTAAGGACCAAGCATGGAGGTATGTTGGTGCTGTATTGAGCCAGTACAGCCGATGCGGCGAACAAAACGCAGAGGAACTTCATCTTTTCGTTCTCATGAACGTGACTTGAACGATGGTTGCGAGACTGTCCTGCGTGAAGGCGGTAGACGTCCTTTGATGGGACGCTCCCTGATGGAGTGTTAAAGAAAGATGACTCGGCTGTGAAAGAGAGTCAAGGCATGAGAACTGCATGTTACTTGATCCAGAGCAGGAAAATTGCTTGTGAATTTTAGCCAAGGGACAGTGGTTGCCGCTTCCTCTTCCGAGATTGAATTCATGAGGCTTTTGAAGTCAGGCAGGAGCAGTCGGAATAATCAAAGCATCCCAAACGTCTTTCCCGGAGAAGTACTATTCAACAATCCTCACTTGCGAGTAACATGGTCGACAGCCGTTCGGAAGCTACGTCGGAGATCTGTTGTGTCAATGTTAAAAACAAGTCTATTTGTTTGATTTTTCGTGTTTTGGACAATTGCATTTGGTGTCAAGGTTACTCTACTACACCCTGCTTCTGCTTCCCGGAACGCCTTCGTATCAGCCGATGCATGAAAGAGCCCCGTCAAATGCGCCGGGCTGAGTGAACCCTCCTGAAGAGTGGTTCCTGAATAGATAAAATTACAACCATAACATGATTCGGAATGGTGTGAGAGTATGAGGAGGTCGTGATAAAGAAGAGGACTGGCATTGTTCGTTCTTGCTCTAGTTGTATTGGGCGTAGGCGGCGGTCGAGTTGAACTTGAGACCACCACGAATGACCTTCTCAACGGCGCTGAGGAAATCCTTCTCGGTGGCAACCTTTCTGCGGGCACGAATGGCGAACATACCAGCCTCGGTAGCGACGGATCGCAACTCAGCACCAGTTGAGTTGGGACATAGACGAGAGATGAGCTCCCATCTGATATCACGCTCGACGCTCATACTCTTTGCGTGAATGCGCAAGATGTTGGCACGACCCTCCATGTCGGGCAAGGAGAACTCAATCTTACGATCAATACGTCCAGGACGCATGAGAGCAGGGTCGAGAGTAGAAGGACGGTTGGTAGCGAACATGACTTTAATGTTTCCACGAGCATCGAAGCCGTCGAGTTGGGTGATGAGCTCAAGCATGGTACGTTGTACCTCGTTGTCACCACCAGCGCCGTCATCGAAACGAGCACCACCGACAGCATCAATTTCGTCGAAGAAAATGATACAAGCCTTCTTTGTACGGGCCATCTCAAAGAGCTCACGCACCATACGGGCACCCTCACCAACGTACTTTTGCACCAGCTCGGAACCAATGACACGGATGAAAGTGGCGTCTGTTCGGTTCGCGACGGCTCTGGCGCAGAGAGTTTTACCAGTTCCGGGAGGACCGTAGAGAAGAGCACCCTTAGGGGGATCGATACCGAGGTGGACGAAGCGCTCTGGTGACAGCAGGGGCATTTCGACGACTTCACGTAGCTTCTCAATCTGCTCTTTGCAACCACCGACATCGCCGTAGGTAACGTCGGGCTTGTCTTCAACTGTCATCATGGTGACTGAGGGATCGATCTTGGGCGGGAGGGGAAGCATGATCTGGTACTTGTTACGGTCGACNACTAGGAGCGCAGTGTTAGAGAGATGTGGAGGTTGGCGATATGAAGACTTGACGTACCCTACTCTCATGCCTTCCTCAATATCGGTGGGAGAGACACGCTCGCCGAGGTTGACGACGAACTTTGCTATTTGCTTGACGTTGATGACATATTTGCTCTTTTCCTCGTTCTCATCGGCAATAATCTTTGTGCAGCGGGCGACTTGCAGCGGCTGCTCTTCTGACATGCGTTGTCTGTCGGCGGCGATATCCCAGAGATGCGGCGGGGCGAGACCTGTGTCTGACTCNCTACGAGGGCATCAGTATGGATAGTAGAGTGAGGGTGGAGCAGGACGTGATGATACCTTGACACCAATCTTCTCGTTCACGCTTGTCTGGCGGTCCTTGATCTCCTTCTCGAGCTTCTTGAGGGCGGCGGCATAGGGAGCGGCGCCGTATGTCTTGAGGACTTGGATATCCTCGTCGGACAAGGGAGTGATCTTCTTCTCTTCGGGCTCGTCGTCGGCAAACTTCTTCTGATACTTCTCCCAGTTCTGACCCGTGGCGCTGGGCATGGCGGCGGTGGTTTAGATGTTGATGACGAATGCGGGAGTGGAGTGACGGATCGTGGTGATGAAGGCGGAGATCGGGTTGCAGGCGGACGGAGAGTGATTCGGCCGTCCAGAGAGGTGGGAGATGGAGCAAGACGAGGGCGATGGTGGATGTCGTGTGAGTGTTGGTGGTGGTTGATGGATGAAGCTCTCGCTGTGTCGCCGCAACATGACGGAGCAGTCGAGCAGCTCCAGAGACGCTTTGCTTGGCAGCTCTTTCCCGACGCCGACGCTGGACGCTCGAAAATTAATATCAGCGACAAGGTCAACACTCTGTAACACCCGTATTCCCTGCTTGATTCTTGTTCAAGCCGTCTCTTGCTCGTCGCATATTCCCAGAATACGCAGCAGAGATCATGTCGACCCAAGCCGCAGCCCCCAACGCCGGCAACGCCGCCTTCAAGGTGCGAACTGGCCCTTGTAAACGACATAGCTCTCCTATCAATGCTAATGTCAACTAGGACAAGGAGAAGCCCCAGGCTGTGCGCACTGCCAACATTGTTGCTGCCAGAGGTATGCTACACCCTTCAATCTACCTTGCGGCCTTCCACTGACTCTGTCTAGCTGTCTCCGATGCCATTCGTACCGTAAGCTAGCCGCCGAAACAACCATACTAGACTCACATTGACACATCCCTACTAGTCGCTTGGTCCTAGAGGTATGGACAAGATGGTACGCATACAAACTCTCTTCTCGCTGTCTGCGCAACCGCTGACATGACTACAGATCCAAACCGGCAAGGGCGAAACCATTATCGTAAGACCATCTCGAACACCGCTCCCGTAACGCTCGAACACACACTGATAACCCGGACTAGNNACCAACGATGGAAACACCATGTTGCGCGATATGGCCGTCATGCACCCCGCCGCAAAGATGCTCGTCGACCTCGCAAACGCTCAGGACATTGAAGCTGGTGACGGTACCACTTCAGTCGTTGTTATTGCCGGATCTCTCCTCGGTGCCTCTGAGCGCCTGCTCCAGAAGGGTCTCCACCCTACCATCATCTCCGACTCGTTCCAACGCGCCGCAAAGCATGCCGTCGAAGTCCTTACCAATATCTCCATCCCCATCAACCTCTCCGACAGACAGACTCTCCTCAAGGCCGCTTCCACCTCGCTCTCCTCAAAGATTGTCGCACAAGAGCCTAAGCTCGCTCCTATGGCCGTTGACTCAGTGCTCAAGATCATCGACCCCAAGACCGCCGACAACGTCGACCTGAAGAACATTCGTATCCTCAAGAAGCCCGGTGGTGTCATTGACGACAGTGAGATGGTTGATGGTTTGGTGCTCAACCAGCAGGTTGTCAAGAGCGGTGGCGGTCCTACCAGAATCGAGAAGGCCAGAATTGCTCTTATCCAGTTCCAACTCAGCCCGCCGAAACCCGACATGGAGAACCAAATCGTTGTCAACGACTACAGACAGATGGACAAGATTTTGAAAGAGGAGAGAACATATCTGCTCAACATGGTCAAGAAGATCAAGAAGGCAAAGTGTAACGTGCTCTTCATTCAAAAATCCATCCTCAGAGACGCTGTCAACGACCTTTCTCTGCATTTCCTGGCCAAGCTCGGTATCATGTGCGTCAAGGACATTGAGAGAGACGAGGTTGAGTTCATTTGCAAGGTACGGCCCCTTTTTGCCAGAACTTATGCCACATGTACGACGTACTAATTCATATGCAGANGCACTGGTTGCAAGCCCATCGCAGACATCGACTCCTTCACAGAGGACAAGCTCGCCAGCGCAGACCTCATCGAGGAGGTTTCATCGCTCGGCTCGCGCATCACCAAGGTTACCGGCATCAAGACAACGGGTCCCACAGCCCCCAAGACCGTCAGCATTATCTGCAGAGGTGCCAATCCCCTCATTCTGGACGAGGCCGAGAGAAGTTTGCACGATGCACAGTGCGTGTTGCGCTGTTTGGTAAAGAAGAAGGCCCTCCTCCCTGGTGGTGGTTCGCCGGAAATGGCCGTCTCGCATTCGCTTTCCAGACTCGCCCTCACTTCATCCTACCCAGACAACATCTGCTTCAAGGCATTTGCCGAAGCCCTCGAAGTCGTTCCTATCACTCTGGCAGAAAACGCCGGTCTCAATTCGATCAAGGTTGTCACAGAACTCCGATCACGACACGCAAACGGCGAGACGAATGTTGGTGTCAGCATCAAGCGCGGAGGCGTCGGTGTCATGGGTGGTGAGGTCGGCGGTAATGCTGGAGAAGGTGGTGAAGGTGTCATGCAGCCTCTTCTCGTCAGCACCAGCGCCATTGAGCTGGCTGCCGAGACGGTCAAGATGATTCTGAGAATCGACGACATTGCCCTGAGCAGGTAAACTTTGAAAAAGTGTTGTTTGTGGACCAGCATGAAAAGGAGATACAGATGCACAACAACAGGCTATATTTTGAATGTCTGTAAACACAATACAAAAATGTAAAACGATGTATGCACCTTTGTCGCAACGGACATACCGTAATTGATGGTTGTTCAATCTCCTCCAGATCACATGGCATAGTCTGAGCACTCGGGTCTCACATCAGACATGCACGAAGGTTGACAGTCAACTTCCGCAAAGCCACATCCGCATCAACAACAACACAAAGGCGATCGAATATCAAGCACCCGAAGAGAAAAGACCACACAGACTGTTTATCTCAAGAAAAAGCGACATGAGCGAGTGATAAGATCAGATTCAAGATAGATATGCACGCAGCTTCAACCGCAGACATCGAGGTTCAAGAAAAATGATCTTCAGCTCCAAGTTCAGCAGCAGAGGGGCTAGAATTCTGTTCTTGCAGCTGTACCGCGACCGTTGAGCTTATCCTGCTGAGATTGTGGAGAAGGCAAAACCAATAGCGGCAAAGACCTTTAGTTGGGGAAGCTTTTTGGTGTTCTGGGTGCGTGCATAGACTGAGACATAGACAGAGGTATTGAGACTGGAAAGCAGTTATCAGGAAGAGGTTGAGATGGCTTGCGTTACAGCTGGTTGATGATTGAGTGCAGGGATGACCTCTAGATGGAAAGCGATGTGGTTGCTGGATGCTGGTCCAGGCGTGATAATCCGGAGATGGTGCCAAGCTTAGGCTAAAGAACGCCTCGACGCCTTCGACGAAAGCAGCGGTGGTTCGGGCGGCGACGGGACAGGATGGGCCTGAGCATGTGCCTTTGGATGGGGTTTTAATATTGGGGGTGCGCGATGGAGATGGAAGCGGTGTCCAAGGTACCGTCGTACCTTGAATACAATTCTTTCCCCTGTTCCTGTCTCTTCTGTCCTGCCGTAGGAATTGCTTTCTTCTTGCAGCGTCTCTTGACAGACCAAGGAGCCTCAAGACGATTGCTTGCTTTTGGAACAGAGTGTTGCGCCGAGAAGCCCGATCTCGTTCTCCATCCGCCGATCTCCTGCTCTTTGGTCATCACGCTCTGAGGTCAATCCCACCTCCACGTCCTCATTCAGCGGTCAAGAACTCTTATTGTTTCTCTCACTTCCACGACATCGACGACATTCCAGCGATTAGACATTTGTATTCTTGGTTACTCTGCATAGTTCACCGTCGGCCCCCTCCTACTCATCCATCTCCACGCCCGCCGCGACGCACTGAGCTGACGTACCGGACACCTTCAACAACCTGCATCTTACAGCCAGAGTATGCGGTGTCTCCTCGTCGTCTCACCCAAGCCATGACAACTGACATAACTCGTAGCACTCGTTGATCGCTTTTCCAATTGTGCGAGCATTGCCTTTCACTTCTCGTACGAAGCCTACACGACGCCTGCACAATCAAGCCACTCGACACGACTCGATCAGGCTCGCAACAAGGCCCCTCAGTCGCTTTCACCTCTTAGATCAAGGTTATGAGGTAGCACTCAAACCCGACATACTCAGCTTGCTTCGATCAAGCACATCCCAACCATCTACTCCACCACCATGTCCTCCGATCAGCCACGTCGCCGCTTCGATCCGACTCCCGTCGAGACATCTTCCAAGTCGAACCGCCAAGCTGCACAGCCTGAGGAGAATGCTGCTCCCCGAAGGTTCAATGTCCAGCCAGCCGAGACCACAACACGAAGCAGCAAGGATACCAACACGAATAGCCCTTCCCCTCTTGCAGCAGCTCTCGGCGTCAGTCCATCCCCACCGAGACGCTTCAGTCCAACACCCGTCGAGACAAGCACAAAGAGCTCACGGGAAACACAACGGCCGCAGCAGCCTGTGAGAAGGTTCGCACCAGAGCCCGTCGAGAACAGCGTCAAGAGCAGCAAAGACAAAACAGATTCACCACCACAATCCATTAGAAGATTCTCTCCAGAGCCAGTGGAGACAAGCACCAAGACCAATCGACAAGCGGATCCGGCAGCAGAGAAGCCCAAGTCACGCCTCTTACCACAACCCATCGAGATGACGTCCAACAGCAACCGTTCAAAGTCAAAGTCCCCTCAATCCAAGTCTCCTCAGACAAATTCCCCACAGACAAGATCTCCTCCGAACGAGGCAGTGTCTCCTACATCACAACCTCAAGACGCCCCTGTTGAGAAGCCAAAGCGTAAATTCGCTCCTCAACTTATCGATACGTCGAGTCGCACCCGAAAGAACTCGGATGAGAAACCCTCATGGTCTGCAAATCACAGGACCGATATATCGCCTGGGGAGGAGAGTAGAGTCGCATACAACAACATAGGTCAACAGATTACTATCGCCAACCGTGAAAGTACAACTTCACCAACCGAGTATCCCCGATTCATCATGCCTTTCGCACGCCGAAAAGATCGATCCGATTCTGCTCGCAGCCACTCGTTCCGCATGCCTGAGCTTGAGACTATTGAGAGCTCCGAGAGTGAGCCCAGTGCGCCACCCAGTCTCTCTACCAGTCCCTCGTCCAACGACTTCTCGCTCGGAGCAGCCATGGAGCCGGTCAACCCTGCATACAAACATGCCACGAGAATTCGTGAGAGCGTCGACGAAACCTTCAGTCGTTATCTCCTCGAGCTCGAGGGCAGAAAGGCCCAGGCGAAGCTCCAGGAACAAGCGCTGGCAGCCTTCCCCAACTCAGACATTCACGAACCTGTTGCACATTTCATGAACGGTGAGAGTGAAGATGAGGACGAAGAAATGGACGACCGCCCGGCGACGTGGGAAGGCCATGATGACGACGATTATATGATGAACGTCCGTACACCGCATGGTCGTGGCTCGACTCACGGAACATACGAGGTTCGCGAGATGCATCAACACTTTGAGGAGATGGAGCAAGAGCGCAAAGCTGCTGGTACAACAAGGCGAAAGTCTTCCGTCAAACCCTCGCCATGGTGGAATCCTGCTGGTCACGACTTTGCTGGCTCCAACTACCCTGACAGCGAAGCACGCGCAATGCGCGATAGAGCACGCCCGCCCATGCTTGGTACCGATTTGACATTCCCTCGCTCTGCCTCGCCTGAACCTGCACGTTTCGACGTCACTCAAGGATCCAACCAGTTGCGCAGTCAGATGTGTTACTTGACCGAGCAATCTCAGATAGAAGTCTCGCCAGAAGGCCTCTGGGGTGGCAAGAAGGCATCGGGAGATGCTTCTTTACATCAAAAGTCTGTACAGAAGAGCCAGCACACCATATACAGCCAGAAGAGCACTACCTCGCAGAACGGCGGTGGGCTTTGGGGAGGCTTCTGTGTTGATGATGCCAAGTCTGGCGAAAATGGTCTTGCTCCTCCGACATCTGGCACCCAGACCGGTTTGATGACACCAGCTGTCGAGCCTCCGAATCCGTTCGAGACTGGCTTCAGTCTACCGCCACAGACCATACTGCCCAAGACGCCTCTCACGCCACCGGAGAACGTGGATTTCCATAGTATCGACATCATCTTGAGTGAAGATCAAGACCTCGACGAGGTCATGGAGCGTGAGTTTCCCGACTCTTTTGTCACGCAAGTCTACAACTACCTGTCTTTGGGTTACCCAACCATCGCTCGAGCCTTTGACGAAGAGTTGTGTAAGATCAGCCACGTTCCCATCTCGGATCTTCGACACGACGACGAGATTGCCAAAAACATGCCTCGTGGATACATCCGTCTGGGCGAGGACTTTGAAGGCAGAGGCGATGGTACAAATCAATTGCTCGAGGAAGGTGGCTGCGCAAGATGGACAGCGCTGAAAAAGTACATACGAGAGTGGGCACGCCAGGAAAAGAATATGGTCAAGACTGGCTCATCAGGCACCGGTCTTGGTGGAAATTGGGGCACTGGAGCTAGAAGGGGCAGTTGGGCATGGTAGAGGAGTGTGCGCTTCCTCTCTTGTTGATGTTATCTTTATGTTGCTATTGCATTGGGCAGGCGTTCGTTTTTCCCCCTTGGTTGGATGGGTTGCATTGGAAAGCACACAAACACAGATTTCGTGGCTTTGGAACACATATTTCATAGTTTATAATCATTACTTTGAAACAAAAGCGATTACTTGATTACTTGATTACTCTCTCTGTTGATACTGGTGCTGTTGTGTCTTTGGTCAAGACTTCAAGACCTAGACTTTGGGTATTTATGCAGCACGTGATTATGCATGGTTATGCAACCTCCGTACCAAGAATTTTTTCTTCCATAACTCTTCGTCGACCACACCTCCGATAAACACTTTATCTCGACATTCAACTTTCTATATTACAACAATGTCTTTGGTCGGAGCCCTTCTGTTCTGTAACGACTGCGGTGGTCTGCTGGAGCGATGCCCTGCTTCTCAGGCAAACATTGACTGTGATGTGTGTGGCAAGAGAAACAAGAGTAAGTCGAGTTTTTCTTTCTTTCTATCGTCTTGTTCACCAATCAATGAACACCAAGAAAGATCGAGAAGCCACAGTTGTCCCACTCAAAAACGAAAGACAAGACCCGCAAAACCATTCTTCCGAAATCACCAATCATTCTAACCACGCAATTTCCTTCTTCACANNGACAAGTGGCCCACATCCATCACCACCGAATCCGCAGCTACAGCATTCCCTTCTCGCCTGCGCGACGCCCGCTCCGAGATCCAAGTGCTCTCAGCCGAAGACCGCGAGACCTGGGCTATGACGACTACAGCATGTCCTCAGTGCGCAAACCCCGAGATGAGGTTTAGAGATGTGCAGTTGAGAGGTGCGGATGAGGGAAGTACGATTTTCTATAGGTGTCCCAAGTGTGATTACAAGTAAGTGCCATGATGATGAGAAGGAAAGGGGAGACAGAGGCTAATTTGTGTAGGTTCAATACCAACAACTAAGGTGGCCTTTCGGTGGAGAGGGCTTGGAGAAAACTGCTGGCTTGAAGACGAGTCAGAGTGTTTGGAGTGCATTGGAGAGGAGTGAAAAGGTGTTGCTAGTTTGATACCCCCGTTTAACATTTCCGTCAATTTTGTTGCCTTTTCTTTCTGCTGATCCTGCACTCACCTACAAAATAATACTTCCGGACTCACTGCTCATCTCTTCACACTACTCGCGGATACTTGCATTCACTCCTGATATGATCTTCGGCCTATCATCACTCGACCTTACTGTATCCCGTTCCCCCTTCAGGAGTCAAAGTCTGCGATCTGTACTCTTTTCTCCAATTGACGAACAGCAGATTGCTACTATTGTGCGATTTGATGGATACACGCATCACACACATTCGCACTCGGAGAGGCCCTTCTGGCTCGCTGTTCGGATCCCGTCCTTCACCCCGACCGGCTCTCACTTACGCCTTTATCGGAAGTCACTAATTCCCTCGAGAAGCGTTGTACAAGTTGCTTTACTACTTCTGAGATGGAAGGTTGAGCTTCATCACGCCTTCCGGGTTTCTCCCATTGCTCGCCTCATTCACCTACCTTCCCAACACGTGGTCGGGGCTCTCACATCTACCTATATCTACCGTGTCTTGTTCTCTCCATCTCCTCCCTTTCTTCATCAATTCAACTCTTACCTCGACTTCTTACCTCAACTTCGTTTCTTACACGACAACATCTGGCACATCAACACAGCATTACATAACACTGTGCCCTCTCCAACGAACCCAACACAAGCAAAGACGATCTCATATCCACAATCCGATGGGGCTCACTTCTGACTTGACCACGGCATGCGTTGTTTGTCCACCCTCAGCTTCGCGCCAGATCTCCCAGAGCTCAATGATGCCAATCAGTTACAGAGTTCGCCAAAGCAAATTCTGCCCTGGCTGCAAGAATATCCGCTACTGTTCTCGCGCCCATCAGAAGCTTGATCAAGCTTTCCACAAGAGTGTGTGCAAGCAGTTTCAAGAGCTCGAAGCTCGTCCTGCCCCTGACATGAGACGCGTGCTCTACCTTCCGGTGGACAAGACAAAGCCTAAGTTCAAATGGCTGCCAGTTGAGACAAAAACGGCCAAGGAATTCCGATCTGTGAGGATGTCCACGACCTCACTAATCACGATCTCAACAACATCTGGCGCTGCGCTAGTGGTTGCAGATCGGACTATGAGGGACTCATCACGTAAGANNGAATGTTACAAGATCCGCGTATATACCCATAAAGCCGTCAACAACACATCAAGCGATTCACAGCGTAACAAATGCATTGAGCATCTCACCAGCGGTGAAATAACAACCTGGAAAGGCCCAATCTTCGCTTTTGGCAATTACGACCTTGATTCCAATCGATGCAGAGATTTGGATACGACGTCTCTCAACGCTATCATAGACAAAACTCGCTATCGCGTTCTATTCAGTCAGTCCAACGTCAACAACACAATTCAGGGCGTACGCATCAACTGTGACGGTCACATGAAGAAGCACAAGCATCCACAGTTCGAGCGCGAACAAGTCAGGTCCCGCGACTGGCGACATGGGCGCGACGTAGGACACCTTCCTAAACTTGTTTTCGGAAAAGGACTGCTTGTCCGCCGTCTCCCTACAGAACACGGCCTGGATGCTCGTAACCCTATGGCTAGTCTGCTCGGTATACCCTGCGAGAATGTTGGCAACACATGGGGCTACTACAGAAGGCAGAAATGGGGCAACGTGTTCGTCATGAGAGCGGATGGAAGGCCTCTAACCGTCAACTATCTCAAGGCTTTCTGTAGGTGGATCGATAAAGATCTGAGAAAGCTCTTCAATGCAGTCAGGAGATTGCAGACTCGCGAGCATAAGAATATGGAGACATATAGCTGGGACAAGATTGAGAAGGCTCGCAGCGACGTCAATGACAAAATCAGTCTGCAGAGATTCCTTGAGTTTAGCAAGGGCAGCTTGGAGGAAGATTCTGCTGACGATGAGATGCCAAAATCGGACGATGACGACGACGACGACAACGACGACGACAAAGACATGAAGACGGATGACGATGACGAAGATGGCGGAGATGTCAATGAATGATGGTCTCGCTACCCCTTTTCAAAAAAACAAGTAACACTCTTTTTAAGGGATCGATGGAGGTATTTGTTTTTGAGCATAGGCCGAGAATGGTTTTTGATATCACGGGATGAGGTTGGCTTCTACCAGAGTGAGGTGAGGACATCGTTAGAGCATGAGACACAAAAGCCTGTACTCAGAATCACGAGGTCTCAAATACGAAATGGCAATGACACATTCTCAAATCAATTCCAATGCTGCGTAGCGTGCCCTCCAAAGAACATGTCGTTAGCTCCAGGTAATCCTCTGCCCTCATATTTCTATCTCAAGATCAATCCCACTCCCTTGTGGTATGCTATAAAATTGCACAATTGGTTGCCATTTGAGACAAGTGACCAAAGACAGCCGCTTAGATGTTTGCTCTCAATGGACACAGCCGTAGTTCTTAGAAGTATTGTGCGTTTTGATAGCTACGCGATTGACATGCTTGAGCACATGGAGAGCTCTCGGATATCCTCTTTCTTTCGTATCGGCTCTCACTTACGCGCTCATCAGGAGTCACTCGCTACTTTGAATCTGGTCACTGCTCTGTCGTACTTTCCGGGTTTCCCTTTCACTGCCATCTGCTTCTTTCACCTTCCTTCCGGAGATTAGAGCTCTCGCATCTGCCTACATTCACAGAATCTTTTCCTTCCAAGTCTTTCCTCTCTTACTCATTCAACCTTTACCTTTATTTAATCTTACCTCCACCTCGCTCTCGACAAAATCTCTGCTTTTACACGACACAACATCCACCACATCAGCACGATACAAAGCCCGACCCAAAACAACAACAAAGCACACGCGCCAGCCGATCTTCACCTTACGCACAACCAAGAGTAAGGCACTCGGATCTCTCTTCAACAACAGCATTTGTTGTCTTACCATCCACTCTTGACAACCAGAGATACACGTGAGTGAGACATTTGCCAGGGAATCCTTGTACGAAACTAACCTGCCATATAGATCTTCTCTCGCATCCTGCCTCATCGTCAAAATACAATTTCTACGTTCACGATCCATCATGGATGATCAGTGCGCTATCTGCCCTCGTCCGCGCAAGCTCTGCTCTGGCTGCAAGAATATTCGCTACTGCTCTCATTCTCATCAAAAGCAAGACTGGTCGACCCATCAGCTTGTCTGCAAGAAGTTTGCAAAGCGTAATCACGGTCCTCATCCTGGGAAGGTATGGGTACTCTACTTCCCGCCAGACCGCGAAGATCCCGAGTTCAAATTGCTTTCTATTCACCACATACGAGGCAAGTTTATGCAGCCATTTTGGAAAGATAAATCCTTATACGCCAAAAGCCTCCTACGGCTCAACGGTTGCTCAGCTTCGTGTACTTGCACAGATGGCGCTCACGAACTTGTATATGGCCGTGCTTCGAGACACGAATCGCTGTGTCAATGTGTTCTCATCGGCGCCCCCGAGCAGAACGACTCTTTCTATCATTACGGTCCACAAGACTTGGAGACCAACAAATGTATCAAGCATCTCACCGGAGTGACCTCATGGAGAGGACCTGTGATTGCATTTGCCAAATCACTCCGCCCTACACGCCTCACTACTGACGAGCCTTGGACATATGAGTGTAGAGACATTGGCACTCCAGTCTTCAAGATGATATTGGAAAGCTTCTGTGGCCTCCCCGCCGTCCGTATCAATTGCGATATACTTGTGGAAACGCAGAATGTACCACGATTTGAAACAGTCACGATTGAGAGCTATGATCTCAGGGGTCATTATTACGACTGGGAAAACGCATCCTCAATTACTCAGCACACTGGCATAGAGTTACAGGCGAAAAGATCATTGCCCAGTCTCGCCCCCTAGGAATGTGTCGGCCAGACTTATCATGGCGAAATGAAGAACTCCATCTCGAGGCTCTTGGCAATACCTTGTGACATTACCGAGCACAGATTCGGCTTCCTCCACCGACCTGACGATACTGGAAATGTGATAGTCATGCGGAGAGATCGAAGACCGCTCACCGTTAACTATGTGAAAGTCCTCTGCGATTGGTTGGAAGAAGATATCCTACCACTCTTCAAGAGGGCAAGGGCAGAAATTACTCGAATGAACCGTAGACGTCCAGACTGGGAAATCCAAATGACGGCTATAGTGGAACGAGGGGAATGTCTCTTGACCCAACACAGAGATCCATCAGAAAAAGAGTGCTTCGACAAATCACCAAGCAAAGATTGCTAGCATATGGTCGTGGCAGGCTGACAGACGAGGATGCAGAAGAGATGCATATGGCAGACTCCACCGAGAATGACGACCAAACGACCGATGACTACAAGGAACCTGGGAGCGACCTTGATGACAATCATATGTCTGATCACAACACCGACAAAGTCAAGGACGTCGATGGTGAACAATGAGTGCCCCAACCCGTGAGTTAGACGTGGACTACACTTTCCGCACCAACATGCACTTAGAAGTTATCCGCTTCACATCGACATCAGCACTACGGGATCAGAGAAGCAGTCAACAACGTGGACAGTCTTTCTTCCCATGCGAAACAGTCATTTGAGCAACAGAGTTATCCTCTCGGCAACCAAGAGGAACAAATTTTCTCTCCCTCTTTTCTTTCCTTATCACAGGGGTGGACGATAAGATCGCAAGGGCTTCCATCCAAAACTCAGAGCATGGCAGAAGCTGTCTATAGTGCATTCGAAACGCTCTTGGTATTATGAAGTTACTGGGAATCATGTCCAGTGCTGTGTGCGGTGAAGGAGAAGAGGTTCAAGTGATTAGAGTTTATCACATGTGAGACGCAAACGTCGACGTCACCAGCCAAGAAATCTGGGGTAGTGATGTACCGAGGCTACGGGCATGTTTTCCAGAGCCGGCAGGCGTCCCTCGGCTGGCCCATCAGATGCCAGAGGGCACATGGCAGCTTTGGAAAGAACAATGATCTACTCTTGCTTGTCCAGACTACTGCAACTCCTCACCTTGTCAACTTAATCTCTGCCTCTTGACGACAGCAAGGACAACGGCATCTCTCGAGACGCAACGACCATTCCTTCCAACATCCTCACGCGACACACCTCCAAAAAACCACCAAGATGGACATCTCAGCTCTCCAGGTCTGCCACTGCCCTCCATCTCTTACCCTTTCATCCTACTGACACATCCACAGGCAACGGCCACCCGCACCCTCCTCGACCCTCACTACCAGGCACCCCTCTCCCTCCTAAAAGCCCTCCGCAATGGCCTCGTCTACGGCACAAAAGTCCGCTTCCCACACGCCCTCATCATGATCCTACTCTTCCGCTCCGGCCCCCTACCCCAAANNAAACTTTCCGCCGTCCTCAAAGCTACGCGCCAACATGCCAAAAACCTAGCCACCTTTGCCTTCCTCTACAAAGCGTTTATGCTGCTGCAAAAGAGTATCAGACCTTCAGGCAAGGAACTCAAGAGCGATAGTTTTGTTGCAGGGCTGGTGGGTGGATACTATGTCTTTGGGCGCAGTAGGAGTAGTGTAAATCAGCAGATCGTGATCTACGTTGCTGCAAGAGTGGTATTGGCTGCTGCATCGCTGGCCGTGCAACCAAGAGGCGACAATACACTACTAGGCGGCAAATATGGCGGTAGAGGAGGACTGGGGTTACTGAGTTTATCAGACAAGAACAGAGAGGCCGTGAGGAAGCACGCTTGGCCCGTGTTTGCGAGTTTGAGTTGGGCGTGTGTAATGTGGTTGTTTAGGTTTTATCCTGACATGCTTCAGCCGAGTTTGAGGAGTTCGATGACTTATCTGTGGGTATTGCTTTTGCTTTTAGAGAGAGTCTCTGCTGACAAAAGTGATTCAGGTNACGATAATGCGGATCATTGGGATTCGTGGAGGAACTTCTTGGTGCACAATAAATGAGGAGGGATATGGGAAGGAAGAACAGCAGGATGAAGCTGCAATATACAATTACGACTTTTACGAAACGCATCATTTTCCATATACATGGCACCCTCCCTTCTCTCCACCATGTCTTGCAGAAAGACGCCGTCCGAAGCATCTCCCACGTATGCAGACGCTTCAGTATGCTGTGTGACTTTTCAGCCACGCTCGATCGAGGACATACGCTCAAGGATCAGCAGCGAGTTGTGGTGGGCGCCGGTATTCATTAATCCAGGATGCCCCATGGCGCAGCATGTTATACCACTCCACCATCAAATACCGGTATCCCACCCTCATCCAACCCACATCCCACAACCGCACGCCTTCCAAGGGCTCATTCGGCTTGTTTGAGCTAGGATCCAGGTAATCCCACTCGTCCCACTCACCATCCACTTTCCAATCCTTGTTGATTATATTGACAAAGCCTTTGGTCGAAGCGCCGGATCCTTTGGCTGTATCGTCGTGCAAGACCGAATGCACCACTGCCTCATCAACATGGATACAGTACTTGTAGCGTGGCGACCTTCCAGCTGCAACTCCTTGCTCACACAACGGCGCACTCACCACCCACCCNCTAAAATGCTCACGCACAAACCCCGTACTTGCACCTTCAAACATTTCTTTATTTTCCATGACAGTAAACACAAGTCTTGTATCCATGAAACTTTCCCGTTCGTAATGTTCCAGCGCTTCTAGTGTGCTTTTGCGCAAACGTCGCAGAAATTCCTCCCAAACGGCATCGCTGGAGTAGGTGCAGCGATAAATTACAAACCCNCAGGTCTGGTGTCCATCTTGTTTGGCGAAGTTGTCGATTCCAAGGACGGTGTTACGGTGGTCGGGCATTGGGAGTCTGCCATCGTTTGCAATTAGCGTTTCTCTGAGACGCTGCTCCCAGTCTGACTGTTGAGTGTTTGCGGCCGGAGTGAGCGATCCCCAGTCAGACATTGTGTGTGTTTGTGGTTGAAGGTGAGCAAAAGCAAGTTTTCCTGGGATGATTGAGTGATTGTGATTCTTTGATGGCTCAGACGTGATGGTTAGGCAGCTATGTACGTGTTGTTGGTCAATGCGCAGTGGTGCCTTGATGAAACAAAGCACATCTTGTTAAAACCAACTTATGGCAGCCTGAAATTCTTTGAAACTTGACAGACTGCCAAAGGCGTAATGTAAGAGTAAACCTCCTTCGACAAGAAATGCCTTTAGATCTCCTCGATGACCTCTTCGACTGCCTGTACGCCATCACGCACAAATATATCACAACCATCCTTGACGAGCTCTGGCATGTTTTCACGCCACACGAGCCACTGAGGTCTCTTGAACCACTCCATCTTCCAAGCATCCAGCTCTAGGAACCTTGGCTTGCTGACCACGACTTTGGATCCATGATGCATGATCGCCAGCAAAACCCTCTTGATACCAGCAAACACCCAAACAAAAGGAGAAAAGAGCCAGTTGAGGTTGGTCAAATTCAACCAGAGGTCCTTGGTCCAGCTGAAAGGGGCCATGACCCATGACTTCAGCAAGAGGAAGAAAGCAATGGCTTTGAGCACGTAGCCTTTGATCCAATAGTATGCAGCGATTGAAACCACAACAACGACAGCGATTCCAATGAATGTGATGGCGATGCGTAGAGGTCCCCTTTCAATTCAAATCTCGTCAGCCAATGTTCTCTCTGATCTTGTTTCCATTGTTCGCCTTGGTTGGAGGATCTTGTTCATCTTCCTCGTGCAGATTCCGGGNGAGACAAGGGATGAAAATTACCATTGAACATCATCAGCAGCAGCTCCTCCTCCGCCCCAAGTAGCATCGCCCACGGGGTTGTTTTCCCAAGCAGTAGCATCTTGCTGTGGCCGACCCCAATCTGCCTCTCCTCCAGCAGCAGCTGCTTGATCTCCACTTGCCTCTGCTCCGGCAACGGCAGCCTCTTCCTTCTTCGACTTTCTGGAAGCAGATTTCTTGGAAGCGCTCTTTGCGGCATTACTCCGGCTGTGATGGACAGAGGCTGGGTAGGAACCTGGTGCTTCGTTTGCCTTTTGGGAGGCAGTCTTTGAGGCAGACCTTGAAGGGGCTTTGGAGGCTGAATTGGTTTCAGGGGCGGCAGGGTTCTCCCAATTGTTCGCGGCAGGCTCAGCGTTCCACTCATTTGTGACTGGTTCGGCGTTCCATTCGTTGTTGACAGGCTGAGTGTCCCATGCAGGCGCCGGTGCGGTAGCGGCCTTTGATTTGGCGACTGAAGGGGTCTTGCTGGTGGTTGGCATTTCTTGAGGTTTGTGTGTAGAGGCCTTTGCGGCGCTGGAAGTCTTTTCCTTGTTGTGCTTNTTTGCTCTCCTGTGCCATCTGTATCTGGTCAGCTGTCTAATCAACACGAACACAGACGTCAAATGACTTGCCTTGAGCTTGAACACTTCCTCAGCCAATTCCTCTTTGGACATGTCTGCCAATTTAGCCTTGAGAGCCTTGCCTTCTTCCTTGATCTCGATCTTGAATTTCTTCTCGATGACCCTCTTGCTGCGGTACTTGAAGGTAAACAATGCATACGGCTGCTTCATACTGTCCAAGTACTCAGGACGTGCACACAAATGCAGGTATTGTGCTCCCTTGCCCGTCTTGACTTGATGCTCGACATGTTTGGCACGAGCGGCTTGCTTGGGCACCAGAGGCAAAGGCTCTTCAGGTGCAATGTAGAGGTTTCTGATGGGACGGGAGGATGGGATTGAAGGGCGTTTGTTCCAGTCATTCCAGTAGGGTTTGGGATTGATACCGTCGTGGTCGCGTTCGTCTGAGGCGCCGTCGAAGAGACCGAATAAGCCACCGACAGAGCTTTCCTTTGCAGTCGCGGGTTTGGCAGGTGCTGGTTTGGAAGGAACTCTGTCTTTGGTGGAGGGCTCCTTCTGTTTGTGGCTGGAGGAAGGAGGTTTGGATGGCACCTTCTGTTCTTCGCGGGTAGCGGTGTGTCGTGATACTGGCTTGCTGGTAGGGCGAGAAGTGCTTTCAATCGTAGTTCTGGAGGAGCTCTCTCTGCTCACAGGTTCGCTGGGTGGTGGCAAGGGAGCATCCTTACAGCGCAAGACGATGACTTCGATAGTGCCTAAGTTGTCGAGGAACACCTCGTTGGTCTCTTCAACCTTGTCCGCAGACACTGATGATCAATCAGCCATCTTCTCTCTCAACTCGTCTCAATACCTTACCAAGNNATTCAACCCAGCAAACGTCCAATCTCTACCCAAAAANCTGCCATCCACCTGCTTCGACTCCTTCTGCCTGACGCGCAGATCAATCTCAACTTGCTCATCTCTGACACCCTTGCCAGGAACCTTGAGTCCACGTCTGTTGCGATTGCACTGGTACTGGCCATCCATGTATACAAACATGGCAAGCCCAGGCGCAATGTAACCATGCGAGGTAAGGTGGATGCTGAAGTTTACTTCTTCGTTGGGCACGGCGATATAGCTGGTTACGTGTCCATCGCCGTAGTCTTTGCCGTACTCGGGGATCTTAGTGTGCGTGCTGCCTAGCTCGATGGAGCAGCTGAGTTGTTTGAGGAATGGCATGATTGTGTTGCGACAGAGGTAATGAGATGTCGTGTCAACGTGGCGTGAGTATTATGGAAGTCAAAGGGAGAAAAAGTCTGTGTTGGACTGAGATGAGAGAGAAAAGAAAGCTGGCCGAGTTTCCACGAAAGTGAGTGGAACGGGAACTGGTAGTGTAGTGGGTTCTCAGTCCTTGGTTGCTATGCGTTTCTGAGGAGGTTAAGAACCGTAAACAAACAATCGAAAAGCAGCATGGAGATAGCCCAACTTAACAGGGATGCTTTCAACATTCACATGACAGGAGAATGTGACGGAAATCAGACCTTCGCAGTGAACTCGACCCACGCGCTGAATTGATCATCGGCATAAATAAAAGTGAAGACTCGCTTTAGCCAATCTCAGATATTCACTCACTCACTCACTCTAGCATCATATTGAACCAAATCTGTGACCCTTACAGAGTTCGGTTCTGTGGCTTACACAGCAACTACTCGATGGAAACTGGCGTAAATAGAATCCAGAGGTTGTGAGTTTGACTCTTAGCCTTGGTTGGTCGAACTGTTTCCCCCAAGTTCAGTCTTGGTTCTTTTGCTTTTTGCTGGAGTGTGTGCCAGTTTCCTTTAACTTTCTTCTTGCTGCTTCTCCTTCGATTGATAGCCGCTTTGGTTATTTTCCTAGGTGTTTCCACAATCAAAGCACGACATGTGTCGACATGGTGGAAGCACATAGATATCCCAGAATCAAGCCTAGAAGGTCGGAGAATGTCTCAGAGGCGATATCAGATCCAAGAGAAGTCTCACAGCTTTGAGAAGCCGCAGAGACAAAGGTGAGATGTTCCATACGCGCTGCCCTTTGTCAATCTCTATGGCTATCAAAGTCTTGTAAGACATTGAAAGAAGCACCGAGTTGGAGAATAGTGTTTGCTTGCACGTGTGCCAAAGGACAGCGGAAGCGATGTCTCGGTTTCATATCGTGTTGGGTATTTCCAACACCTCTCGTGAAATTGAAGCGGATGGCTGAGCTTTCTTCTTGTACTGCTTCTTGCCTTCCTGTCAGATGATCCTGGCAAGCAGAGCTGAATACATATCATGGCCAGAATAAGGCTCCCACCAGCATGGGAGAGTGCACCCGACATCCTGAGGACTGATATGCCTCAACAAGACCGACAAGCACACCCACACTCGAGATCGAGCCCACCACCGGGTTCCAACGAGCGTCGTCGAAACAGAAGGCTCGTGTCCAGACGTGGCACACATCCAGAGCAACAAGAGGGCCAATGGGTTCATCATGAAGTCGGACCATCCCAGCCCAGTCCTATCAGAACCGGCATGCCAGACCCTCCGTACCCAGTCACACCTCCACCGCTTGAGCGACCTCAGAGAATATTGCCTGTACTTGGCTACAGAGCACCAACACCCGTACCACTTGTGCCGTCTCCAATTGAATCAGCTCCAGCTCAAAAGCCAGACAACAAGCCGTCTCGTTTGCTCCAACGTCAGAGACAATGTGCACGCCAGCTGGACGCCTCTTTACCAATTCTCAGCCTCTCAGCTCTGGCATCAGGCTCGATACTGCTGGTCTCTGCCATCCTGTTCGTTCGAAGCGTGATGGTCGGCACTCCGCATGCAGTTGCTGGAAGATCAGCGTTGATAGTCTTCTTCGCTCTCTCGGTGGCCGCTTTCATCATCTCTTTTGGCTTGATCTTGGCTGTGTTGTGTCGAAGAGCCCGAGCTACCAAGAATGCTGTTGCTAGAGCTCAAGCAAGACAGGAGGTTGAGTTGATGGAACCCAGAGCCCGTGCTAGCGAAGGCAGACTGCCCATGTACAACATAAATAGACGCAACGCAATCTGTGAGGTTCCAAGCGAGCCAGGAGTTGTCATTGGTGCGCCGAAGTATCTTCCAGTACGGGGCCGAGACAGAGGTCGCAACCATAGATTTGAATCACCCATTCGAGCTCCATCAAGAGATCTGTCCGAAATACCGTTCTCGCGACCTTCAACACCGCACCCGAGACCACCATTGTCGCCACTCTTCCCTCCTTCGGCTAGCACACCTCCACCACCCATACCTGAACGTAACCCTGCTCGTCTGCTGGTGGGTGTCAAGAATACCGGTGATGATACTAATGCAGATGCTTCGAGCACGACCGCACAGCCCAGTCCTGAGTCAGGCATCTCACCAAAGACTGTTCTACCAAAACCTGAGCCACAGACCTATCACAACGGTACCGTTTCTGGCCGCTCGACTCAGATGTTTAATCAGCACATGCTTACAGCAGGCACTCGGGAATTGCAAGCCTATCTCGATGCGCCTTCGAACTCCAGCTTGAACACTCTTGCAGCATACCAACACAGAAAGAGCGATTCGTCTTCCACGCAAGCCATCATGAGTAATGACCGCAGTGTATACAGCAAAGCCAACGACCGGATCGAGGACGAAGAGGAGAGCTACATCGGTGAAGCATCAGTGCTGAGTATGCGCAAGGTGGGCAAGGCACGCGAGTGCTACATTCCAGCCCCGAAGAGCAACGCATCTGCGCCCAAGTCTTNNCCGACACAAAAGCGACGACGCTCGAATCTCAAGGTGTTTACGGACACTCCAAGACCAGACGGTAAGAGCTTTGAGGCTCGCAAGCATCGAAGCATGATGGATCCATTGCCAAGTGCACCTCTTCTGCTGTCTGCGCAGAGAAACAAAGACAATCAACTCGCAGTCAAAAGGCCGCAAAGCTTGAGTCCGAAAAAGCTGACAGGATCTGTTGCCAAGCCAAAGGCAGTCGGATTGGGTATCTCCATCGGTAAAGACCAGAACAAGGAGAACGTGGACCCTGGTCAGGCTGAAGTGGAAACGTGGAGCGCTCTAGGCGGTGTTTGAAGTGATGCTTACGACAAAGTGAGTTATGGTAGTTAGATGTCTTGCAGTCAATGAGGAGGACGTTGATGTGGAGGTCTGTAAAACGAGACATAGGAAGATCTTCAATCGTTCCATCCTTCAATCTCGAACTCGTATTTCTGAACGTCGTTGTCTGTTGGGTGACCACCTTCATCGTATAGTGTTTTTTCAACATACGTGACTTTTCCATCATGATCAACAAGGACGACTGTTTGCTTCTGGGTACCGTAGACTCCGTTGTCGGTCTTCGCAGTGAGACCTTCATCAGCTGCAGCGATCTCATCGGCTGAAGAATCCTCCAGATCTTCTCCTCCAATGCGTGGAATGAAGATGCTATTACGGAGTTGATAGACGTATGTCTCCCAATCTTGGCCATGCTTGCGACGAGGCAAAGTGTCCATGCTCAGTATCTCGAAAAAGGATCTGAGCAGATCTTCTTTGCTTGAGCCTGCCGCAGCGTGTTCCTGGATTGTGTTCTGCAGTTGCTTCTCTCCTTGAACGACTTTCGGCCACGTCCTATCACCAAAGTGCGAGTTGCTGAGGCCTCGGATTTCACCAGGCTTACCACAAATCCAAGTGGTAGCTGATGCATCCTCGGTACGGTTCGAGATGATCGCAAGCCCTTCTCCATTCTTCGCACAGATGTTCTTCTTACTCAATTTACCAAAGACGAGGCTGAAGCCGCCAACATCACTTACGCCGACATCTTCGACCATGTATCGTGCAAACTCATTCGAAGACTGCGTATTTTGCGGAGGTAAAGTTAAGAAAGCTTTGGGTAGGCCCCCTCGTGACTTTGTGCCATACACCTGTGCGCCAGACTCGCGAAAATTGGTAAGACAGGCCAGACGACCCTGCTTGGTGAGGCCTAGCCATGTGCCTTGTTCAGGGCGCTGCAAGTCACGACCTCCGAGGACATGTTCATTGGGAGAAGGCCAAAATGCAGCTTTTGCAGTCGGTCGAGTCAAGAATTCCNNTATAATGGTGATGTGTTAGTTGGGCCAGACAGACATGGCCAGAATGGTGCTGAGCATAATCACATCGCGGTTGTTCAGCAGAATGAACGGATATTCGGGATGCGCAGTCGTAAGCAGGGCGATACACATGCTGCAAGTCTCCGAGGATATGTTTCAGAGTTTGATCGTGACAAAAGTCGAACCTGCTTGATGTTGTTCGCGGCTGGAGGTGAAGTGCAGGTTGCCGCCTGTCCGTCAGAGGTGGCTGGGGCTGAAATCGCATGACGTTTGCCGAAGACTTCCGTGCCCAGCTTTGTACAAGTCCGACAAGACGAATTCATGAGCTTGACCGAACCACGAAGCATGTCAAGAACATCTTTTGAGCTGCGTGAGCGCAGAATTGGAGCACGATCATTTTTCTCACTGCTCATAACACTCTGTTACAACATCGTCGCTGACGGAGCATGTTACAATCACATGCTGGACGGAAGAGCTCTCCACAACCATGCCGGCACCCGCCTTGTCCGCGTTGAGATCTTGGGTTGCATGTGGTACAACGTTGAGTATGTTATGCATACTTACCTTAGTGCTGAAGCTTGATCAATATCTTGTTTATGTCGACGTCAAGTGCTCGACATGCGCGCGGCAGCGTTCCTAGGTCGATGACCGCAACGATTGCGACTTTCGGGCATTTGTCTTGTCTGCGGTGTACCTCATCCTGTACCGCATCGATTGTGTCGCACTATTCCCGCATGGCAGTGTAGCTCTGCCGGGTCTGGTTTATGAGGAAGTATTCTAATTTTCGTGATTCGCCGCCTGGAGGAACCGGATCTCTAAAAGGATCTACATGTCGATTGTCTCCGAGATGAGGCTCGGACCGAATTTTCCTGACACGACTCCAAAATTAACATCAAACACGAACATTTCGTATCGCGACGAGCTGCGAAAGGCTTGTTGACCAACGGTAGATGGTTTGTGAAGCCGAGAAACAGGATCGTGTCAAATCATTCGACATAGAAGGATTATTTCTATGTCGTACTGAGTCTCAAGAGAGGAGGGGTATGGAGATCCAAATGTAGGGCTCATACAGATTGTCTCAAAGTGAAGTATGTAGATAGAGCGGCACCTATCAATCCAAACATGCCTAATCTCCCGGCGCTTGGCTTCCATTTCTCCAAGAGGCGCCGCGGCTAGTCGGATACTTCAAGCAGCCTCGTACGCCCACTTTTTCAAGAATATCAAGGTTTTGGATTCACGTTTGTTGCGTTGGCTTGGTGCAAGCTGGGACTTTCCTGCTTCTTATAATCGCTCTTTCCTCAGTATTCACACCACGCTCGCTCCTAAACAACATCTTCGCATTCATCAACATCATCATGAAGACGGTAAATCATCCGCGCGCAATGCCACCATCGCAAAGACGCGTATGCTGATTTTGAACGCAGACATCTGTTTCGGGCGCCGCTCTGGCAGCGGCCTCGCTCTTTTCATCCTTTGCAGCAGCAGTCCAGCCTCTCACTGTCAATGGCGCAAACTTCATTACCAAGTCGAGTGGAAATCGCTTCTCTATTGTTGGTGTCGAGTAAGAATGCATCATGACGCAACATTTGTCAACGTGCATCTCTAACGGTCAACTTTAGCNNTACCAGCCCGGCGGCTCCTCCGGCGTTTCGGAGACAAGTGATCCTCTGAGCGACGGTCAGGCTTGCTTGAGAGATGCAATTCTTATGCAGCGTCTTGGTGTCAACACTATCAGAGTTTACAACTTGATTGCCGACCTCAACCACGACGAGTGCGCATCCGTTTTCAACGCTGCTGGTATTTACATGATCCTCGATGTGAACAACGGCTTCCAAGACTCATACCTGGATCGCACCGCACCCTGGACAACTTACACCAACGCATATCTTACCCATGTCTTCAGCGTCATTGAGGCTTTCGCACCTTACCCCAACCTTCTTGGATTCTTCTCCGGTAACGAGGTCATCAACGAGCAGAGTGCCGTTAATGCACCCGCATACATTCGCGCTGTTACCCGTGACATGAAGGACTACATCGCCAAGAACGTAGACAGAGAGATCGGTGTTGGTTACTCTGCTGCCGATGTTGCTGACCAGCTCAGCCCCACTTGGGAGTACCTTGGCTGCGAGCTGGCCAACTCGACATCCTCCAAGATCGACTTCTTCGGCCTCAACGATTACGAATGGTAACAGAATTCTTCTTTCTCTTAACCTACAATGATCTAATGTTTTTTCTAGGNNTGTGGCGATGCCACTTACGAGTCATCTGGCTACAACGTGCTCGTCGAGCAATTCGGCAACACCAGCATCCCCGTCTTCTTCTCCGAGTACGGATGCAACCTCGTCAAGCCCCGTACTTTCACAAATGTCCCGGTCCTTTACGGCCAGGAGATGAGTGTCATGTCTGGTGGTCTGGTCTACGAATGGACCGAGGGCGAGAACGACTACGGCCTTGTCAACATTACTAGCGCCGATGAGGTCCACCTCCGCGAGGATTACTCTTATTTGGCCACTGCGTATTCGCAACTCGATGAAAACCTCCTTACCTCCGCCAATAGCACCGCCACCGGCCAGAAGNCCCCTACTTGTGATCCCGATCTTATCACCGGCTCCTTCTGGAACAGCTGGGACCTTCCTGCCCGTCCCAGCGGTGTTGATGCCTTGATCAGCAGCGGTATCGCCAGCGCAAACAAGGGCAAGACCGTTTCCGTCACCAGCACCGCCATGCCTGCCTCTGTCTACGATTACAACGGCCAACAGCTCAACGACCTCGAACTCACTGTTCTCGCTGAGCAAGACAGCAACCGCCCTGGCCTTGCTGGCAACTACACTCCTTCCACACCTACCGGAACTGCCGCAGCCACTGGAAGCAGCAGCACTGGTGCAAGTTCCAGCGCCACCCGCAGCAGTTCTGGAAAGGCCTCATCTACTGCCTCTCAGTCTGCTGCCACTAGCAGTGGTGCTGCCGCACCCATGGTTGTTTCCTCTGGCGCTGCAGTCTTTGGTGCTTTCCTTACCTCTCTCCTCTTCTTGTAAGCGCGGTATTCATTTTATTGTTCGCAGCAGCATAAGAGGTGACGCAGGCACATCACCCCCTTTTGTTTCTTTTGTATACCCCATCCCAATTCGTCACGTGTATCATAATATCCCCATTGTTGCTTTTTGGCATCGACTAGAATAGCGAGACTTGGGCCATGATTAGTTTTTTTTCTTTTTTTTGGGCTAGGATAGTCTATGGTTTTCTCTTTCAGGAGGTAGAATACCACTTTGTTACTTTTGTCAGGATCACTATTTTGATTTACTTTGTTCTGGTGAGCATGGCTTTTGTGTTATCCTTCTCTCTGTGATATGTCATAGGTACTCGTAGAGATGCACAACACTCTTACACAGGTTTAATCGAGAAGATCAACAAGATTGCAACCTTGGAAAAGGAAAGAAAAGGGGGTATTCTATTGATCAAAACCTATTGACAGCCAAAGCCATCCACCTATCAGCCAGAAACTCTATGCAGCAGCAGAAACAGGCACAGCTCTAGGTTTCCTAGCAAACAAGCCCACCACAGCATTGAACATCTCGCTAACAGGCATGAGTGCAATGTTTTCTCTATCAAACACTTGAGCCAATTGCTCAGGTCTGACGACCGGTTTATCGGCTTCTTCGTCATTTTCGAGGAGATAGACGTCAGCTGGTTGGACCTCTGCCATCTCGGCGTCCTCTGAGATCTCAGGAACAGATACTGAGACGGATGTAGCGGATTTGGCGATGGTGGAGGAAGTGGTGGCGGCGCCAGAACGCTTGCCACGACGTGTGCGCACACCAGTCAGAACGGGTGCAGCCGCTTGAGGAACAATAGTGAAGACCTCGGCGGCAGTGGTCAAGACCTTGTAGCCTCTTCTACCCTTGGCAGCCAACAAAGCCGATACAGGGTATGGCAAAGATTGGTTGAACTGAGGAGCCGAGCTTGTGGGACTGAATATTTGCACACGAGAAGCACCGCCCTTTGTCTTGGTTGCCACGGCAAAGGTCTTGTCTTCAGGGTTTGTGGTGAGAATGGACGTGCCAAATCGGGCGGCACGTTCGAGGTTGATACAGCAGAGTTGAACTTCATCCACGATGTCCCAGACTGCGATAGTTTGGTCGGCGAGAACGATGAGATGACGATCGAGGAACGCCAGAGCGCGAACAATGCCGGTGAAGAAGCCAGAGCGTGCTTGCTCAGTAGCTCCGTCACTTGTGTTGATGAAGTGCACAGTAGGAGTTTCCGTGACGTGCTCGAAAGCTTGAGACACGGCAATGGCAGAGCCGTCTTCAGAGTATGCCAGTGCAGCGCCCTTGGGAGGTGGGAGAAGGCTAGATTGATCAGAGTTTTCTGCCAGCTCAACACTGCGATCAAGAGGAACAGAGTAACGGCATGACCAGTCGACGAGGCCTTCAGCCTTGCTGCCACGAACAACGATGCCGTTACGAAGACGAGTCTTGGGCTTCCAGATACGGACGCAGCTGTCTTCACCTACACTTGCGAAGCCAACCTCGACAGGGTCAGCAACAAGATTCAAGACCCGGCCAGGTTGAGAATCGCCACCCAACTGGTGAGGGCTATCAATTCTTGTTTCCAAAGCCCATGAGTTGCGTTCAGCATCCCATCGCCAAATCTTGAGGTAGACTTCGCGACGGAAGAGACGTTGTTCGTCGTTGGAGGATTTATCGGCAGCCAAGTGTTCAACATCAGGATAAGGAGGAGACCAGTGTTCGACCGTGGCAAGCCATTGTCCATCGTGGCTGACCTGGAGGAAAGCAACGTCGGGGACCTTGATACGATTGCCTTCGGGGCCCTTGTTGTAGTCAGTGACCATGTTGCGAGTCAAGGCCTGGCGGGAAATGTGACGGTCGTTGGAGATATCATAAGTCTGAAGGAAAGGTCGGGGAGCGGCAGATGAGGTGTGCTGGGAGGACTCGTTGGTTGAAGAGGGAACAGATAGTAGGAGTTGATCAGGAGACAGAGGGTTCAAAGTTGCGGCAGCTGCGCGCAAGAAGCTCTTCTCGATGTCGACTGGGGCATTAGTGTTCTTGTCAACAGATGATTGAGCCTGCAGTCCAGCAAAGTTCGCAGTTGGCTTGAGCTCTGTAGTAGAAAGAACCATGACCGAGTTGTCAGCGAGCTGAATGGCATATGATGTACCGTTTGGCGAAACAGTGAGACGCTCGATCTCGGCAGTCAAATGAGGAAGGAATTGTTTCTTGCCCGTTGACAGCTGCCAGAGCACGAGAACAGTTTCTCTACCACCAGAAATGAGATAGTTGCCGTCCTTGGACCATTTGACAGTTGCGACAGCCTCGCGATGCCAATGCAGAGTGCGAGGAGTCAAGGACTCAGCGTTCTTGTTCGAGGGGTAGACGTTCTCGTACAGGAAGATTTCACCAGAGACGTTTCCTAAGGCGACCGAGATGTTTTCCGTCTTTTCCTTCTTCTTGGACTCGCTAGACTCGACTCTGCATTCGAGACTTGTTACGCCTGCGGAAACTGTGATCTCGACAAAGTCGTAGCGGGGCGAGTTTTCGGAAGATATACGTTTGCCGGCGACCAGTTTCGTCGAAGTAGCAGCAACGACAAATTGGCCCTCGATGCGAAGATGGCTCAGAGAATCCTTTGATGTGTAGATTGTGCGGCCTCCAGTGACAATGTTCCAGTCGTCCCCGTTGCGACAGATGGCGTACAGCGTGTCTTGTGAAGCATCCTCGGACGGTGTAACAACCAAGGCAGAGATGGCACCATCAAATTTGATATCTTCGTCAACACGAGTGCCAGTGATCCAGTTCCAGCGCTGGACACGGCCAGTAGATGAGGCAATGTACAAGTCCTCGTCGTCGGCGGCTGAAACGGCAAAGGCAGTGGCTGAGCGGTCAGGACCAGGCAACTTTCTCTCGACCAGCGATGTGGCAATTGACAGAACCTCGATTTCTCGGCCGTTGGACGCAAAGATGCAGCTNAGGAATGATTAGAAAATGTGACGAAGGCATAAGCGGAGTGTAGCATACCTCTCATCCTGGGCAAAGATGGGGTCGTGCAGGATGAATCTTCCACCTAGAGGCTTGGATAGCGCCCAAGGTGCCCTGCCCTCGACTCTTGCCTGTGGCTTCTCGACGACTTGACCCTGATCGATTGCAACATGGTCGGTGCCCTTTCTTTTGACATCTCGGCGACCTCGCCTCGCCTTCTTTCCTTGTGCCGGAGTGGTGGCTACCTGTAGCGCATTGTCGTCGGTCGAGCCAGCGGTCGGCGGGAGGTTGACAGTCGGTGTGCTAAGTTGATCCAGAATCTGCGTCTTTGATGTCGACTTTGGTGTTTGCGTCTTGACGGGCTTGGGAGTGGTTGTGGCCGTGTCCTGGTCCAAGTGGTCGCTCTTCTGGCGCTTTGGCAGGGTGGTGGCAGGAGCCTTGTCACGCTGAGAGCGCTTTCTTTTCAATTGTGTGTCGGACATGGTTGCGTCTTCTCTATATTTGAGCTGAAAAAGTTGATGGAACCTTCGTCGGGACGCGGCTCCAGAAATTCCTGAGCGCGGAGAAGGCTTGGCACCACTTTTTGCGACTGTCGAAGCACCAACTTGAGGACCATCACTATCGCCGCATCGAACATCGCTAACAAGTCGCTCCTTTTACGCAATACCGACCGGCGCATCCATTACACATACAAGATGATCATCCCCATCCGCTGTTTCTCCTGTGGCAAGGTCAGTCTATGAGAGCCCAGCCCGCACCTCTCTCCCGCAATGCGCTGACAGAAGACCAAGGTTGTCGCCGACCTCTGGGAGCGCTACATGGCACTGCTGGACGAGGGCATGCCTGACGNNGGTGAGTCTGTTCACTTTCGCGACCACTCATACAAATCTCTGACAAACTGCGACAGTGACGCCATGGACAAGCTCGGTCTGACACGCTACTGCTGTCGCCGTATGCTCATGACCCACGTCGACCTGATCGAGAAGCTGCTCCGGTATGCAATATCCTGCATCTCCTCCTCCACCGCTCCACTAACACGTCCATCAGCTNACAACCCCAACGAGCGCGACATTATCAGACAGCGCGTCTAAACCCCCTCACACACACAAAACCATACCTCTTTGCATACAAACAATCCGGCGTTCTTGGGCATTCTTCAAAGCATGGAGTTCTGGGCGGAATCCTTTTCGAGAAACGGAAGGCGTGGACAATCGATCAAGGATTCGAGAAAAGTCTGATGGGGATGAAGACATCATGAAAGAGAAAGGGAGCTTGCATACGCGCGTCAAAAAAAAAAGCCTGCAGCTGAACAAAGACTAACTCAAAATACTATCAATCAAACCACAACACGAAAATGATAGCCGTGATTTTGGCTTCTTGGAATTTTCTGGGGTCTTTCTATGCTACACTTTGTCCGACACTGCTCTGTCGGTTGCGGCACTTGAAGAAACTGGGACACATTCGATGAAGATTGAATTATGCTTCGCGTATCTAAATTTTATAGGCAGCTCGTACTAGACCGAACCACGCAGGACGAGGGAAGCCCAAGCTACGAGTGATTTGGTCACAACCCTTCTACGTTGCCGTCACATACATTGTCACGTACCCAATTTCTTGAGAGACGACCCTCTAGAACCCACAGTGATCCATCAAGTGACATGTAATCTCATAGCGAGAAAATACCATCATTAGTGCAGATGAAAAGTATGCAATTGCCATTTCAGTCATAGACGCAACCCATCATTATGCAATTCGCAGAGGACCAATTACGAACATCAACAACAATGAATAGCCGCTGTTCAGTGCCCGCTTGATCGAAACCCCAAGAAAAAGCCATGGAGAAAGTAACAAGAAATGCCCAGTCATTCGCCCATATCGTACAACCGTGAAACGCCGTGCATGCATAAAAGCCCATATCGAAAAAGAATAATGCCATGCCAATGGAAGAGTGTGATCAGGAAAAGCAGAATGTTGGAAGAAGACCAGAGGCGAAGCCATGTCTGAAGGTGAGAACCAGAAGGCTGTAGCGGATGAAGAATCTTGTGGATGTGTATGAGTGGGTGAGTGAGAATAGGATGAGGATGATGATCGTGTTCAACAGCAGCGTCCCTTTCTGACGTTGGTGTTGTCTTCGCTTTCGCCGGCTTCAGACGCATAGCTGACAGCACCAGGAGTATTGGGGAAACCTAGCCAGCTGCGTCTCTTGTCGCCATGGCCGACCCGGAAGCTGCCCGTGCCGCCGTTCGGGAGGTCAAAGTAGCTTGAGCCGCCTTCAGCAAAGGGTGTGCGTCCCATGGAAGCTTCGATGGTGCGTTGTTGATCGAGCCTGCGCTGATGCTGGTCGAGGAGCTTGCGTGTGATGACGCGAAACATTTCTTCTATGCCCTCGCCGTCCTTGGCACTGATCTCGTGGCAGCAGTCCCAGATGTGTTCTTGACCCCAGAAGCCACTGCTGCGATTGCTGTGAGGTGAGGCCATGGCGGCAAGATTGTTGTTGCTCGAAGGTGAGCTGTGCATGGCACTCGAAGGACGAGCACTGCCCGGAACGACTTGGTCTGGATAGAGCTGTTCAGCAACATAACCGATGCAGCGCTCGAAAGGCACCTCACGCTTGGAGGGGTCTTCAGCGACAACATCGCTCTTTGTGCCTACGACATGCAAGATCAAGTCTTCAGTCTCGCCCCAGCCGCCCTTGTCACGCAGCTCTCGCAGCCATACGCCCATCTCTTCGAAGCTCTTCTTGCTCGTGATGTCATAGCATAGCACGGCAGCATGTGCACCGCGGTAGTATAGCTTGCTAATGCTGCGGAAGCGCTCCTGGCCGGCGGTATCCCAGATCTGAAGGCGTATGTCCGTGTCGGTTTCGGGATCGTGGACGCGCGTGGTCAGGAAGGAAGCGCCAACGGTTGATGGAGTGCTGGGAGGGAGAAAGGTCTGATGGACGAAACGGTGGACCAGCGAAGTCTTGCCCACATTCTGAGAACCGAGCACGACCAGCTTGGCCTCTAGCGAGGTCGTGGGTACTGACATGACTCGTCGGATTAAGAAAACAGTATAACAAGAAGGAAGGTGACCAATAAGGAAGGCGCTGATATCGCTAAGTTGATTTGCGACAGGTTCCGAGCTGAGCCGGTGAGAGGGCGAAAAGCAAGATCGTTTGTGGTCCTGCTAGACACTTTACCGTGGGCGCAGTGTCTTGTTGTCCCGGGTGATCAGTCGTGGGGTCTCTAGAATCCGCGACCGAGCCCCAGCGAGATTTGACAAGCGGCCATTGCCCAAGCGGCGCCTGTAGAAGCGAAAAGGAGTGGACAGAAAAAGTCCTTTGTTATTAGGTTGCAAGAAAGGGTCCTGCTTGGGCTTCCATCAGGGAGTCAGGGACTGAGATTCTGTTGATGTTTGTTCCTGCCTGATTAGGTTACTGCCGTTTTCCGGCTTCCGTTGGCCCAAGCTTTGACACCTGCTGTACCACACTTCCTTCCTTCCCCCCTCGGTTGACACTCTTGACATCTACCAGTATCCTATCATCACCAAGTGGTTGTCCTACTGTTCACCGTCATGCACACCTCCATGCTGTGCATCGTCGTTCACGCATAGGGTCCCTTCCTGTCATGACTCCCGAGCATCTGCGTCTTCGCTAGTAGCTCAAATCTCACCATTACAAAACGTCTTTATTCATGAGATGCATACAAGCCGGTAGGCTCCAAAACCGTTTATAGCTCCAGATCTCGGGCTCAGCTCGCCGCGAACCCTCTTGTCACCTGTCACCTTTCTATTCCTATTCACGACCTATACTCAATCTGAGGATAGGTATAACAATCTCCAAGCTTTAATTTGTACCGTGGCATTGCGGACACGCTGGATAACCCTTGACATATACTCTGGTAGACACTGAGTCTCTAAAATACTGATATCTACAGCTATGCACGTAATGAACTTTAGCATGGGGACTTCGTTGTCCGGTCCTCGTTATAGTGGGTCAAGAAGGCTCCGAAGGCCAGTCCGCACATCAAGCGCAGACTTCTGCCGAGGCTCCAGCTCGAAATATGTTACGCTGTATTGAGTGGCTGGATATTCAGAATCTGTACGTGCAGCATGTCTGAGGGCGAGACTTGTTACCATGCGACCAGACAAGCAGGCAACCAACTCTTCTATAACAAATCCAACCCACTGAATTCGGATCTCGGAGAACATTGGGTTGCAAAACGGCGTCATCACACGATATATCCAGTTCACTATAGTCCGCCGTTAGCTACATCCTGTCACACCAACGTCCTCGCTGACAGCCTCATGTGAAGTTGACAGTCACCTATACCGCTCGTATATCAAAAATCTTCGGATTGTCTCTTCGGCCCGTAGTTCAGGTCACCTATGTTGCTTTTCAGAACATGCAACGAGGTTCTAGTTGGACCTCTGGTCGACAGCTCGATCACTGCTTACCATGGAATCGTTACCTATTCTGGAAGAACTATCGGAGGTGTCTCTGGTTGATGACGCTCAAAAAATCCTTCCACCGTTGCTGCTCTATCTCATTGGCCCCACCATCTGCTTTTGATCTCCATCTGTTGCTATGTCAATGGACTTCAGTTTGCTGGACCAGTCATGCTACCCCAGTATTGATGGTCCCGTTGAAGTGTCTCAAAATCTGCAATTTATACCTTCTGAATTGTCGAGCCTGGGTTAGAGTATGAAAATTGCCTTGAGTCTGATTCTGAACCAAGTCCACGTCCTGTCGTGATGCCTTTTCGCAACATATCAATCTGTTTTTTGACTTTCTAATTATCATCGTAATAACTAATGACCAACTAGTTTGTTAGAACTACAGTTACTATACACTAGACATGCGCTTTCACGGTGCGGCCCTGTCGGGTGGCCTCATCCTGTCATCTCTATCTGGTGCTGCGACGCAGGAAACAGCTGGTCATTCAGACAGTGATCATGCACAACCATCCGTCCGTAGGCATTCAAATGTCCAATCATCTGGAGCTAGAAAAGATTCCGTGTTCGAAGTCTTCAAGAAGTTTTTACCCGACGTGGACATTCCGGTGCCATTTCGCTTCAACCACAATCAATTCCCGGAGAATGGTGAACAAAACCCTCACAATGCTTGGTCTTCGGCCTCTTCTGCTGGTCGGAACCCTGGGGAACAACTTCCTGATGATTTACTTCCCTTGTCTTTTGAATCCGAGTCTGCCACTTCAAAGACGATGGCGTTTCCACGTCGAGCTTTGTCCACGGCAAGACCTTTGACACGACAATCATCCAGCCGAGTTTCCTCAATGAAGAGCAGCACCACACGAGTGACGAGTAGTGGCCAGATTGTCAAACCATCAACACAGAAAGCAAGCTCGACACAGAAGGCAAGCTCGACAAAGAAGTCCGTTTCTGTGATACGAGGAGCGCCTCTCCCAAAGTCGACATCTCGGACAACGACTTCTCAGCGGCCCACAACATCTATACAGAGATCTAGCTCAAGCAAGAGGCCCTCAAGTTCAGAACGGACTTCTTCAGCTACCCAAGTCAAGTCATCAAGCAAGGCATCCAGTTCAACGCAGAGAGTCTCAACTTCGTCTCGACTCACCAAGCCAATCCGTGGTTCCAAGCTCTCAAGCCAGGCCGCTTCAAGCTCAACGAAGAGGCTCACCAGCTCGAGTATGGGTAGGCCTAGCAGTGCATCAAGTACTATAAAGCGAGCATCTACCTCTACGAAAAAGCTATCGAGCTCCAGTAACAAGCCTCCCAGCTCTGCGACCAAAAGTTCCAGCTCTGCGAAGAGTTCGGGTTCGACCAAGCAAGCCTCTAGTTCAAGCAGGATATCATCAAGCGCTAGGCGTTCATCATCCAGTTCCAGCAGGATGCTGTCGAATGCTAGCAAGAAATCATCGAGCTCTAGCATAAGAACAGCGCCTACTACTAGATTGGCTTCTACCTCAAGCAAGATGGTCTCAAGTTCAACTCGAAAAGCTGCCAGCTCCATACCGAGTGTCTCTGGTCCCACCACTGTGTCTACAAAGAAAGTCTCCAGCTCTGCAAAGGCTTCCGTTAGCTCTACGAAAACTTCTGTTAGCTCTGCGGAGACTTCTGCCAGTTCAAAGCAGCCTGCTTCTAGCCCCGTAACTCAAGCTTCGCAAAGTACCAAGAGAACAGGGACCGACACGAGCTCGATCCCGCAGAGCCCTTCCAGCACATCTCGAGTCTCGACGAAGCGGAATTTGCCTGTTGTCTCAAGCAGAACCACAGGTACTACTGTCTCCTTTTCTCGTGCAATCTCTCAATCTACAACGAAGACAACTCCCGGAAACACTCTTTCGGTGTCATCCAAGATTTCTAGTGCTATTCGCGGTTCTGTCCCGAAGTCCTCTTCAGTATCCACTAAAGCCCCGAGTGTTGTCCGTGGCTCAGCCTCGAAGGTCTCGACGACTCAGAGTCGTTCGATCTCCAGTACGAGCAGATCTCCACCGGCGGCCTCGACCTCGATCGCTTCCTCGCCTAATATGAAGACTTCATCCAAGGTGACAGCTACCACTAGTTCGCGAGTGTGTCGAGGTGTGTTGTCTTGCCCTCCTGGGGATAGTACCCAAGCTTCATCATCCACCACAAAAGCTTCCTCGAAGCAAACTCCAGGATCATCTGCCACGAGTCGGATCTCGGTATCTACAGGAACATCGATGTTGAGCTCATCTTCGGTATCAAGCTCAAATCGGTCCACGACGACAAAGCTTTCTGGACTACCATCCTCGATTGCTGGGAATAACATAGCGATCAAATCTGATTTGACCAACCCTGTACGGGGACAGCTTCCTTCAAAGCTGAGTACCTTGTCAGTTCCAACTACATCCGCAGTTTCCACTCTCGCCTCCCTATCAGGATCAGGGTCATCTTCAACCTCTAAGGCTTCAGCCATCCGCGGCCAGCTGCCCGTACCTCGCAGTTCGTCAAGCGTATCTTCATCTTCTAGTCAGGTCGCATCAGCCTCTCAAGTCGGAAGCTCTAGTCAATCGTCGGCTCCTTGGGTTATTGGATCTGGAAATATTGGCGCGCAATCATCTGTATTGGTAGCACACTCCCAGTCAAGCCAAGAATCTGCACCCAGTTCGAGCACAGCTACAAGTCTCAGTTCAAGTCAAATTTCGATCCCGGGATCCACCTCAATTGCTAGTACTTTAGTGACGCCTAGTCCGTCGCAGGCAGGAAGTTCTGTTACCAGCACTTCGACAACAGCTGAATCGTCACAGTCAACAAGCTCGAGCACTAGCATCTTGGAGATAGTAGAGACTTTGACATCGATAAGCTCGGCCATCAAGACTACAATGGTAACGGACACACCACGCGTGTCATCTAGCTTGTCGATAGCATCTACCACCACGAGCACAAGCTTGACCTCATCAAGCAATCCTGCGGGCATGTCTGGAGCGGGGAGTGCCAGTGTGACAAGGACCCCAAGCACATCTGCTCAATCTTTGCCATCTTCCTCCAGCAGTACTGGTCCACGACTTGGCGAAAGTATTACAGAACAAGCATCCCCGTCCGTTACCACGCATGTCCAGAATACTGTTGATCAGTCTGGCACAACTATGAACGATGGAGATCGTTTAAACACCAGCACAGCTGTCAAAACACTCATCTCGCTTGGGTACACCGTCACTGCCTCTTCGTCTTCCCGATCGGACTCTATGATCAGCCTTTCATTGCCCTCAAGTGCCCCATCAGTTCCTCAGTATACTCTGCCAGAGATATCTGGTAGGCTAGGGACCGGCTCGGCTGTTAGCAGTTCAAGTCCTACAGAAATCACTGGTGTTTCCCTCATAGTGTCACCGAACTCTGTGCTAGCTTCCTTCGGAAGCTTCTCGTTCTTAAGTAATGTGGACTCAACGAGGATGACATCTGATCTTCCTCCACAGTCTGCCCAGACCAGAAGTCCGCCAGCCGATTCGACTCGATCAACTAGTATTTCCATCATCGTACCTGATGTACAGCCCACCGGTTCCTCATCCTTCTCCAGATCCGGAAGTGTCAGTATAGAACTGCCCACG